CTGTCCCAAGTCTAGAGGAATACGAACTTCAGCACAGCAACTCGAGGAATGCTCTGTGTACCCCAAATCGTTTCGAGGTGAGAGCTGATTCCATGGCTTAGGCTCAAGACGTATGCCAACTTTCCAGAAGCCCCTCAAGAGGAGGATTCTCTCAGCAATAGGTATGTTGGAGGGACCCCCACTTTGCTGCCTCAAGTGGAATATACAGCGAGAAGCCCTAACTTGAAAGGAGGCCGGATTTCCTTGCAGTGTCTTGAATACAGGCTCGTCTTTCATCTCACAACCGGAAGGGATGTCTGAATCCCCTGTGGAGAACTTAGAGAAAGCCCTAGGTCCCTGCCTCATTTTGACGGATTGCCTCACATCCCGTTGACAACTCGAGAGGCACACGGAGTTCACTGCTTCAAAAGGTGATGATGCCTGACTCTTCTTGAATATTGATAGGAATCCCAAAATCCCTGTGGCTATTTGAAAGGTTCCTTGGGTGTCCTGCCTCACCTCGAGAAGCGTCCCTTGTGCCTGCCAAGCCTCGAAGAGATTCCTGAGCTGTCCCTCGTTACTGGACAGGAGTCCTGACGTCACTGAATAAACAGGAGTTTTTAAGGGCCATCTCCGCTGTAACCCGAGTACATACCCCAGGTCCCCGCCGCAAGTCGAGAAAAACCATGAGACTTTCCCCTAGTGGCGAGATGTGGCCCGATTCTCATGCAGTGCATGCAGAGCAATTCCGTGATCCCCATCAAACAAGTCAGGACCTTCGACTTGCTTAATGGATCTCGAGACAGTCCCCAAGAATACTGTCACATGTCTAGACGGATCCTGAGGTCACCCCATCAACGCAAAGCAGCACCATGTGCCCCACATCAACTCGAGATAATGCCCGATTCCCCTGCATTGACTCCAGAGCCATCCCCCGTTCCACATTAAACACCACCAGTGGCTTGACTTCCTTCAGACAACTCCAGAGATGCCCTGAGAACACTGTCCCAAGTCTAGAGGAACACCATCTTCAGCACAGCAACTCGAGGAATGCTCCGTGTACCCCAAATCGTCTGGAGATGAGAGCTGATTCCCTGGCTTAGGCTCAAGACGTATGCCAACTTTCCAGAAGCACCTCAAGGGGAGGCTTCGCTCAGCAATAGTTATGTTGGAGGGACCCCCAGTTTGCTGCCTCAAGTGGAATATGCAACGAGAAGCCCTACCTTGAAAGGAGGCCGGGTTTCCTTTCAGTGTCTTGAATACAGGCTCGTCTTTCATCTCACAACCGGAAGGATTGTCTGAATCCCCTGTGGAGACCTTAGCGAAAGCCCTAGGTCCCTGCCTCATTTTGACGAATTGCCTCACATCCCGTTGACACCTCGGGAGGCACACGGAGTTCACTGCTTCAAATGTGACGATGCCTTACCCCTCCTGATCATTGATAGGAATCCCAAAATCACTGTGGCTACAGGAAAGGGTTCTTGTGTGCCCTGCCTCACCTCGAGAAGCATCCCTTTTGCCCTGCCAAGGCTCGAAGAGATTCCTGAGGTGTCCCTCATTACTAGACAGGAGTCATGACGTCACTGAATAAACACGTGTTTTCAAGGGCCATGCCCGCCATAACTCGAGAACATACCCCAGGTCCCGCCGCAACCCGAGAAAAACCATGAGACTTCCCCTAGATGCGAGATGAGGCCTGATTCCCTGCAGTCCATGCAGAGCATTCCCGTGATCCCAATCAAGCAAGTCAGCAGCTTCGAATTTCTTAATGGATCTCGAGATTGTCCCCAGGAACACTGTCACAAGTCTAGACAGACCCTGACATCACCCCAGCAACGCAAAGCAGCACCAAGTACCCCATATCAACTCGCGTTGAGGCCCGATTCCCATGCATTGACTCCAGAGCCATCCCCCGTACCCCATTAAACACCACCAGTGGCTTGACTTCCTTCAGGCAAATCCAGAGATGCCCCGAGAACACTGTCCCAAGTCTAGAGGAATACGAACTTCAGCACAGCAACTCGAGGAATGCTCCGTGTACCACAAATCGTTTCGAGGTGAGAGCTGATTCCATGGCTTAGGCTCAAGACGTATGCCAACTTTCCAGAAGCCCCTCAAGAGGAGGATTCTCTCAGCAATAGGTATGTTGGAGGGACCCCCACTTTGCTGCCTCAAGTGGAATATACAGCGAGAAGCCCTAACTTGAAAGGAGGCCGGATTTCCTTGCAGTGTCTTGAATACAGGCTCGTCTTTCATCTCACAACCGGAAGGGAGGTCTGAATCCCCTGTGGAGAACTTAGAGAAAGCCCTAGGTCCCTGCCTCATTTTGACGGATTGCCTCACATCCCGTTGACAACTCGAGAGGCACGCGGAGTTCACTGCTTCAAAAGGTGATGATGCCTGACTCGTCTTGAATATTGATAGGAATCCCAAAATCCCTGTGGCTATTTGAAAGGTTCCTTGGGTGTCCTGCCTCACCTCGAGAAGCGTCCCTTGTGCCTGCCAAGCCTCGAAGAGATTCCTGAGCTGTCCCTCGTTACTGGACAGGAGTCCTGACGTCACTGAATAAACAGGAGTTTTTAAGGGCCATCTCCGCTGTAACCCGAGTACATACCCCAGGTCCCCGCCGCAAGTCGAGAAAAACCATGAGAATTTCCCCTAGTGGCGAGATGTGGCCCGATTCTCATGCAGTGCATGCAGAGCAATTCCGTGATCCCCATCAAACAAGTCAGGACCTTCGACTTGCTTAATGGATCTCGAGACAGTCCCCAAGAATACTGTCACATGTCTAGACGGATCCTGAGGTCACCCCATCAACGCAAAGCAGCACCATGTGCCCCACATCAACTCGAGATCATGCCCGATTCCCCTGCATTGACTCCAGAGCCATCCCCCGTTCCACATTAAACACCACCAGTGGCTTGACTTCCTTCAGACAACTCCAGAGATGCCCTAGGAACACTGTCCCAAGTCTAGAGGAACACCATCTTCAGCACAGCAACTCGAGGAATGCTCCGTGTACCCCAAATCGTCTCGAGATGAGAGCTGATTCCCTGGCTTAGGCTCAAGACGTATGCCAACTTTCCAGAAGCACCTCAAGGGGAGGCTTCTCTCAGCAATGGGTATGTTGGAGGGACCCCCAGTTTGCTGCCTCAAGTGGAATATGCAGCGAGAAGCCCTAACTTGAAAGGAGTCCGGGTTTCCTTGCAGTGTCTTGAATACAGGCTCGTCTTTCATCTCACAACGGGAAGGAATGTCTGAATCCCCTGTGGAGACCTTAGCGAAAGCCCTAGGTCCCTGCCTCATTTTGACGGATTGCCTCACATCCCGTTGATACCTCGAGAGGCACCCGGAGTTCACTGCTTCAAATGTGACGATGCCTGACTCCTCCTGAACATTGATAGGAATCCCAAAATCACTGTGGCTACAGGAAAGGGTTCTTGTGTGCCCTGCATCACCTCGAGAAGCATCCCTTTTGCCCTGCCAAGGCTCGAAAAGATTCCTGAGGTGTCCCTCATTACTAGACAGGAGTCAAGACGTCACTGAATAAACACGTGTTTTCAAGGGCCAAGCCCGCCATAACTCGAGAACATACCCCACGTACCGCCGCGACTCGAGAAAAACCATGAGACTTCCCCTAGATGCGATATGAGGCCTGATTCCCTGCAGTCCATGCAGAGCATTCCCGTGATCCCAATCAAGCAAGTCAGCAGCTTCGAATTGCTTAATGGATCTCGAGAGAGTCCCCAGGAACACTGTCACAAGTCTAGACAGACCCTGACATCACCCCAGCAAAGCAAAGCAGGTCCAGGTACGCCACATCACCTCGAGTTGAGGCCCGATTCCCATGCATTGACTCCAGAGCCATCCCCCGTACCCCATTAAACACCACCAGTGGCTTGACTTCCTTCAGGCAACTCCAGAGATGCCCCGAGAACACTGTCCCAAGTCTAGAGGAATACGAACTTCAGCACAGCAACTCGAGGAATGCTCCGTGTACCCCAAATCGTTTCGAGGTGAGAGCTGATTCCATGGCTTAGGCTCAAGACGTATGCCAACTTTCCAGAAGCCCCTCAAGAGGAGGCTTCTCTCAGCAATAAGTATGTGGGAGGGACCCCGAATTTGCTGCCTCAAGTGGAATATACAGCGAGAATCCCTAACTTGAAAGGAGGCCGGATTTCCTTGCAGTGGCTTGAATACAGGCTCGTCTTTCATCTCACAGCATGAAGGGATGTCTGAATCCCCTGTGGAGACCTTAGAGAAAGCTCTAGGTCCCTGCCTCATTTTGACGGAATGCCTCACATCCCGTTGACACTTCGAGAGGCACGCGGAATTCACTGCTTCAAAAGGTGATGATGCCTGACTCGTCTTGAATATTGATAGGAATCCCAAAATCCCTGTGGCTATTTGAAAGTTTCCTTGGGTGTCCTGCCTCACTTCGAGAAGCGTCCCTTGTGCCTGCCAAGCCTCGAAGAGATTCCTGAGCTGTCCCTCGTTACTGGACAGGAGTCCTGACGTCACTGAATAAACAGGAGTTTTTAAGGGCCATCCCCGCTGTAACCCGAGTACATACCCCAGGTCCCCGCCGCAAGTCGAGAAAAACCATGAGACTTTCCCCTAGTGGCGAGATGAGGCCCGATTCTCCTGCAGTGCATGCAGAGCAATTCCGTGATCCCCATCAAACAAGTCAGGACCTTCGACTTGCTTAATGGATCTCGAGACAGTCCCCAAGAATACTGTCAAATGTCTAGACGGATCCTGAGGTCACCCCATCAACGCAAAGCAGCACCATGTGCCCCACATCAACTCGATATAATGCCCGATTCCCCTGCATTGACACCAGAGCCATCCCCCGTTCCACATTAAACACCACCAGTGGCTTGACTTCCTTCAGACAACTCCAGAGATGCCCTGAGAACACTGTCCCAAGTCTAGAGGAACACCATCTTCAGCACAGCAACTCGAGGAATGCTCCGTGTACCCCAAATCGTCTCGAGATGAGAGCTGATTCCCTGGCTTAGGCTCAAGACGTATGCCAACTTTCCAGAAGCACCTCAAGGGGAGGCTTCTCTCAGCAATAGGTATGTTGGAGGGTCCCCCAGTTTGCTGCCTCAAGTGGAATATGCAGCGAGAAGCCCTAACTTGAAAGGAGGCCGGGTTTCCTTGCAGTGTCTTGAATACAGGCTCGTCTTTCATCTCACAACGGGAAGGAATGTCTGAATCCCCTGTGGAGACCTTAGCGAAAGCCCTAGGTCCCTGCCTCATTTTGACGGATTGCCTCACATCCCGTTGACACCTCGAGAGGCACACGGAGTTCACTGCTTCAAATGTGACGATGCCTGACTCCTCCTGAACATTGATAGGAATCCCAAAATCACTGTGGCTACAGGAAAGGGTTCTTGTGTGCCCTGCCTCACCTCGAGAAGCATCCCTTTTGCCCTGCCGAGGCTCGAAAAGATTCCTGAGGTGTCCCTCATTACTAGACAGGAGTCATGACGTCACTGAATAAACACGTGTTTTCAAGGGCCAAGCCCGCCATAACTCGAGAACATACCCCACGTACCGCCGCGACTCGAGAAAAACCATGAGACTTCCCCTAGATGCGATATGAGGCCTGATTCCCTGCAGTCCATGCAGAGCATTCCCGTGATCCCAATCAAGCAAGTCAGCAGCTTCGAATTGCTTAATGGATCTCGAGAGAGTCCCCAGGAACACTGTCACAAGTCTAGACAGACCCTGACATCACCCCAGCAAAGCAAAGCAGGTCCAAGTACCCCACATCACCTCGAGTTGAGGCCCGATTCCCATGCATTGATTCCAGAGCCATCCCCCGTACCCCATTAAACACCACCAGTGGCTTGACTTCCTTCAGGCAACTCCAGAGATGCCCCGAGAACACTGTCCCAAGTCTAGAGGAATACGAACTTCAGCACAGCAACTCGAGGAATGCTCCGCGTACCCCAAATCGTTTCGAGGTGAGAGCTGATTCCCTGGCTTAGGCTCAAGACGTATGCCAACTTTCCAGAAGCCCCTCAAGAGGAGGCTTCTCTCAGCAATAGGTATGTGGGAGGGACCCCGAATTTGCTGCGTCAAGTGGAATATACAGCGAGAAGCCCTAACTTGAAAGGAGGCCGGATTTCCTTGCAGTGTCTTGAATACAGGCTCGTCTTTCATCTCACAACCGGAAGGGATGTCTGAATCCCCTGTGTAGAATTTAGAGAAAGCCTTAGGTCCCTGCCTCATTTTGACGGATTGCCTCACATCCCGTTGACACCTCGAGAGGCACGCGGAGTTCACTGCTTCAAAAGGTGATGATGCCTGACTCGTCTTGAATATTGATAGGAATCCCAAAATCCCTGTGGCTATTTGAAAGGTTCCTTGGGTGTCCTGCCTCTCCTCGAGAAGCGTCCCTTTTGCCTGCCAAGCCTCGAAGAGATTCCTGAGCTGTCCCTCGTTACTGGACAGGAGTCCTGACGTCACTGAATAAACAGGAGTTTTTAAGGGCCATCCCCGCTGTAACCCGAGTACATACCCCAGGTCCCCGCCGCAAGTCGAGAAAAACCATGAGACTTTCCCCTAGTGGCGAGATGAGGCCCGATTCTCCTGCAGTGCATGCAGAGCAATTCTGTGATCCCCATCAAACAAGTCAGGACCTTCGACTTGCTTAATGGATCTCGAGACAGTCCCCAAGAATACTGTCACATGTCTAGACGGATCCTGAGGTCACCCCATCAACGCAAAGCAGCACCATGTGCCCCACATCAACTCGAGATAATGCCCGATTCCCATGCATTGACTCCAGAGCCATCACCCGTACCCTATTAAACACCACCAGTGGCTTGACTTCCTTCAGGCAACTCCAGAGATGCCCCGAGAACACAGTCCCAATTCTAGAGGAATACGAAGTTCAGCACAGCAACTCGAGGAATGCTCCGTGTACCCCAAATCGTTTCGAGGTGAGAGCTGATTCCATGGCTTAGGCTCAAGACGTATGCCAACTTTCCAGAAGCCCCTCAAGCGGAGGATTCTCTCAGCAATAGGTATGTGGGAGGGACCCCCACTTTGCTGCCTCACGTGGAATATACAGAGAGAAGCCCTAACTTGAAAGGAGGCCGGATTTCCTTGCAGTGGCTTGAATACAGGCTCGTCTTTCATCTCACAACCGGAAGGGATGTCGGAATCCCCTGTGGAGACCTTAAAGAAAGCTCTAGGTCCCTGCCTCATTTTGACGGAATGCCTCACATCCCGTTGACACTTCGAGAGGCACGCGGAATTCACTGCTTCAAAAGGTGATGATGCCTGACTCGTCTTGAATATTGATAGGAATCCCAAAATCCCTGTGGGTATTTGAAAGGTTCCTTGGTTGTCCTGCCTCACCTCGAGAAGCGTCCCTTGTGCCTGCCAAGCCTCGAAGAGATTCCTGAGCTGTCCCTCATTACTGGACAGGAGTCCTGACGTCACTGAATAAAAAGGAGTTTTTAAGGGCCATCCCCGCTGTAACCCGAGTACATACCCCTGGTCCCCGCCGCAAGTCGAGAAAAACCATGAGACTTTCCCCTAGTGGCGAGATGAGGCCCGATTCTCCTGCAGTGCATGCAGAGCAATTCCGTGATACCCATCAAACAAGTCAGGAGCTTCGACTTGCTTAATGGATCTCGAGACAGTCCCCAAGAATACTGTCACATGTCTAGACGGATCCTGAGGTCACCCCATCTATGCAAAGCAGCACCATGTGCCCCACATCAACTCAAGATAATGCCCGATTCCCCTGCATTGATTCCAGAGCCATCCCCCGTTCCACATTAAACACCACCAGTGGCTTGACTTCCTTCAGACAACTCCAGAGATGCCCTGAGAACACTTTCCCAAGTCTAGAGGAACACCATATTCAGCACAGCAACTCGAGGAATGCTCCGTGTACCCCAAATCGTCTCGAGATGAGAGCTGATTCCCTGGCTTAGGCTCAAGACGTATGCCAACTTTCAGAAGCACCTCAAGGGGAGGCTTCTCTCAGCAATAGGTATGTTGGAGGACCCCAGTTTGCTGCCTCAAGTGGAATATGCAGCGAGAAGCCCTAACTTGAAAGGAGGCCGGGTTTCCTTGCAGTGTCTTGAATACAGGCTCGTCTTTCATCTCACAACGGGAAGGAATGTCTGAATCCCCTGTGGAGACCTTAGCGAATGCCCTAGGTCCCTGCCTCATTTTGACGGATTGCCTCACATCCCGTTGACACCTCGAGAGGCACGCGGAGTTCACTGCTTCAAATGTGACGATGCCTGACTCCTCCTGAACATTGATAGGAATCCCAAAATCACTGTGGCTACAGGAAAGGGTTCTTGTGTGCCCTGCCTCACCTCGAGAAGCATCCCTTTTGCCCTGCCAAGGCTCGAAGAGATTCCTGAGGTGTCCCTCAATAATAGACAGGAGTCATGACGTCACTGAATAAACACGTGTTTTCAGGGGCCAAGCCCGCCATAACTCAAGAACATACCCCACGTACCGCCGCGACTCGAGAAAAACCAGGAGACTTCCCCTAGATGCGATATGAGGCCTGATTCCCTGCAGTCCATGCAGAGCATTCCCGTGATCCCAATCAAGCAAGTCAGCAGCTTCGAATTGCTTAATGGATCTCGAGAGAGTCCCCAGGAACACTGTCACAAGTCTAGACAGACCCTGACATCACCCCAGCAAAGCAAAGCAGGTCCAAGTACCCCACATCACCTCGAGTTGAGGCCCGATTCCCATGCATTGACTCCAGAGCCATCCCCCGTACCCCATTAAACACCACCAGTGGCTTGACTTCCTTCAGGCAAATCCAGAGATGCCCCGAGAACACTGTCCCAAGTCTAGAGGAATACGAACTTCAGCACAGCAACTCGAGGAATGCTCCGTGTACCACAAATCGTTTCGAGGTGAGAGCTGATTCCATGGCTTAGGCTCAAGACGTATGCCAACATTCCAGAAGCCCCTCAAGAGGAGGATTCTCTCAGCAATAGGTATGTTGGAGGGACCCCCACTTTGCTGCCTCAAGTGGAATATACAGCGAGAAGCCCTAACTTGAAAGGAGGCCGGATTTCCTTGCAGTGTCTTGAATACAGGCTCGTCTTTCATCTCACAACCGGAAGGGATGTCTGAATCCCCTGTGGAGAACTTAGAGAAAGCCCTAGGTCCCTGCCTCATTTTGACGGATTGCCTCACATCCCGTTGACAACTCGAGAGGCACGCGGAGTTCACTGCTTCAAAAGGTGATGATGCCTGACTCTTCTTGAATATTGATAGGAATCCCAAAATCCCTGTGGCTATTTGAAAGGTTCCTTGGGTGTCCTGCCTCACCTCGAGAAGCGTCCCTTGTGCCTGCCAAGCCTCGAAGAGATTCCTGAGCTGTCCCTCGTTACTGGACAGGAGTCCTGACGTCACTGAATAAACAGGAGTTTTTAAGGGCCATCTCCGCTGTAACCCGAGTACATACCCCAGGTCCCCGCCGCAAGTCGAGAAAAACCATGAGACTTTCCCCTAGTGGCGAGATGTGGCCCGATTCTCATGCAGTGCATGCAGAGCAATTCCGTGATCCCCATCAAACAAGTCAGGAACTTCGACTTGCTTAATGGATCTCGAGACAGTCCCCAAGAATACTGTCACATGTCTAGACGGATCCTGAGGTCACCCCATCAACGCAAAGCAGCACCATGTGCCCCACATCAACTCGGGATAATGCCCGATTCCCCTGCATTGACTCCAGAGCCATCCCCCGTTCCACATTAAACACCGCCAGTGGCTTGACTTCCTTCAGACAACTCCAGAGATGCCCTGAGAACACTGTCCCAAGTCTAGAGGAACACCATCTTCAGCACAGCAACTCGAGGAATGCTCCGTGTACCCCAAATCGTCTGGAGATGAGAGCTGATTCCCTGGCTTAGGCTCAAGACGTATGCCAACTTTCCAGAAGCACCTCAAGGGGAGGCTTCGCTCAGCAATAGTTATGTTGGAGGGACCCCCAGTTTGCTGCCTCAAGTGGAATATGCAACGAGAAGCCCTACCTTGAAAGGAGGCCGGGTTTCCTTGCAGTGTCTTGAATACAGGCTCGTCTTTCATCTCACAACCGGAAGGATTGTCTGAATCCCCTGTGGAGACCTTAGCGAAAGCCCTAGGTCCCTGCCTCATTTTGACGAATTGCCTCACATCCCGTTGACACCTCGGGAGGCACACGGAGTTCACTGCTTCAAATGTGACGATGCCTTACCCCTCCTGATCATTGATAGGAATCCCAAAATCACTGTGGCTACAGGAAAGGGTTCTTGTGTGCCCTGCCTCACCTCGAGAAGCATCCCTTTGCCCTGCCAAGGCTCGAAGAGATTCCTGAGGTGTCCCTCATTACTAGACAGGAGTCATGACGTCACTGAATAAACACGTGTTTTCAAGGGCCATGCCCGCCATAACTCGAGAACATACCCCAGGTCCCGCCGCAACTCGAGAAAAACCATGAGACTTCCCCTAGATGCGAGATGAGGCCTGATTCCCTGCAGTCCATGCAGAGCATTCCCGTGATCCCAATCAAGCAAGTCAGCAGCTTCGAATTTCTTAATGGATCTCGAGATTGTCCCCAGGAACACTGTCACAAGTCTAGACAGACCCTGACATCACCCCAGCAACGCAAAGCAGCACCAAGTACCCCATATCAACTCGCGTTGAGGCCCGATTCCCATGCATTGACTCCAGAGCCATCCCCCGTACCCCATTAAACACCACCAGTGGCTTGACTTCCTTCAGGCAACTACAGAGATGCCCCGAGAACACTGTCCCAAGTCTAGAGGAATACGAACTTCAGCACAGCAACTCGAGGAATGCTCGGTGTACCCCAAATCGTTTCGAGGTGAGACCTGATTCCATGGCTTAGGCTCAAGACGTATGCCAACTTTCCAGAAGCACCTCAAGCGGAGGATTCTCTCAGCAATAGGTATGTTGGAGGGACCCCCACTTTGCTGCCTCAAGTGGAATATACAGCGAGAAGCCCTAACTTGAAAGGAGGCCGGATTTCCTTGCAGTGTCTTGAATACAGGCTCGTCTTTCATCTCACAACCGGAAGGGATGTCTGAATCCCCTGTGTAGAACTTAGAGAAAGCCCTAGGTCCCTGCCTCATTTTGACGGATTGCCTCACATCCCGTTGACACCTCGAGAGGCACGCGGAGTTCACTGCTTCAAAAGGTGATGATGCCTGACTCGTCTTGAATATTGATAGGAATCCCAAAATCCCTGTGGCTATTTGAAAGTTTCCTTGGGTGTCCTGCCTCACCTCGAGAAGCGTCCCTTGTGCCTGCCAAGCCTCGAAGAGATTCCTGAGCTGTCCCTCGTTACTGGACAGGAGTCCTGACGTCACTGAATAAACAGGAGTTTTTAAGGGCCATCCCCGCTGTAACCCGAGTACATACCCCAGGTCCCCGCCGCAAGTCGAGAAAAACCATGAGACTTTCCCCTAGTGGCGAGATGAGGCCCGATTCTCATGCAGTGCATGCAGAGCAATTCTGAGATCCCCATCAAACAAGTCAGGACCTTCGACTTGCTTAATGGATCTCGAGACAGTCCCCAAGAATACTGTCACATGTCTAGACGGATCCTGAGGTCACCCCATCAACGCAAAGCAGCACCATGTGCCCCACATCAACTCGAGATCATGCCCGATTCCCCTGCATTGACTCCAGAGCCATCCCCCGTTCCACATTAAACACCACCAGTGGCTTGACTTCCTTCAGACAACTCCAGAGATGCCCTAGGAACACTGTCCCAAGTCTAGAGGAACACCATCTTCAGCACAGCAACTCGAGGAATGCTCCGTGTACCCCAAATCGTCTCGAGATGAGAGCTGATTCCCTGGCTTAGGCTCAAGACGTATGCCAACTTTCCAGAAGCACCTCAAGGGGAGGCTTCTCTCAGCAATGGGTATGTTGGAGGGACCCCCAGTTTGCTGCCTCAAGTGGAATATGCAGCGAGAAGCCCTAACTTGAAAGGAGTCCGGGTTTCCTTGCAGTGTCTTGAATACAGGCTCGTCTTTCATCTCACAACGGGAAGGAATGTCTGAATCCCCTGTGGAGACCTTAGCGAAAGCCCTAGGTCCCTGCCTCATTTTGACGGATTGCCTCACATCCCGTTGATACCTCGAGAGGCACCCGGAGTTCACTGCTTCAAATGTGACGATGCCTGACTCCTCCTGAACATTGATAGGAATCCCAGAATCACTGTGGCTACAGGAAAGGGTTCTTGTGTGCCCTGCATCACCTCGAGAAGCATCCCTTTTGCCCTGCCAAGGCTCGAAAAGATTCCTGAGGTGTCCCTCATTACTAGACAGGAGTCAAGACGTCACTGAATAAACACGTGTTTTCAAGGGCCAAGCCCGCCATAACTCGAGAACATACCCCACGTACCGCCGCGACTCGAGAAAAACCATGAGACTTCCCCTAGATGCGATATGAGGCCTGATTCCCTGCAGTCCATGCAGAGCATTCCCGTGATCCCAATCAAGCAAGTCAGCAGCTTCGAATTGCTTAATGGATTTCGAGAGAGTCCCCAGGAACACTGTCACAAGTCTAGACAGACCCTGACATCACCCCAGCAAAGCAATGCAGGTCCAGGTACCCCACATCACCTCGAGTTGAGGCCCGATTCCCATGCATTGACTCCAGAGCCATCCCCCGTACCCCATTAAACACCACCAGTGGCTTGACTTCCTTCAGGCAACTCCAGAGATGCCCCGAGAACACTGTCCCAAGTCTAGAGGAATACGAACTTCAGCACAGCAACTCGAGGAATGCTCCGTGTACCCCAAATCGTTTCGAGGTGAGAGCTGATTCCATGGCTTAGGCTCAAGACGTATGCCAACTTTCCAGAAGCCCCTCAAGAGGAGGCTTCTCTCAGCAATAAGTATGTGGGAGGGACCCCGAATTTGCTGCCTCAAGTGGAATATACAGCGAGAAGCCCTAACTTGAAAGGAGGCCGGATTTCCTTGCAGTGGCTTGAATACAGGCTCGTCTTTCATCTCACAGCATGAAGGGATGTCTGAATCCCCTGTGGAGACCTTAGAGAAAGCTCTAGGTCCCTGCCTCATTTTGACGGAATGCCTCACATCCCGTTGACACTTCGAGAGGCACGCGGAATTCACTGCTTCAAAAGGTGATGATGCCTGACTCGTCTTGAATATTGATAGGAATCCCAAAATCCCTGTGGCTATTTGAAAGTTTCCTTGGGTGTCCTGCCTCACTTCGAGAAGCGTCCCTTTTGCCTGCCAAGCCTCGAAGAGATTCCTGAGCTGTCCCTCGTTACTGGACAGGAGTCCTGACGTCACTGAATAAACAGGAGCTTTTAAGGGCCATCCCCGCTGTAACCCGAGTACATACCCCAGGTCCCCGCCGCAAGTCGAGAAAAACCATGAGACTTTCCCCTAGTGGCGAGATGAGGCCCGATTCTCCTGCAGTGCATGCAGAGCAATTCCGTGATCCCCATCAAACAAGTCAGGACCTTCGACTTGCTTAATGGATCTCGAGACAGTCCCCAAAAATACTGTCAAATGTCTAGACGGATCCTGAGGTCACCCCATCAACGCAAAGCAGCACCATGTGCCCCACATCAACTCGATATAATGCCCGATTCCCCTGCATTGACTCCAGAGCCATCCCCCGTTCCACATTAAACACCACCAGTGGCTTGACTTCCTTCAGACAACTCCAGAGATGCCCTGAGAACACTGTCCCAAGTCTAGAGGAACACCATCTTCAGCACAGCAACTCGAGGAATGCTCCGTGTACCCCAAATCGTCTCGAGATGAGAGCTGATTCCCTGGCTTAGGCTCAAGACGTATGCCAACTTTCCAGAAGCACCTCAAGGGGAGGCTTCTCTCATCAATAGGTATGTTGGAGGGTCCCCCAGTTTGCTGCCTCAAGTGGAATATGCAGCGAGAAGCCCTAACTTGAAAGGAGGCCGGGTTTCCTTGCAGTGTCTTGAATACAGGCTCGTCTTTCATCTCACAACGGGAAGGAATGTCTGAATCCCCTGTGGAGACCTTAGCGAAAGCCCTAGGTCCCTGCCTCATTTTGACGGATTGCCTCACATCCCGTTGACACCTCGAGAGGCACACGGAGTTCACTGCTTCAAATGTGACGATGCCTGACTCCTCCTGAACATTGATAGGAATCCCAAAATCACTGTGGCTACAGGAAAGGGTTCTTGTGTGCCCTGCCTCACCTCGAGAAGCATCCCTTTTGCCCTGCCGAGGCTCGAAAAGATTCCTGAGGTGTCCCTCATTACTAGACAGGAGTCATGACGTCACTGAATAAACACGTGTTTTCAAGGGCCAAGCCCGCCATAACTCGAGAACATACCCCACGTACCGCCGCGACTCGAGAAAAACCATGAGACTTCCCCTAGATGCGATATGAGGCATGATTCCCTGCAGTCCATGCAGAGCATTCCCGTGATCCCAATCAAGCAAGTCAGCAGCTTCGAATTGCTTAATGGATCTCGAGAGAGTCCCCAGGAACACTGTCACAAGTCTAGACAGACCCTGACATCACCCCAGCAAAGCAAAGCAGGTCCAAGTACCCCACATCACCTCGAGTTGAGGCCCGATTCCCATGCATTGATTCCAGAGCCATCCCCCGTACCCCATTAAACACCACCAGTGGCTTGACTTCCTTCAGGCAACTCCAGAGATGCCCCGAGAACACTGTCCCAAGTCTAGAGGAATACGAACTTCAGCACAGCAACTCGAGGAATGCTCCGCGTACCCCAAATCGTTTCGAGGTGAGAGCTGATTCCCTGGCTTAGGCTCAAGACGTATGCCAACTTTCCAGAAGCCCCTCAAGAGGAGGCTTCTCTCAGCAATAGGTATGTGGGAGGGACCCCGAATTTGCTGCGTCAAGTGGAATATACAGCGAGAAGCCCTAACTTGAAAGGAGGCCGGATTTCCTTGCAGTGTCTTGAATACAGGCTCGTCTTTCATCTCACAACCGGAAGGGATGTCTGAATCCCCTGTGTAGAATTTAGAGAAAGCCTTAGGTCCCTGCCTCATTTTGACGGATTGCCTCACATCCCGTTGACACCTCGAGAGGCACGCGGAGTTCACTGCTTCAAAAGGTGATGATGCCTGACTCGTCTTGAATATTGATAGGAATCCCAAAATCCCTGTGGCTATTTGAAAGGTTCCTTGGGTGTCCTGCCTCTCCTCGAGAAGTGTCCCTTTTGCCTGCCAAGCCTCGAAGAGATTCCTGAGCTGTCCCTCGTTACTGGACAGGAGTCCTGACGTCACTGAATAAACAGGAGTTTTTAAGGGCCATCCCCGCTGTAACCCGAGTACATACCCCAGGTCCCCGCCGCAAGTCGAGAAAAACCATGAGACTTTCCCCTAGTGGCGAGATGAGGCCCGATTCTCCTGCAGTGCATGCAGAGCAATTCTGTGATCCCCATCAAACAAGTCAGGACCTTCGACTTGCTTAATGGATCTCGAGACAGTCCCCAAGAATACTGTCACATGTCTAGACGGATCCTGAGGTCACCCCATCAACGCAAAGCAGCACCATGTGCCCCACATCAACTCGAGATAATGCCCGATTCCCATGCATTGACTCCAGAGCCATCACCCGTACCCTATTAAACACCACCAGTGGCTTGACTTCCTTCAGGCAACTCCAGAGATGCCCCGAGAACACAGTCCCAATTCTAGAGGAATACGAAGTTCAGCACAGCAACTCGAGGAATGCTCCGTGTACCCCAAATCGTTTCGAGGTGAGAGCTGATTCCATGGCTTAGGCTCAAGACGTATGCCAACTTTCCAGAAGCCCCTCAAGCGGAGGATTCTCTCAGCAATAGGTATGTGGGAGGGACCCCCACTTTGTTGCCTCAAGTGGAATATACAGAGAGAAGCCCTAACTTGAAAGGAGGCCGGATTTCCTTGCAGTGGCTTGAATACAGGCTCATCTTTCATCTCACAGCATGAAGGGATGTCGGAATCCCCTGTGGAGACCTTAAAGAAAGCTCTAGGTCCCTGCCTCATTTTGACGGAATGCCTCACATCCCGTTGACACTTCGAGAGGCACGCGGAATTCACTGCTTCAAAAGGTGATGATGCCTGACTCGTCTTGAATATTGATAGGAATCCCAAAATCCCTGTGGGTATTTGAAAGGTTCCTTGGTTGTCCTGCCTCACCTCGAGAAGCGTCCCTTGTGCCTGCCAAGCCTCGAAGAGATTCCTGAGCTGTCCCTCATTACTGGACAGGAGTCCTGACGTCACTGAATAAAAAGGAGTTTTTAAGGGCCATCCCCGCTGTAACCCGAGTACATACCCCTGGTCCCCGCCGCAAGTCGAGAAAAACCATGAGACTTTCCCCTAGTGGCGAGATGAGGCCCGATTCTCCTGCAGTGCATGCAGAGCAATTCCGTGATACCCATCAAACAAGTCAGGAGCTTCGACTTGCTTAATGGATCTCGAGACAGTCCCCAAGAATACTGTCACATGTCTAGACGGATCCTGAGGTCACCCCATCTATGCAAAGCAGCACCATGTGCCCCACATCAACTCAAGATAATGCCCGATTCCCCTGCATTGATTCCAGAGCCATCCCCCGTTCCACATTAAACACCACCAGTGGCTTGACTTCCTTCAGACAACTCCAGAGATGCCCTGAGAACACTTTCCCAAGTCTAGAGGAACACCATATTCAGCACAGCAACTCGAGGAATGCTCCGTGTACCCCAAATCGTCTCGAGATGAGAGCTGATTCCCTGGCTTAGGCTCAAGACGTATGCCAACTTTCCAGAAGCACCTCAAGGGGAGGCTTCTCTCAGCAATAGGTATGTTGGAGGACCCCAGTTTGCTGCCTCAAGTGGAATATGCAGCGAGAAGCCCTAACTTGAAAGGAGGCCGGGTTTCCTTGCAGTGTCTTGAATACACGCTCGTCTTTCATCTCACAACGGGAAGGAATGTCTGAATCCCCTGTGGAGACCTTAGCGAAAGCCCTAGGTCCCTGCCTCATTTTGACGGATTGCCTCACATCCCGTTGACACCTCGAGAGGCACGCGGAGTTCACTGCTTCAAATGTGACGATGCCTGACTCCTCCTGAACATTGATAGGAATCCCAAAATCACTGTGGCTACAGGAAAGGGTTCTTGTGTGCCCTGCCTCACCTCGAGAAGCATCCCTTTTGCCCTGCCAAGGCTCGAAGAGATTCCTGAGGTGTCCCTCAATAATAGACAGGAGTCATGACGTCACTGAATAAACACGTGTTTTCAGGGGCCAAGCCCGCCATAACTCAAGAACATACCCCACGTACCGCCGCGACTCGAGAAAAACCAGGAGACTTCCCCTAGATGCGATATGAGGCCTGATTCCCTGCAGTCCATGCAGAGCATTCCCGTGATCCCAATCAAGCAAGTCAGCAGCTTCGAATTGCTTAATGGATCTCGAGAGAGTCCCCAGGAACACTGTCACAAGTCTAGACAGACCCTGACATCACCCCAGCAAAGCAAAGCAGGTCCAAGTACCCCACATCACCTCGAGTTGAGGCCCGATTCCCATGCATTGACTCCAGAGCCATCCCCCGTACCCCATTAAACACCACCAGTGGCTTGACTTCCTTCAGGCAACTACAGAGATGCCCCGAGAACACTGTCCCAAGTCTAGAGGAATACGAACTTCAGCACAGCAACTCGAGGAATGCTCGGTGTACCCCAAATCGTTTCGAGGTGAGAGCTGATTCCATGGCTTAGGCTCAAGACGTATGCCAACTTTCCAGAAGCACCTCAAGCGGAGGATTCTCTCAGCAATAGATATGTTGGAGGGACCCCCACTTTGCTGCCTCAAGTGGAATATACAGCAAGAAGCCCTAACTTGAAAGGAGGCCGGATTTCCTTGCAGTGTCTTGAATACAGGCTCGTCTTTCATCTCACAACCGGAAGGGATGTCTGAATCCCCTGTGTAGAACTTAGAGAAAGCCCTAGGTCCCTGCCTCATTTTGTCGGATTGCCTCACATCCCGTTGACACCTCGAAAGGCACGCGGAGTTCACTGCTCCAAAAGGTGATGATGCCTGACTCGTCTTGAATATTGATAGGAATCCCAAAATCCCTGTGGCTATTTGAAAGGTTCCTTGGGTGTCCTGCCTCACCTCGAGAAGCGTCCCTTGTGCCTGCCAAGCCTCGAAGAGATTCCTGAGCTGTCCCTCGTTACTGGACAGGAGTCCTGACGTCACTGAATAAACAGGAGTTTTTAAGGGCCATCCCCGCTGTAACTCGAGTACATACCCCAGGTCCCCGCCGCAAGTCGAGAAAAACCATGAGACTTTCCCCTAGTGGCGAGATGAGGCCCGATTCTCCTGCTGTGCATGCAGAGCAATTCCGTGATCCCCATCAAACAAGTCAGGACCTTCGACTTGCTTAATGGATCTCGAGACAGTCCCCAGGAATACGGTCACATGTCTAGATGGATCCTGAGGTCACCCCATCAACGCAAAGCAGCACCATGTGCCCCACATCAACTCGAGATAATGCCCGATTCCCCTGCATTGACTCCAGAGCCATCCCCCGTTCCACATTAAACACCACCAGTGGCTTGACTTCCTTCAGACAACTCCAGAGATGCCCTGAGAACACTGTCCCAAGTCTAGAGGAACACCATCTTCAGCACAGCAACTCGAGGAATGCTCCGTGTACCCCAAATCGTCTCGATATGAGAGCTGATTCCCTGGCTTAGGCTCAAGACGTATGCCAACTTTCCAGAAGCACCTCAAGTGGAGGCTTCTCTCAGCAATAGGTATGTGGGAGGGACCCCCAGTTTGCTGCCTCAAGTGGAATATGCAGCGAGAAGCCCTAACTTGAAAGGAGGCCGGGTTTCCTTGCAGTGTCTTGAATACAGGCTCGTCTTTCATCTCACAACGGGAAGGAATGTCTGAATCCCCTGTGGAGACCTTAGCGAAAGCCCTAGGTCCCTGCCTCATTTTGACGGATTGCCTCACATCCCGTTGACACCTCGAGAGGCACCCGGAGTTCACTGCTTCAAATGTGACGATGCCTGACTCCTCCTGAACATTGATAGGAATCCCAAAATCACTGTGGCTACAGGAAAGGGTTCTTGTGTGCCCTGCCTCACCTCGAGAAGCATCCCTTTTGCCCTGCCAAGGCTCGAAAAGATTCCTGAGGTGTCCCTCATTACTAGACAGGAGTCATGACGTCACTGAATAAACACGTGTTTTCAAGGGCCATGCCCGCCATAACTCGAGAACATACCCCACGTACCGCCGCGACTCGAGAAAAACCATGAGACTTCCCCTAGATGCGATATGAGGCCTGATTCCCTGCAGTCCATGCAGAGCATTCCCGTGATCCCAATCAAGCAAGTCAGCAGCTTCGAATTGCTTAATGGATCTCGAGAGAGTCCCCAGGAACACTGTCACAAGTCTAGACAGACCCTGACATCACCCCAGCAAAGCAAAGCAGGTCCAAGTACCCCACATCACCTCGAGTTGAGGCCCGATTCCCATGCATTGACTACAGAGCCATCCCCCGTTCCACATTAAACACGACCAGTAGCTTGACTTCCTTCAGGCAACTACAGAGACGCCCTGAGAACACTGTCCCAAGTCTAGAGAAACACCATCTTCAGCACAGCAACTCGAGGAATGCTCCGTGTACCCCAAATCGTCTCGAGATGAGAGCTGATTCCCTGGCTTAGGCTCAAGACGTATGCCCACTTTCCAGAAGCACCTCAAGGGGAGACATCTCTCAGCAATAGGTATGTTGGAGGGACCCCCAGTTTGCTGCCTCAAGAGGAATATACAGCGAAAAGCCCTAACTTGAAAGGAGGCCGGGTTTCCTTGCAGTGTCTTGAATACAGGCTCGTCTTTCATCTCACAACCGGAAGGAATGTCTGAATCCTCTGTGGAGACCTTAGAGAAAGCCCTAGGTCCCTGCCTCATTTTGAAGGAATGTCTCACATCCCGTTGACACCTCGAGAGGCACACGGAGTTCACTGCTTCAAAATGTGATGATGCCTGACTCCTCTTGAACATTGATAGGAATCCCTAAATCACTGTAGCTAGAGGACAGGGTTCTTGGGTGCCCTGCCTCACCTCGAGAAGCATCCCTTTTGCCTGCCAAGCCTCGAAGAGATTCCTGAGGTGTCTCTCGTTACTAGACAGGAGTCCTGACGTCACTGAATAAACACATGTTTTGAAGGGCCATCCCCGCCATAACTCAAGAACATACCCCAGGTCCCGCCGCAACTCGAGAAAAACCATGAGACTTCCCCTAGATGCGATATGAGGCCTGATTCCCTGCAGTCCATGCAGAGCATTCCCATGATCCCCATCAAGCAAGTCAGGAGCTTCGACTTCCTTAATCGAACTCGAGAAAGTCCCCAGGAACACTGTCACAAGACTAGACAGACCCTGAGGTCACCCCAGCAATGTAAAGCAGCTCCAAGTACCCCACATCAACTCGCGATGAGGCCCGATTCCCCTGCATTGACTCCAGAGCCATCCCCCGTACCACATTAAACACCACCAGTGGCTTGACTTCCTTCAGGCAACTCCAGAGATGCCCTGAGAACACTGTCCCAAGTCTAGAGGAATACGAACTTCAGCACAGCAACTCGAGGAATGCTCTGTGTACCCCAAATCGTTTCGAGGTGAGAGCTGATTCCATGGCTTAGGCTCAAGACGTATGCCAACTTTCCAGAAGCACCTCAAGAGGAGGCTTCTCTCAGCAGTAGGTATGTGGGAGGGACCCCGAGTTTGCTGCCTCAAGTGGAATATACAGTGAGAAGCCCTAACTTGAAAGGAGGACGGATTTCCTTGCAGTGGCTTGAGTACAGGCTCGTCTTTCATCTCACAGCATGAAGGGATGTCTGAAACCCCTGTGGAGACCTTAGAGAAAGCTCTAGGTCCCTGCCTCATTTTGAGGGAATGCCTCACATCCCGTTGTCACCTCGAGAGGCACGCGGAGTTCACTGCTTCAAAAGGTGACGATGCCTGACTCGTCTTGAATATTGATAGGAATCAAAAAATCACTGTGGCTACTGGAAAGGGTCCTTGGGTGCCCTGCCTCACCTCGAGAAACATACCTTTTGACCTGCCAAGCCTCGAAGAGATTCCTGAGGTTTCCCTTGTTACTAGACAGGAGTCCTGACAGCACTGAATAAACACGTGTTTTGAAGGGCCATCCCCGCCGTAACTCGAGAAGATACCCCAGGTCCCCAGCGCAACTTGAGAGAAACCATGAGACTTCCCCCAAGATGCGAGATGAGTCCTGATTCCCTGCAGTGCATGCAGGGTATTCCCGTGATCCCCATCAAACAAGTCAGGAGCTTCGACTTGCTTAATGGATCTCGAGACAGTCCCCAAGAACACTGTCACAAGTCTAGACGGACCCTGAGGTCACCCCAGCAACGTAAAGCAGCTCCATGTGCCCCAAATCAACCCGAAATGTGGCCCGATTCCCCTGCATTGACCCCAGAGCCATCCCCAGTTCCCCATTAAACAAGACCACTGGCTTGACTTCCTTCAGGCAACTCCAGAGATGCCCTGAGAACACTGTCCCAAGACTAGAGGAACACCAACTTCAGCACAGCAACTCGAGGAATGCTCCGTGTACCACAAATCGTTTCGAGGTGAGAGCTGATTCCCAGGCTTAGGCTCAAAACGTATACCAACTTTCCAGAAGCACCTCAAGAGGAGGCTTCTCTCAGCAATCGGTATGTGGGAGGGAACCCGAGTTTGCTGCCTCAAGTGGAATATACAGTGAGAAGCCCTAACTTGAAAGGAGGCCGGATTTCCTGGCAGTGTGTTGAATACAGGCTCGTCTTTCATCTCACAACAGGGAGGGATGTCTGAATCCCCTGTGGAGACCTTAGAGAAAGCCCTAGGACCCTGCCTCATTTTGACGGAATGTCTCACATCCCGTTGACACCTTGAGAGGCACACGGAGTTCACTGCTTCAAAATGTGACGATGCCTGACTCCTCCTGAACATTGATAGGAATCCCAAAATCACTGTAGCTACAGGACAGAGTTCTTGGGTGCCCTGCCTCACCTCGAGAAGCATCCCTTTTGACCTGCCAAGCCTCGAAGAGATTGCTGAGGTGTCTCTCGTTACTAGACAGGAGTCCTGACGTCACTGAATAAACACGTGTTTTGAAGGGCCATCCCCGCCGTAACTCGAGAACATACCCCAGTTCGCGCCGCAACTCGAGTAAAACCATGAGACTTCCCCTAGAGGCGAGATGAGGCCTGATTCCCTGCAGTCCATGAAGAGCATTCCCGTGATCCCTATCAAGCAAGTCAGGAGCTTCGACTTGCTTAATTGATCTCGAGAAAGTCCCTAGGAACACTGTCACAAGTCTAGACAGACCCTGAGGTCACCCCAGCAATGCAAAGCAGCTGCAAGTACCCCACATCAACTCGAGATGAGGCCCGATTCCCATGCATTGACTCCAGAGCCATCCCCAGTTCCCCATTAAACAAGACCACTGGCTTGTCTTCCTTCAGACAACTCCAGAGATGCCCCGAGAACAGTGTCCCAAGACTAGAGGAACACCAACTTCAGCACAGCAACTCAAGGAATGCCCCGTGTACCACAAATCGTCTCGAGATGAGAGCTGATTCCCTGGCTTAGGCTCAAGACGTATGCCAACTTTCCAGAAGCACCTCAAGAGGAGGCTTCTCTCAGCAATAGGTATGTTCGTGGGACCCCGAGTTTGCTGCCTAAAGTGTAATATACAGCGAGAAGCCCTAACTTGAATGGAGGCCAGATTTCCTTGCAGTGTCTTGTATACAGGCTCGTCTTTCATCTCACAACAGGAAGGGATGTCTGAATCCCCTGTGAAGACCTTTAAGAAAGCCCTAGGTCCCTGCCTCATTGTGACGGAATGCCTCACATCCCGTTGACACCACGAGAGGCACGCGGAGTTCACTGCTTCAAAAGGTGACGATGCCTGACTCCTCTTGAATATTGATAGGAATCCCAAAATCCCTGTGGCTATTGGAAAGGTTCCTTGGGTGCCCTGCCTCATCTCGAGAAGCGTCCCTTGTGCCCCGGCAAGCCTCGAAGAGATTCCTGAGCTGTCCCTCGTTACCGGACAGGAGTCCTGACGTCACTGAATAAACACGTGTTTTGAAGGGCCATCGCCGCCGTAACTCGAGTATATACCCCAGGTCCCCGCCGCAACTCGAGAAAAACCATGAGACTTCCGCCTAGAGGCGAGATGAGGCCCGATTCTCCTGCAGTGCATGCAGAGCAATTCCGTGATCCCCATCAAACAAGTCAGGAGCTTCGACTTGCTTAATGGATCTCGAGACATTCCCCAAGAACACTGTCACATGTCTAGGCTGATCCTGAGGTATCCCCAGCAACGCAAAGCAGCTCCATGTGCCCCAAATCAACTTGAGATGAGGTCCGATTCTCCTGAATTGACTCCAGAGCCATCTGCCGTTCCGCATTAAACAACACCAGTGGCTTGACCTCCTTCAGACAACTCCAGAGATGCCCTGAGAACACTGTCCCAAGTCTAGAGGAACACCTACTTTAGCACAGCAACTCGAGGAATGCTTCCTGTATGCCAAATCTTCTCGAGTTGAGAGCTGATTCCCTGGCTTAGGCTCAAGACGTATGCCAACTTTCCAGAAGCACCTCAAGAGGAGGCTTCTCTCAGCAATAGGTATGTGGGAGGGAACCCGAGTTTGCTGCCTCAAATGGAATATACAGCGAGAAGCACTAACTAGAATGGAGCCCGGTTTCCTAGCAGTGTCTTGAATACAGGCTCGTCTTTCATCTCACAGCAGGAAGAGATGTCTGAATCCCCTGTGGAGACCTTAGAGAAAGCCCTAGGTCCCTGCCTCATTTTGACGGAATGCATCACATCCCGTTGACACCTCGAGAGTCACGCGGAGTTCACTGCTTCAAAAGCTGACGATGCCTGACTCCTCCTGAACATTGATAGGAATCCCAAAATCACTGTAGCTACAGGACAGGGTTCTTGGATGCCCTGCCTCACCTCGAGAAGCATCCCTTTTGCCCTGCCAAGCCTCGAAGAGATTCCTGAGCTGTCCCTCGTTACTGGACAGGAGTCCTGACGTCACTGAATAAACACGAGTTTTTAAGGGCCATCCCCGCCTTAACCCGAGTACATACCCCAGGTCCCCGCCGCAAGTCAAGAAAAACCATGAGACTTTCCCCTAGTGGCGAGATGAGGCCCGATTATCCTGCAGTGCATGCAGAGCAATTCCATGATCCCCATCAAACAAGTCAGGACCTTCGACTTGCTTAATGGATCTCGAGACAGTCCCCAAGAATACTATCACATGTCTAGTTAGATCCTGAGGTCACCCCATCAACACAAAGCAGCACCATGTGCCCCACATCAACTCGAGATAATGCCCGATTCCCCTGCATTGACTCCAGAGCCATCCCCCGTTCCAGATTAAACAACACCAGTGGCTTGACTTCCTTCAGACAACTCCAGAGATGCCCTGAGAACACTGTCCCAATTCTAGAGGAACACCATCTTCAGCACAGCAACTCGAGGAATGCTCCGTGTACCCCAAATCGTCTCGAGATGAGAGCTGATTCCCTGGCTTATGCTCAAGACGTATGCCAACTTTCCAGAAGCACCTCAAGGGGATTCTTCGCTCAGCAATAGTTATGTTGGAGGGACCCCCAGTTTGCTGCCTCAAGTGGAATATGCAACGAGAAGCCCTAACTTGAAAGGAGGCCGGATTTCCTTGCAGTGTCTTGAATACAGGCTCGTCTTTCATCTCACAACCGGAAGGATTGTCTGAATCCCCTGTGGAGACCTTAGCAAAAGCCCTAGGTTCCTGCCTCATTTTGACGGATTGCCTCACATCCCGTTGACACCTCGGGAGGCACACGGAGTTCACTGCTTCAAATGTGACGATGCCTTACCCCTGCTGATCATTGATAGGAATCCCAAAATCACTGTGGCTACAGGAAAGGGTTCTTGTGTGCCCTGCCTCACCTCGACAAGCATCCCTTTTGCCCTGCCAAGGCTCGAAGAGATTCCTGAGGTGTCCCTCATTACTAGACAGGAGTCATGACGTCACTGAATAAACACGTGTTTTCAAGGGCCATGCCCGCCATAACTCGAGAACATACCCCAGGTCCCGCCGCAACTCGAGAAAAACCATGAGACTTCCCCTAGATGCGAGATGAGGCCTGATTCCCTGCAGTCCATGCAGAGCATTCCCGTGATCCGAATCAAGCAAGTCAGCAGCTTACAATTGCTTAATGGATCTCGAGATTGTCCCCAGGAACACTGTCACAAGTCTAGACAGACCCTGACATCACCCCAGCAACGCAAAGCAGCACCAAGTACCCCATATCAACTCGCGTTGAGGCCCGATTCCCATGCATTGACTCCAGAGCCATCCCCCGTACCCCATTAAACACCACCAGTGGCTTGACTTCCTTCAGGCAAATCCAGAGATGCCCCGAGAACACTGTCCCAAGTCTAGAGGAATACGAACTTCAGCACAGCAACTCGAGGAATGCTCTGTGTACCCCAAATCGTTTCGAGGTGAGAGCTGATTCCATGGCTTAGGCTCAAGACGTATGCCAACATTCCAGAAGCCCCTCAAGAGGAGGATTCTCTCAGCAATAGGTATGTTGGAGGGACCCCCACTTTGCTGCCTCAAGTGGAATATACAGCGAGAAGCCCTAACTTGAAAGGAGGCCGGATTTCCTTGCAGTGTCTTGAATACAGGCTCGTCTTTCATCTCACAACCGGAAGGGATGTCTGAATCCCCTGTGGAGAACTTAGAGAAAGCCCTAGGTCCCTGCCTCATTTTGACGGATTGCCTCACATCCCGTTGACAACTCGAGAGGCACGCGGAGTTCACTGCTTCAAAAGGTGATGATGCCTGACTCGTCTTGAATATTGATAGGAATCCCAAAATCCCTGTGGCTATTTGAAAGGTTCCTTGGGTGTCCTGCCTCACCTCGAGAAGCGTCCCTTGTGCCTGCCAAGCCTCGAAGAGATTCCTGAGCTGTCCCTCGTTACTGGACAGGAGTCCTTACGTCACTGAATAAACAGGAGTTTTTAAGGGCCATCTCCGCTGTAACCCGAGTACATACCCCAGGTCCCCGCCGCAAGTAGAGAAAAACCAGGAGACTTTCCCCTAGTGGCGAGATGAGGCCCGATTCTCATGCAGTGCATGCAGAGCAATTCTGTGATCCCCATCAAACAAGTCAGGACCTTCGACTTGCTTAATGGATCTCGAGACAGTCCCCAAGAATACTGTCACATGTCTAGACGGATCCTGAGGTCACCCCATCAACGCAAAGCAGCACCATGTGCCCCACATCAACTCGAGATAATGCCCGATTCCCCTGCATTGACTCCAGAGCCATCCCCCGTTCCACATTAAACACCACCAGTGGCTTGACTTCCTTCAGACAACTCCAGAGATGCCCTGAGAACACTGTCCCAAGTCTGGAGGAACACCATCTTCAGCACAGCAACTCGAGGAATGCTCCGTGTACCCCAAATCGTCTGGAGATGAGAGCTGATTCCCAGGCTTAGGCTCAAGACGTATGCCAACTTTCCAGAAGCACCCCAAGGGGAGGCTTCGCTCAGCAATAGTTATGTTGGAGGGACCCCCAGTTTGCTGCCTCAAGTGGAATATGCAACGAGAAGCCCTAACTTGAAAGGAGGCCGGGTTTCCTTGCAGTGTCTTGAATACAGGCTCGTCTTTCATCTCACAACCGGAAGGATTGTCTGAATCCCCTTTGGAGACCTTAGCGAAAGCCCTAGGTCCCTGCCTCATTTTGACGGATTGCCTCACATCCCGTTGACACCTCGGGAGGCACACGGAGTTCACTGCTTCAAATGTGACGATGCCTGACCCCTCCTGATCATTGATAGGAATCCCAAAATCACTGTGGCTACAGGAAAGGGTTCTTGTGTGCCCTGCCTCACCTCGAGAAGCATCCCTTTTGCCCTGCCAAGGCTCGAAGAGATTCCTGAGGTGTCCCTCATTACTAGACAGGAGTCATGACGTCACTGAATAAACACGTTTTTTCAAGGGCCATGCCCGCCATAACTCGAGAACATACCCCAGGTCCCGCCGCAACTCGAGAAAAACCATGAGACTTCCCCTAGATGCGAGATGAGGCCTGATTCCCTGCAGTCCATGCAGAGCATTCCCGTGATCCCAATCAAGCAAGTCAGCAGCTTCGAATTTCTTAATGGATCTCGAGATTGTCCCCAGGAACACTGTCACAAGTCTAGACAGACCCTGACATCACCCCAGCAACGCAAAGCAGCACCAAGTACCCCATATCAACTCGCGTTGAGGCCCGATTCCCATGCATTGACTCCAGAGCCATCCCCCGTACCCCATTAAACACCACCAGTGGCTTGACTTCCTTCAGGCAAATCCAGAGATGCCCCGAGAACACTGTCCCAAGTCTAGAGGAATACGAACTTCAGCACAGCAACTCGAGGAATGCTCCGTGTACCACAAATCGTTTCGAGGTGAGAGCTGATTCCATGGCTTAGGCTCAAGACGTATGCCAACTTTCCAGAAGCCCCTCAAGAGGAGGATTCTCTCAGCAATAGGTATGTTGGAGGGACCCCCACTTTGCTGCCTCAAGTGGAATATACAGCGAGAAGCCCTAACTTGAAAGGAGGCCGGATTTCCTTGCAGTGTCTTGAATACAGGCTCGTCTTTCATCTCACAACCGGAAGGGAGGTCTGAATCCCCTGTGTAGAACTTAGAGAAAGCCCTAGGTCCCTGCCTCATTTTGACGGATTGCCTCACATCCCGTTGACAACTCGAGAGGCACGCGGAGTTCACTGCTTCAAAAGGTGATGATGCCTGACTCGTCTTGAATATTGATAGGAATCCCAAAATCCCTGTTTCTATTTGAAAGGTTCCTATGGTGTCCTGCCTCACCTCGAGAAGCGTCCCTTGTGCCTGCCAAGCCTCGAAAAGATTCCTGAGCTGTCCCTCGTTACTGGACAGGAGTCCTGACGTCACTGAATAAACACGTGTTTTGAAGGGCCATCCCCGCCGTAACTCGAGAAGATACCCCAGGTCCCCAGCGCAACTTGAGAGAAACCATGAGACTTCCCCCAAGATGCGAGATGAGTCCTGATTCCCTGCAGTGCATGCAGGGTATTCCCGTGATCCCCATCAAACAAGTCAGGAGCTTCGACTTGCTTAATGGATCTCGAGACAGTCCCCAAGAACACTGTCACAAGTCTAGACGGACCCTGAGGTCACCCCAGCAACGTAAAGCAGCTCCATGTGCCCCAAATCAACCCGAAATGTGGCCCGATTCCCCTGCATTGACTCCAGAGCCATCCCCAGTTCCCCATTAAACAAGACCACTGGCTTGACTTCCTTCAGGCAACTCCAGAGATGCCCCGAGAACACTGTCCCAAGACTAGAGGAACACCAACTTCAGCACAGCAACTCGAGGAATGCTCCGTGTACCACAAATCGTTTCGAGGTGAGAGCTGATTCCCAGGCTTAGGCTCAAGACGTATACCAACTTTCCAGAAGCACCTCAAGAGGAGGCTTCTCTCAGCAATCGGTATGTGGGAGGCAACCCGAGTTTGCTGCCTCAAGTGGAATATACAGTGAGAAGCCCTAACTTGAAAGGAGGCGGATTTCCTGGCAGTGTGTTGAATACAGGCTCGTCTTTCATCTCACAACAGGAAGGGATGTCTGAATCCCCTGTGGAGACCTTAGAGAAAGCCCTAGGACCCTGCCTCATTTTGACGGAATGTCTCACATCCCGTTGACACCTTGAGAGGCACACGGAGTTCACTGCTTCAAAATGTGACGATGCCTGACTCCTCCTGAACATTGATAGGAATCCCAAAATCACTGTAGCTACAGGACAGGGTTCTTGGGTGCCCTGCCTCACCTCGAGAAGCATCCCTTTTGACCTGCCAAGCCTCGAAGAGATTCCTGAGGTGTCTCTCGTTACTAGACAGGAGTCCTGACGTCACTGAATAAACTCGTGTTTTGAAGGGCCATCCCCGCCGTAACTCGAGAACATACCCCAGTTCGCGCCGCAACTCGAGTAAAACCATGAGACTTCCCCTAGAGGCGAGATGAGGCCTGATTCCCTGCAGTCCATGAAGAGCATTCCCGTGATCCCTATCAAGCAAGTCAGGAGCTTCGACTTGCTTAATTGAACTCGAGAAAGTCCCCAGGAACACTGTCACAAGTCTAGACAGACCCTGAGGTCACCCCAGCAATGCAAAGCAGCTGCAAGTACCCCACATCAACTCGAGATGAGGCCCGATTCCTATGCATTGACTCCAGAGCCATCCCCAGTTCCCCATTAAACAAGACCACTGGCTTGTCTTCCTTCAGACAACTCCAGAGATGCCCCGAGAACACTGTCCCAAGACTAGAGGAACACCAACTTCAGCACAGCAACTCAAGGAATGCCCCGTGTACCACAAATCGTCTCGAGATGAGAGCTGATTCCCTGGCTTAGGCTCAAGACGTATGCCAACTTTCCAGAAGCACCTCAAGAGGAGGCTTCTCTCAGCAATAGGTATGTTCGTGGGACCCCGAGTTTGCTGCCTAAAGTGGAATATACAGCGAGAAGCCCTAACTTGAATGGAGGCCGGATTTCCTTGCAGTGTCTTGTATAAAGGCTCGTCTTTCATCTCACAACAGGAAGGGATGTCTGAATCCCCTGTGAAGACCTTTAAGAAAGCCCTAGGTCCCTGCCTCATTGTGACTGAATGCCTCACATCCCGTTGACACCACGAGAGGCACGCGGAGTTCACTGCGTCAAAAGGTGACGATGCCTGACTCCTCTTGAATATTGATAGGAATCCCAAAATCCCTGTGGCTATTGGAAAGGTTCCTTGGGTGCCCTGCCTCATCTCGAGAAGCGTCCCTTGTGCCCCGGCAAGCCTCGAAGAGATTCCTGAGCTGTCCCTCATTACTGGACAGGAGTCCTGACGTCACTGAATAAACACGTGTTTTGAAGGGCCATCGCCGCCGTAACTCGAGTATATACCCCAGGTCCCCGCCGCAAGTCGAGAAAAACCATGAGACTTCCGCCTAGAGGCGAGATGAGGCCCGATTCTCCTGCAGTGCATGCAGAGCAATTCCGTGATCCCCATCAAACAAGTCAGGAGCTTCGATTTGCTTAATGGATCTCGAGATATTCCCCAAGAACACTGTCACATGTCTAGACGGACCCTGAGGTATCCCCAGCAACGCAAAGCAGCTCCATGTGCCCCAAATCAACTTGAGATGAGGTCCGATTCCCCTGAATTGACTCCAGAGCCATCTGCCGTTCCGCATTAAACACCACCAGTGGCTTGACCTCCTTCAGACAACTCCAGAGATGCCCCGAGAACACTGTCCCAAGTCTAGAGGAACACCTACTTTAGCACAGCAACTCGAGGAATGCTTCCTGTATGCCAAATCTTCTCGAGTTGAGAGCTGATTCCCTGGCTTATGCTCAAGACGTATGCCAACTTTCCAGAAGCACCTCAAGAGGAGGCTTCTCTCAGCAATAGGTATGTGGGAGGGAACCCGAGTTTGCTGCCTCAAATGGAATATACAGCTAGAAGCACTAACTAGAATGGAGGCCGGTTTCCTAGCAGTGTCTTGAATACAGGCTCGTCTTTCATCTCACAGCAGGAAGAGATGTCTGAATCCCCTGTGGAGACCTTAGAGAAAGCCCTAGGTCCCTGCCTCATTTTGACGGAATGCCTCACATCCCGTTGACACCTCGAGAGTCACGCGGAGTTCACTGCTTCAAAAGCTGACGATGCCTGACTCCTCCTGAACATTGATAGGAATCCCAAAATCACTGTAGCTACAGGACAGGGTTCTTGGGTGCCCTGCCTCACCTCGAGAAGCATCCCTTTTGCCCTGCCAAGCCTCGAAGAGATTCCTGAGCTGCCCCTCGTTACTGGACAGGAGTCCTGACGTCACTGAATAAACACGAGTTTTTAAGGGCCATCCCCGCCGTAACCCGAGTACATACCCCAGGTCCCCGCTGCAAGTCAAGAAAAACCATGAGACTTTCCCCTAGTGGCGAGATGAGGCCCGATTCTCCTGCAGTGCATGCAGAGCAATTCCATGATCCCCATCAAACAAGTCAGGACCTTCGACTTGCTTAATGGATCTCGAGACAGTCCCCAAGAATACTATCACATGTCTAGTTGGATCCTGAGGTCACCCCATCAACGCAAAGCAGCACCATGTGACCCACATCAACTCGAGATAATGCCCGATTCCCCTGCATTGACTCCAGAGCCATCCCCCGTTCCAGATTAAACAACACCAGTGGCTTGACTTCCTTCAGACAACTCCAGAGATGCCCTGAGAACACTGTCCCAAGTCTAGAGGAACACCATCTTCAGCACAGCAACTCGAGGAATGCTCCGTGTACCCCAAATCGTCTCGAGATGAGAGCTGATTCCCTGGCTTATGCTCAAGACGTATGCCAACTTTCCAGAAGCACCTCAACGGGAGGCTTCGCTCAGCGATAGTTATGTTGGAGGGACCCCCAGTTTGCTGCCTCAAGTGGAATATGCAACGAGAAGCCCTAACTTGAAAGGAGGCCGGGTTTCCTTGCAGTGTCTTGAATACAGGCTCGTCTTTCATCTCACAACCGGAAGGATTGTCTGAATCCCCTGTGGAGACCTTAGCGAAAGCCCTAGGTCCCTGCCTCATTTTGACGGATTGCCTCACATCCCGTTGACACCTCGGGAGGCACACGGAGTTCACTGCTTCAAATGTGACGATGCCTGACCCCTCCTGATCATTGATAGGATTCCCAAAATCACTGTGGCTACAGGAAAGGGTTCTTATGTGCCCTGCCTCACCTCGAGAAGCATCCCTTTTTCCCTGCCAAGGCTCGAAGAGATTCCTGAGGTGTCCCTCATTACTAGACAGGAGTCATGACGTCACTGAATAAACACGTGTTTTCAAGGGCCATGCCCGCCATAACTCGAGAACATACCCCAGGTCCCGCCGCAACTCGAGAAAAACCATGAGACTTCCCCTAGATGCGAGATGAGGCCTGATTCCCTGCAGTCCATGCAGAGCATTCCCGTGATCCCAATCAAGCAAGTCAGCAGCTTCGAATTGCTTAATGGATCTCGAGAGAGTCCCCAGGAACACTGTCACAAGTCTAGACAGACCCTGACATCACCCAAGCAAAGCAAAGCAGGTCCAAGTACCCCACATCACCTCGAGTTGAGGCCCGATTCCCATGCATTGACTCCAGAGCCATCCCCCGTACCCCATTAAACACCACCAGTGGCTTGACTTCCTTCAGGCAACTCCAGAGATGCCCCGAGAACACTGTCCCAAGTCTAGAGGAATACGAACTCAGCACAGCAACTCGAGGAATGCTCCGTGTACCCCAAATCGTTTCGAGGTGAGAGCTGATTCCATGGCTTAGGCTCAAGACGTATGCCAACTTTCCAGAAGCCCCTCAAGAGGAGGCTTCTCACAGCAATAGGTATGTGGGAGGGACCCCGAATTTGCTGCCTCAAGTGGAATATACAGCGAGAAGCCCTAACTTGAAAGGAGGCCGGATTTCCTTGCAGTGGCTTGAATACAGGCTCGTCTTTCATCTCACAGCATGAAGGGATGTCTGAATCCCCTGTGGAGACCTTAAAGAAAGCTCTAGGTCCCTGCCTCATTTTGACGGAATACCTCACATCCCGTTGACACCTCGAGAGGCACACGGAGTTCACTGCTTCAAATGTGACGATGCCTGACTCCTCCTGAACATTGATAGGAATCCCAAAATCACTGTGGCTACAGGAAAGGGTCCTTGTGTGCCCTGCCTCACCTCGAGAAGCATCCCTTTTGCCCTGCCAAGGCTCGAAAAGATTCCTGAGGTGTCCCTCATTACTAGACAGGAGTCATGACGTCACTGAATAAACACGTGTTTTCAAGGGCCAAGCCCGCCATAACTCGAGAACATACCCCACGTACCGCCGCGACTCGAGAAAAACCAGGAGACTTCCCCTAGATGCGATATTAGGCCTGATTCCCTGCAGTCCATGCAGAGCATTCCCGTGATCCGAATCAAGCAAGTCAGCAGCTTCGAATTGCTTAATGGATCTCGAGAGAGTCCCCAGGAACACTGTCACAAGTCTAGACAGACCCTGACATCACCCCAGCAAAGCAAAGCAGGTCCAAGTACCCCACATCACCTCGAGTTGAGGCCCGATTCCCATGCATTGACTCCAGAGCCATCCCCCGTACCCCATTAAACACCACCAGTGGCTTGACTTCCTTCAGGCAACTCCAGAGATGCCCCGAGAACACTGTCCCAAGTCTAGAGGAATACGAACTTCAGCACAGCAACTCGAGGAATGCTCGGTGTACCCCAAATCGTTTCGAGGTGAGAGCTGATTCCATGGCTTAGGCTCAAGACGTATGCCAACTTTCCAGAAGCACCTCAAGCGGAGGATTCTCTCAGCAATAGATATGTTGGAGGGACCCCCACTTTGCTGCCTCAAGTGGAATATACAGCAAGAAGCACTAACTTGAAAGGAGGCCGGATTTCCTTGCAGTGTCTTGAATACAGGCTCGTCTTTCATCTCACAACCGGAAGGGATGTCTGAATCCCCTGTGTAGAACTTAGAGAAAGCCCTAGGTCCCTGCCTCATTTTGACGGATTGCCTCACATCCCGTTGACACCTCGAAAGGCACGCGGAGTTCACTGCTTCAAAAGGTGATGATGCCTGACTCGTCTTGAATATTGATAGGAATCCCAAAATCCCTGTGGCTATTTGAAAGGTTCCTTGGGTGTCCTGCCTCACCTCGAGAAGCATCCCTTGTGCCTGCCAAGCCTCGAAGAGATTCCTGAGCTGTCCCTCGTTACTGGACAGGAGTCCTGACGTCACTGAATAAACAGGAGTTTTTAAGGGCCATCCCCGCTGTAAACCGAGTACATACCCCAGGTCCCCGCCGCAAGTCGAGAAAAACCATGAGACTTTCCCCTAGTGGCGAGATGAGGCCCGATTCTCCTGCAGTGCATGCAGAGCAATTCCGTGATCCCCATCAAACAAGTCAGGACCTTCAACTTGCTTAATGGATCTCGAGACAGTCCCCAAGAATACGGTCACATGTCTAGACGGATCCTGAGGTCACCCCATCAACGCAAAGCAGCACCATGTGCCCCACATCAACTCGAGATAATGCCCGATTCCCCTGCATTGACTCCAGAGCCATCCCCCGTTCCACATTAAACACCACCAGTGGCTTGACTTCCTTCAGACAACTCCAGAGATGCCCTGAGAACACTGTCCCAAGTCTAGAGGAACACCATCTTCAGCACAGCAACTCGAGGAATGCTCCGTGTACCCCAAATCGTCTCGAGATGAGAGCTGATTCCCTGGCTTAGGCTCAAGACGTATGCCAACTTTCCAGAAGCACCTCAAGGGGAGGCTTCTCTCAGCAATAGGTATGTTGGAGGGACCCCCAGTTTGCTGCCTCAAGTGGAATATGCAGCGAGAAGCCCTAACTTGAAAGGAGGCCGGGTTTCCTTGTAGTGTCTTGAATACAGGCTCGTCTTTCATCTCACAACGGGAAGGAATGTCTGAATCCCCTGTGGAGACCTTAGCGAAAGCCCTAGGTTCCTGCCTCATTTTGACGGATTGCCTCACATCCCGTTGACACCTCGAGAGGCACCCGGAGTTCACTGCTTCAAATGTGATGATGCCTGACTCCTCCTGAACATTGATAGGAATCCCAAAATCACTGTGGCTACTGGAAAGGGTTCTTGTGTGCCCTGCCTCACCTCGAGAAGCATCCCTTTTGCCCTGCCAAGGCTCGAAAAGATTCCTGAGGTGTCCCTCATTACTAGACAGGAGTCATGACGTCACTGAATAAACACGTGTTTTCAAGGGCCAAGCCCGCCATAACTCGAGAACATACCCCACGTACCGCCGCGACTCGAGAAAAACCATGAGACTTCCCCTAGATGCGATATGAGGCATGATTCCCTGCAGTCCATGCAGAGCATTCCCGTGATCCGAATCAAGCAAGTCAGCAGCTTCGAATTGCTTAATGGATCTCGAGAGAGTCCCCAGGAACACTGTCACAAGTCTAGACAGACCCTGACATCACCCCAGCAAAGCAAAGCAGGTCCAAGTACCCCACATCACCTCGAGTTGAGGCCCGATTCCCATGCATTGACTCCAGAGCCATCCCCCGTACCCCATTAAACACCACCAGTGGCTTGACTTCCTTCAGGCAACTACAGAGATGCCCCGAGAACACTGTCCCAAGTCTAGAGGAATACGAACTTCAGCACAGCAACTCGAGGAATGCTCGGTGTACCCCAAATCGTTTCGAGGTGAGAGCTGATTCCATGGCTTAGGCTCAAGACGTATGCCAACTTTCCAGAAGCACCTCAAGCGGAGGATTCTCTCAGCAATAGGTATGTTGGAGGGACCCCCACTTTGCTGCCTCAAATGGAATATACAGCGAGAAGCCCTAACTTGAAAGGAGGCCGGATTTCCTTGCAGTGTCTTGAATACAGGCTCGTCTTTCATCTCACAACCGGAAGGGATGTCTGAATCTCCTGTGGAGAACTTAGAGAAAGCCCTAGGTCCCTGCCTCATTTTGACGGATTGCCTCACATCCCGTTGACACCTCGAGAGGCACGCGGAGTTCACTGCTTCAAAAGGTGATGATGCCTGACTCGTCTTGAATATTGATAGGAATCCCAAAATCCCTGTGGCTATTTGAAAGGTTCCTTGGGTGTCCTGCCTCACCTCGAGAAGCATCCCTTGTGCCTGCCAAGCCTCGAAGAGATTCCTGAGCTGTCCCTCGTTACTGGACAGGAGTCCTGACGTCACTGAATAAACAGGAGGTTTTAAGGGCCATCCCCGCTGTAAACCGAGTACATACCCCAGGTCCCCGCCGCAAGTCGAGAAAAACCATGAGACTTTCCCCTAGTGGCGAGATGAGGCCCGATTCTCCTGCAGTGCATGCAGAGCAATTCCGTGATCCCCATCAAACAAGTCAGGACCTTCAACTTGCTTAATGGATCTCGAGACAGTCCCCAAGAATACGGTCACATGTCTAGACGGATCCTGAGGTCACCCCATCAACGCAAAGCAGCACCATGTGCCCCACATCAACTCGAGATAATGCCCGATTCCCCTGCATTGACTCCAGAGCCATCCCCCGTTCCACATTAAACACCACCAGTGGCTTGACTTCCTTCAGACAACTCCAGAGATGCCCTGAGAACACTGTCCCAAGTCTAGAGGAACACCATCTTCAGCACAGCAACTCGAGGAATGCTCCGTGTACCCCAAATCGTCTCGAGATGAGAGCTGATTCCCTGGCTTAGGCTCAAGACGTATGCCAACTTTCCAGAAGCACCTCAAGGGGAGGCTTCTCTCAGCAATAGGTATGTTGGAGGGACCCCCAGTTTGCTGCCTCAAGTGGAATATGCAGCGAGAAGCCCTAACTTGAAAGGAGGCCGGGTTTCCTTGCAGTGTCTTGAATACAGGCTCGTCTTTCATCTCACAACGGGAAGGAATGTCTGAATCCCCTGTGGAGACCTTAGCGAAAGCCCTAGGTCCCTGCCTCATTTTGACGGATTGCCTCACATCCCGTTGACACCTCGAGAGGCACCCGGAGTTCACTGCTTCAAATGTGATGATGCCTGACTCCTCCTGAACATTGATAGGAATCCCAAAATCACTGTGGCTACTGGAAAGGGTTCTTGTGTGCCCTGCCTCACCTCGAGAAGCATCCCTTTTGCCCTGCCAAGGCTCGAAAAGATTCCTGAGGTGTCCCTCATTACTAGACAGGAGTCATGACGTCACTGAATAAACACGTGTTTTCAAGGGCCAAGCCCGCCATAACTCGAGAACATACCCCACGTACCGCCGCGACTCGAGAAAAACCATGAGACTTCCCCTAGATGCGATATGAGGCATGATTCCCTGCAGTCCATGCAGAGCATTCCCGTGATCCGAATCAAGCAAGTCAGCAGCTTCGAATTGCTTAATGGATCTCGAGAGAGTCCCCAGGAACACTGTCACAAGTCTAGACAGACCCTGACATCACCCCAGCAAAGCAAAGCAGGTCCAAGTACCCCACATCACCTCGAGTTGAGGCCCGATTCCCATGCATTGACTCCAGAGCCATCCCCCGTACCCCATTAAACACCACCAGTGGCTTGACTTCCTTCAGGCAACTACAGAGATGCCCCGAGAACACTGTCCCAAGTCTAGAGGAATACGAACTTCAGCACAGCAACTCGAGGAATGCTCGGTGTACCCCAAATCGTTTCGAGGTGAGAGCTGATTCCATGGCTTAGGCTCAAGACGTATGCCAACTTTCCAGAAGCACCTCAAGCGGAGGATTCTCTCAGCAATAGGTATGTTGGAGGGACCCCCACTTTGCTGCCTCAAGTGGAATATACAGCGAGAAGCCCTAACTTGAAAGGAGGCCGGATTTCCTCGCAGTGTCTTGAATACAGGCTCGTCTTTCATCTCACAACCGGAAGGGATGTCTGAATCCCCTGTGTAGAACTTAGAGAAAGCCCTAGGTCCCTGCCTCATTTTGACGGATTGCCTCACATCCCGTTGACACCTCGAGAGGCACGCGGAGTTCACTGCTTCAAAAGGTGATGATGCCTGACTCGTCTTGAATATTGATAGGAATCCCAAAATCCCTGTGGCTATTTGAAAGGTTCCTTGGGTGTCCTGCCTCACCTCGAGAAGCGTCCCTTGTGCCTGCCAAGCCTCGAAGAGATTCCTGAGCTGTCCCTCGTTACTGGACAGGAGTCCTGACGTCACTGAATAAACAGGAGTTTTTAAGGGCCATCCCCGCTGTAACCCGAGTACATACCCCAGGTCCCCGCCGCAAGTCGAGAAAAACCATGAGACTTTCCCCTAGTGGCGAGATGAGGCCCGATTCTCATGCAGTGCATGCAGAGCAATTCTGAGATCCCCATCAAACAAGTCAGGACCTTCGACTTGCTTAATGGATCTCGAGACAGTCCCCAAGAATACTGTCACATGTCTAGACGGATCCTGAGGTCACCCCATCAACGCAAAGCAGCACCATGTGCCCCACATCGACTCGAGATCATGCCCGATTCCCCTGCATTGACTCCAGAGCCATCCCCCGTTCCACATTAAACACCACCAGTGGCTTGACTTCCTTCAGACAACTCCAGAGATGCCCTAGGAACACTGTCCCAAGTCTAGAGGAACACCATCTTCAGCACAGCAACTCGAGGAATGCTCCGTGTACCCCAAATCGTCTCGAGATGAGAGCTGATTCCCTGGCTTAGGCTCAAGACGTATGCCAACTTTCCAGAAGCACCTCAAGGGGAGGCTTCGCTCAGCAATGGGTATGTTGGAGGGACCCCCAGTTTGCTGCCTCAAGTGGAATATGCAGCGAGAAGCCCTAACTTGAAAGGAGGCCGGGTTTCCTTGCAGTGTCTTGAATACAGGCTCGTCTTTCATCTCACAACGGGAAGGAATGTCTGAATCCCCTGTGGAGACCTTAGCGAAAGCCCTAGGTCCCTGCCTCATTTTGACGGATTGCCTCACATCCCGTTGACACCTCGAGAGGCACCCGGAGTTCACTGCTTCAAATGTGACGATGCCTGACTCCTCCTGAACATTGATAGGAATCCCAAAATCACTGTGGCTACAGGAAAGGGTTCTTGTGTGCCCTGCATCACCTCGAGAAGCATCCCTTTTGCCCTGCCAAGGCTCGAAAAGGTTCCTGAGGTGTCCCTCATTACTAGACAGGAGTCATGACGTCACTGAATAAACACGTGTTTTCAAGGGCCAAGCCCGCCATAACTCGAGAACATACCCCACGTACCGCCGCGACTCGAGAAAAACCATGAGACTTCCCCTAGATGCGATATGAGGCCTGATTCCCTGCAGTCCATGCAGAGCATTCCCGTGATCCCAATCAAGCAAGTCAGCAGCTTCGAATTGCTTAATGGATCTCGAGAGAGTCCCCAGGAACACTGTCACAAGTCTAGACAGACCCTGACATCACCCCAGCAAAGCAAAGCAGGTCCAGGTACCCCACATCACCTCGAGTTGAGGCCCGATTCCCATGCATTGACTCCAGAGCCATCCCCCGTAACCCATTAAACACCACCAGTGGCTTGACTTCCTTCAGGCAACTCCAGAGATGCCCCGAGAACACTGTCCCAAGTCTAGAGGAATACGAACTTCAGCACAGCAACTCGAGGAATGCTCCGTGTACCCCAAATCGTTTCGAGGTGAGAGCTGATTCCATGGCTTAGGCTCAAGACGTATGCCAACTTTCCAGAAGCCCCTGAAGAGGAGGCTTCTCTCAGCAATAAGTATGTGGGAGGGACCCCGAATTTGCTGCCTCAAGTGGAATATACAGCGAGAAGCCCTAACTTGAAAGGAGGCCGGATTTCCTTGCAGTGGCTTGAATACAGGCTCGTCTTTCATCTCACAGCATGAAGGGATGTCTGAATCCCCTGTGGAGACCTTAGAGAAAGCTCTAGGTCCCTGCCTCATTTTGACGGAATGCCTCACATCCCGTTGACACTTCGAGAGGCACGCGGAATTCACTGCTTCAAAAGGTGATGATGCCTGACTCGTCTTGAATATTGATAGGAATCCCAAAATCCCTGTGGCTATTTGAAAGGTTCCTTGGGTGTCCTGCCTCACCTCGAGAAGCGTCCCTTGTGCCTGCCAAGCCTCGAAGAGATTCCTGAGCTGTCCCTCGTTACTGGACAGGAGTCCTGACGTCACTGAATAAACAGGAGTTTTTAAGGGCCATCCCCGCTGTAACCCGAGTACATACCCCAGGTCCCCGCCGCAAGTCGAGAAAAACCATGAGACTTTCCCCTAGTGGCGAGATGAGGCCCGATTCACCTGCAGTGCATGCAGAGCAATTCCGTGATCCCCATCAAACAAGTCAGGACCTTCGACTTGCTTAATGGATCTCGAGACAGTCCCCAAGAATACTGTCAAATGTCTAGACGGATCCTGAGGTCACCCCATCAACGCAAAGCAGCACCATGTGCCCCACATCAACTCGAGATAATGCCCGATTCCCCTGCATTGACTCCAGAGCCATCCCCCGTTCCACATTAAACACCACCAGTGGCTTGACTTCCTTCAGACAACTCCAGAGATGCCCTGAGAACACTGTCCCAAGTCTAGAGGAACACCATCTTCAGCACAGCAACTCGAGGAATGCTCCGTGTACCCCAAATCGTCTCGAGATGAGAGCTGATTCCCTCCCTTAGGCTCAAGACGTATGCCAACTTTCCAGAAGCACCTCAAGGGGAGGCTTCTCTCAGCAATAGGTATGTTGGAGGGACCCCAAGTTTGCTGCCTCAAGTGGAATATGCAGCGAGAAGCCCTAACTTGAAAGGAGGCCGGGTTTCCTTGCAGTGTCTTGAATACAGGCTCGTCTTTCATCTCACAACGGGAAGGAATGTCTGAATCCCCTGTGGAGACCTTAGCGAAAGCCCTAGGTCCCTGCCTCATTTTGACGGATTGCCTCACATCCCGTTGACACCTCGAGAGGCACCCGGAGTTCACTGCTTCAAATGTGACGATGCCTGACTCCTCCTGAACATTGATAGGAATCCCAAAATCACTGTGGCTACAGGAAAGGGTTCTTGTGTGCCCTGCCTCACCTCGAGAAGCATCCCTTTTGCCCTGCCAAGGCTCGAAAAGATTCCTGAGTTGTCCCTCATTACTAGACAGGAGTCATGACGTCACTGAATAAACACGTGTTTTCAAGGGCCAAGCCCGCCATAACTCGAGAACATACCCCACGTACCGCCGCGACTCGAGAAAAACCAGGAGACTTCCCCTAGATGCGATATGAGGCCTGATTCCCTGCAGTCCATGCAGAGCATTCCCGTGATCCCAATCAAGCAAGTCAGCAGCTTCGAATTGCTTAATGGATCTCGAGAGAGTCCCCAGGAACACTGTCACAAGTCTAGACAGACCCTGACATCACCCCAGCAAAGCAAAGCAGGTCCAAGTACCCCACATCACCTCGAGTTGAGGCCCGATTCCCATGCATTGACTCCAGAGCCATCCCCCGTACCCCATTAAACACCACCAGTGGCTTGACTTCCTTCAGGCAACTCCAGAGATGCCCCGAGAACACTGTCCCAAGTCTAGAGGAATACGAACTTCAGCACAGCAACTCGAGGAATGCTCCGTGTACCCCAAATCGTTTCGAGGTGAGAGCTGATTCCATGGCTTAGGCTCAAGACGTATGCCAACTTTCCAGAAGCCCCTCAAGAGGAGGCTTCTGACAGCAATAGGTATGTGGGAGGGACCCCGAATTTGCTGCCTCAAGTGGAATATACAGCGAGAAGCCCTAACTTTAAAGGAGGCCGGATTTCCTTGCAGTGGCTTGAATACAGGCTCGTCTTTCATCTCACAGCATGAAGGGATGTCTGAATCCCCTGTGGAGACCTTAAAGAAAGCTCTAGGTCCCTGCCTCATTTTGACGGAATACCTCACATCCCGTTGACACCTCGAGAGGCACACGGAGTTCACTGCTTCAAATGTGACGATGCCTGACTCCTCCTGAACATTGATAGGAATCCCAAAATCACTGTGGCTACAGGAAAGGGTTCTTGTGTGCCCTGCCTCACCTCGAGAAGCATCCCTTTTGCCCTGCCAAGGCTCGAAAAGATTCCTGAGGTGTCCCTCATTACTAGACAGGAGTCATGACGTCACTGAATAAACACGTGTTTTCAAGGGCCAAGCCCGCCATAACTCGAGAACATACCCCACGTACCGCCGCGACTCGAGAAAAACCAGGAGACTTCCCCTAGATGCGATATGAGGCCTGATTCCCTGCAGTCCATGCAGAGCATTCCCATGATCCCAATCAAGCAAGTCAGCAGCTTCGAATTGCTTAATGGATCTCGAGAGAGTCCCCAGGAACACTGTCACAAGTCTAGACAGACCCTGACATCACCCCAGCAAAGCAAAGCAGGTCCAAGTACCCCACATTACCTCGAGTTGAGGCCCGATTCCCATGCATTGACTCCAGAGCCATCCCCCGTACCCCATTAAACACCACCAGTGGCTTGACTTCCTTCAGGCAACTCCAGAGATGCCCCGAGAACACTGTCCCAAGTCTAGAGGAATACGAACTTCAGCACAGCAACTCGAGGAATGCTCGGTGTACCCCAAATCGTTTCGAGGTGAGAGCTGATTCCATGGCTTAGGCTCAAGACGTATGCCAACTTTCCAGAAGCACCTCAAGCGGAGGATTCTCTCAGCAATAGATATGTTGGAGGGACCCCCACTTTGCTGCCTCAAGTGGAATATACAGCAAGAAGCCCTAACTCGAAAGGAGGCTGGATTTCCTTGCAGTGTCTTGAATACAGGCTCGTCTTTCATCTCACAACCGGAAGGGATGTCTGAATCCCCTGTGTAGAACTTAGAGAAAGCCCTAGGTCCCTGCCTCATTTTGACGGATTGCCTCACATCCCGTTGACACCTCGAAAGGCACGCGGAGTTCACTGCTTCAAAAGGTGATGATGCCTGACTCGTCTTGAATATTGATAGGAATCCCAAAATCCCTGTGGCTATTTGAAAGGTTCCTTGGGTGTCCTGCCTCACCTCGAGAAGCGTCCCTTGTGCCTGCCAAGCCTCGAAGAAATTCCTGAGCTGTCCCTCGTTACTGGATAGGAGTCCTGATGTCACTGAATAAACAGGAGTTTTTAAGGGCCATCCCCGCTGTAAACCGAGTACATACCCCAGGTCCCCGCCGCAAGTCGAGAAAAACCATGAGACTTTCCCCTAGTGGCGAGATGAGGCCCGATTCTCCTGCAGTGCATGCAGAGCAATTCCGTGATCCCCATCAAACAAGTCAGGACCTTCGACTTGCTTAATGGATCTCGAGACAGTCCCCAAGAATACGGTCACATGTCTAGACGGATCCTGAGGTCACCCCATCAACGCAAAGCAGCACCATGTGCCCCACATCAACTCGAGATAATGCCCGATTCCCCTGCATTGACTCCAGAGCCATCCCCCGTTCCACATTAAACACCACCAGTGGCTTGACTTCCTTCAGACAACTCCAGAGATGCCCTGAGAACACTGTCCCAAGTCTAGAGGAACACCATCTTCAGCACAGCAACTCGAGGAATGCTCCGTGTACCCCAAATCGTCTCGAGATGAGAGCTGATTCCCTGGCTTAGGCTCAAGACGTATGCCAACTTTCCAGAAGCACCTCAAGGGGAGGCTTCTCTCAGCAATAGGTATGTTGGAGGGACCCCCAGTTTGCTGCCTCAAGTGGAATATGCAGCGAGAAGCCCTAACTTGAAAGGAGTCCGGGTTTCCTTGCAGTGTCTTGAATACAGGCTCGTCTTTCATCTCACAACGGGAAGGAATGTCTGAATCCCCTGTGGAGACCTTAGCGAAAGCCCTAGGTCCCTGCCTCATTTTGACGGATTGCCTCACATCCCGTTGACACCTCGAGAGGCACCCGGAGTTCACTGCTTCAAATGTGATGATGCCTGACTCCTCCTGAACATTGATAGGAATCCCACAATCACTGTGGCTACTGGAAAGGGTTCTTGTGTGCCCTGCCTCACCTCGAGAAGCATCCCTTTTGCCCTGCCAAGGCTCGAAAAGATTCCTGAGGTGTCCCTCATTACTAGACAGGAGTCATGACGTCACTGAATAAACACGTGTTTTCAAGGGCCAAGCCCGCCATAACTCGAGAACATACCCCACGTACCGCCGCGACTCGAGAAAAACCATGAGACTTCCCCTAGATGCGATATGAGGCATGATTCCCTGCAGTCCATGCAGAGCATTCCCGTGATCCCAATCAAGCAAGTCAGCAGCTTCGAATTGCTTAATGGATCTCGAGAGAGTCCCCAGGAACACTGTCACAAGTCTAGACAGACCCTGACATCACCCCAGCAAAGCAAAGCAGGTCCAAGTACCCCACATCACCTCGAGTTGAGGCCCGATTCCCATGCATTGACTCCAGAGCCATCCCCCGTACCCCATTAAACACCACCAGTGGCTTGACTTCCTTCAGGCAACTACAGAGATTCTCCGAGAACACTGTCCCAAGTCTAGAGGAATACGAACTTCAGCACAGCAACTCGAGGAATGCTCGGTGTACCCCAAATCGTTTCGAGGTGAGAGCTGATTCCATGGCTTAGGCTCAAGACGTATGCCAACTTTCCAGAAGCACCTCAAGCAGAGGATTCTCTCAGCAATAGATATGTTGGAGGGACCCCCACTTTGCTGCCTCAAGTGGAATATACAGCGAGAAGCCCTAACTTGAAAGGAGGCCGGATTTCCTTGCAGTGTCTTGAATACAGGCTCGTCTTTCATCTCACAACCGGAAGGGATGTCTGAATCCCCTGTGTAGAACTTACAGAAAGCCCTAGGTCCCTGCCTCATTTTGACGGATTGCCTCACATCCCGTTGACACCTCGAGAGGCACGCGGAGTTCACTGCTTCAAAAGGTGATGATGCCTGACTCGTCTTGAATATTGATAGGAATCCCAAAATCCCTGTGGCTATTTGAATGGTTCCTTGGGTGTCCTGCCTCACCTCGAGAAGCGTCCCTTGTGCCTGCCAAGCCTGGAAGAGATTCCTGAGCTGTCCCTCGTTACTGGACAGGAGTCCTGACGTCACTGAATAAACAGGAGTTTTTAAGGGCCATCCCCGCTGTAACCCGAGTACATACCCCAGGTCCCCGCCGCAAGTCGAGAAAAACCATGAGACTTTCCCCTAGTGGCGAGATGAGGCCCGATTCTCATGCAGTGCATGCAGAGCAATTCTGAGATCCCCATCAAACAAGTCAGGACCTTCGACTTGCTTAATGGATCTCGAGACAGTCCCCAAGAATACTGTCACATGTCTAGACGGATCCTGAGGTCACCCCATCAACGCAAAGCAGCACCATGTGCCCCACATCGACTCGAGATCATGCCCGATTCCCCTGCATTGACTCCAGAGCCATCCCCCGTTCCACATTAAACACCACCAGTGGCTTGACTTCCTTCAGACAACTCCAGAGATGCCCTAGGAACACTGTCCCAAGTCTAGAGGAACACCATCTTCAGCACAGCAACTCGAGGAATGCTCCGTGTACCCCAAATCGTCTCGAGATGAGAGCTGATTCCCTGGCTTAGGCTCAAGACGTATGCCAACTTTCCAGAAGCACCTCAAGGGGAGGCTTCTCTCAGCAATAGGTATGTTGGAGGGACCCCCAGTTTGCTGCCTCAAGTGGAATATGCAGCGAGAAGCCCTAACTTGAAAGGAGGCCGGGTTTCCTTGCAGTGTCTTGAATACAGGCTCGTCTTTCATCTCACAACGGGAAGGAATGTCTGAATCCCCTGTGGAGACCTTAGCGAAAGCCCTAGGTCCCTGCCTCATTTTGACGGATTGCCTCACATCCCGTTGACACCTCGAGAGGCACCCGGAGTTCACTGCTTCAAATGTGACGATGCCTGACTCCTCCTGAACATTGATAGGAATCCCAAAATCACTGTGGCTACAGGAAAGGGTTCTTGTGTGCCCTGCATCACCTCGAGAAGCATCCCTTTTGCCCTGCCAAGGCTCGAAAAGGTTCCTGAGGTGTCCCTCATTACTAGACAGGAGTCATGACGTCACTGAATAAACACGTGTTTTCAAGGGCCAAGCCCGCCATAACTCGAGAACATACCCCACGTACCGCCGCGACTCGAGAAAAACCAGGAGACTTCCCCTAGATGCGATATGAGGCCTGATTCCCTGCAGTCCATGCAGAGCATTCCCGTGATCCCAATCAAGCAAGTCAGCAGCTTCGAATTGCTTAATGGATCTCGAGAGAGTCCCCAGGAACACTGTCACAAGTCTAGACAGACCCTGACATCACCCCAGCAAAGCAAAGCAGGTCCAAGTACCCCACATCACCTCGAGTTGAGGCCCGATTCCCATGCATTGACTCCAGAGCCATCCCCCGTACCCCATTAAACACCACCAGTGGCTTGGCTTCCTTCAGGCAACTCCAGAGATGCCCCGAGAACACTGTCCCAAGTCTAGAGGAATACGAACTTCAGCACAGCAACTCGAGGAATGCTCGGTGTACCCCAAATCGTTTCGAGGTGAGAGCTGATTCCATGGATTAGGCTCAAGACGTATGCCAACTTTCCAGAAGCACCTCAAGCGGAGGATTCTCTCAGCAATAGATATGTTGGAGGGACCCCCACTTTGCTGCCTCAAGTGGAATATACAGCAAGAAGCACTAACTTGAAAGGAGGCCGGATTTCCTTGCAGTGTCTTGAATACAGGCTCGTCTTTCATCTCACAACCGGAAGGGATGTCTGAATCCCCTGTGTAGAACTTAGAGAAAGCCCTAGGTCCCTGCCTCATTTTGACGGATTGCCTCACATCCCGTTGACACCTCGAGAGGCACGCGGAGTTCACTGCTTCAAAAGGTGATGATGCCTGACTCGTCTTGAATATTGATAGGAATCCCAAAATCCCTGTGGCTATTTGAATGGTTCCTTGGGTGTCCTGCCTCACCTCGAGAAGCGTCCCTTGTGCCTGCCAAGCCTGGAAGAGATTCCTGAGCTGTCCCTCGTTACTGGACAGGAATCCTGACGTCACTGAATAAACAGGAGTTTTTAAGGGCCATCCCCGCTGTAACCCGAGTACATACCCCAGGTCCCCGCCGCAAGTCGAGAAAAACCATGAGACTTTCCCCTAGTGGCGAGATGAGGCCCGATTCTCATGCAGTGCATGCAGAGCAATTCTGAGATCCCCATCAAACAAGTCAGGACCTTCGACTTGCTTAATGGATCTCGAGACAGTCCCCAAGAATACTGTCACATGTCTAGACGGATCCTGAGGTCACCCCATCAACGCAAAGCAGCACCATGTGCCCCACATCGACTCGAGATCATGCCCGATTCCCCTGCATTGACTCCAGAGCCATCCCCCGTTCCACATTAAACACCACCAGTGGCTTGACTTCCTTCAGACAACTCCAGAGATGCCCTAGGAACACTGTCCCAAGTCTAGAGGAACACCATCTTCAGCACAGCAACTCGAGGAATGCTCCGTGTACCCCAAATCGTCTCGAGATGAGAGCTGATTCCCTGGCTTAGGCTCAAGACGTATGCCAACTTTCCAGAAGCACCTCAAGGGGAGGCTTCTCTCAGCAATAGGTATGTTGGAGGGACCCCCAGTTTGCTGCCTCAAGTGGAATATGCAGCGAGAAGACCTAACTTGAAAGGAGGCCGGGTTTCCTTGCAGTGTCTTGAATACAGGCTCGTCTTTCATCTCACAACGGGAAGGAATGTCTGAATCCCCTGTGGAGACCTTAGCGAAAGCCCTAGGTCCCTGCCTCATTTTGACGGATTGCCTCACATCCCGTTGACACCTCGAGAGGCACCCGGAGTTCACTGCTTCAAATGTGACGATGCCTGACTCCTCCTGAACATTGATAGGAATCCCAAAATCACTGTGGCTACAGGAAAGGGTTCTTGTGTGCCCTGCATCACCTCGAGAAGCATCCCTTTTGCCCTGCCAAGGCTCGAAAAGGTTCCTGAGGTGTCCCTCATTACTAGACAGGAGTCATGACGTCACTGAATAAACACGTGTTTTCAAGGGCCAAGCCCGCCATAACTCGAGAACATACCCCACGTACCGCCGCGACTCGAGAAAAACCAGGAGACTTCCCCTAGATGCGATATGAGGCCTGATTCCCTGCAGTCCATGCAGAGCATTCCCGTGATCCCAATCAAGCAAGTCAGCAGCTTCGAATTGCTTAATGGATCTCGAGAGAGTCCCCAGGAACACTGTCACAAGTCTAGACAGACCCTGACATCACCCCAGCAAAGCAAAGCAGGTCCAAGTACCCCACATCACCTCGAGTTGAGGCCCGATTCCCATGCATTGACTCCAGAGCCATCCCCCGTACCCCATTAAACACCACCAGTGGCTTGGCTTCCTTCAGGCAACTCCAGAGATGCCCCGAGAACACTGTCCCAAGTCTAGAGGAATACGAACTTCAGCACAGCAACTCGAGGAATGCTCGGTGTACCCCAAATCGTTTCGAGGTGAGAGCTGATTCCATGGATTAGGCTCAAGACGTATGCCAACTTTCCAGAAGCACCTCAAGCGGAGGATTCTCTCAGCAATAGATATGTTGGAGGGACCCCCACTTTGCTGCCTCAAGTGGAATATACAGCAAGAAGCACTAACTTGAAAGGAGGCCGGATTTCCTTGCAGTGTCTTGAATACAGGCTCGTCTTTCATCTCACAACCGGAAGGGATGTCTGAATCCCCTGTGTAGAACTTAGAGAAAGCCCTAGGTCCCTGCCTCATTTTGACGGATTGCCTCACATCCCGTTGACACCTCGAAAGGCACGCGGAGTTCACTGCTTCAAAAGGTGATGATGCCTGACTCGTCTTGAATATTGATAGGAATCCCAAAATCCCTGTGGCTATTTGAAAGGTTCCTTGGGTGTCCTGCCTCACCTCGAGAAGCATCCCTTGTGCCTGCCAAGCCTCGAAGAGATTCCTGAGCTGTCCCTCGTTACTGGACAGGAGTCCTGACGTCACTGAATAAACAGGAGTTTTTAAGGGCCATCCCCGCTGTAAACCGAGTACATACCCCAGGTCCCCGCCGCAAGTCGAGAAAAACCATGAGACTTTCCCCTAGTGGCGAGATGAGGCCCGATTCTCCTGCAGTGCATGCAGAGCAATTCCGTGATCCCCATCAAACAAGTCAGGACCTTCAACTTGCTTAATGGATCTCGAGACAGTCCCCAAGAATACGGTCACATGTCTAGACGGATCCTGAGGTCACCCCATCAACGCAAAGCAGCACCATGTGCCCCACATCAACTCGAGATAATGCCCGATTCCCCTGCATTGACTCCAGAGCCATCCCCCGTTCCACATTAAACACCACCAGTGGCTTGACTTCCTTCAGACAACTCCAGAGATGCCCTGAGAACACTGTCCCAAGTCTAGAGGAACACCATCTTCAGCACAGCAACTCGAGGAATGCTCCGTGTACCCCAAATCGTCTCGAGATGAGAGCTGATTCCCTGGCTTAGGCTCAAGACGTATGCCAACTTTCCAGAAGCACCTCAAGGGGAGGCTTCTCTCAGCAATAGGTATGTTGGAGGGACCCCCAGTTTGCTGCCTCAAGTGGAATATGCAGCGAGAAGCCCTAACTTGAAAGGAGGCCGGGTTTCCTTGTAGTGTCTTGAATACAGGCTCGTCTTTCATCTCACAACGGGAAGGAATGTCTGAATCCCCTGTGGAGACCTTAGCGAAAGCCCTAGGTCCCTGCCTCATTTTGACGGATTGCCTCACATCCCGTTGACACCTCGAGAGGCACCCGGAGTTCACTGCTTCAAATGTGATGATGCCTGACTCCTCCTGAACATTGATAGGAATCCCAAAATCACTGTGGCTACTGGAAAGGGTTCTTGTGTGCCCTGCCTCACCTCGAGAAGCATCCCTTTTGCCCTGCCAAGGCTCGAAAAGATTCCTGAGGTGTCCCTCATTACTAGACAGGAGTCATGACGTCACTGAATAAACACGTGTTTTCAAGGGCCAAGCCCGCCATAACTCGAGAACATACCCCACGTACCGCCGCGACTCGAGAAAAACCATGAGATTTCCCCTAGATGCGATATGAGGCATGATTCCCTGCAGTCCATGCAGAGCATTCCCGTGATCCGAATCAAGCAAGTCAGCAGCTTCGAATTGCTTAATGGATCTCGAGAGAGTCCCCAGGAACACTGTCACAAGTCTAGACAGACCCTGACATCACCCCAGCAAAGCAAAGCAGGTCCAAGTACCCCACATCACCTCGAGTTGAGGCCCGATTCCCATGCATTGACTCCAGAGCCATCCCCCGTACCCCATTAAACACCACCAGTGGCTTGACTTCCTTCAGGCAACTACAGAGATGCCCCGAGAACACTGTCCCAAGTCTAGAGGAATACGAACTTCAGCACAGCAACTCGAGGAATGCTCGGTGTACCCCAAATCGTTTCGAGGTGAGAGCTGATTCCATGGCTTAGGCTCAAGACGTATGCCAACTTTCCAGAAGCACCTCAAGCGGAGGATTCTCTCAGCAATAGGTATGTTGGAGGGACCCCCACTTTGCTGCCTCAAGTGGAATATACAGCGAGAAGCCCTAACTTGAAAGGAGGCCGGATTTCCTTGCAGTGTCTTGAATACAGGCTCGTCTTTCATCTCACAACCGGAAGGGATGTCTGAATCCCCTGTGTAGAACTTAGAGAAAGCCCTAGGTCCCTGCCTCATTTTGACGGATTGCCTCACATCCCGTTGACACCTCGAGAGGCACGCGGAGTTCACTGCTTCAAAAGGTGATGATGCCTGACTCGTCTTGAATATTGATAGGAATCCCAAAATCCCTGTGGCTATTTGAAAGGTTCCTTGGGTGTCCTGCCTCACCTCGAGAAGCATCCCTTGTGCCTGCCAAGCCTCGAAGAGATTCCTGAGCTGTCCCTCGTTACTGGACAGGAGTCCTGACGTCACTGAATAAACAGGAGTTTTTAAGGGCCATCCCCGCTGTAAACCGAGTACATACCCCAGGTCCCCGCCGCAAGTCGAGAAAAACCATGAGACTTTCCCCTAGTGGCGAGATGAGGCCCGATTCTCCTGCAGTGCATGCAGAGCAATTCCGTGATCCCCATCAAACAAGTCAGGACCTTCAACTTGCTTAATGGATCTCGAGACAGTCCCCAAGAATACGGTCACATGTCTAGACGGATCCTGAGGTCACCCCATCAACGCAAAGCAGCACCATGTGCCCCACATCAACTCGAGATAATGCCCGATTCCCCTGCATTGACTCCAGAGCCATCCCCCGTTCCACATTAAACACCACCAGTGGCTTGACTTCCTTCAGACAACTCCAGAGATGCCCTGAGAACACTGTCCCAAGTCTAGAGGAACACCATCTTCAGCACAGCAACTCGAGGAATGCTCCGTGTACCCCAAATCGTCTCGAGATGAGAGCTGATTCCCTGGCTTAGGCTCAAGACGTATGCCAACTTTCCAGAAGCACCTCAAGGGGAGGCTTCTCTCAGCAATAGGTATGTTGGAGGGACCCCCAGTTTGCTGCCTCAAGTGGAATATGCAGCGAGAAGCCCTAACTTGAAAGGAGGCCGGGTTTCCTTGCAGTGTCTTGAATACAGGCTCGTCTTTCATCTCACAACGGGAAGGAATGTCTGAATCCCCTGTGGAGACCTTAGCGAAAGCCCTAGGTCCCTGCCTCATTTTGACGGATTGCCTCACATCCCGTTGACACCTCGAGAGGCACCCGGAGTTCACTGCTTCAAATGTGATGATGCCTGACTCCTCCTGAACATTGATAGGAATCCCAAAATCACTGTGGCTACTGGAAAGGGTTCTTGTGTGCCCTGCCTCACCTCGAGAAGCATCCCTTTTGCCCTGCCAAGGCTCGAAAAGATTCCTGAGGTGTCCCTCATTACTAGACAGGAGTCATGACGTCACTGAATAAACACGTGTTTTCAAGGGCCAAGCCCGCCATAACTCGAGAACATACCCCACGTACCGCCGCGACTCGAGAAAAACCATGAGACTTCCCCTAGATGCGATATGAGGCATGATTCCCTGCAGTCCATGCAGAGCATTCCCGTGATCCGAATCAAGCAAGTCAGCAGCTTCGAATTGCTTAATGGATCTCGAGAGAGTCCCCAGGAACACTGTCACAAGTCTAGACAGACCCTGACATCACCCCAGCAAAGCAAAGCAGGTCCAAGTACCCCACATCACCTCGAGTTGAGGCCCGATTCCCATGCATTGACTCCAGAGCCATCCCCCGTACCCCATTAAACACCACCAGTGGCTTGACTTCCTTCAGGCAACTACAGAGATGCCCCGAGAACACTGTCCCAAGTCTAGAGGAATACGAACTTCAGCACAGCAACTCGAGGAATGCTCGGTGTACCCCAAATCGTTTCGAGGTGAGAGCTGATTCCATGGCTTAGGCTCAAGACGTATGCCAACTTTCCAGAAGCACCTCAAGCGGAGGATTCTCTCAGCAATAGGTATGTTGGAGGGACCCCCACTTTGCTGCCTCAAGTGGAATATACAGCGAGAAGTCCTAACTTGAAAGGAGGCCGGATTTCCTCGCAGTGTCTTGAATACAGGCTCGTCTTTCATCTCACAACCGGAAGGGATGTCTGAATCCCCTGTGTAGAACTTAGAGAAAGCCCTAGGTCCCTGCCTCATTTTGACGGATTGCCTCACATCCCGTTGACACCTCGAGAGGCACGCGGAGTTCACTGCTTCAAAAGGTGATGATGCCTGACTCGTCTTGAATATTGATAGGAATCCCAAAATCCCTGTGGCTATTTGAAAGGTTCCTTGGGTGTCCTGCCTCACCTCGAGAAGCGTCCCTTGTGCCTGCCAAGCCTCGAAGAGATTCCTGAGCTGTCCCTCGTTACTGGACAGGAGTCCTGACGTCACTGAATAAACAGGAGTTTTTAAGGGCCATCCCCGCTGTAACCCGAGTACATACCCCAGGTCCCCGCCGCAAGTCGAGAAAAACCATGAGACTTTCCCCTAGTGGCGAGATGAGGCCCGATTCTCATGCAGTGCATGCAGAGCAATTCTGAGATCCCCATCAAACAAGTCAGGACCTTCGACTTGCTTAATGGATCTCGAGACAGTCCCCAAGAATACTGTCACATGTCTAGACGGATCCTGAGGTCACCCCATCAACGCAAAGCAGCACCATGTGCCCCACATCGACTCGAGATCATGCCCGATTCCCCTGCATTGACTCCAGAGCCATCCCCCGTTCCACATTAAACACCACCAGTGGCTTGACTTCCTTCAGACAACTCCAGAGATGCCCTAGGAACACTGTCCCAAGTCTAGAGGAACACCATCTTCAGCACAGCAACTCGAGGAATGCTCCGTGTACCCCAAATCGTCTCGAGATGAGAGCTGATTCCCTGGCTTAGGCTCAAGACGTATGCCAACTTTCCAGAAGCACCTCAAGGGGAGGCTTCTCTCAGCAATGGGTATGTTGGAGGGACCCCCAGTTTGCTGCCTCAAGTGGAATATGCAGCGAGAAGCCCTAACTTGAAAGGAGGCCGGGTTTCCTTGCAGTGTCTTGAATACAGGCTCGTCTTTCATCTCACAACGGGAAGGAATGTCTGAATCCCCTGTGGAGACCTTAGCGAAAGCCCTAGGTCCCTGCCTCATTTTGACGGATTGCCTCCCATCCCGTTGACACCTCGAGAGGCACCCGGAGTTCACTGCTTCAAATGTGACGATGCCTGACTCCTCCTGAACATTGATAGGAATCCCAAAATCACTGTGGCTACAGGAAAGGGTTCTTGTGTGCCCTGCATCACCTCGAGAATCATCCCTTTTGCCCTGCCAAGGCTCGAAAAGGTTCCTGAGGTGTCCCTCATTACTAGACAGGAGTCATGACGTCACTGAATAAACACGTGTTTTCAAGGGCCAAGCCCGCCATAACTCGAGAACATACCCCACGTACCGCCGCGACTCGAGAAAAACCATGAGACTTCCCCTAGATGCGATATGAGGCCTGATTCCCTGCAGTCCATGCAGAGCATTCCCGTGATCCCAATCAAGCAAGTCAGCAGCTTCGAATTGCTTAATGGATCTCGAGAGAGTCCCCAGGAACACTGTCACAAGTCTAGACAGACCCTGACATCACCCCAGCAAAGCAAAGCAGGTCCAGGTACCCCACATCACCTCGAGTTGAGGCCCGATTCCCATGCATTGACTCCAGAGCCATCCCCCGTACCCCATTAAACACCACCAGTGGCTTGACTTCCTTCAGGCAACTCCAGAGATGCCCCGAGAACACTGTCCCAAGTCTAGAGGAATACGAACTTCAGCACAGCAACTCGAGGAATGCTCCGTGTACCCCAAATCGTTTCGAGGTGAGAGCTGATTCCATGGCTTAGGCTCAAGACGTATGCCAACTTTCCAGAAGCCCCTGAAGAGGAGGCTTCTCTCAGCAATAAGTATGTGGGAGGGACCCCGAATTTGCTGCCTCAAGTGGAATATACAGCGAGAAGCCCTAACTTGAAAGGAGGCCGGATTTCCTTGCAGTGGCTTGAATACAGGCTCGTCTTTCATCTCACAGCATGAAGGGATGTCTGAATCCCCTGTGGAGACCTTAGAGAAAGCTCTAGGTCCCTGCCTCATTTTGACGGAATGCCTCACATCCCGTTGACACTTCGAGAGGCACGCGGAATTCACTGCTTCAAAAGGTGATGATGCCTGACTCGTCTTGAATATTGATAGGAATCCCAAAATCCCTGTGGCTATTTGAAAGGTTCCTTGGGTGTCCTGCCTCACCTCGAGAAGCGTCCCTTGTGCCTGCCAAGCCTCGAAGAGATTCCTGAGCTGTCCCTCGTTACTGGACAGGAGTCCTGACGTCACTGAATAAACAGGAGTTTTTAAGGGCCATCCCCGCTGTAACCCGAGTACATACCCCAGGTCCCCGCCGCAAGTCGAGAAAAACCATGAGACTTTCCCCTAGTGGCGAGATGAGGCCCGATTCACCTGCAGTGCATGCAGAGCAATTCCGTGATCCCCATCAAACAAGTCAGGACCTTCGACTTGCTTAATGGATCTCGAGACAGTCCCCAAGAATACTGTCAAATGTCTAGACGGATCCTGAGGTCACCCCATCAACGCAAAGCAGCACCATGTGCCCCACATCAACTCGAGATAATGCCCGATTCCCCTGCATTGACTCCAGAGCCATCCCCCGTTCCACATTAAACACCACCAGTGGCTTGACTTCCTTCAGACAACTCCAGAGATGCCCTGAGAACACTGTCCCAAGTCTAGAGGAACACCATCTTCAGCACAGCAACTCGAGGAATGCTCCGTGTACCCCAAATCGTCTCGAGATGAGAGCTGATTCCCTCGCTTAGGCTCAAGACGTATGCCAACTTTCCAGAAGCACCTCAAGGGGAGGCTTCTCTCAGCAATAGGTATGTTGGAGGGACCCCAAGTTTGCTGCCTCAAGTGGAATATGCAGCGAGAAGCCCTAACTTGAAAGGAGGCCGGGTTTCCTTGCAGTGTCTTGAATACAGGCTCGTCTTTCATCTCACAACGGGAAGGAATGTCTGAATCCCCTGTGGAGACCTTAGCGAAAGCCCTAGGTCCCTGCCTCATTTTGACGGATTGCCTCACATCCCGTTGACACCTCGAGAGGCACCCGGAGTTCACTGCTTCAAATGTGACGATGCCTGACTCCTCCTGAACATTGATAGGAATCCCAAAATCACTGTGGCTACAGGAAAGGGTTCTTGTGTGCCCTGCCTCACCTCGAGAAGCATCCCTTTTGCCCTGCCAAGGCTCGAAAAGATTCCTGAATTGTCCCTCATTACTAGACAGGAGTCATGACGTCACTGAATAAACACGTGTTTTCAAGGGCCAAGCCCGCCATAACTCGAGAACATACCCCACGTACCGCCGCGACTCGAGAAAAACCAGGAGACTTCCCCTAGATGCGATATGAGGCCTGATTCCCTGCAGTCCATGCAGAGCATTCCCGTGATCCCAATCAAGCAAGTCAGCAGCTTCGAATTGCTTAATGGATCTCGAGAGAGTCCCCAGGAACACTGTCACAAGTCTAGACAGACCCTGACATCACCCCAGCAAAGCAAAGCAGGTCCAAGTACCCCACATCACCTCGAGTTGAGGCCCGATTCCCATGCATTGACTCCAGAGCCATCCCCCGTACCCCATTAAACACCACCAGTGGCTTGACTTCCTTCAGGCAACTCCAGAGATGCCCCGAGAACACTGTCCCAAGTCTAGAGGAATACGAACTTCAGCACAGCAACTCGAGGAATGCTCCGTGTACCCCAAATCGTTTCGAGGTGAGAGCTGATTCCATGGCTTAGGCTCAAGACGTATGCCAACTTTCCAGAAGCCCCTCAAGAGGAGGCTTCTGACAGCAATAGGTATGTGGGAGGGACCCCGAATTTGCTGCCTCAAGTGGAATATACAGCGAGAAGCCCTAACTTTAAAGGAGGCCGGATTTCCTTGCAGTGGCTTGAATACAGGCTCGTCTTTCATCTCACAGCATGAAGGGATGTCTGAATCCCCTGTGGAGACCTTAAAGAAAGCTCTAGGTCCCTGCCTCATTTTGACGGAATACCTCACATCCCGTTGACACCTCGAGAGGCACACGGAGTTCAATGCTTCAAATGTGACGATGCCTGACTCCTCCTGAACATTGATAGGAATCCCAAAATCACTGTGGCTACAGGAAAGGGTTCTTGTGTGCCCTGCCTCACCTCGAGAAGCATCCCTTTTGCCCTGCCAAGGCTCGAAAAGATTCCTGAGGTGTCCCTCATTACTAGACAGGAGTCATGACGTCACTGAATAAACACGTGTTTTCAAGGGCCAAGCCCGCCATAACTCGAGAACATACCCCACGTACCGCCGCGACTCGAGAAAAACCAGGAGACTTCCCCTAGATGCGATATGAGGCCTGATTCCCTGCAGTCCATGCAGAGCATTCCCATGATCCCAATCAAGCAAGTCAGCAGCTTCGAATTGCTTAATGGATCTCGAGAGAGTCCCCAGGAACACTGTCACAAGTCTAGACAGACCCTGACATCACCCCAGCAAAGCAAAGCAGGTCCAAGTACCCCACATTACCTCGAGTTGAGGCCCGATTCCCATGCATTGACTCCAGAGCCATCCCCCGTACCCCATTAAACACCACCAGTGGCTTGACTTCCTTCAGGCAACTCCAGAGATGCCCCGAGAACACTGTCCCAAGTCTAGAGGAATACGAACTTCAGCACAGCAACTCGAGGAATGCTCGGTGTACCCCAAATCGTTTCGAGGTGAGAGCTGATTCCATGGCTTAGGCTCAAGACGTATGCCAACTTTCCAGAAGCACCTCAAGCGGAGGATTCTCTCAGCAATAGATATGTTGGAGGGACCCCCACTTTGCTGCCTCAAGTGGAATATACAGCAAGAAGCCCTAACTCGAAAGGAGGCTGGATTTCCTTGCAGTGTCTTGAATACAGGCTCGTCTTTCATCTCACAACCGGAAGGGATGTCTGAATCCCCTGTGTAGAACTTAGAGAAAGCCCTAGGTCCCTGCCTCATTTTGACGGATTGCCTCACATCCCGTTGACACCTCGAAAGGCACGCGGAGTTCACTGCTTCAAAAGGTGATGATGCCTGACTCGTCTTGAATATTGATAGGAATCCCAAAATCCCTGTGGCTATTTGAAAGGTTCCTTGGGTGTCCTGCCTCACCTCGAGAAGCGTCCCTTGTGCCTGCCAAGCCTCGAAGAAATTCCTGAGCTGTCCCTCGTTACTGGATAGGAGTCCTGATGTCACTGAATAAACAGGAGTTTTTAAGGGCCATCCCCGCTGTAAACCGAGTACATACCCCAGGTCCCCGCCGCAAGTCGAGAAAAACCATGAGACTTTCCCCTAGTGGCGAGATGAGGCCCGATTCTCCTGCAGTGCATGCAGAGCAATTCCGTGATCCCCATCAAACAAGTCAGGACCTTCGACTTGCTTAATGGATCTCGAGACAGTCCCCAAGAATACGGTCACATGTCTAGACGGATCCTGAGGTCACCCCATCAACGCAAAGCAGCACCATGTGCCCCACATCAACTCGAGATAATGCCCGATTCCCCTGCATTGACTCCAGAGCCATCCCCCGTTCCACATTAAACACCACCAGTGGCTTGACTTCCTTCAGACAACTCCAGAGATGCCCTGAGAACACTGTCCCAAGTCTAGAGGAACACCATCTTCAGCACAGCAACTCGAGGAATGCTCCGTGTACCCCAAATCGTCTCGAGATGAGAGCTGATTCCCTGGCTTAGGCTCAAGACGTATGCCAACTTTCCAGAAGCACCTCAAGGGGAGGCTTCTCTCAGCAATAGGTATGTTGGAGGGACCCCCAGTTTGCTGCCTCAAGTGGAATATGCAGCGAGAAGCCCTAACTTGAAAGGAGTCCGGGTTTCCTTGCAGTGTCTTGAATACAGGCTCGTCTTTCATCTCACAACGGGAAGGAATGTCTGAATCCCCTGTGGAGACCTTAGCGAAAGCCCTAGGTCCCTGCCTCATTTTGACGGATTGCCTCACATCCCGTTGACACCTCGAGAGGCACCCGGAGTTCACTGCTTCAAATGTGATGATGCCTGACTCCTCCTGAACATTGATAGGAATCCCACAATCACTGTGGCTACTGGAAAGGGTTCTTGTGTGCCCTGCCTCACCTCGAGAAGCATCCCTTTTGCCCTGCCAAGGCTCGAAAAGATTCCTGAGGTGTCCCTCATTACTAGACAGGAGTCATGACGTCACTGAATAAACACGTGTTTTCAAGGGCCAAGCCCGCCATAACTCGAGAACATACCCCACGTACCGCCGCGACTCGAGAAAAACCATGAGACTTCCCCTAGATGCGATATGAGGCATGATTCCCTGCAGTCCATGCAGAGCATTCCCGTGATCCCAATCAAGCAAGTCAGCAGCTTCGAATTGCTTAATGGATCTCGAGAGAGTCCCCAGGAACACTGTCACAAGTCTAGACAGACCCTGACATCACCCCAGCAAAGCAAAGCAGGTCCAAGTACCCCACATCACCTCGAGTTGAGGCCCGATTCCCATGCATTGACTCCAGAGCCATCCCCCGTACCCCATTAAACACCACCAGTGGCTTGACTTCCTTCAGGCAACTACAGAGATGCCCCGAGAACACTGTCCCAAGTCTAGAGGAATACGAACTTCAGCACAGCAACTCGAGGAATGCTCGGTGTACCCCAAATCGTTTCGAGGTGAGAGCTGATTCCATGGCTTAGGCTCAAGACGTATGCCAACTTTCCAGAAGCACCTCAAGCAGAGGATTCTCTCAGCAATAGATATGTTGGAGGGACCCCCACTTTGCTGCCTCAAGTGGAATATACAGCGAGAAGCCCTAACTTGAAAGGAGGCCGGATTTCCTTGCAGTGTCTTGAATACAGGCTCGTCTTTCATCTCACAACCGGAAGGGATGTCTGAATCCCCTGTGTAGAACTTAGAGAAAGCCCTAGGTCCCTGCCTCATTTTGACGGATTGCCTCACATCCCGTTGACACCTCGAGAGGCACGCGGAGTTCACTGCTTCAAAAGGTGATGATGCCTGACTCGTCTTGAATATTGATAGGAATCCCAAAATCCCTGTGGCTATTTGAATGGTTCCTTGGGTGTCCTGCCTCACCTCGAGAAGCGTCCCTTGTGCCTGCCAAGCCTGGAAGAGATTCCTGAGCTGTCCCTCGTTACTGGACAGGAGTCCTGACGTCACTGAATAAACAGGAGTTTTTAAGGGCCATCCCCGCTGTAACCCGAGTACATACCCCAGGTCCCCGCCGCAAGTCGAGAAAAACCATGAGACTTTCCCCTAGTGGCGAGATGAGGCCCGATTCTCATGCAGTGCATGCAGAGCAATTCTGAGATCCCCATCAAACAAGTCAGGACCTTCGACTTGCTTAATGGATCTCGAGACAGTCCCCAAGAATACTGTCACATGTCTAGACGGATCCTGAGGTCACCCCATCAACGCAAAGCAGCACCATGTGCCCCACATCGACTCGAGATCATGCCCGATTCCCCTGCATTGACTCCAGAGCCATCCCCCGTTCCACATTAAACACCACCAGTGGCTTGACTTCCTTCAGACAACTCCAGAGATGCCCTAGGAACACTGTCCCAAGTCTAGAGGAACACCATCTTCAGCACAGCAACTCGAGGAATGCTCCGTGTACCCCAAATCGTCTCGAGATGAGAGCTGATTCCCTGGCTTAGGCTCAAGACGTATGCCAACTTTCCAGAAGCACCTCAAGGGGAGGCTTCTCTCAGCAATAGGTATGTTGGAGGGACCCCCAGTTTGCTGCCTCAAGTGGAATATGCAGCGAGAAGCCCTAACTTGAAAGGAGGCCGGGTTTCCTTGCAGTGTCTTGAATACAGGCTCGTCTTTCATCTCACAACGGGAAGGAATGTCTGAATCCCCTGTGGAGACCTTAGCGAAAGCCCTAGGTCCCTGCCTCATTTTGACGGATTGCCTCACATCCCGTTGACACCTCGAGAGGCACCCGGAGTTCACTGCTTCAAATGTGACGATGCCTGACTCCTCCTGAACATTGATAGGAATCCCAAAATCACTGTGGCTACAGGAAAGGGTTCTTGTGTGCCCTGCATCACCTCGAGAAGCATCCCTTTTGCCCTGCCAAGGCTCGAAAAGGTTCCTGAGGTGTCCCTCATTACTAGACAGGAGTCATGACGTCACTGAATAAACACGTGTTTTCAAGGGCCAAGCCCGCCATAACTCGAGAACATACCCCACGTACCGCCGCGACTCGAGAAAAACCAGGAGACTTCCCCTAGATGCGATATGAGGCCTGATTCCCTGCAGTCCATGCAGAGCATTCCCGTGATCCCAATCAAGCAAGTCAGCAGCTTCGAATTGCTTAATGGATCTCGAGAGAGTCCCCAGGAACACTGTCACAAGTCTAGACAGACCCTGACATCACCCCAGCAAAGCAAAGCAGGTCCAAGTACCCCACATCACCTCGAGTTGAGGCCCGATTCCCATGCATTGACTCCAGAGCCATCCCCCGTACCCCATTAAACACCACCAGTGGCTTGACTTCCTTCAGGCAACTCCAGAGATGCCCCGAGAACACTGTCCCAAGTCTAGAGGAATACGAACTTCAGCACAGCAACTCGAGGAATGCTCGGTGTACCCCAAATCGTTTCGAGGTGAGAGCTGATTCCATGGCTTAGACTTAAGACGTATGCCAACTTTCCAGAAGCACCTCAAGCGGAGGATTCTCTCAGCAATAGGTATGTTGGAGGGACCCCCACTTTGCTGCCTCAAGTGGAATATACAGCGAGAAGCCCTAACTTGAAAGGAGGCCGGATTTCCTTGCAGTGTCTTGAATACAGGCTCGTCTTTCATCTCACAACCGGAAGGGATGTCTGAATCCCCTGTGTAGAACTTAGAGAAAGCCCTAGGTCCCTGCCTCATTTTGACGGATTGCCTCACATCCCGTTGACACCTCGAGAGGCACGCGGAGTTCACTGCTTCAAAAGGTGATGATGCCTGACTCGTCTTGAATATTGATAGGAATCCCAAAATCCCTGTGGCTATTTGAAAGGTTCCTTGGGTGTCCTGCCTCACCTCGAGAAGCATCCCTTGTGCCTGCCAAGCCTCGAAGAGATTCCTGAGCTGTCCCTCGTTACTGGACAGGAGTCCTGACGTCACTGAATAAACAGGAGTTTTTAAGGGCCATCCCCGCTCTAAACCGAGTACATACCCCAGGTCCCCGCCGCAAGTCGAGAAAAACCATGAGACTTTCCCCTAGTGGCGAGATGAGGCCCGATTCTCCTGCAGTGCATGCAGAGCAATTCCGTGATCCCCATCAAACAAGTCAGGACCTTCAACTTGCTTAATGGATCTCGAGACAGTCCCCAAGAATACGGTCACATGTCTAGACGGATCCTGAGGTCACCCCATCAACGCAAAGCAGCACCATGTGCCCCACATCAACTCGAGATAATGCCCGATTCCCCTGCATTGACTCCAGAGCCATCCCCCGTTCCACATTAAACACCACCAGTGGCTTGACTTCCTTCAGACAACTCCAGAGATGCCCTGAGAACACTGTCCCAAGTCTAGAGGAACACCATCTTCAGCACAGCAACTCGAGGAATGCTCCGTGTACCCCAAATCGTCTCGAGATGAGAGCTGATTCCCTGGCTTAGGCTCAAGACGTATGCCAACTTTCCAGAAGCACCTCAAGGGGAGGCTTCTCTCAGCAATAGGTATGTTGGAGGGACCCCCAGTTTGCTGCCTCAAGTGGAATATGCAGCGAGAAGCCCTAACTTGAAAGGAGGCCGGGTTTCCTTGCAGTGTCTTGAATACAGGCTCGTCTTTCATCTCACAACGGGAAGGAATGTCTGAATCCCCTGTGGAGACCTTAGCGAAAGCCCTAGGTCCCTGCCTCATTTTGACGGATTGCCTCACATCCCGTTGACACCTCGAGAGGCACCCGGAGTTCACTGCTTCAAATGTGATGATGCCTGACTCCTCCTGAACATTGATAGGAATCCCACAATCACTGTGGCTACTGGAAAGGGTTCTTGTGTGCCCTGCCTCACCTCGAGAAGCATCCCTTTTGCCCTGCCAAGGCTCGAAAAGATTCCTGAGGTGTCCCTCATTACTAGACAGGAGTCATGACGTCACTGAATAAACACGTGTTTTCAAGGGCCAAGCCCGCCATAACTCGAGAACATACCCCACGTACCGCCGCGACTCGAGAAAAACCATGAGACTTCCCCTAGATGCGATATGAGGCATGATTCCCTGCAGTCCATGCAGAGCATTCCCGTGATCCGAATCAAGCAAGTCAGCAGCTTCGAATTGCTTAATGGATCTCGAGAGAGTCCCCAGGAACACTGTCACAAGTCTAGACAGACCCTGACATCACCCCAGCAAAGCAAAGCAGGTCCAAGTACCCCACATCACCTCGAGTTGAGGCCCGATTCCCATGCATTGACTCCAGAGCCATCCCCCGTACCCCATTAAACACCACCAGTGGCTTGACTTCCTTCAGGCAACTACAGAGATGCCCCGAGAACACTGTCCCAAGTCTAGAGGAATACGAACTTCAGCACAGCAACTCGAGGAATGCTCGGTGTACCCCAAATCGTTTCGAGGTGAGAGCTGATTCCATGGCTTAGGCTCAAGACGTATGCCAACTTTCCAGAAGCACCTCAAGCGGAGGATTCTCTCAGCAATAGGTATGTTGGAGGGACCCCCACTTTGCTGCCTCAAGTGGAATATACAGCGAGAAGCCCTAACTTGAAAGGAGGCCGGATTTCCTCGCAGTGTCTTGAATACAGGCTCGTCTTTCATCTCACAACCGGAAGGGATGTCTGAATCCCCTGTGTAGAACTTAGAGAAAGCCCTAGGTCCCTGCCTCATTTTGACGGATTGCCTCACATCCCGTTGACACCTCGAGAGGCACGCGGAGTTCACTGCTTCAAAAGGTGATGATGCCTGACTCGTCTTGAATATTGATAGGAATCCCAAAATCCCTGTGGCTATTTGAAAGGTTCCTTGGGTGTCCTGCCTCACCTCGAGAAGCGTCCCTTGTGCCTGCCAAGCCTCGAAGAGATTCCTGAGCTGTCCCTCGTTACTGGACAGGAGTCCTGACGTCACTGAATAAACAGGAGTTTTTAAGGGCCATCCCCGCTGTAACCCGAGTACATACCCCAGGTCCCCGCCGCAAGTCGAGAAAAACCATGAGACTTTCCCCTAGTGGCGAGATGAGGCCCGATTCTCATGCAGTGCATGCAGAGCAATTCTGAGATCCCCATCAAACAACTCAGGACCTTCGACTTGCTTAATGGATCTCGAGACAGTCCCCAAGAATACTGTCACATGTCTAGACGGATCCTGAGGTCACCCCATCAACGCAAAGCAGCACCATGTGCCCCACATCGACTCGAGATCATGCCCGATTCCCCTGCATTGACTCCAGAGCCATCCCCCGTTCCACATTAAACACCACCAGTGGCTTGACTTCCTTCAGACAACTCCAGAGATGCCCTAGGAACACTGTCCCAAGTCTAGAGGAACACCATCTTCAGCACAGCAACTCGAGGAATGCTCCGTGTACCCCAAATCGTCTCGAGATGAGAGCTGATTCCCTGGCTTAGGCTCAAGACGTATGCCAACTTTCCAGAAGCACCTCAAGGGGAGGCTTCTCTCAGCAATGGGTATGTTGGAGGGACCCCCAGTTTGCTGCCTCAAGTGGAATATGCAGCGAGAAGCCCTAACTTGAAAGGAGGCCGGGTTTCCTTGCAGTGTCTTGAATACAGGCTCGTCTTTCATCTCACAACGGGAAGGAATGTCTGAATCCCCTGTGGAGACCTTAGCGAAAGCCCTAGGTCCCTGCCTCATTTTGACGGATTGCCTCACATCCCGTTGACACCTCGAGAGGCACCCGGAGTTCACTGCTTCAAATGTGACGATGCCTGACTCCTCCTGAACATTGATAGGAATCCCAAAATCACTGTGGCTACAGGAAAGGGTTCTTGTGTGCCCTGCATCACCTCGAGAAGCATCCCTTTTGCCCTGCCAAGGCTCGAAAAGGTTCCTGAGGTGTCCCTCATTACTAGACAGGAGTCATGACGTCACTGAATAAACACGTGTTTTCAAGGGCCAAGCCCGCCATAACTCGAGAACATACCCCACGTACCGCCGCGACTCGAGAAAAACCATGAGACTTCCCCTAGATGCGATATGAGGCCTGATTCCCTGCAGTCCATGCAGAGCATTCCCGTGATCCCAATCAAGCAAGTCAGCAGCTTCGAATTGCTTAATGGATCTCGAGAGAGTCCCCAGGAACACTGTCACAAGTCTAGACAGACCCTGACATCACCCCAGCAAAGCAAAGCAGGTCCAGGTACCCCACATCACCTCGAGTTGAGGCCCGATTCCCATGCATTGACTCCAGAGCCATCCCCCGTACCCCATTAAACACCACCAGTGGCTTGACTTCCTTCAGGCAACTCCAGAGATGCCCCGAGAACACTGTCCCAAGTCTAGAGGAATACGAACTTCAGCACAGCAACTCGAGGAATGCTCCGTGTACCCCAAATCGTTTCGAGGTGAGAGCTGATTCCATGGCTTAGGCTCAAGACGTATGCCAACTTTCCAGAAGCCCCTGAAGAGGAGGCTTCTCTCAGCAATAAGTATGTGGGAGGGACCCCGAATTTGCTGCCTCAAGTGGAATATACAGCGAGAAGCCCTAACTTGAAAGGAGGCCGGATTTCCTTGCAGTGGCTTGAATACAGGCTCGTCTTTCATCTCACAGCATGAAGGGATGTCTGAATCCCCTGTGGAGACCTTAGAGAAAGCTCTAGGTCCCTGCCTCATTTTGACGGAATGCCTCACATCCCGTTGACACTTCGAGAGGCACGCGGAATTCACTGCTTCAAAAGGTGATGATGCCTGACTCGTCTTGAATATTGATAGGAATCCCAAAATCCCTGTGGCTATTTGAAAGGTTCCTTGGGTGTCCTGCCTCACCTCGAGAAGCGTCCCTTGTGCCTGCCAAGCCTCGAAGAGATTCCTGAGCTGTCCCTCGTTACTGGACAGGAGTCCTGACGTCACTGAATAAACAGGAGTTTTTAAGGGCCATCCCCGCTGTAACCCGAGTACATACCCCAGGTCCCCGCCGCAAGTCGAGAAAAACCATGAGACTTTCCCCTAGTGGCGAGATGAGGCCCGATTCACCTGCAGTGCATGCAGAGCAATTCCGTGATCCCCATCAAACAAGTCAGGACCTTCGACTTGCTTAATGGATCTCGAGACAGTCCCCAAGAATACTGTCAAATGTCTAGACGGATCCTGAGGTCACCCCATCAACGCAAAGCAGCACCATGTGCCCCACATCAACTCGAGATAATGCCCGATTCCCCTGCATTGACTCCAGAGCCATCCCCCGTTCCACATTAAACACCACCAGTGGCTTGACTTCCTTCAGACAACTCCAGAGATGCCCTGAGAACACTGTCCCAAGTCTAGAGGAACACCATCTTCAGCACAGCAACTCGAGGAATGCTCCGTGTACCCCAAATCGTCTCGAGATGAGAGCTGATTCCCTCGCTTAGGCTCAAGACGTATGCCAACTTTCCAGAAGCACCTCAAGGGGAGGCTTCTCTCAGCAATAGGTATGTTGGAGGGACCCCAAGTTTGCTGCCTCAAGTGGAATATGCAGCGAGAAGCCCTAACTTGAAAGGAGGCCGGGTTTCCTTGCAGTGTCTTGAATACAGGCTCGTCTTTCATCTCACAACGGGAAGGAATGTCTGAATCCCCTGTGGAGACCTTAGCGAAAGCCCTAGGTCCCTGCCTCATTTTGACGGATTGCCTCACATCCCGTTGACACCTCGAGAGGCACCCGGAGTTCACTGCTTCAAATGTGACGATGCCTGACTCCTCCTGAACATTGATAGGAATCCCAAAATCACTGTGGCTACAGGAAAGGGTTCTTGTGTGCCCTGCCTCACCTCGAGAAGCATCCCTTTTGCCCTGCCAAGGCTCGAAAAGATTCCTGAGTTGTCCCTCATTACTAGACAGGAGTCATGACGTCACTGAATAAACACGTGTTTTCAAGGGCCAAGCCCGCCATAACTCGAGAACATACCCCACGTACCGCCGCGACTCGAGAAAAACCAGGAGACTTCCCCTAGATGCGATATGAGGCCTGATTCCCTGCAGTCCATGCAGAGCATTCCCGTGATCCCAATCAAGCAAGTCAGCAGCTTCGAATTGCTTAATGGATCTCGAGAGAGTCCCCAGGAACACTGTCACAAGTCTAGACAGACCCTGACATCACCCCAGCAAAGCAAAGCAGGTCCAAGTACCCCACATCACCTCGAGTTGAGGCCCGATTCCCATGCATTGACTCCAGAGCCATCCCCCGTACCCCATTAAACACCACCAGTGGCTTGACTTCCTTCAGGCAACTCCAGAGATGCCCCGAGAACACTGTCCCAAGTCTAGAGGAATACGAACTTCAGCACAGCAACTCGAGGAATGCTCCGTGTACCCCAAATCGTTTCGAGGTGAGAGCTGATTCCATGGCTTAGGCTCAAGACGTATGCCAACTTTCCAGAAGCCCCTCAAGAGGAGGCTTCTCACAGCAATAGGTATGTGGGAGGGACCCCGAATTTGCTGCCTCAAGTGGAATATACAGCGAGAAGCCCTAACTTGAAAGGAGGCCGGATTTCCTTGCAGTGTCTTGAATACAGGCTCGTCTTTCATCTCACAGCATGAAGGGATGTCTGAATCCCCTGTGGAGAACTTAAAGAAAGCTCTAGGTCCCTGCCTCATTTTGACGGAATACCTCACATCCCGTTGACACCTCGAGAGGCACACGGAGTTCACTGCTTCAAATGTGACGATGCCTGACTCCTCCTGAACATTGATAGGAATCCCAAAATCACTGTGGCTACAGGAAAGGGTTCTTGTGTGCCCTGCCTCACCTCGAGAAGCATCCCTTTTGCCCTGCCAAGGCTCGAAAAGATTCCTGAGGTGTCCCTCATTACTAGACAGGAGTCATGACGTCACTGAATAAACACGTGTTTTCAAGGGCCAAGCCCGCCATAACTCGAGAACATACCCCACGTACCGCCGCGACTCGAGAAAAACCAGGAGACTTCCCCTAGATGCGATATGAGGCCTGATTCCCTGCAGTCCATGCAGAGCATTCCCATGATCCCAATCAAGCAAGTCAGCAGCTTCGAATTGCTTAATGGATCTCGAGAGAGTCCCCAGGAACACTGTCACAAGTCTAGACAGACCCTGACATCACCCCAGCAAAGCAAAGCAGGTCCAAGTACCCCACATCACCTCGAGTTGAGGCCCGATTCCCATGCATTGACTCCAGAGCCATCCCCCGTACCCCATTAAACACCACCAGTGGCTTGACTTCCTTCAGGCAACTCCAGAGATGCCCCGAGAACACTGTCCCAAGTCTAGAGGAATACGAACTTCAGCACAGCAACTCGAGGAATGCTCGGTGTACCCCAAATCGTTTCGAGGTGAGAGCTGATTCCATGGCTTAGGCTCAAGACGTATGCCAACTTTCCAGAAGCACCTCAAGCGGAGGATTCTCTCAGCAATAGATATGTTGGAGGGACCCCCACTTTGCTGCCTCAAGTGGAATATACAGCAAGAAGCCCTAACTCGAAAGGAGGCTGGATTTCCTTGCAGTGTCTTGAATACAGGCTCGTCTTTCATCTCACAACCGGAAGGGATGTCTGAATCCCCTGTGTAGAACTTAGAGAAAGCCCTAGGTCCCTGCCTCATTTTGACGGATTGCCTCACATCCCGTTGACACCTCGAAAGGCACGCGGAGTTCACTGCTTCAAAAGGTGATGATGCCTGACTCGTCTTGAATATTGATAGGAATCCCAAAATCCCTGTGGCTATTTGAAAGGTTCCTTGGGTGTCCTGCCTCACCTCGAGAAGCGTCCCTTGTGCCTGCCAAGCCTCGAAGAAATTCCTGAGCTGTCCCTCGTTACTGGATAGGAGTCCTGATGTCACTGAATAAACAGGAGTTTTTAAGGGCCATCCCCGCTGTAAACCGAGTACATACCCCAGGTCCCCGCCGCAAGTCGAGAAAAACCATGAGACTTTCCCCTAGTGGCGAGATGAGGCCCGATTCTCCTGCAGTGCATGCAGAGCAATTCCGTGATCCCCATCAAACAAGTCAGGACCTTCGACTTGCTTAATGGATCTCGAGACAGTCCCCAAGAATACTGTCACATGTCTAGACGGATCCTGAGGTCACCCCATCAACGCAAAGCAGCACCATGTGCCCCACATCAACTCGAGATAATGCCCGATTCCCCTGCATTGACTCCAGAGCCATCCCCCGATCCACATTAAACACCACCAGTGGCTTGACTTCCTTCAGACAACTCCAGAGATGCCCTGAGAACACTGTCCCAAGTCTAGAGGAACACCATCTTCAGCACAGCAACTCGAGGAATGCTCCGTGTACCCCAAATCGTCTCGAGATGAGAGCTGATTCCCTGGCTTAGGCTCAAGACGTATGCCAACTTTCCAGAAGCACCTCAAGGTGAGGCTTCTCTCATCAATAGGTATGTTGGAGGGACCCCCAGTTTGCTGCCTCAAGTGGAATATGCAGCGAGAAGCCCTAACTTGAAAGGAGGCCGGGTTTCCTTGCAGTGTCTTGAATACAGGCTCGTCTTTCATCTCACAACGGGAAGGAATGTCTGAATCCCCTGTGGAGACCTTAGCGAAAGCCCTAGGTCCCTGCCTCATTTTGACGGATTGCCTCACATCCCGTTGACACCTCGAGAGGCACCCGGAGTTCACTGCTTCAAATGTGATGATGCCTGACTCCTCCTGAACATTGATAGGAATCCCACAATCACTGTGGCTACTGGAAAGGGTTCTTGTGTGCCCTGCCTCACCTCGAGAAGCATCCCTTTTGCCCTGCCAAGGCTCGAAAAGATTCCTGAGGTGTCCCTCATTACTAGACAGGAGTCATGACGTCACTGAATAAACACGTGTTTTCAAGGGCCAAGCCCGCCATAACTCGAGAACATACCCCACGTACCGCCGCGACTCGAGAAAAACCATGAGACTTCCCCTAGATGCGATATGAGGCCTGATTCCCTGCAGTCCATGCAGAGCATTCCCGTGATCCCAATCAAGCAAGTCAGCAGCTTCGAATTGCTTAATGGATCTCGAGAGAGTCCCCAGGAACACTGTCACAAGTCTAGACAGACCCTGACATCACCCCAGGAGAGCAAAGCAGGTCCAAGTACCCCACATCACCTCGAGTTGAGGCCCGATTCCCATGCATTGACTCCAGAGCCATCCCCCGTACCCCATTAAACACCACCAGTGGCTTGACTTCCTTCAGGCAACTACAGAGATGCCCCGAGAACACTGTCCCAAGTCTAGAGGAATACGAACTTCAGCACAGCAACTCGAGGAATGCTCGGTGTACCCCAAATCGTTTCGAGGTGAGAGCTGATTCCATGGCTTAGGCTCAAGACGTATGCCAACTTTCCAGAAGCACCTCAAGCAGAGGATTCTCTCATCAATAGATATGTTGGAGGGACCCCCACTTTGCTGCCTCAAGTGGAATATACAGCGAGAAGCCCTAACTTGAAAGGAGGCCGGATTTCCTTGCAGTGTCTTGAATACAGGCTCGTCTTTCATCTCACAACCGGAAGGGATGTCTGAATCCCCTGTGTAGAACTTAGAGAAAGCCCTAGGTCCCTGCCTCATTTTGACGGATTGCCTCACATCCCGTTGACACCTCGAGAGGCACGCAGAGTTCACTGCTTCAAAAGGTGATGATGCCTGACTCGTCTTGAATATTGATAGGAATCCCCAAATCCCTGTGGCTATTTGAATGGTTCCTTGGGTGTCCTGCCTCACCTCGAGAAGCGTCCCTTGTGCCTGCCAAGCCTGGAAGAGATTCCTGAGCTGTCCCTCGTTACTGGACAGGAGTCCTGACGTCACTGAATAAACAGGAGTTTTTAAGGGCCATCCCCGCTGTAACCCGAGTACATACCCCAGGTCCCCGCCGCAAGTCGAGAAAAACCATGAGACTTTCCCCTAGTGGCGAGATGAGGCCCGATTCTCATGCAGTGCATGCAGAGCAATTCTGAGATCCCCATCAAACAAGTCAGGACCTTCGACTTGCTTAATGGATCTCGAGACAGTCCCCAAGAATACTGTCACATGTCTAGACGGATCCTGAGGTCACCCCATCAACGCAAAGCAGCACCATGTGCCCCACATCGACTCGAGATCATGCCCGATTCCCCTGCATTGACTCCAGAGCCATCCCCCGTTCCACATTAAACACCACCAGTGGCTTGACTTCCTTCAGACAACTCCAGAGATGCCCTAGGAACACTGTCCCAAGTCTAGAGGAACACCATCTTCAGCACAGCAACTCGAGGAATGCTCCGTGTACCCCAAATCGTCTCGAGATGAGAGCTGATTCCCTGGCTTAGGCTCAAGACGTATGCCAACTTTCCAGAAGCACCTCAAGGGGAGGCTTCTCTCAGCAATAGGTATGTTGGAGGGACCCCCAGTTTGCTGCCTCAAGTGGAATATGCAGCGAGAAGCCCTAACTTGAAAGGAGGCCGGGTTTCCTTGCAGTGTCTTGAATACAGGCTCGTCTTTCATCTCACAACGGGAAGGAATGTCTGAATCCCCTGTGGAGACCTTAGCGAAAGCCCTAGGTCCCTGCCTCATTTTGACGGATTGCCTCACATCCCGTTGACACCTCGAGAGGCACCCGGAGTTCACTGCTTCAAATGTGACGATGCCTGACTCCTCCTGAACATTGATAGGAATCCCAAAATCACTGTGGCTACAGGAAAGGGTTCTTGTGTGCCCTGCATCACCTCGAGAAGCATCCCTTTTGCCCTGCCAAGGCTCGAAAAGGTTCCTGAGGTGTCCCTCATTACTAGACAGGAATCATGACGTCACTGAATAAACACGTGTTTTCAAGGGCCAAGCCCGCCATAACTCGAGAACATACCCCACGTACCGCCGCGACTCGAGAAAAACCAGGAGACTTCCCCTAGATGCGATATGAGGCCTGATTCCCTGCAGTCCATGCAGAGCATTCCCGTGATCCCAATCAAGCAAGTCAGCAGCTTCGAATTGCTTAATGGATCTCGAGAGAGTCCCCAGGAACACTGTCACAAGTCTAGACAGACCCTGACATCACCCCAGCAAAGCAAAGCAGGTCCAAGTACCCCACATCACCTCGAGTTGAGGCCCGATTCCCATGCATTGACTCCAGAGCCATCCCCCGTACCCCATTAAACACCACCAGTGGCTTGACTTCCTTCAGGCAACTCCAGAGATGCCCCGAGAACACTGTCCCAAGTCTAGAGGAATACGAACTTCAGCACAGCAACTCGAGGAATGCTCGGTGTACCCCAAATCGTTTCGAGGTGAGAGCTGATTCCATGGCTTAGGCTCAAGACGTATGCCAACTTTCCAGAAGCACCTCAAGCGGAGGATTCTCTCAGCAATAGATATGTTGGAGGGACCCCCACTTTGCTGCCTCAAGTGGAATATACAGCAAGAAGCACTAACTTGAAAGGAGGCCGGATTTCCTTGCAGTGTCTTGAATACAGGCTCGTCTTTCATCTCACAACCGGAAGGGATGTCTGAATCCCCTGTGTAGAACTTAGAGAAAGCCCTAGGTCCCTGCCTCATTTTGACGGATTGCCTCACATCCCGTTGACACCTCGAAAGGCACGCGGAGTTCACTGCTTCAAAAGGTGATGATGCCTGACTCGTCTTGAATATTGATAGGAATCCCAAAATCCCTGTGGCTATTTGAAAGGTTCCTTGGGTGTCCTGCCTCACCTCGAGAAGCATCCCTTGTGCCTGCCAAGCCTCGAAGAGATTCCTGAGCTGTCCCTCGTTACTGGACAGGAGTCCTGACGTCACTGAATAAACAGGAGTTTTTAAGGGCCATCCCCGCTGTAAACCGAGTACATACCCCAGGTCCCCGCCGCAAGTCGAGAAAAACCATGAGACTTTCCCCTAGTGGCGAGATGAGGCCCGATTCTCATGCAGTGCATGCAGAGCAATTCTGAGATCCCCATCAAACAAGTCAGGACCTTCGACTTGCTTAATGGATCTCGAGACAGTCCCCATGAATACTGTCACATGTCTAGACGGATCCTGAGGTCACCCCATCAACGCAAAGCAGCACCATGTGCCCCACATCGACTCGAGATCATGCCCGATTCCCCTGCATTGACTCCAGAGCCATCCCCCGTTCCACATTAAACACCACCAGTGGCTTGACTTCCTTCAGACAACTCCAGAGATGCCCTAGGAACACTGTCCCAAGTCTAGAGGAACACCATCTTCAGCACAGCAGCTCGAGGAATGCTCCGTGTACCCCAAATCGTCTCGAGATGAGAGCTGATTCCCTGGCTTAGGCTCAAGACGTATGCCAACTTTCCAGAAGCACCTCAAGGGGAGGCTTCTCTCAGCAATAGGTATGTTGGAGGGACCCCCAGTTTGCTGCCTCAAGTGGAATATACAGCGAGAAGCCCTAACTTGAAAGGAGGCCGGGTTTCCTTGCAGTGTCTTGAATACAGGCTCGTCTTTCATCTCACAACGGGAAGGAATGTCTGAATCCCCTGTGGAGACCTTAGCGAAAGCCCTAGGTCCCTGCCTCATTTTGACGGATTGCCTCACATCCCGTTGACACCTCGAGAGGCACCCGGAGTTCACTGCTTCAAATGTGACGATGCCTGACTCCTCCTGAACATTGATAGGAATCCCAAAATCACTGTGGCTACAGGAAAGGGTTCTTGTGTGCCCTGCATCACCTCGAGAAGCATCCCTTTTGCCCTGCCAAGGCTCGAAAAGGTTCCTGAGGTGTCCCTCATTACTAGACAGGAGTCATGACGTCACTGAATAAACACGTGTTTTCAAGGGCCAAGCCCGCCATAACTCGAGAACATACCCCACGTACCGCCGCGACTCGAGAAAAACCAGGAGACTTCCCCTAGATGCGATATGAGGCCTGATTCCCTGCAGTCCATGCAGAGCATTCCCGTGATCCCAATCAAGCAAGTCAGCAGCTTCGAATTGCTTAATGGATCTCGAGAGAGTCCCCAGGAACACTGTCACAAGTCTAGACAGACCCTGACATCACCCCAGCAAAGCAAAGCAGGTCCAAGTACCCCACATCACCTCGAGTTGAGGCCCGATTCCCATGCATTGACTCCAGAGCCATCCCCCGTACCCCATTAAACACCACCAGTGGCTTGACTTCCTTCAGGCAACTACAGAGATGCCCCGAGAACACTGTCCCAAGTCTAGAGGAATACGAACTTCAGCACAGCAACTCGAGGAATGCTCGGTGTACCCCAAATCGTTTCGAGGTGAGAGCTGATTCCATGGCTTAGGCTCAAGACGTATGCCAACTTTCCAGAAGCACCTCAAGCGGAGGATTCTCTCAGCAATAGGTATGTTGGAGGGACCCCCACTTTGCTGCCTCAAGTGGAATATACAGCGAGAAGCCCTAACTTGAAAGGAGGCCGGATTTCCTTGCAGTGTCTTGAATACAGGCTCGTCTTTCATCTCACAACCGGAAGGGATGTCTGAATCCCCTGTGTAGAACTTAGAGAAAGCCCTAGGTCCCTGCCTCATTTTGACGGATTGCCTCACATCCCGTTGACACCTCGAGAGGCACGCGGAGTTCACTGCTTCAAAAGGTGATGATGCCTGACTCGTCTTGAATATTGATAGGAATCCCAAAATCCCTGTGGCTATTTGAAAGGTTCCTTGGGTGTCCTGCCTCACCTCGAGAAGCATCCCTTGTGCCTGCCAAGCCTCGAAGAGATTCCTGAGCTGTCCCTCGTTACTGGACAGGAGTCCTGACGTCACTGAATAAACAGGAGTTTTTAAGGGCCATCCCCGCTGTAAACCGAGTACATACCCCAGGTCCCCGCCGCAAGTCGAGAAAAACCATGAGACTTTCCCCTAGTGGCGAGATGAGGCCCGATTCTCCTGCAGTGCATGCAGAGCCATTCCGTGATCCCCATCAAACAAGTCAGGACCTTCAACTTGCTTAATGGATCTCGAGACAGTCCCCAAGAATACGGTCACATGTCTAGACGGATCCTGAGGTCACCCCATCAACGCAAAGCAGCACCATGTGCCCCACATCAACTCGAGATAATGCCCGATTCCCCTGCATTGACTCCAGAGCCATCCCCCGTTCCACATTAAACACCACCAGTGGCTTGACTTCCTTCAGACAACTCCAGAGATGCCCTGAGAACACTGTCCCAAGTCTAGAGGAACACCATCTTCAGCACAGCAACTCGAGGAATGCTCCGTGTACCCCAAATCGTCTCGAGATGAGAGCTGATTCCCTGGCTTAGGCTCAAGACGTATGCCAACTTTCCAGAAGCACCTCAAGGGGAGGCTTCTCTCAGCAATAGGTATGTTGGAGGGACCCCCAGTTTGCTGCCTCAAGTGGAATATGCAGCGAGAAGCCCTAACTTGAAAGGAGGCCGGGTTTCCTTGCAGTGTCTTGAATACAGGCTCGTCTTTCATCTCACAACGGGAAGGAATGTCTGAATCCCCTGTGGAGACCTTAGCGAAAGCCCTAGGTCCCTGCCTCATTTTGACGGATTGCCTCACATCCCGTTGACACCTCGAGAGGCACCCGGAGTTCACTGCTTCAAATGTGATGATGCCTGACTCCTCCTGAACATTGATAGGAATCCCAAAATCACTGTGGCTACTGGAAAGGGTTCTTGTGTGCCCTGCCTCACCTCGAGAAGCATCCCTTTTGCCCTGCCAAGGCTCGAAAAGATTCCTGAGGTGTCCCTCATTACTAGACAGGAGTCATGACGTCACTGAATAAACACGTGTTTTCAAGGGCCAAGCCCGCCATAACTCGAGAACATACCCCACGTACCGCCGCGACTCGAGAAAAACCATGAGACTTCCCCTAGATGCGATATGAGGCATGATTCCCTGCAGTCCATGCAGAGCATTCCCGTGATCCGAATCAAGCAAGTCAGCAGCTTCGAATTGCTTAATGGATCTCGAGAGAGTCCCCAGGAACACTGTCACAAGTCTAGACAGACCCTGACATCACCCCAGCAAAGCAAAGCAGGTCCAAGTACCCCACATCACCTCGAGTTGAGGCCCGATTCCCATGCATTGACTCCAGAGCCATCCCCCGTACCCCATTAAACACCACCAGTGGCTTGACTTCCTTCAGGCAACTACAGAGATGCCCCGAGAACACTGTCCCAAGTCTAGAGGAATACGAACTTCAGCACAGCAACTCGAGGAATGCTCGGTGTACCCCAAATCGTTTCGAGGTGAGAGCTGATTCCATGGCTTAGGCTCAAGACGTATGCCAACTTTCCAGAAGCACCTCAAGCGGAGGATTCTCTCAGCAATAGGTATGTTGGAGGGACCCCCACTTTGCTGCCTCAAGTGGAATATACAGCGAGAAGCCCTAACTTGAAAGGAGGCCGGATTTCCTCGCAGTGTCTTGAATACAGGCTCGTCTTTCATCTCACAACCGGAAGGGATGTCTGAATCCCCTGTGTAGAACTTAGAGAAAGCCCTAGGTCCCTGCCTCATTTTGACGGATTGCCTCACATCCCGTTGACACCTCGAGAGGCACGCGGAGTTCACTGCTTCAAAAGGTGATGATGCCTGACTCGTCTTGAATATTGATAGGAATCCCAAAATCCCTGTGGCTATTTGAAAGTTTCCTTGGGTGTCCTGCCTCACCTCGAGAAGCGTCCCTTGTGCCTGCCAAGCCTCGAAGAGATTCCTGAGCTGTCCCTCGTTACTGGACAGGAGTCCTGACGTCACTGAATAAACAGGAGTTTTTAAGGGCCATCCCCGCTGTAACCCGAGTACATACCCCAGGTCCCCGCCGCAAGTCGAGAAAAACCATGAGACTTTCCCCTAGTGGCGAGATGAGGCCCGATTCTCATGCAGTGCATGCAGAGCAATTCTGAGATCCCCATCAAACAAGTCAGGACCTTCGACTTGCTTAATGGATCTCGAGACAGTCCCCAAGAATACTGTCACATGTCTAGACGGATCCTGAGGTCACCCCATCAACGCAAAGCAGCACCATGTGCCCCACATCGACTCGAGATCATGCCCGATTCCCCTGCATTGACTCCAGAGCCATCCCCCGTTCCACATTAAACACCACCAGTGGCTTGACTTCCTTCAGACAACTCCAGAGATGCCCTAGGAACACTGTCCCAAGTCTAGAGGAACACCATCTTCAGCACAGCAACTCGAGGAATGCTCCGTGTACCCCAAATCGTTTCGAGGTGAGAGCTGATTCCCTGGCTTAGGCTCAAGACGTATGCCAACTTTCCAGAAGCACCTCAAGGGGAGGCTTCTCTCAGCAATGGGTATGTTGGAGGGACCCCCAGTTTGCTGCCTCAAGTGGAATATGCAGCGAGAAGCCCTAACTTGAAAGGAGGCCGGGTTTCCTTGCAGTGTCTTGAATACAGGCTCGTCTTTCATCTCACAACGGGAAGGAATGTCTGAATCCCCTGTGGAGACCTTAGCGAAAGCCCTAGGTCCCTGCCTCATTTTGACGGATTGCCTCACATCCCGTTGACACCTCGAGAGGCACCCGGAGTTCACTGCTTCAAATGTGACGATGCCTGACTCCTCCTGAACATTGATAGGAATCCCAAAATCACTGTGGCTACAGGAAAGGGTTCTTGTGTGCCCTGCATCACCTCGAGAAGCATCCCTTTTGCCCTGCCAAGGCTCGAAAAGGTTCCTGAGGTGTCCCTCATTACTAGACAGGAGTCATGACGTCACTGAATAAACACGTGTTTTCAAGGGCCAAGCCCGCCATAACTCGAGAACATACCCCACGTACCGCCGCGACTCGAGAAAAACCATGAGACTTCCCCTAGATGCGATATGAGGCCTGATTCCCTGCAGTCCATGCAGAGCATTCCCGTGATCCCAATCAAGCAAGTCAGCAGCTTCGAATTGCTTAATGGATCTCGAGAGAGTCCCCAGGAACACTGTCACAAGTCTAGACAGACCCTGACATCACCCCAGCAAAGCAAAGCAGGTCCAGGTACCCCACATCACCTCGAGTTGAGGCCCGATTCCCATGCATTGACTCCAGAGCCATCCCCCGTACCCCATTAAACACCACCAGTGGCTTGACTTCCTTCAGGCAACTCCAGAGATGCCCCGAGAACACTGTCCCAAGTCTAGAGGAATACGAACTTCAGCACAGCAACTCGAGGAATGCTCCGTGTACCCCAAATCGTTTCGAGGTGAGAGCTGATTCCATGGCTTAGGCTCAAGACGTATGCCAACTTTCCAGAAGCCCCTGAAGAGGAGGCTTCTCTCAGCAATAAGTATGTGGGAGGGACCCCGAATTTGCTGCCTCAAGTGGAATATACAGCGAGAAGCCCTAACTTGAAAGGAGGCCGGATTTCCTTGCAGTGGCTTGAATACAGGCTCGTCTTTCATCTCACAGCATGAAGGGATGTCTGAATCCCCTGTGGAGACCTTAGAGAAAGCTCTAGGTCCCTGCCTCATTTTGACGGAATGCCTCACATCCCGTTGACACTTCGAGAGGCACGCGGAATTCACTGCTTCAAAAGGTGATGATGCCTGACTCGTCTTGAATATTGATAGGAATCCCAAAATCCCTGTGGCTATCGGAAAGGTTCCTTGGGTGTCCTGCCTCACCTCGAGAAGCGTCCCTTGTGCCTGCCAAGCCTCGAAGAGATTCCTGAGCTGTCCCTCGTTACTGGACAGGAGTCCTGACGTCACTGAATAAACAGGAGTTTTTAAGGGCCATCCCCGCTGTAACCCGAGTACATACCCCAGGTCCCCGCCGCAAGTCGAGAAAAACCATGAGACTTTCCCCTAGTGGCGAGATGAGGCCCGATTCACCTGCAGTGCATGCAGAGCAATTCCGTGATCCCCATCAAACAAGTCAGGACCTTCGACTTGCTTAATGGATCTCGAGACAGTCCCCAAGAATACTGTCAAATGTCTAGACGGATCCTGAGGTCACCCCATCAACGCAAAGCAGCACCATGTGCCCCACATCAACTCGAGATAATGCCCGATTCCCCTGCATTGACTCCAGAGCCATCCCCCGTTCCACATTAAACACCACCAGTGGCTTGACTTCCTTCAGACAACTCCAGAGATGCCCTGAGAACACTGTCCCAAGTCTAGAGGAACACCATCTTCAGCACAGCAACTCGAGGAATGCTCCGTGTACCCCAAATCGTCTCGAGATGAGAGCTGATTCCCTCGCTTAGGCTCAAGACGTATGCCAACTTTCCAGAAGCACCTCAAGGGGAGGCTTCTCTCAGCAATAGGTATGTTGGAGGGACCCCCAGTTTGCTGCCTCAAGTGGAATATGCAGCGAGAAGCCCTAACTTGAAAGGAGGCCGGGTTTCCTTGCAGTGTCTTGAATACAGGCTCGTCTTTCATCTCACAACGGGAAGGAATGTCTGAATCCCCTGTGGAGACCTTAGCGAAAGCCCTAGGTCCCTGCCTCATTTTGACGGATTGCCTCACATCCCGTTGACACCTCGAGAGGCACCCGGAGTTCACTGCTTCAAATGTGACGATGCCTGACTCCTCCTGAACATTGATAGGAATCCCAAAATCACTGTGGCTACAGGAAAGGGTTCTTGTGTGCCCTGCCTCACCTCGAGAAGCATCCCTTTTGCCCTGCCAAGGCTCGAAAAGATTCCTGAGGTGTCCCTCATTACTAGACAGGAGTCATGACGTCACTGAATAAACACGTGTTTTCAAGGGCCAAGCCCGCCATAACTCGAGAACATACCCCACGTACCGCCGCGACTCGAGAAAAACCAGGAGACTTCCCCTAGATGCGATATGAGGCCTGATTCCCTGCAGTCCATGCAGAGCATTCCCGTGATCCCAATCAAGCAAGTCAGCAGCTTCGAATTGCTTAATGGATCTCGAGAGAGTCCCCAGGAACACTGTCACAAGTCTAGACAGACCCTGACATCACCCCAGCAAAGCAAAGCAGGTCCAAGTACCCCACATCACCTCGAGTTGAGGCCCGATTCCCATGCATTGACTCCAGAGCCATCCCCCGTACCCCATTAAACACCACCAGTGGCTTGACTTCCTTCAGGCAACTCCAGAGATGCCCCGAGAACACTGTCCCAAGTCTAGAGGAATACGAACTTCAGCACAGCAACTCGAGGAATGCTCCGTGTACCCCAAATCGTTTCGAGGTGAGAGCTGATTCCATGGCTTAGGCTCAAGACGTATGCCAACTTTCCAGAAGCCCCTCAAGAGGAGGCTTCTCACAGCAACAGGTATGTGGGAGGGACCCCGAATTTGCTGCCTCAAGTGGAATATACAGCGAGAAGCCCTAACTTTAAAGGAGGCCGGATTTCCTTGCAGTGGCTTGAATACAGGCTCGTCTTTCATCTCACAGCATGAAGGGATGTCTGAATCCCCTGTGGAGACCTTAAAGAAAGCTCTAGGTCCCTGCCTCATTTTGACGGAATACCTCACATCCCGTTGACACCTCGAGAGGCACACGGAGTTCACTGCTTCAAATGTGACGATGCCTGACTCCTCCTGAACATTGATAGGAATCCCAAAATCACTGTGGCTACAGGAAAGGGTTCTTGTGTGCCCTGCCTCACCTCGAGAAGCATCCCTTTTGCCCTGCCAAGGCTCGAAAAGATTCCTGAGGTGTCCCTCATTACTAGACAGGAGTCATGACGTCACTGAATAAACACGTGTTTTCAAGGGCCAAGCCCGCCATAACTCGAGAACATACCCCACGTACCGCCGCGACTCGAGAAAAACCAGGAGACTTCCCCTAGATGCGATATGAGGCCTGATACCCTGCAGTCCATGCAGAGCATTCCCATGATCCCAATCAAGCAAGTCAGCAGCTTCGAATTGCTTAATGGATCTCGAGAGAGTCCCCAGGAACACTGTCACAAGTCTAGACAGACCCTGACATCACCCCAGCAAAGCAAAGCAGGTCCAAGTACCCCACATCACCTCGAGTTGAGGCCCGATTCCCATGCATTGACTCCAGAGCCATCCCCCGTACCCCATTAAACACCACCAGTGGCTTGACTTCCTTCAGGCAACTCCAGGGATGCCCCGAGAACACTGTCCCAAGTCTAGAGGAATACGAACTTCAGCACAGCAACTCGAGGAATGCTCGGTGTACCCCAAATCGTTTCGAGGTGAGAGCTGATTCCATGGCTTAGGCTCAAGACGTATGCCAACTTTCCAGAAGCACCTCAAGCGGAGGATTCTCTCAGCAATAGATATGTTGGAGGGACCCCCACTTTGCTGCCTCAAGTGGAATATACAGCAAGAAGCCCTAACTCGAAAGGAGGCTGGATTTCCTTGCAGTGTCTTGAATACAGGCTCGTCTTTCATCTCACAACCGGAAGGGATGTCTGAATCCCCTGTGTAGAACTTAGAGAAAGCCCTAGGTCCCTGCCTCATTTTGACGGATTGCCTCACATCCCGTTGACACCTCGAAAGGCACGCGGAGTTCACTGCTTCAAAAGGTGATGATGCCTGACTCGTCTTGAATATTGATAGGAATCCCAAAATCCCTGTGGCTATTTGAAAGGTTCCTTGGGTGTCCTGCCTCACCTCGAGAAGCGTCCCTTGTGCCTGCCAAGCCTCGAAGAAATTCCTGAGCTGTCCCTCGTTACTGGATAGGAGTCCTGATGTCACTGAATAAACAGGAGTTTTTAAGGGCCATCCCCGCTGTAAACCGAGTACATACCCCAGGTCCCCGCCGCAAGTCGAGAAAAACCATGAGACTTTCCCCTAGTGGCGAGATGAGGCCCGATTCTCCTGCAGTGCATGCAGAGCAATTCCGTGATCCCCATCAAACAAGTCAGGACCTTCGACTTGCTTAATGGATCTCGAGACAGTCCCCAAGAATACGGTCACATGTCTAGACGGATCCTGAGGTCACCCCATCAACGCAAAGCAGCACCATGTGCCCCACATCAACTCGAGATAATGCCCGATTCCCCTGCATTGACTCCAGAGCCATCCCCCGTTCCACATTAAACACCACCAGTGGCTTGACTTCCTTCAGACAACTCCAGAGATGCCCTGAGAACACTGTCCCAAGTCTAGAGGAACACCATCTTCAGCACAGCAACTCGAGGAATGCTCCGTGTACCCCAAATCGTCTCGAGATGAGAGCTGATTCCCTGGCTTAGGCTCAAGACGTATGCCAACTTTCCAGAAGCACCTCAAGGGGAGGCTTCTCTCAGCAATAGGTATGTTGGAGGGACCCCCAGTTTGCTGCCTCAAGTGGAATATGCAGCGAGAAGCCCTAACTTGAAAGGAGGCCGGGTTTCCTTGCAGTGTCTTGAATACAGGCTCGTCTTTCATCTCACAACGGGAAGGAATGTCTGAATCCCCTGTGGAGACCTTAGCGAAAGCCCTAGGTCCCTGCCTCATTTTGACGGATTGCCTCACATCCCGTTGACACCTCGAGAGGCACCCGGAGTTCACTGCTTCAAATGTGATGATGCCTGACTCCTCCTGAACATTGATAGGAATCCCAAAATCACTGTGGCTACTGGAAAGGGTTCTTGTGTGCCCTGCCTCACCTCGAGAAGCATCCCTTTTGCCCTGCCAAGGCTCGAAAAGATTCCTGAGGTGTCCCTCATTACTAGACAGGAGTCATGACGTCACTGAATAAACACGTGTTTTCAAGGGCCAAGCCCGCCATAACTCGAGAACATACCCCACGTACCGCCGCGACTCGAGAAAAACCATGAGACTTCCCCTAGATGCGATATGAGGCATGATTCCCTGCAGTCCATGCAGAGCATTCCCGTGATCCGAATCAAGCAAGTCAGCAGCTTCGAATTGCTTAATGGATCTCGAGAGAGTCCCCAGGAACACTGTCACAAGTCTAGACAGACCCTGACATCACCCCAGCAAAGCAAAGCAGGTCCAAGTACCCCACATCACCTCGAGTTGAGGCCCGATTCCCATGCATTGACTCCAGAGCCATCCCCCGTACCCCATTAAACACCACCAGTGGCTTGACTTCCTTCAGGCAACTACAGAGATGCCCCGAGAACACTGTCCCAAGTCTAGAGGAATACGAACTTCAGCACAGCAACTCGAGGAATGCTCGGTGTACCCCAAATCGTTTCGAGGTGAGAGCTGATTCCATGGCTTAGGCTCAAGACGTATGCCAACTTTCCAGAAGCACCTCAAGCGGAGGATTCTCTCAGCAATAGGTATGTTGGAGGGACCCCCACTTTGCTGCCTCAAGTGGAATATACAGCGAGAAGCCCTAACTTGAAAGGAGGCCGGATTTCCTCGCAGTGTCTTGAATACAGGCTCGTCTTTCATCTCACAACCGGAAGGGATGTCTGAATCCCCTGTGTAGAACTTAGAGAAAGCCCTAGGTCCCTGCCTCATTTTGACGGATTGCCTCACATCCCGTTGACACCTCGAGAGGCACGCGGAGTTCACTGCTTCAAAAGGTGATGATGCCTGACTCGTCTTGAATATTGATAGGAATCCCAAAATCCCTGTGGCTATTTGAAAGTTTCCTTGGGTGTCCTGCCTCACCTCGAGAAGCGTCCCTTGTGCCTGCCAAGCCTCGAAGAGATTCCTGAGCTGTCCCTCGTTACTGGACAGGAGTCCTGACGTCACTGAATAAACAGGAGTTTTTAAGGGCCATCCCCGCTGTAACCCGAGTACATACCCCAGGTCCCCGCCGCAAGTCGAGAAAAACCATGAGACTTTCCCCTAGTGGCGAGATGAGGCCCGATTCTCATGCAGTGCATGCAGAGCAATTCTGAGATCCCCATCAAACAAGTCAGGACCTTCGACTTGCTTAATGGATCTCGAGACAGTCCCCAAGAATACTGTCACATGTCTAGACGGATCCTGAGGTCACCCCATCAACGCAAAGCAGCACCATGTGCCCCACATCGACTCGAGATCATGCCCGATTCCCCTGCATTGACTCCAGAGCCATCCCCCGTTCCACATTAAACACCACCAGTGGCTTGACTTCCTTCAGACAACTCCAGAGATGCCCTAGGAACACTGTCCCAAGTCTAGAGGAACACCATCTTCAGCACAGCAACTCGAGGAATGCTCCGTGTACCCCAAATCGTTTCGAGGTGAGAGCTGATTCCCTGGCTTAGGCTCAAGACGTATGCCAACTTTCCAGAAGCACCTCAAGGGGAGGCTTCTCTCAGCAATGGGTATGTTGGAGGGACCCCCAGTTTGCTGCCTCAAGTGGAATATGCAGCGAGAAGCCCTAACTTGAAAGGAGGCCGGGTTTCCTTGCAGTGTCTTGAATACAGGCTCGTCTTTCATCTCACAACGGGAAGGAATGTCTGAATCCCCTGTGGAGACCTTAGCGAAAGCCCTAGGTCCCTGCCTCATTTTGACGGATTGCCTCACATCCCGTTGACACCTCGAGAGGCACCCGGAGTTCACTGCTTCAAATGTGACGATGCCTGACTCCTCCTGAACATTGATAGGAATCCCAAAATCACTGTGGCTACAGGAAAGGGTTCTTGTGTGCCCTGCATCACCTCGAGAAGCATCCCTTTTGCCCTGCCAAGGCTCGAAAAGGTTCCTGAGGTGTCCCTCATTACTAGACAGGAGTCATGACGTCACTGAATAAACACGTGTTTTCAAGGGCCAAGCCCGCCATAACTCGAGAACATACCCCACGTACCGCCGCGACTCGAGAAAAACCATGAGACTTCCCCTAGATGCGATATGAGGCCTGATTCCCTGCAGTCCATGCAGAGCATTCCCGTGATCCCAATCAAGCAAGTCAGCAGCTTCGAATTGCTTAATGGATCTCGAGAGAGTCCCCAGGAACACTGTCACAAGTCTAGACAGACCCTGACATCACCCCAGCAAAGCAAAGCAGGTCCAGGTACCCCACATCACCTCGAGTTGAGGCCCGATTCCCATGCATTGACTCCAGAGCCATCCCCCGTACCCCATTAAACACCACCAGTGGCTTGACTTCCTTCAGGCAACTCCAGAGATGCCCCGAGAACACTGTCCCAAGTCTAGAGGAATACGAACTTCAGCACAGCAACTCGAGGAATGCTCCGTGTACCCCAAATCGTTTCGAGGTGAGAGCTGATTCCATGGCTTAGGCTCAAGACGTATGCCAACTTTCCAGAAGCCCCTGAAGAGGAGGCTTCTCTCAGCAATAAGTATGTGGGAGGGACCCCGAATTTGCTGCCTCAAGTGGAATATACAGCGAGAAGCCCTAACTTGAAAGGAGGCCGGATTTCCTTGCAGTGGCTTGAATACAGGCTCGTCTTTCATCTCACAGCATGAAGGGATGTCTGAATCCCCTGTGGAGACCTTAGAGAAAGCTCTAGGTCCCTGCCTCATTTTGACGGAATGCCTCACATCCCGTTGACACTTCGAGAGGCACGCGGAATTCACTGCTTCAAAAGGTGATGATGCCTGACTCGTCTTGAATATTGATAGGAATCCCAAAATCCCTGTGGCTATCGGAAAGGTTCCTTGGGTGTCCTGCCTCACCTCGAGAAGCGTCCCTTGTGCCTGCCAAGCCTCGAAGAGATTCCTGAGCTGTCCCTCGTTACTGGACAGGAGTCCTGACGTCACTGAATAAACAGGAGTTTTTAAGGGCCATCCCCGCTGTAACCCGAGTACATACCCCAGGTCCCCGCCGCAAGTCGAGAAAAACCATGAGACTTTCCCCTAGTGGCGAGATGAGGCCCGATTCACCTGCAGTGCATGCAGAGCAATTCCGTGATCCCCATCAAACAAGTCAGGACCTTCGACTTGCTTAATGGATCTCGAGACAGTCCCCAAGAATACTGTCAAATGTCTAGACGGATCCTGAGGTCACCCCATCAACGCAAAGCAGCACCATGTGCCCCACATCAACTCGAGATAATGCCCGATTCCCCTGCATTGACTCCAGAGCCATCCCCCGTTCCACATTAAACACCACCAGTGGCTTGACTTCCTTCAGACAACTCCAGAGATGCCCTGAGAACACTGTCCCAAGTCTAGAGGAACACCATCTTCAGCACAGCAACTCGAGGAATGCTCCGTGTACCCCAAATCGTCTCGAGATGAGAGCTGATTCCCTCGCTTAGGCTCAAGACGTATGCCAACTTTCCAGAAGCACCTCAAGGGGAGGCTTCTCTCAGCAATAGGTATGTTGGAGGGACCCCCAGTTTGCTGCCTGAAGTGGAATATGCAGCGAGAAGCCCTAACTTGAAAGGAGGCCGGGTTTCCTTGCAGTGTCTTGAATACAGGCTCGTCTTTCATCTCACAACGGGAAGGAATGTCTGAATCCCCTGTGGAGACCTTAGCGAAAGCCCTAGGTCCCTGCCTCATTTTGACGGATTGCCTCACATCCCGTTGACACCTCGAGAGGCACCCGGAGTTCACTGCTTCAAATGTGACGATGCCTGACTCCTCCTGAACATTGATAGGAATCCCAAAATCACTGTGGCTACAGGAAAGGGTTCTTGTGTGCCCTGCCTCACCTCGAGAAGCATCCCTTTTGCCCTGCCAAGGCTCGAAAAGATTCCTGAGGTGTCCCTCATTACTAGACAGGAGTCATGACGTCACTGAATAAACACGTGTTTTCAAGGGCCAAGCCCGCCATAACTCGAGAACATACCCCACGTACCGCCGCGACTCGAGAAAAACCAGGAGACTTCCCCTAGATGCGATATGAGGCCTGATTCCCTGCAGTCCATGCAGAGCATTCCCGTGATCCCAATCAAGCAAGTCAGCAGCTTCGAATTGCTTAATGGATCTCGAGAGAGTCCCCAGGAACACTGTCACAAGTCTAGACAGACCCTGACATCACCCCAGCAAAGCAAAGCAGGTCCAAGTACCCCACATCACCTCGAGTTGAGGCCCGATTCCCATGCATTGACTCCAGAGCCATCCCCCGTACCCCATTAAACACCACCAGTGGCTTGACTTCCTTCAGGCAACTCCAGAGATGCCCCGAGAACACTGTCCCAAGTCTAGAGGAATACGAACTTCAGCACAGCAACTCGAGGAATGCTCCGTGTACCCCAAATCGTTTCGAGGTGAGAGCTGATTCCATGGCTTAGGTTCAAGACGTATGCCAACTTTCCAGAAGCCCCTCAAGAGGAGGCTTCTCACAGCAACAGGTATGTGGGAGGGACCCCGAATTTGCTGCCTCAAGTGGAATATACAGCGAGAAGCCCTAACTTTAAAGGAGGCCGGATTTCCTTGCAGTGGCTTGAATACAGGCTCGTCTTTCATCTCACAGCATGAAGGGATGTCTGAATCCCCTGTGGAGACCTTAAAGAAAGCTCTAGGTCCCTGCCTCATTTTGACGGAATACCTCACATCCCGTTGACACCTCGAGAGGCACACGGAGTTCACTGCTTCAAATGTGACGATGCCTGACTCCTCCTGAACATTGATAGGAATCCCAAAATCACTGTGGCTACAGGAAAGGGTTCTTGTGTGCCCTGCCTCACCTCGAGAAGCATCCCTTTTGCCCTGCCAAGGCTCGAAAAGATTCCTGAGGTGTCCCTCATTACTAGACAGGAGTCATGACGTCACTGAATAAACACGTGTTTTCAAGGGCCAAGCCCGCCATAACTCGAGAACATACCCCACGTACCGCCGCGACTCGAGAAAAACCAGGAGACTTCCCCTAGATGCGATATGAGGCCTGATACCCTGCAGTCCATGCAGAGCATTCCCATGATCCCAATCAAGCAAGTCAGCAGCTTCGAATTGCTTAATGGATCTCGAGAGAGTCCCCAGGAACACTGTCACAAGTCTAGACAGACCCTGACATCACCCCAGCAAAGCAAAGCAGGTCCAAGTACCCCACATCACCTCGAGTTGAGGCCCGATTCCCATGCATTGACTCCAGAGCCATCCCCCGTACCCCATTAAACACCACCAGTGGCTTGACTTCCTTCAGGCAACTCCAGGGATGCCCCGAGAACACTGTCCCAAGTCTAGAGGAATACGAACTTCAGCACAGCAACTCGAGGAATGCTCGGTGTACCCCAAATCGTTTCGAGGTGAGAGCTGATTCCATGGCTTAGGCTCAAGACGTATGCCAACTTTCCAGAAGCACCTCAAGCGGAGGATTCTCTCAGCAATAGATATGTTGGAGGGACCCCCACTTTGCTGCCTCAAGTGGAATATACAGCAAGAAGCCCTAACTCGAAAGGAGGCTGGATTTCCTTGCAGTGTCTTGAATACAGGCTCGTCTTTCATCTCACAACCGGAAGGGATGTCTGAATCCCCTGTGTAGAACTTAGAGAAAGCCCTAGGTCCCTGCCTCATTTTGACGGATTGCCTCACATCCCGTTGACACCTCGAAAGGCACGCGGAGTTCACTGCTTCAAAAGGTGATGATGCCTGACTCGTCTTGAATATTGATAGGAATCCCAAAATCCCTGTGGCTATTTGAAAGGTTCCTTGGGTGTCCTGCCTCACCTCGAGAAGCGTCCCTTGTGCCTGCCAAGCCTCGAAGAAATTCCTGAGCTGTCCCTCGTTACTGGATAGGAGTCCTGATGTCACTGAATAAACAGGAGTTTTTAAGGGCCATCCCCGCTGTAAACCGAGTACATACCCCAGGTCCCCGCCGCAAGTCGAGAAAAACCATGAGACTTTCCCCTAGTGGCGAGATGAGGCCCGATTCTCCTGCAGTTCATGCAGAGCAATTCCGTGATCCCCATCAAACAAGTCAGGACCTTCGACTTGCTTAATGGATCTCGAGACAGTCCCCAAGAATACGGTCACATGTCTAGACGGATCCTGAGGTCACCCCATCAACGCAAAGCAGCACCATGTGCCCCACATCAACTCGAGATAATGCCCGATTCCCCTGCATTGACTCCAGAGCCATCCCCCGTTCCACATTAAACACCACCAGTGGCTTGACTTCCTTCAGACAACTCCAGAGATGCCCTGAGAACACTGTCCCAAGTCTAGAGGAACACCATCTTCAGCACAGCAACTCGAGGAATGCTCCGTGTACCCCAAATCGTCTCGAGATGAGAGCTGATTCCCTGGCTTAGGCTCAAGACGTATGCCAACTTTCCAGAAGCACCTCAAGGGGAGGCTTCTCTCAGCAATAGGTATGTTGGAGGGACCCCCAGTTTGCTGCCTCAAGTGGAATATGCAGCGAGAAGCCCTAACTTGAAAGGAGGCCGGGTTTCCTTGCAGTGTCTTGAATACAGGCTCGTCTTTCATCTCACAACGGGAAGGAATGTCTGAATCCCCTGTGGAGACCTTAGCGAAAGCCCTAGGTCCCTGCCTCATTTTGACGGATTGCCTCACATCCCGTTGACACCTCGAGAGGCACCCGGAGTTCACTGCTTCAAATGTGACGATGCCTGACTCCTCCTGAACATTGATAGGAATCCCAAAATCACTGTGGCTACAGGAAAGGGTTCTTGTGTGCCCTGCATCACCTCGAGAAGCATCCCTTTTGCCCTGCCAAGGCTCGAAAAGGTTCCTGAGGTGTCCCTCATTACTAGACAGGAGTCATGACGTCACTGAATAAACACGTGTTTTCAAGGGCCAAGCCCGCCATAACTCGAGAACATACCCCACGTACCGCCGCGACTCGAGAAAAACCATGAGACTTCCCCTAGATGCGATATGAGGCCTGATTCCCTGCAGTCCATGCAGAGCATTCCCGTGATCCCAATCAAGCAAGTCAGCAGCTTCGAATTGCTTAATGGATCTCGAGACAGTCCCCAGGAACACTGTCACAAGTCTAGACAGACCCTGACATCACCCCAGCAAAGCAAAGCAGGTCCAGGTACCCCACATCACCTCGAGTTGAGGCCCGATTCCCATGCATTGACTCCAGAGCCATCCCCCGTACCCCATTAAACACCACCAGTGGCTTGACTTCCTTCAGGCAACTCCAGAGATGCCCCGAGAACACTGTCCCAAGTCTAGAGGAATACGAACTTCAGCACAGCAACTCGAGGAATGCTCCGTGTACCCCAAATCGTTTCGATGTGAGAGCTGATTCCATGGCTTAGGCTCAAGACGTATGCCAACTTTCCAGAAGCCCCTCAAGAGGAGGCTTCTCTCAGCAATAAGTATGTGGGAGGGACCCCGAATTTGCTGCCTCAAGTGGAATATACAGCGAGAAGCCCTAACTTGAAAGGAGGCCGGATTTCCTTGCAGTGGCTTGAATACAGGCTCGTCTTTCATCTCACAGCATGAAGGGATGTCTGAATCCCCTGTGGAGACCTTAGAGAAAGCTCTAGGTCCCTGCCTCATTTTGACGGAATGCCTCACATCCCGTTGACACTTCGAGAGGCACGCGGAATTCACTGCTTCAAAAGGTGATGATGCCTGACTCGTCTTGAATATTGATAGGAATCCCAAAATCCCTGTGGCTATTTGAAAGGTTCCTTGGGTGTCCTGCCTCACCTCGAGAAGCGTCCCTTTTGCCTGCCAAGCCTCGAAGAGATTCCTGAGCTGTCCCTCGTTACTGGACAGGAGTCCTGACGTCACTGAATAAACAGGAGTTTTTAAGGGCCATCCCCGCTGTAACCCGAGTACATACCCCAGGTCCCCGCCGCAAGTCGAGAAAAACCATGAGACTTTCCCCTAGTGGCGAGATGAGGCCCGATTCTCCTGCAGTGCATGCAGAGCAATTCCGTGATCCCCATCAAACAAGTCAGGACCTTCGACTTGCTTAATGGATCTCGAGACAGTCCCCAAGAATACTGTCAAATGTCTAGACGGATCCTGAGGTCACCCCATCAACGCAAAGCAGCACCATGTGCCCCACATCAACTCGAGATAATGCCCGATTCCCCTGCATTGACTCCAGAGCCATCCCCCGTTCCACATTAAACACCACCAGTGGCTTGACTTCCTTCAGACAACTCCAGAGATGCCCTGAGAACACTGTCCCAAGTCTAGAGGAACACCATCTTCAGCACAGCAACTCGAGGAATGCTCCGTGTACCCCAAATCGTCTCGAGATGAGAGCTGATTCCCTCGCTTAGACTCAAGACGTATGCCAACTTTCCAGAAGCACCTCAAGTGGAGGCTTCTCTCAGCAATAGGTATGTTGGAGGGACCCCCAGTTTGCGGCCTCAAGTGGAATATGCAGCGAGAAGCCCTAACTTGAAAGGAGGCCGGGTTTCCTTGCAGTGTCTTGAATACAGGCTCGTCTTTCATCTCACAACGGGAAGGAATTTCTGAATCCCCTGTGGAGACCTTAGCGAAAGCCCTAGGTCCCTGCCTCATTTTGACGGATTGCCTCACATCCCGTTGACACCTCGAGAGGCACACGGAGTTCACTGCTTCAAATGTGACGATGCCTGACTCCTCCTGAACATTGATAGGAATCCCAAAATCACTGTGGCCACAGGAAAGGGTTCTTGTGTGCCCTGCCTCACCTCGAGAAGCATCCCTTTTGCCCTGCCAAGCCTCGAAAAGATTCCTGAGGTGTCCCTCATTACTAGACAGGAGTCATGACGTCACTGAATAAACACGTGTTTTCAAGGGCCAAGCCCGCCATAACTCGAGAACATACCCCACGTACCGCCGCGACTCGAGAAAAACCAGGAGACTTCCCCTAGATGCGATATGAGGCCTGATTCCCTGCAGTCCATGCAGAGCATTCCCGTGATCCCAATCAAGCAAGTCAGCAGCTTCGAATTGCTTAATGGATCTCGAGAGAGTCCCCAGGAACACTGTCACAAGTCTAGACAGACCCTGACATCACCCCAGCAAAGCAAAGCAGGTCCAAGTACCCCACATCACCTCGAGTTGAGGCCCGATTCCCATGCATTGACTCCAGAGCCATCCCCCGTACCCCATTAAACACCACCAGTGGCTTGACTTCCTTCAGGCAACTCCAGAGATGCCCCGAGAACACTGTCCCAAGTCTAGAGGAATACGAACTTCAGCACAGCAACTCGAGGAATGCTCGGTGTACCCCAAATCGTTTCGAGGTGAGAGCTGATTCCATGGCTTAGGCTCAAGACGTATGCCAACTTTCCAGAAGCACCTCAAGCGGAGGATTCTCTCAGCAATAGGTATGTTGGAGGGACCCCCACTTTGCGGCCTCAAGTGGAATATACAGCGAGAAGCCCTAACTTGAAAGGAGGCCGGATTTCCTTGCAGTGTCTTGAATACAGGCTCGTCTTTCATCTCACAACCGGAAGGGATGTCTGAATCCCCTGTGTAGAACTTAGAGAAAGCCCTAGGTCCCTGCCTCATTTTGACGGATTGCCTCACATCCCGTTGACACCTCGAGAGGCACGCGGAGTTCACTGCTTCAAAAGGTGATGATGCCTGACTCGTCTTGAATATTGATAGGAATCCCAAAATCCCTGTGGTTATTTGAAAGGTTCCTTGGGTGTCCTGCCTCACCTCGAGAAGCGTCCCTTGTGCCTGCCAAGCCTCGAAGAGATTCCTGAGCTGTCCCTCGTTACTGGACAGGAGTCCTGACGTCACTGAATAAACAGGAGTTTTTAAGGGCCATCCCCGCTGTAACCCGAGTACATACCCCAGGTCCCCGCCGCAAGTCAAGAAAAACCATGAGACTTTCCCCTAGTGGCGAGATGAGGCCCGATTCTCCTGCAGTGCATGCAGAGCAATTCCGTGATCCCCATCAAACAAGTCAGGACCTTCGACTTGCTTAATGGATCTCGAGACAGTCCCCAAGAATACTGTCACATGTCTAGACGGATCCTGAGGTCACCCCATCAATGCAAAGCAGCACCATGTGCCCCACATCAACTCGAGATAATGCCCGATTCCCCTGCATTGACTCCAGAGCCATCCCCCGTTCCACATTAAACACCACCAGTGGCTTGACTTCCTTCAGACAACTCCAGAGATGCCCTGAGAACACTGTCCCAAGTCTAGAGGAACACCATCTTCAGCACAGCAACTCGAGGAATGCTCCGTGTACCCCAAATCGTCTCGAGATGAGAGCTGATTCCCTGGCTTAGGCTCAAGACGTATGCCAACTTTCCAGAAGCAACTCAAGGGGAGGCTTCTCTCAGCAATAGGTATGTTGGAGGGACCCCCAGTTTGCTGCCTCAAGTGGAATATGCAGCGAGAAGCCCTAACTTGAAAGGAGGCCGGGTTTCCTTGCAGTGTCTTGAATACAGGCTCGTCTTTCATCTCACAACGGGAAGGAATGTCTGAATCCCCTATGGAGACCTTATCGAAAGCCCTAGGTCCCTGCCTCATTTTGACGGATTGCCTCACATCCCGTTGACACCTCGAGAGGCACCCGGAGTTCACTGCTTCAAATGTGATGATGCCTGACTCCTCCTGAACATTGATAGGAATCCCAAAATCACTGTGGCTACTGGAAAGGTTTCTTGTGTGCCCTGCCTCACCTCGAGAAGCATCCCTTTTGCCCTGCCAAGGCTCGAAAAGATTCCTGAGGTGTCCCTAATTACTAGACAGGAGTCATGACGTCACTGAATAAACACGTGTTTTCAAGGGCCAAGCCCGCCATAACTCGAGAACATACCCCACGTACCGCCGCGACTCGAGAAAAACCATGAGACTTCCCCTAGATGCGATATGAGGCATGATTCCCTGCAGTCCATGCAGAGCATTCCCGTGATCCGAATCAAGCAAGTCAGCAGCTTCGAATTGCTTAATGGATCTCGAGAGAGTCCCCAGGAACACTGTCACAAGTCTAGACAGACCCTGACATCTCCCCAGCAAAGCAAAGCAGGTCCAAGTACCCCACATCACCTCGAGTTGAGGCCCGATTCCCATGCATTGACTCCAGAGCCATCCCCCGTACCCCATTAAACACCACCAGTGGCTTGACTTCCTTCAGGCAACTACAGAGATGCCCCGAGAACACTGTCCCAAGTCTAGAGGAATACGAACTTCAGCACAGCAACTCGAGGAATGCTCGGTGTACCCCAAATCGTTTCGAGGTGAGAGCTGATTCCATGGCTTAGGCTCAAGACGTATGCCAACTTTCCAGAAGCACCTCAAGCGGAGGATTCTCTCAGCAATAGGTATGTTGGAGGGACCCCCACTTTGCTGCCTCAAGTGGAATATACAGCGAGAAGCCCTAACTTGAAAGGAGGCCGGATTTCCTTGCAGTGTCTTGAATACAGGCTCGTCTTTCATCTCACAACCGGAAGGGATGTCTGAATCCCCTGTGTAGAACTTAGAGAAAGCCCTAGGTCCCTGCCTCATTTTGACGGATTGCCTCACATCCCGTTGACACCTCGAGAGGCACGCGGAGTTCACTGCTTCAAAAGGTGATGATGCCTGACTCGTCTTGAATATTGATAGGAATCCCAAAATCCCTGTGGATATTTGAAAGGTTCCTTGGGTGTCCTGCCTCACCTCGAGAAGCGTCCCTTGTGCCTGCCAAGCCTCGAAGAGATTCCTGAGCTGTCCCTCGTTACTGGACAGGAGTCCTGACGTCACTGAATAAACAGGAGTTTTTAAGGGCCATCCCCGCTGTAACCCGAGTACATACCCCAGGTCCCCGCCGCAAGTCGAGAAAAACCATGAGACTTTCCCCTAGTGGCGAGATGAGGCCCGATTCTCATGCAGTGCATGCAGAGCAATTCTGAGATCCCCATCAAACAAGTCAGGACCTTCGACTTGCTTAATGGATCTCGAGACAGTCCCCAAGAATACTGTCACATGTCTAGACGGATCCTGAGGTCACCCCATCAACGCAAAGCAGCACCATGTGCCCCACATCAACTCGAGATCATGCCCGATTCCCCTGCATTGACTCCAGAGCCATCCCCCGTTCCACATTAAACACCACCAGTGGCTTGACTTCCTTCAGACAACTCCAGAGATGCCCTGAGAACACTGTCCCAAGTCTAGAGGAACACCATCTTCAGCACAGCAACTCGAGGAATGCTCCGTGTACCCCAAATCGTCTCGAGATGAGAGCTGATTCCCTGGCTTAGGCTCAAGACGTATGCCAACTTTCCAGAAGCACCTCAAGGGGAGGCTTCTCTCAGCAATAGGTATGTTGGAGGGACCCCCAGTTTGCTGCCTCAAGTGGAATATGCAGCGAGAAGCCCTAACTTGAAAGGAGGCCGGGTTTCCTTGCAGTGTCTTGAATACAGGCTCGTCTTTCATCTCACAACGGGAAGGAATGTCTGAATCCCCTGTGGAGACCTTAGCGAAAGCCCTAGGTCCCTGCCTCATTTTGACGGATTGCCTCGCATCCCGTTGACACCTCGAGAGGCACCCGGAGTTCACTGCTTCAAATGTGATGATGCCTGACTCCTCCTGAACATTGATAGGAATCCCAAAATCACTGTGGCTACTGGAAAGGTTTCTTGTGTGCCCTGCCTCACCTCGAGAAGCATCCCTTTTGCCCTGCCAAGGCTCGAAAAGATTCCTGAGGTGTCCCTCATTACTAGACAGGAGTCATGACGTCACTGAATAAACACGTGTTTTCAAGGGCCAAGCCCGCCATAACTCGAGAACATACCCCACGTACCGCCGCGACTCGAGAAAAACCATGAGACTTCCCCTAGATGCGATATGAGGCCTGATTCCCTGCAGTCCATGCAGAGCATTCCCGTGATCCGAATCAAGCAAGTCAGCAGCTTCGAATTGCTTAATGGATCTCGAGAGAGTCCCCAGGAACACTGTCACAAGTCTAGACAGACCCTGACATCACCCCAGCAAAGCAAAGCAGGTCCAAGTACCCCACATCACCTCGAGTTGAGGCCCGATTCCCATGCGTTGACTCCAGAGCCATCCCCCGTACCCAATTAAACACCACCAGTGGCTTGACTTCCTTCAGGCAACTCGAGAGATGCCCCGAGAACACTGTCCCAAGTCTAGAGGAATACGAACTTCAGCACAGCAACTCGAGGAATGCTCGGTGTACCCCAAATCGTTTCGAGGTGAGAGCTGATTCCATGGCTTAGGCTCAAGACGTATGCCAACTTTCCAGAAGCACCTCAAGCGGAGGATTCTCTCAGCAATAGGTATGTTGGAGGGACCCCCACTTTGCTGCCTCAAGTGGAATATACAGCGAGAAGCCCTAACTTGAAAGGAGGCCGGATTTCCTTGCAGTGTCTTGAATACAGGCTCGTCTTTCATCTCACAACCGGAAGGGATGTCTGAATCCCCTGTGTAGAACTTAGAGAAAGCCCTAGGTCCCTGCCTCATTTTGACGGATTGCCTCACATCCCATTGACACCTCGAGAGGCACGCGGAGTTCACTGCTTCAAAAGGTGATGATGCCTGACTCGTCTTGAATATTGATAGGAATCCCAAAATCCCTGTGGCTATTTGAAAGGTTCCTTGGGTGTCCTGCCTCACCTCGAGAAGCGTCCCTTGTGCCTGCCAAGCCTCGAAGAGATTCCTGAGCTGCCCCTCGTTACTGGACAGGAGTCCGGACGTCACTGAATAAACAGGAGTTTTTAAGGGCCATCCCCGCTGTAACCCGAGTACATACCCCAGGTCCCCGCCGCAAGTCGAGAAAAACCATGAGACTTTCCCCTAGTGGCGAGATGAGGCCCGATTCTCATGCAGTGCATGCAGAGCAATTCTGAGATCCCCATCAAACAAGTCAGGACCTTCGACTTGCTTAATGGATCTCGAGACAGTCCCCAAGAATACTGTCACATGTCTAGACGGATCCTGAGGTCACCCCATCAACGCAAAGCAGCACCATGTGCCCCACATCGACTCGAGATCATGCCCGATTCCCCTGCATTGACTCCAGAGCCATCCCCCGTTCCACATTAAACACCACCAGTGGCTTGACTTCCTTCAGACAACTCCAGAGATGCCCTAGGAACACTGTCCCAAGTCTAGAGGAACACCATCTTCACCACAGCAACTCGAGGAATGCTCCGTGTACCCCAAATCGTCTCGAGATGAGAGCTGATTCCCTGGCTTAGGCTCAAGACGTATGCCAACTTTCCAGAAGCACCTCAAGGGGAGGCTTCTCTCAGCAATGGGTATGTTGGAGGGACCCCCAGTTTGCTGCCTCAAGTGGAATATGCAGCGAGAAGCCCTAACTTGAAAGGAGGCCGGGTTTCCTTGCAGTGTCTTGAATACAGGCTCGTCTTTCATCTCACAACGGGAAGGAATGTCTGAATCCCCTGTGGAGACCTTAGCGAAAGCCCTAGGTCCCTGCCTCATTTTGACGGATTGCCTCACATCCCGTTGACACCTCGAGAGGCACCCGGAGTTCACTGCTTCAAATGTGACGATGCCTGACTCCTCCTGAACATTGATAGGAATCCCAAAATCACTGTGGCTACAGGAAAGGGTTCTTGTGTGCCCTGCATCACCTCGAGAAGCATCCCTTTTGCCCTGCCAAGGCTCGAAAAGGTTCCTGAGGTGTCCCTCATTACTAGACAGGAGTCATGACGTCACTGAATAAACACGTGTTTTCAAGGGCCAAGCCCGCCATAACTCGAGAACATACCCCACGTACCGCCGCGACTCGAGAAAAACCATGAGACTTCCCCTAGATGCGATATGAGGCCTGATTCCCTGCAGTCCATGCAGAGCATTCCCGTGATCCCAATCAAGCAAGTCAGCAGCTTCGAATTGCTTAATGGATCTCGAGAGAGTCCGCAGGAACACTGTCACAAGTCTAGACAGACCCTGACATCACCCCAGCAAAGCAAAGCAGGTCCAGGTACCCCACATCACCTCGAGTTGAGGCCCGATTCCCATGCATTGACACCAGAGCCATCCCCCGTACCCCATTAAACACCACCAGTGGCTTGACTTCCTTCAGGCAACTCCAGAGATGCCCCGAGAACACTGTCCCAAGTCTAGAGGAATACGAACTTCAGCACAGCAACTCGAGGAATGCTCCGTGTACCCCAAATCGTTTCGAGGTTAGAGCTGATTCCATGGCTTAGGCTCAAGACGTATGCCAACTTTCCAGAAGCACCTCAAGCGGAGGATTCTCTCAGCAATAGATATGTTGGAGGGACCCCCACTTTGCTGCCTCAAGTGGAATATACAGCGAGAAGCCCTAACTTGAAAGGAGGCCGGGTTTCCTTGCAGTGGTTTGAATACAGGCTCGTCTTTCATCTCACAGCATGAAGGGATGTCTGAATCCCCTGTGGAGACCTTAGAGAAAGCTCTAGGTCCCTGCCTCATTTTGACGGAATGCCTCACATCCCGTTGACACTTCGAGAGGCACGCGGAATTCACTGCTTCAAAAGGTGATGATGCCTGACTCGTCTTGAATATTGATAGGAATCCCAAAATCCCTGTGGCTATTTGAAAGGTTCCTTGGGTGTCCTGCCTCACCTCGAGAAGCGTCCCTTGTGCCTGCCAAGCCTCGAAGAGATTCCTGAGCTGTCCCTCGTTACTGGACAGGAGTCCTGACGTCACTGAATAAACAGGAGTTTTTAAGGGCCATCCCCGCTGTAACCCGAGTACATACCCCAGGTCCCCGCCGCAAGTCGAGAAAAACCATGAGACTTTCCCCTAGTGGCGAGATGAGGCCCGATTCTCCTGCAGTGCCTGCAGAGCAATTCCGTGATCCCCATCAAACAAGTCAGGACCTTCGACTTGCTTAATGGATCTCGAGACAGTCCCCAAGAATACTGTCACATGTCTAGACGGATCCTGAGGTCACCCCATCAACGCAAAGCAGCACCATGTGCCCCACATCAACTCGAGATAATGCCCGATTCCCCTGCATTGACTCCAGAGCCATCCCCCGTTCCACATTAAACACCACCAGTGGCTTGACTTCCTTCAGACAACTCCAGAGATGCCCTGAGAACACTGTCCCAAGTCTAGAGGAACACCTTCTTCAGCACAGCAACTCGAGGAATGCTCCGTGTACCCCAAATCGTCTCGAGATGAGAGCTGATTCCCGGGCTTAGGCTCAAGACGTATGCCAACTTTCCAGAAGCACCTCAAGGGGAGGCTTCTCTCAGCAATAGGTATGTTGGAGGGACCCCCAGTTTGCTGCCTCAAGTGGAATATGCAGCGAGAAGCCCTAACTTGAAAGGAGGCCGGGTTTCCTTGCAGTGTCTTGAATACAGGCTCGTCTTTCATCTCACAACGGGAAGGAATGTCTGAATCCCCTGTGGAGACCTTAGCGAAAGCCCTAGGTCCCTGCCTCATTTTGACGGATTGCCTCACATCCCGTTGACACCTCGAGAGGCACACGGAGTACACTGCTTCAAATGTGACGATGCCTGACTCCTCCTGAACATTGATAGGAATCCCAAAATCACTGTGGCTACAGGAAAGGGTTCTTGTGTGCCCTGCCTCACCTCGAGAAGCATCCCTTTTGCCCTGCCAAGGCTCGAAAAGATTCCTGAGGTGTCCCTCATTACTAGACAGGAGTCATGACGTCACTGAATAAACACGTGTTTTCAAGGGCCAAGCCCGCCATAACTCGAGAACATACCCCACGTACAGCCGCGACTCGAGAAAAACCATGAGACTTCCCCTAGATGCGATATGAGGCCTGATTCCCTGCATTCCATGCAGAGCATTCCCGTGATCCCAATCAAGCAAGTCAGCAGCTTCGAATTGCTTAATGGATCTCGAGAGAGTAACCAGGAACACTGTCACAAGTCTAGACAGACCGTGACATCACCCCAGCAAAGCAAAGCAGGTCCAAGTACCACACATCACCTCGAGTTGGGGCCCGATTCCCATGCATTGACTCCAGAGCCATCACCCGTACCCTATTAAACACCACCAGTGGCTTGACTTCCTTCAGGCAACTCCAGAGATGCTCCGAGAACACAGTCCCAATTCCAGAGGAATACGAAGTTCAGCACAGCAACTCGAGGAATGCTCCGTGTACCCCAAATCGTTTCGAGGTGAGAGCTGATTCCATGGCTTAGGCTCAAGACGTATGCCAACTTTCCAGAAGCCCCTCAAGCGGAGGATTCTCTCAGCAATAGGTATGTTGGAGGGACCCCCACTTTGCTGCCTCAAGTGGAATATACAGCGAGAAGCCCTAACTTGAAAGGAGGCCGGATTTCCTTGCAGTGGCTTGAATACAGGCTCGTCTTTCATCTCACAGCATGAAGGGATGTCTGAATCCCCTGTGGAGACCTTAAAGAAAGCTCTAGGTCCCTGCCTCATTTTGACGGAATACCTCACATCCCGTTGACACTTCGAGAGGCACGCAGAATTCACTGCTTCAAAAGGTGATGATGCCTGACTCGTCTTGAATATTGATAGGAATCCCAAAATCCCTGTGGCTATTTGAAAGGTTCCTTGGGTGTCCTGCGTCACCTCGAGAAGCGTCCCTTGTGCCTGCCAAGCCTCGAAGAGATTCCTGAGCTGTCCCTCGTTACTGGACAGGAGTCCTGACGTCACTGAATAAACAGGAGTTTTTAAGGGCCATCCCCGCTGTAACCCGAGTACATACCCCAGGTCCCCGCCGCAAGTCGAGAAAAACCATGAGACTTTCCCCTAGTGGCGAGATGAGGCCCGATTCTCCTGCAGTGCATGCAGAGCAATTCCGTGATCCCCATCAAACAAGTCAGGACCTTCGACTTGCTTAATGGATCTCGAGACAGTCCCCAAGAATACGGTCACATGTCTAGATGGATCCTGAGGTCACCCCATCAACGCAAAGCAGCACCATGTGCCCCACATCAACTCGAGATAATGCCCGATTCCCCTGCATTGACTCCAGAGCCATCCCCCGTTCCACATTAAACACGACCAGTGGCTTGACTTCCTTCAGACAACTCCAGAGACGCCCTAGGAACACTGTCCCAAGTCTAGAGGAACACCATCTTCAGCACAGCAACTCGAGGAATGCTCCGTGTACCCCAAATCGTCTCGAGATGAGAGCTGATTCCCTGGCTTAGGCTCAAGACGTATGCCAACTTTCCAGAAGCACCTCAAGGGGAGGCTTCTCTCAGCAATGGGTATGTTGGAGGGACCCCCAGTTTGCTGCCTCAAGTGGAATATGCAGCGAGAAGCCCTAACTTGAAAGGAGGCCGGGTTTCCTTGCAGTGTCTTGAATACAGGCTCGTCTTTCATCTCACAACGGGAAGGAATGTCTGAATCCCCTGTGGAGACCTTAGCGAAAGCCCTAGGTCCCTGCCTCATTTTGACGGATTGCCTCACATCCCGTTGACACCTCGAGAGGCACCCGGAGTTCACTGCTTCAAATGTGACGATGCCTGACTCCTCCTGAACATTGATAGGAATCCCAAAATCACTGTGGCTACAGGAAAGGGTTCTTGTGTGCCCTGCATCACCTCGAGAAGCATCCCTTTTGCCCTGCCAAGGCTCGAAAAGGTTCCTGAGGTGTCCCTCATTACTAGACAGGAGTCATGACGTCACTGAATAAACACGTGTTTTCAAGGGCCAAGCCCGCCATAACTCGAGAACATACCCCACGTACCGCCGCGACTCGAGAAAAACCATGAGACTTCCCCTAGATGCGATATGAGGCCTGATTCCCTGCAGTCCATGCAGAGCATTCCCGTGATCCCAATCAAGCAAGTCAGCAGCTTCGAATTGCTTAATGGATCTCGAGAGAGTAACCAGGAACACTGTCACAAGTCTAGACAGACCCTGACATCACCCCAGCAAAGCAAAGCAGGTCCAGGTACCCCACATCACCTCGAGTTGAGGCCCGATTCCCATGCATTGACACCAGAGCCATCCCCCGTACCCCATTAAACACCACCAGTGGCTTGACTTCCTTCAGGCAACTCCAGAGATGCCCCGAGAACACTGTCCCAAGTCTAGAGGAATACGAACTTCAGCACAGCAACTCGAGGAATGCTCCGTGTACCCCAAATCGTTTCGAGGTTAGAGCTGATTCCATGGCTTAGGCTCAAGACGTATGCCAACTTTCCAGAAGCACCTCAAGCGGAGGATTCTCTCAGCAATAGATATGTTGGAGGGACCCCCACTTTGCTGCCTCAAGTGGAATATACAGCGAGAAGCCCTAACTTGAAAGGAGGCCGGGTTTCCTTGCAGTGGTTTGAATACAGGCTCGTCTTTCATCTCACAGCATGAAGGGATGTCTGAATCCCCTGTGGAGACCTTAGAGAAAGCCCTAGGTCCCTGCCTCATTTTGACGGAATGCCTCACATCCCGTTGACACTTCGAGAGGCACGCGGAATTCACTGCTTCAAAAGGTGATGATGCCTGACTCGTCTTGAATATTGATAGGAATCCCAAAATCCCTGTGGCTATTTGAAAGGTTCCTTGGGTGTCCTGCCTCACCTCGAGAAGCGTCCCTTGTGCCTGCCAAGCCTCGAAGAGATTCCTGAGCTGTCCCTCGTTACTGGACAGGAGTCCTGACGTCACTGAATAAACAGGAGTTTTTAAGGGCCATCCCCGCTGTAACCCGAGTACATACCCCAGGTCCCCGCCGCAAGTCGAGAAAAACCATGAGACTTTCCCCTAGTGGCGAGATGAGGCCCGATTCTCCTGCTGTGCATGCAGAGCAATTCCGTCATCCCCATCAAACAAGTCAGGACCTTCGACTTGCTTAATGGATCTCGAGAGAGTCCCCAAGAATACTGTCACATGTCTAGACGGATCCTGAGGTCACCCCATCAACGCAAAGCAGCACCATGTGCCCCACATCAACTCGAGATAATGCCCGATTCCCCTGCATTGACTCCAGAGCCATCCCCCGTTCCACATTAAACACCACCAGTGGCTTGACTTCCTTCAGACAACTCCAGAGATGCCCTGAGAACACTGTCCCAAGTCTAGAGGAACACCTTCTTCAGCACAGCAACTCGAGGAATGCTCCGTGTACCCCAAATCGTCTCGAGATGAGAGCTGATTCCCTCGCTTAGGCTCAAGACGTATGCCAACTTTCCAGAAGCACCTCAAGGGGAGGCTTCTCTCAGCAATAGGTATGTTGGAGGGACCCCCAGTTTGCTGCCTCAAGTGGAATATGCAGCGAGAAGCCCTAACTTGAAAGGAGGCCGGGTTTCCTTGCAGTGTCTTGAATACAGGCTCGTCTTTCATCTCACAACGGGAAGGAATGTCTGAATCCCCTGTGGAGACCTTAGCGAAAGCCCTAGGTCCCTGCCTCATTTTGACGGATTGCCTCACATCCCGTTGACACCTCGAGAGGCACACGGAGTACACTGCTTCAAATGTGACGATGCCTGACTCCTCCTGAACATTGATAGGAATCCCAAAATCACTGTGGCTACAGGAAAGGGTTCTTGTGTGCCCTGCCTCACCTCGAGAAGCATCCCTTTTGCCCTGCCAAGGCTCGAAAAGATTCCTGAGGTGTCCCTCATTACTAGACAGGAGTCATGACGTCACTGAATAAACACGTGTTTTCAAGGGCCAAGCCCGCCATAACTCGAGAACATACCCCACGTACAGCCGCGACTCGAGAAAAACCATGAGACTTCCCCTAGATGCGATATGAGGCCTGATTCCCTGCAGTCCATGCAGAGCATTCCCGTGATCCCAATCAAGCAAGTCAGCAGCTTCGAATTGCTTAATGGATCTCGAGAGAGTAACCAGGAACACTGTCACAAGTCTAGACAGACCGTGACATCACCCCAGCAAAGCAAAGCAGGTCCAAGTACCACACATCACCTCGAGTTGGGGCCCGATTCCCATGCATTGACTCCAGAGCCATCACCCGTACCCTATTAAACACCACCAGTGGCTTGACTTCCTTCAGGCAACTCCAGAGATGCTCCGAGAACACAGTCCCAATTCCAGAGGAATACGAAGTTCAGCACAGCAACTCGAGGAATGCTCCGTGTACCCCAAATCGTTTCGAGGTGAGAGCTGATTCCATGGCTTAGGCTCAAGACGTATGCCAACTTTCCAGAAGCCCCTCAAGCGGAGGATTCTCTCAGCAATAGGTATGTTGGAGGGACCCCCACTTTGCTGCCTCAAGTGGAATATACAGCGAGAAGCCCTAACTTGAAAGGAGGCCGGATTTCCTTGCAGTGGCTTGAATACAGGCTCGTCTTTCATCTCACAGCATGAAGGGATGTCTGAATCCCCTGTGGAGACCTTAAAGAAAGCTCTAGGTCCCTGCCTCATTTTGACGGAATACCTCACATCCCGTTGACACTTCGAGAGGCACGCAGAATTCACTGCTTCAAAAGGTGATGATGCCTGACTCGTCTTGAATATTGATAGGAATCCCAAAATCCCTGTGGCTATTTGAAAGGTTCCTTGGGTGTCCTGCCTCACCTCGAGAAGCGTCCCTTGTGCCTGCCAAGCCTCGAAGAGATTCCTGAACTGTCCCTCGTTACTGGACAGGAGTCCTGACGTCACTGAATAAACAGGAGTTTTTAAGGGCCATCCCCGCTGTAACCCGAGTACATACCCCAGGTCCCCGCCGCAAGTCGAGAAAAACCATGAGACTTTCCCCTAGTGGCGAGATGAGGCCCGATTCTCCTGCAGTGCATGCAGAGCAATTCCGTGATCCCCATCAAACAAGTCAGGACCTTCGACTTGCTTAATGGATCTCGAGACAGTCCCCAAGAATACGGTCACATGTCTAGATGGATCCTGAGGTCACCCCATCAACGCAAAGCAGCACCATGTGCCCCACATCAACTCGAGATAATGCCCGATTCCCCTGCATTGACTCCAGAGCCATCCCCCGTTCCACATTAAACACGACCAGTGGCTTGACTTCCTTCAGGCAACTGCAGAGACGCCCTGAGAACACTGTCCCAAGTCTAGAGGAACACCATCTTCAGCACAGCAACTCGAGGAATGCTCCGTGTACCCCAAATCGTCTCGAGATGAGAGCTGATTCCCTGGCTTAGGCTCAAGACGTATGCCAACTTTCCAGAAGCACCTCAAGTGGAGGCTTCTCTCAGCAATAGGTATGTTGGAGGGACCCCCAGTTTGCTACCTCAAGTGGAATATGCAGCGAGAAACCCTAACTTGAAAGGAGGCCGGGTTTCCTTGCAGTGTCTTGAATACAGGCTCGTCTTTCATCTCACAACGGGAAGGAATGTCTGAATCCCCTGTGGAGACCTTAGCGAAAGCCCTAGGTCCCTGCCTCATTTTGACGGATTTCCTCACATCCCGTTGACACCTCGAGAGGCACCCGGAGTTCACTGCTTCAAATGTGACGATGCCTGACTATTCCTGAACATTGATAGGAATCCCAAAATCACTGTGGCTACAGGAAAGGGTTCTTGTGTGCCCTGCCTCACCTCGAGAAGCATCCCTTTTGCCCTGCCAAGGCTCGAAAAGATTCCTGAGGTGTCCCTCATTACTAGACAGGAGTCATGACGTCACTGAATAAACACGTGTTTTCAAGGGCCATGCCCGCCATAACTCGAGAACATACCCCACGTACCGCCGCGACTCGAGAAAAACCAGGAGACTTCCCCTAGATGCGATATGAGGCCTGATTCCCTGCAGTCCATGCAGAGCATTCCCGTGATCCCAATCAAGCAAGTCAGCAGCTTCGAATTGCTTAATGGATCTCGAGAGAGTCCCCAGGAACACTGTCACAAGTCTAGACAGACCCTGACATCACCCCAGCAAAGCAAAGCAGGTCCAAGTACCCCACATCACCTCGAGTTGAGGCCCGATTCCCATGCATTGACTCCAGAGCCATCCCCCGTTCCACATTAAACACGACCAGTAGCTTGACTTCCTTCAGGCAACTCCAGAGACGCCCTGAGAACACTGTCCCAAGTCTAGAGGAACACCATCTTCAGCACAGCAACTCGAGGAATGCTCCATGTACCCCAAATCATCTCGAGATGAGAGCTGATTCCCTGGGTTAGGCTCAAGACGTATGCCCACTTTCCAGAAGCACCTCAAGGGGAGACTTCTCTCAGCAATAGGTATGTTGGAGGGACCCCCAGTTTGCTGCCTCAAGAGGAATATACAGCGAAAAGCCCTAACTTGAAAGGAGGCCGGATTTCCTTGCAGTGTCTTGAATACAGGCTCGTCTTTCATCTCACAACCGGAAGGAATGTCTGAATCCTCTGTGGAGACCTTAGAGAAAGCCCTAGGTCCCTGCCTCATTTTGAAGGAATGTCTCACATCCCGTTGACACCTCGAGAGGCACACGGAGTTCACTGCTTCAAAATGTGATGATGCCTGACTCCTCTTGAACATTGATAGGAATCCCTAAATCACTGTAGCTACAGGACAGGGTTCTTGGGTGCCCTGCCTCACCTCGAGAAGCATCCCTTTTGCCTGCCAAGCCTCGAAGAGATTCCTGAGGTGTCTCTCGTTACTAGACAGGAGTCCTGACGTCACTGAATAAACACATGTTTTGAAGGGCCATCCCCGCCATAACTCAAGAACATACCCCAGGTCCCGCCGCAACTCGAGAAAAACCATGAGACTTCCCCTAGATGCGATATGAGGCCTGAGTCCCTGCAGTCCAGGCAGAGCATTCCCATGATCCCCATCAAGCAAGTCAGGAGCTTCGACTTCCTTAATCGAACTCGAGAAAGTCCCCAGGAACACTGTCACAAGACTAGACAGACCCTGAGGTCACCCCAGCAATGTAAAGCAGCTCCAAGTACCCCACATCAACTCGCGATGAGGCCCGATTCCCCTGCATTGACTCCAGAGCCATCCCCCGTACCACATTAAACACCACCAGTGGCTTGACTTCCTTCAGGCAACTCCAGAGATGCCCTGAGAACACTGTCCCAAGTCTAGAGGAATACGAACTTCAGCACAGCAACTCGAGGAATGCTCCGTGTACCCCAAATCGTTTCGAGGTGAGAGCTGATTCCATGGCTTAGGCTCAAGACGTATGCCAACTTTCCAGAAGCACCTCAAGGGGAGGCTTCTCTCAGCAGTAGGTATGTGGGAGGGACCCCGAGTTTGCTGCCTCAAGTGGAATATACAGCGAGAAGCCCTAACTTGAAAGGAGGACGGATTTCCTTGCAGTGGCTTGAATACAGGCTCGTCTTTCATCTCACAGCATGAAGGGATGTCTGAAACCCCTGTGGAGACCTTAGAGAAAGCTCTAGGTCCCTGCCTCTTTTGAGGGAATGCCTCACATCCCGTTGTCACCTCGAGAGGCACGCGGAGTTCACTGCTTCAAAAAGTGACGATGCCTGACTCGTCTTGAATATTGATAGGAATCAAAAAATCACTGTGGCTACTGGAAAGGGTCCTTGGGTGCCCTGCCTCACCTCGAGAAGCATACCTTTTGACCTGCCAAGCCTAGAAGAGATTCCTGAGGTTTCCCTTGTTACTAGACAGGAGTCCTGACGGCACTGAATAAACACGTGTTTTGACGGGCCATCCCCGCCGTAACTCGAGAAGATACCCCAGGTCCCCAGCGCAACTTGAGAGAAACCATGAGACTTCCCCCAAGATGCGAGATGAGTCCTGATTCCCTGCAGTGCATGCAGGGTATTCCCGTGATCCCCATCAAACAAGTCAGGAGCTTCGACTTGCTTAATGGATCTCGAGACAGTCCCCAAGAACACTGTCACAAGTCTAGACGGACCCTGAGGTCACCCCAGCAACGTAAAGCAGCTCCATATGCCCCAAATCAACCCGAAATGTGGCCCGATTCCCCTGCATTGACTCCAGAGCCATCCCCAGTTCCCCATTAAACAAGACCACTGGCTTGACTTCCTTCAGGCAACTCCAGAGATGCCCCGAGAACACTGTCCCAAGACTAGAGGAACACCAACTTCAGCACAGCAACTCGAGGAATGCTCCGTGTACCACAAATCGTCTCGAGATGAGAGCTGAATCGCTGGCTTAGGCTCAAGACGTATGCCAACTTTCCAGAAGCACCTCAAGAGGAGGCTTCTCTCAGCAATAGGTATGTTCGAGGGACCCCGAGTCTGCTGCCTCAAGTGGAATATATAGCGAGAAGCCGTAAATTGAAAGGAGGCCGGATTTCCTTGCAGTGGCTTGAATACAGGATCGTCTTTCATCTCACAGCATGAAGGGATGTCTGAATCCCCTGTGGAGACGTTAGAGAAAGCTCTAGGTCCCTGCCTCATTTTGACGGAATGCCTCACATCCCGTTGTCACCTCGAGAGGCAAGCGGAGTTCAGTGCTTCAAAATGTGACGATGCCTGACTCCTCTTGAATATTGATAGGAATCCCAAAATCCATGTGGCTATCGGAAAGGTTACTTGGGTACCCTGCCTCACCTTGAGAAGCGTCCCTTGTGCACTGCCAAGCCTCGAAGAGATTCCTGAGCTGCCCCTCGTTACTGGACAGGAGTCCTGACGTCACTGAATAAACACGAGTTTTGAAGAGCCATCCCCGTCGTAACCCGAGTACATACCCCAGGTCCCCGCCGCAAGTCGAGAAAAACCATGAGACTTTCCCCTATAGGCGAGATGAGGCCCGATTCTCCTGCAGTGCATGCAGAGCAATTCCGTGATCCCCATCAAACAAGTCAGGACCTTCGACTTGCTTAATGGATCTCGAGACAGTCCCCAAGAATACTGTCACATGTCTAGACGGATCCTGAGGTCACCCCATCAACGCAAAGCAGCACAATGTGCCCCAAATCAACTCGGGATGATGGCAGATTCCCCTGCATTGACCCTAGAGCCATCCCCCGTTCCCCATTAAACACGACTAGTGGCTTGACTTCCTTCAGGCAACTCCAGAGATGCCCCGAGAACACTGTCCCAAGTCTAGAGGAACACCAACTTCAGCACAGCAACTCGAGGAATGCGCCGTGTACCCCAAATCGTCTCGAGATGAGAGCTGATTCCCTGGCCTAGGTTCAAGACGTATGCCAACTTTCCAGAAGCACCTCAAGCAGAGGATTCTCTCAGCAATAGGTATGTTGGAGGAACCTCCACTTTGCTGCCTCAAGTGGAATATACAGCGAGAAGCCCTAACTTGAAAGGAGGCCCGGTTTCCTTGCAGTGTCTTGAATACAGGCTCGTCTTTCATCTCACAACAGGAAGGGATGTCTGAATCCCCTGTGGAGACCTTAGAGAAAGCCCTAGGTCCCTGCTTCATTTTGACGGAATGTCTCACATCACGTTGACACCTCGAGAGGCACACGGAGTTCACTGCTTCAAAATGTGACGATGCCTGACTCCTCCTGAACATTGATAGGAATCCCAAAATCACTGTAGCTACAGGACAGGGTTCTTGGGTGCCCTGCCTCACCTCGAGAAGCATCCCTTTTGCCCTGCCAAGCCTCGAAGAGATTCCTGAGGTGTCTCTCATTACTAGACAGGAGTCCTGACGTCACTGAATAAACACGTGTTTTGAAGGGCCATCCCCGCCATAACTCGAGAACATACCCCACGTACAGCCGCGACTCGAGAAAAACCATGAGACTTCCCCTAGAGGCGAGATGAGGCCTGATTCCCTGCAGTCCATGAAGAGCATTCCCGTGATCCCCATCAAACAAGTCAGGAGCTTCGACTTGCTTAATGGATCTCCAGAGAGTCCCCAGGAACACTGTCACAAGTCTAGACAGACCCTGAGGTCACCCCAGCAATGCAAAGCAGCTGCAAGTACCCCACATCAACTCGAGATGAGGCCCGATTCCCATGCATTGACTCCAGAGCCATCCCCCGTACCCCATTAAACACAACCATTGGCTTGACTTCCTTCCGGCAACACCAGAGATGCCCCAAGAACACTGTCCCAAGTCTAGAGGAATACAAACTTCAGCACAGCAACTCGAGGAATGCTACGTGTACCCCAAATCGTTTCGAGGTGAGAGCTGATTCCATGGCTTAGGCTCAAGACGTATGCCAACTTTCCAGAAGCCCCTCAAGAGGAGGTTTCTCTCAGCAATAGGTATGTGGGAGGGACCCCGAGTTTGCTGCCTCAAGTGGAATATACACCCAGAAGCCCTAACTTGAAAGGAGGCCGGATTTCCTTGCAGTGGCTTGAATACAGGCTCGTCTTTCATCTCACAGCATGAAGGGGTGTCTGAAGCCCCTGTGTAGACCTTAGAGAAAGCTCTAGGTCCCTGCCTCATTTTGACGGAATGCCTCACATCCCATTGACACCTCGAGAGGCACGCGGAGTTCACTGCTTCAAAAGGTGATGATGCCTGACTCGTCTTGAATATTGATAGGAATCCCAAAATCACTGTGGCTACTGGAAAGGGTCCTTGGGTGCCCTGCCTCTCCTCGAGAAGCATACCTTTTGACCTGCCAAGCCTCGAAGAGATTCCTGAGGTGTCCTTCGTTACTAGACAGGAGTCCTGACGGCACTGAATAAACACGGGTTTTGAGGGGCCATCCCCTCCGTAACTCGAGAAGATTCCCCAGGTCCCCCGCGCAACTTGAAAGAAACCGTGAGACTTCCCCCTAGATGCGAGATGAGTCCTGATTCCCTGCAGTGCATGCAGAGTATTCCCGTGATCCCCAGCAAACAAGTCAGGAGCTTCGACTTGCTTAATTGAACTCGAGAAAGTCCCCAGGAACACTGTCACAAGTCTAGACAGACCCTGAGGTCACCTCAGCAATGCAAAGCAGCTGCAAGTACCCCACATCAACTCGAGATGAGGCCCGATTCCCATGCATTGACTCCAGAGCCATCCCCAGTTCCCCATTAAACAAGACCACTGGCTTGTCTTCCTTCAGACAACTCCAGAGATGCCCCGAGAACACTGTACCAAGACTAGAGGAACACCAACTTCAGTACAGCAACTAGAGGAATGCCCCGTGTACCACAAATCGTCTCGAGATGAGAGCTGATTCCCTGGCTTAGGCTCAAGACGTATGCCAACTTTCCAGAAGCACCTCAAGAGGAGGCTTCTCTCAGCAATAGGTATGTTCGTGGGACCCCGAGTTTGCTGCCTAAAGTGGAATATACAGCGAGAAGCCCTAACTTGAATGGAGGCCGGATTTCCTTGCAGTGTCTTGAATACAGGCTCGTATTTCATCTCACAACAGGAAGGGATGTCTGAATCCCCTGTGGAGACCATAGAGAAAGCCCTAGGTCCCTGCCTCATTTTGACGGAATGCCTCACTTCCCGTTGACACCACGAGAGGCACGCGGAGTTCACTGCTTCAAAATGTGACGATGCCTGACTCCTCTTGAATATTGATACGAATCCCAAAATCCCTGTGGCTATTGGAAAGTTTCCTTGGGTGCCCTGCCTCATCTCGAGAAGCGTCCCTTGTGCCCCGGCAAGCCTCGAAGAGATTCCTGCGCTGTCCCTTGTTACTGGAGAGGAGTCCTGACGTCACTGAATAAACACGTGTTTTGAAGGGCCATCGCCGCCGTAACTCGAGTATATACCCCAGGTCCCCGCCGCAACTCGAGAAAAACCATGAAACTTTCCCCTAGAGGCGAGATGAGGCCCGGTTCTCCTGCACTGCATGCAGAGCAATTCCGTGATCCCCATCCAACAAGTCAGGAGCTTCGATTTGCTTAATGGATCTCGAGACATTCCCCAAGAACACTGTCACATGTCTAGACGGACCCTGAGGTATCCCCAGCAATGCAAAGCAGCTCCATGTGCCCCAAATCAACATGAGATGAGGTCCGATTCCCCTGTATTGACTCCAGAGCCATCTGCTGTTCCGCATTAAACACCACCAGTGGCTTGACCTCCTTCAGACAACTCCAGAGATGCCCCGAGAACACTGTCCCTAGTCTAGAGGAACACCTACTTTAGCACAGCAACTCGAGGAATGCTTCCTGTATGCCAAATCCTCTCAAGATGAGAGCTGATTCCCTGGCTTAGGCTCAAGACGTATGCCAACTTTCCAGAAGCACTTCAAGAGGAGGATTCTCTCAGCAATATGTCTGTGGGAGGGAACCCGAGTTTGCTGCCTCAAATGGAATATACAGCGAGAAGCACTAACTAGAAAGGAGGCTGGTTTCCTAGCAGTGTCTTGAATACAGGCTCGTCTTTCATCTCACAGCAGGAAGAGATGTCTGAATCCCCTGTGGAGACTTTAGAGAAAGCCCTAGGTCCCTGCCACATTTTGACGGAATGCCTCACATCCGGTTGACACCTCGAGAGTCACGCGGAGTTCACTGCTTCAAAAGCTGACGATGCCTGACTCCTCTAAAATATTGATAGGAATCACAAAATCCCTGTGGCTATTTGAAAGGTTCCTTGGGTGCCCTGCCTCACCTCGAGAAGCGTCCCTTGTGCCTGCCAAGCCTCGAAGAGATTCCTGAGCTGTCCCTCGTTACTGGACAGGAGTCCTGACGTCACTGAATAAACACGAGTTTTTAAGGGCCATCCCCGCCGTAACCCGAGTACATACCCCAGGTCCCCGTCGCAAGTCGAAAAAAACCATGAGACTTTCCCCTCGTGGCGAGATGAGGCCCGATTCTCCTGCAGTGCATGCAGAGCAATTCCGTGATCCCCAGCAAACAAGTCAGGACCTTCGACTTGCTTAATGGATCTCGAGACAGTCCCCAAAAAAACTGTCACATGTCTAGACGGATCCTGAGGTCACCCCATCAACGCAAAGCAGCACCATGTGCCCCACATCAACTCGAGATAATGCCCGAATCCCCTGCATTGACTCCAGAGCCATCCCACGTTCCACATTAAGCACCACCAGTGGCTTGACTTCCTTCAGACAACTCCAGAGATGCCCTGAGAACACTGTCCCAAGTCTAGAGGAACACCATCTTCAGCACAGCAACTCGAGGAATGCTCCGTGTACCCCAAATCGTCTCGAGATGAGAGCTGATTCCCTGGCTTAGGCTCAAGACGTATGCCAACTTTCCAGAAGCACCTCAAGGGGAGGCTTCTCTCAGCAAAAGGTATGTTGGAGGGACCCCCAGTTTGCTGCCTCAAGTGGAATATGCAGCAAGAAGCCCTAACTTGAAAGGAGGCCGGGTTTCCTTGCAGTGTCTTGAATACAGGCTCGTCTTTCATCTCACAATGGGAAGGAATGTCTGAATCCCCTGTGGAGACCTTAGCAAAAGCCCTAGGTCCCTGCCTCATTTTGACGGATTGCCTCACATCCCGTTGACACCTCGGGAGGCACACGGAGTTCACTGCTTCAAATGTGACGATGCCTGACTCCTCCTGAACATTGATAGGAATCCCAAAATCACTGTGGCTACAGGAAAGGGTTCTTGTGTGCCCTGCCTCACCTCGAGAAGCATCCCTTTTGCCCTGCCAAGGCTCGAAGAGATTCCTGAGGTGTCCCTCATTACTAGACAGGAGTCATGACGTCACTGAATAAACACGTGTTTTCAAGAGCCATGCCCGCCATAACTCGAGAACATACCCCAGGTCCCGACGCAACTCGAGAAAAACGATTAGGCTTCCCCTAGATGCGATATGAGGCTTGATTCCCTGCAGTACATGCAGAGCATTCCCGTGATCCCAATCAAGCAATCAGCAGCTTCAAATTGCTTAATGGATCTCGAGAGAGTCCCCAGGAACACTGTCACAAGTCTAGACAGACAGTGACATCACCCTAGCAACGCAAAGCAGCTCCAAGTACCCCACATCAACTCGAGTTGAGGCCCGATTCCCATGCATTGACTCCTGAGCTATCCCCCGTACCCCATTAAAGCACAACCAGTGGATTGATTTCCTTCAGGCAACTCCAGAGATGCCCCGAGAACACTGTCCCAAGTCTAGAGGAATACGAACTTCAGCAAAGCAACTCGAGGAATGCTCCGTGTACCCCAAATCGTTTCGAGGTGAGAGCTGATTCCATGGCTAGGCTCAAGACGTATGCCAACTTTCCAGAAGCACCTCAAGAGGAGGCTTCTCTCAGCAATCGGTATGTGGGAGGGAACACGAGTTTGCTGCCTCAAGTGGAATATACAGTGAGAAGCCCTAACTTGAAAGGAGGCCGGATTTCCTGGCAGTGTGTTGAATACAGGCTCGTCTTTCATCTCACAACAGGAAGGGATGTCTGAATCCCCTGTGGAGACCTTAGAGAAAGCCCTAGGTCCCTGCCTCATTTTGACGGAATGTCTCACATCCCGTTGACACCTCGAGAGGCACACGGAGTTCACTGCTTCAAAATGTGACGATGCCTGACTCCTCCTGAACATTGATAGGAATCCCAAAATCACTGTAGCTACAGGACAGGGTTCTTTGGTGCCCTGCCTCACCTCGAGAAGCATCCCTTTTGCCCTGCCAAGCCTCGAAGAGATTCCTGAGGTGTCTCTCGTTACTAGACAGGAGTCCTGACGTCACTGAATAAACACGTGTTTTGAAGGGCCATCCCCGCCGTAACTCGAGAACATACCCCAGTTCGCGCCGCAACTCGAGTAAAACCATGAGATTTCCCCTAGAGGCGAGATGAGGCCTGATTCCCTGCAGTCCATGAAGAGCATTCGCGTGATCCCCATCAAGCAAGTCAGGAGCTTCGACTTACTTAATTGAACTCGAGAAAGTCCCCAGGAACACTGTCACAAGTCTAGACAGACCCTGAGGTCACCCCAGCAATGCAAAGCAGCTGCAAGTACCCCACATCAACTCGAGATGAGGCCCGATTCCCATGCATTGACTCCAGAGCCATCCCCAGTTCCCCATTAAACAAGACCACTGGCTTGTCTTCCTTCAGACAACTCCAGAGATGCCCCGAGAACACTGTGCCAAGACTAGAGGAACACCAACTTCAGCACAGCAACTCGAGGAATGCCCCGTGTACCACATATCGTCTCGAGATGAGAGCTGATTCCCTGGCTTAGGCTCAAGACGTATGCCAACTTTCCAGAAGCACCTCAAGAGGAGGCTTCTCTCAGCAATAGGTATGTTCGTGGGACCCCGAGTTTGCTGCCTAAAGTGGAATATACAGCGAGAAGCCCTAACTTGAATGGAGGCCGGATTTCCTTGCAGTGTCTTGTATACAGGCTCGTCTTTCCTCTCACAACAGGAAGGGATGTCTGAATCCCCTGTGAAGACCTTTGAGAAAGCCCTAGGTCCCTGCCTCATTGTGACGGAATGCCTCACATCCCGTTGACACCACGAGAGGCACGCGGAGTTCACTGCTTCAAAAGGTGACGATGCCTGACTCCTCTTGAATATTGATAGGAATCCCAAAATCCCTGTGGCTATTGGAAAGGTTCCTTGGGTGCCCTGCCTCATCTCGAGAAGCGTCCCTTGTGCCCCGGCAAGCCTCGAAGAGATTCCTGAGCTGTCCCTCGTTACTGGACAGGAGTCCTGACGTCACTGAATAAACACGTGTTTTGAAGGGCCATCGCCGCCGTAACTCGAGTATATACCCCAGGTCCCCGCCGCAACTCGAGAAAAACCATGAGACTTCCGCCTAGAGGCGAGATGAGGCCCGATTCTCCTGCAGTGCATGCAGAGCAATTCCGTGATCCCCATCAAACAAGTCAGGAGCTTCGACTTGCTTAATGGATCTCGAGACATTCCCCAAGAACACTGTCACATGTCTAGACGGACCCTGAGGTATCCCCAGCAAAGCAAAGCAGCTCCATGTGCCCCAAATCAACTTGAGATGAGGTCAGATTCCCCTGCATTGACTCCAGAGCCATCTGCCGTTCCACATTAAACACCACCAGTGGCTTGACCTCCTTCAGACAACTCCAGAGATGCCCCGAGAACACTGTCCCAAGTCTAGAGGAACACCTACTTTAGCACAGCAACTCGAGGAATGCTTCCTGAATGCCAAATCTTCTCGAGTTGAGAGTTGATTTCCTGGCTTAGGCTCAAGACGTATGCCAACTTTCCAGAAGCACCTCAAGAGGAGGCTTCTCTCAGCAATAGGTATGTGGGAGGGAACCCGAGTTTGCTGCCTCAAATGGAATATACAGTGAGAAGCACTAACTAGAATGGAGGCCGGTTTCCTAGCAGTGTCTTGAATACAGGCTCGTCTTTCATCTCACAGCAGGAAGAGATGTCTGAATCCCCTGTGGAGACCTTACAGAAAGCCCTAGGTCCCTGCCTCATTTTGACGGAATGCCTCACATCCCGTTGACACCTCGAGAGTCACGCGGAGTTCACTGCTTCAAAAGCTGACGATGCCTGACTCCTCCTGAACATTGATAGGAATCCCAAAATCACTGTAGCTACAGGACAGGGTTCTTGGGTGCCCTGCCTCACCTCGAGAAGCATCCCTTTTGCCCTGCCAAGCCTCGAAGTGATTCCTGAGCTGTCCCTCGTTACTGGACAGGAGTCCTGACGTCACTGAATAAACACGAGTTTTTAAGGGCCATCCCCGCCGTAATCCGAGTACATACCCCAGGTCCCTGCCGCAAGTCAAGAAAAACCATGAGACTTTCCCCTAGTGGCGAGATGAGGCCCGATTCTCCTGCAGTGCATGCAGAGCAATTCCATGATCCCCATCAAACAAGTCAGGACCTTCGACTTGCTTAATGGATCTCGAGACAGTCCCCAGGAATACTATCACATGTCTAGTTGGATCCTGAGGTCACCCCATCAACGCAAAGCAGCACCATGTGCCCCACATCAACTCGAGATAATGCCCGATTCCCCTGCATTGACTCCAGAGCCATCCCCCGTTCCAGATTAAACAAAACCAGTGGCTTGACTTCCTTCAGACAACTCCAGAGATGCCCTGAGAACACTGTCCCAAGTCTAGAGGAACACCATCTTCAGCACAGCAACTCGAGGAATGCTCTGTGTACCCCAAATCGTCTCGAGATGAGAGCTGATTACCTGGCTTATGCTCAAGACGTATGCCAACTTTCCAGAAGCACCTCAAGGGGAGGCTTCTCTCAGCAATAGTTATGTTGGAGGGACCCCCAGTTTGCTGCCTCAAGTGGAATATGCAACGAGAAGCCCTAACTTGAAAGGAGGCCGGGTTTTCTTGCAGTGTCTTGAATACAGGCTCGTCTTTCATCTCACAACCGGAAGGATTGTCTGAATCCCCTGTGGAGACCTTAGCGAAAGCCCTAGGTCCCTGCCTCATTTTGACGGATTGCCTCACAGCCCGTTGACACCTCGGGAGGCACACGGAGTTCACTGCTTCAAATGTGACGATGCCTGACCCCTCCTGATCATTGATAGGAATCCCAAAATCACTGTGGCTACAGGAAAGGGTTCTTGTGTGCCCTGCCTCACCTCGAGAAGCATCCCTTTTGCCCTGCCAAGGCTCGAAGAGATTCCTGAGGTGTCCCTCATTACTAGACAGGAGTCATGACGTCACTGAATAAACACGTGTTTTCAAGGGCCATGCCCGCCATAACTCGAGAACATACCCCAGGTCCCGCCGCAACTCGAGAAAAACCATGAGACTTCCCCTAGATGCGAGATGAGGGCTGATTCCCTGCAGTCCATGCAGAGCATTCCCGTAATCCCAATCAAGCAAGTCAGCAGCTTCGAATTTCTTAATGGATCTCGAGATTGTCCCCAGGAACACTGTCACAAGTCTAGACAGATCCTGACATCACCCCAGCAGCGCAAAGCAGCACCAAGTACCCCATATCAACTCGCGTTGAGGCCCGATTCCCATGCATTGACTCCAGAGCCATCCCCCGTACCCCATTAAACACCACCAGTGGCTTGACTTCCTTCAGGCAACTCCAGAGATGCCCCGAGAACACTGTCCCAAGTCTAGAGGAATACGAACTTCAGCACAGCAACTCGAGGAATGCTCCGTGTATCCCAAATCGTTTCGAGGTGAGAGCTGATTCCATGGCTTAGGCTCAAGACGTATGCCAACTTTCCAGAAGCCCCTCAAGAGGAGGATTCTCTCAGCAATAGGTATGCTGGAGGGACGCCCACTTTGCTGCCTCAAGTGGAATATACAGCGAGAAGCCCTAACTTGAAAGGAGGCCGGATTTCCTTGCAGTGTCTTGAATACAGGCTCGTCTTTCATCTCACAACCGGAAGGGATGTCTGAATCCCCTGTGGAGAACTTAGAGAAAGCCCTAGGTCCCTGCCTCATTTTGACAGATTGCCTCACATCCCGTTGACACCTCGAGAGGCACGCGGAGTTCACTGCTTCAAAAGGTGATGCTGCCTGACTAGTCTTGAATATTGATAGGAATCCCAAAATCCCTGTGGCTAATTGAAAGGTTCCTTGGGTGTCCTGCCTCAACTCGAGAAGCGTCCCTTGTGCCTGCCAAGCCTAGAAGAGATTCCTGAGCTGTCCCTCGTTACTGGACAGGAGTCCTGACGTCACTGAATAAACAGGAGTTTTTAAGGGCCATCCCCGCTGTAACCCGAGTACATATCCCAGGTCCCCGCCGCAAGTCGAGAAAAACCATGAGACTTTCCCCTAGTGGCGAGATGAGGCCCGATTCTCCTGCAGTGCATGCAGAGCAATTCCGTGATCCCCATCAAACAAGTCAGGACCTTCGACTTGCTTAATGGATATCGAGACAGTCCCCAAGAATACTGTCACATGTCTAGACGGATCCTGAGGTCACCCCATCAACGCAAAGCAGCACTATGTGCCCCACATCAACTCGAGATAATGCCCGATTCCCCTGCATTGACTCCAGAGCCATCCCCCGTTCCACATTAAACACCACCAGTGGCTTGACTTCCTTCAGACAACTCAAGATATGCCCTGAGAACACTGTCCCAAGTCTAGAGGAACACCATCTTCAGCACAGCAACTCGAGGAATGCTCCGTGTACCCCAAATCGTCTGGAGATGAGAGCTGATTCCCTGGCTTAGGCTCAAGACGTATGCCAACTTTCCAGAAGCACCTCAAGGGGAGGCTTCTCTCAGCAATAGGTATGTTGGAGGGACCCCCAGTTTGCTGCCTCAAGTGGAATATGCAGCGAGAAGCCCTAACTTGAAAGGAGGCCGGGTTTCCTTGCAGTGTCTTGAATACAGGCTCGTCTTTCATCTCACAATGGGAAGGAATGTCTGAATCCCCTGTGGAGACCTTAGCGAAAGCCCTAGGTCCCTGCCTCATTTTGACGGATTGCCTCACATCCCGTTGACACCTGGAGAGGCACCCGGAGTTCACTGCTTCAAATGTGACGATGCCTGACTCCTCCTGAACCTTGATAGGAATCCCAAAATCACTGTGGCTACAGGAAAGGGTTCTTGTGTGCCCTGCCTCACCTCGAGAAGCATCCCTTTTGCCCTGCCAAGGCTCGAAAAGATTCCGGAGGTGTCCCTCATTACTAGACAGGAGTCATGACGTCACTGAATAAACACGTGTTTTCAAGGGCCAAGCCCGCCATAACTCGAGAACATACCCCACGTACCGCCGCGACTCGAGAAAAACCATGAGACTTCCCCTAGATGCGATATGAGGCATGATTCCCTGCAGTCCATGCAGAGCATTCCTGTGATCCCAATCAAGCAAGTCAGCAGCTTCGAATTGCTTAATGGATCTCGAGAGAGTCCCCAGGAACACTGTCACAAGTCTAGACAGACCCTGACATCACCCCAGCAAAGCAAAGCAGGTCCAAGTACCCCACATCACCTCGAGTTGAGGCCGGATTCCCATGCATTGACTCCAGAGCCATCCCCCGTTCCACATTAAACACGGCCAGTAGCTTGACTTCCTTCAGGCAACTCCAGAGACGCCCTGAGAACACTGTCCCAAGTCTAGAGAAACACCATCTTCAGCACAGCAACTCGAGGAATGCTCCGTGTACCCCAAATCGTCTCGAGATGAGAGCTGATTCCCTGGCTTAGGCTCAAGACGTATGCCAACTTTCCAGAAGCACCTCAAGCAGAGGATTCTCTCAGCAATAGGTATGTTGGAGGGACCCCCAGTTTGCTGCCTCAAGAGGAATATACAGCGAAAAGCCCTAACTTGAAAGGAGGCCGGATTTCCTTGCAGTGTCTTGAATACAGGCTCGTCTTTCATCTCACAACAGGAAGGAATGTCTGAATCCTCTGTGGAGACCTTAGAGAAAGCCCTAGGTCCCTGCCTCATTTTGAAGGAATGTCTCACATCCAGTTGACACCTCGAGAGGCACACGGAGTTCACTGCTTCAAAATATGATGATGCCTGACTCCTCTTGAACATTGATAGGAATCCCTAAATCACTGTAGCTACAGGACAGGGTTCTTGGGTGCCCTGCCTCACCTCGAGAAGCATCCCTTTTGCCTGCCAAGCCTCGAAGAGATTCCTGAGGTGTCTCTCGTTACTAGACAGGAGTCCTGACGTCACTGAATAAACACATGTTTTGAAGGGCCATCCCCGCCATAACTCAAGAACATACCCCAGGTCCCGCCGCAACTCGAGAAAAACCATGAGACTTCCCCTAGATGCGATATGAGGCCTGATTCCCTGCAGTCCAGGCAGAGCATTCCCATGATCCCCATCAAGCAAGTCAGGAGCTTCGACTTCCTTAATCGAACTCGAGAAAGTCCCCAGGAACACTGTCACAAGACTAGACAGACCGTGAGGTCACCCCAGCAATGTAAAGCATCTCCAAGTACCCCACATCAACTCGCGATGAGGCCCGATTCCCCTGCATTGACTCCAGAGCCATCCCCCGTACCACATTAAACACCACCAGTGGCTTGACTTCCTTCAGGCAACTCCAGAGATGCCCTGAGAACACTGTCCCAAGTCTAGAGGAATACGAACTTCAGCACAGCAACTCGAGGAATGCTCCGTGTACCCCAAATCGTTTCGAGGTGAGAGCTGATTCCATGGCTTAGGCTCAAGACGTATGCCAACTTTCCAGAAGCCCCTCAAGAGGAGGCTTCTCTCAGCAGTAGGTATGTGGGAGGGACCCCGAGTTTGCTGCCTCAAGTGGAATATACAGCAAGAAGCCCTAACTTGAAAGGAGGCCGGATTTCCTTGCAGTGGCTTGAATACAGGCTCGTCTTTCATCTCACAGCATGAAGGGATGTCTGAAACCCCTGTGGAGACCTTAGAGAAAGCTCTAGGTCCCTGCCTCATTTTGAGGGAATGCCTCACATCCCGTTGTCACCTCGAGAGGCACGCGGAGTTCACTGCTTCAAAAGGTGACGATGCCTGACTCGTCTTGAATATTGATAGGAATCAAAAAATCACTGTGGCTACTGGAAAGGGTCCTTGGGTGCCCTGCCTCACCTCGAGAAGCATACCTTTTGACCTGCCAAGCCTCGAAGAGATTCCTGAGGTTTCCCTTATTACTAGACAGGAGTCCTCACGGCACTGAATAAACACGTGTTTTGAAGGGCCATCCCCGCCATAACTCGAGAAGATACCCCAGGTCCCCAGCGCAACTTGAGAGAAACCATGAGACTTCCCCCAAGATGCGAGATGAGTCCTGATTCCCTGCAGTGCATGCAGGGTATTCCCGTGATCCCCATCAAACAAGTCAGGAGCTTCGACTTGCTTAATGGATCTCGAGACAGTCCCCAAGAACACTGTCACAAGTCTAGACGGACCCTGAGGTCACCCCAGCAACGTAAAGCAGCTCCATGTGCCCCAAATCAACCCGAAATGTGGCCCGATTCCCCTGCATTGACTCCAGAGCCATCCCCAGTTCCCCATTAAACAAGACCACTGGCTTGACTTCCTTCAGGCAACTCCAGAGATGCCCCGAGAACACTGTCCCAAGACTAGAAGAACACCAACTTCAGCACAGCAACTCGAGGAATGCTCCGTGTACCACAAATCGTCTCGAGATGAGAGCTGAATCGCTGGCTTAGGCTCAAGACGTATGCCAACTTTCCAGAAGCACCTCAAGAGGAGGCTTCTCTCAGCAATAGGTATGTTCGAGGGACCCCGAGTCTGCTGCCTCAAGTGGAATATATAGCCAGAAGCCCTAAATTGAAAGGAGGCCGGATTTCCTTGCAGTGGCTTGAATACAGGATCGTCTTTCATCTCACAGCATGAAGGGATGTCTGAATCCCCTGTGGAGACGTTAGAGAAAGCTCTAGGTCTCTGCCTCATTTTGACGGAATGCCTCACATCCCGTTGTCACCTCGAGAGGCAAGCGGAGTTCAGTGCTTCAAAATGTGATGATGCCTGACTCCTCTTGAATATTGATAGGAATCCCAAAATCCATGTGGCTATCGGAAAGGTTACTTGGGTACCCTGCCTCACCTTGAGAAGCGTCCCTTGTGCACTGCCAAGCCTCGAAGAGATTCCAGAGCTGCCCCTCGTTACTGGACAGGAGTCCTGACGTCACTGAATAAACACGAGTTTTGAAGAGCCATCCCCGTCGTAACCCGAGTACATACCCCAGGTCCCCGCCGCAAGTCGAGAAAAACCATGAGACTTTCCCCTAGTGGCGAGATGAGGCCCGATTCTCCTGCAGTGCATGCAGAGCAATTCCGTGATCCCCATCAAACAAGTCAGGACCTTCGACTTGCTTAATGGATCTCGAGACAGTCCCCAAGAATACTGTCACATGTCTAGACGGATCCTGAGGTCACCCCATCAACGCAAAGCAGCACAATGTGCCCCAAATCAACTCGGGATGATGGCAGATTCCCCTGCATTGACCCTAGAGCCATCCCCCTTTCCCCATTAAACACGACTAGTGGCTTGACTTCCTTCAGGCAACTCCAGAGATGCCCCGAGAACACTGTCCCAAGTCTAGAGGAACACCAACTTCAGCACAGCAACTCGAGGAATGCTCCGTGTACCACAAATCGTCTCGAGATGAGAGCTGAATCCCTGGCTTAGGCTCAAGACGTATGCCAACTTTCCAGAAGCACCTCAAGAGGAGGATTCTCTCAGCAATAGGTATGTTGGAGGGACCCCGAATTTGCTGCCTCAAGTGGAATATACAGCGAGAAGCCCTAACTTGAAAGGAGGCCGGATTTCCTTGCAGTGGCTTGAATACAGGCTCGTCTTTCATCTCACAGAATGAAGTGTTGTCTGAATCCCCTGTGGAGGCCTTAGAGAAAGCTATAGGTCCCTACCTCATTTTGACGGAATGCCTCACATCCCGTTGTCACCTCCAGAGGCACGCGGAGTTCACTGCTTCAAAAGGTGACGATGCCTGACTCCTCTAAAATATTTATAGGAATCCCAAAATCCCTGTGGCTATTGGGAACGTTCCTTGGGTGCCCTGCCTCAAGTGGAGAAGCATCCCTTGTGCCCTGCCAAGCCTCGATGAGATTCCTGAGCTGTCTCTCGTTACTGGACAGGAGTTCTGACGTCACTGAATAAACACGAGTTTTGAAGGCCATCCCCGCCGTAACCCGAGTACATACCCCAGGTCCCCGCCGCAAGTCGAGAAAAACCATGAGACTTTCCCCTAGAGGCGAGATGAGGCCCGATTCTCCTGCAGTGCATGCAGAGCAATTCCGTGATCCCCATCAAACAAGTCAGAAGCTTCGATTTGCTTAATGGATCTCGAGACAGTCCCCAAGAACACTGTCACATGTCTAGACGGATCCTGAGGTCACCCCATCAAGGCAAAGCAGCACCATGTGCCCCAAATCAACTCGAGATAATGCCCGATTCCCCTGCATTGACTCCAGAGCCATCCCCCGTTCCACATTAAACACGACCAGTGGCTTGACTTCCTTCAGGCAACTGCAGAGACGCCCTGAGAACACTGTCCCAAGTCTAGAGGAACACCATCTTCAGCACAGCAACTCGAGGAATGCTCCGTGTACCCCAAATCGTCTCGAGATGAGAGCTGATTCCCTGGCTTAGGCTCAAGACGTATGCCAACTTTCCAGAAGCACCTCAAGGGGAGCTATCTCTCAGCAATAGGTATGTTGGAGGGACCCCCAGTTTGCTGCCTCAAAAGGAATATACAGCGAGAAGCCCTAACTTGAAAGGAGGCCGGATTTCCTTGCAGTGTCTTGAATACAGGCTCGTCTTTCATCTCACAATCAGAAGGAATGTCTGAATCCTCTGTGGAGACCTTAGAGAAAGCGCTAGGTCCCTGCCTCATTTTGAAGGAATGTCTCACATCCCGTTGACACCTCGAGAGGCACACAGAGTTCACTGCTTCAAAATGTGATGATGCCTGACCCCTCTTGAACATTGATAGGAATCCCAAAATCACTTTAGCTACAGGACAGGGTTCTTGGGTGCCATGCCTCACCTCGAGAAGCATCCCTTTGCCTGCCAAGCCTCGAAGAGATTCCTGAGGTGTCTCTCGTTACTAGACAGGAGTCCTGACGTCACTGAATAAAAACGTGTTTTGAAGGGCCATCCCCGCCGTAACTCGAGAACATACCCCAGGTCCCGCCGCAACTCGAGAAAAACCATGAGACTTCCCCTAGATGCGATATGAGGCCTGATTCCCTGCAGTCCAGGCAGAGCATTCCCATGATCCCCATCAAGCAAGTCAGGAGCTTCGACTTCCTTAATCGAACTCGAGAAAGTCCCCAGGAACACTGTCACAAGACTAGACAGACCCTGAGGTCACCCCAGCAATGTAAAGCAGCTCCAAGTACCCCACATCAACTCGCGATGAGGCCCGATTCCCCTGCATTGACTCCAGAGCCATCCCCCGTACCACATTAAACACCACCAGTGGCTTGACTTCCTTCAGGCAACTCCAGAGATGCCCTGAGAACACTGTCCCAAGTCTAGAGGAATACGAACTTCAGCACAGCAACTCGAGGAATGCTCCGTGTACCCCAAATCGTTTCGAGGTGAGAGCTGATTCCATGGCTTAGGCTCAAGACGTATGCCAACTTTCCAGAAGCCCCTCAAGAGGAGGCTTCTCTCAGCAGTAGGTATGTGGGAGGGACCCCGAGTTTGCTGCCTCAAGTGGAATATACAGCAAGAAGCCCTAACTTGAAAGGAGGCCGGATTTCCTTGCAGTGGCTTGAATACAGGCTCGTCTTTCATCTCACAGCATGAAGGGATGTCTGAAACCCCTGTGGAGACCTTAGAGAAAGCTCTAGGTCCCTGCCTCATTTTGAGGGAATGCCTCACATCCCGTTGTCACCTCGAGAGGCACGCGGAGTTCACTGCTTCAAAAGGTGACGATGCCTGACTCGTCTTGAATATTGATAGGAATCAAAAAATCACTGTGGCTACTGGAAAGGGTCCTTGGGTGCCCTGCCTCACCTCGAGAAGCATACCTTTTGACCTGCCAAGCCTCGAAGAGATTCCTGAGGTTTCCCTTATTACTAGACAGGAGTCCTGACGGCACTGAATAAACACGTGTTTTGAAGGGCCATCCCCGCCGTAACTCGAGAAGATACCCCAGGTCCCCAGCGCAACTTGAGAGAAACCATGAGACTTCCCCCAAGATGCGAGATGAGTCCTGATTCCCTGCAGTGCATGCAGGGTATTCCCGTGATCCCCATCAAACAAGTCAGGAGCTTCGACTTGCTTAATGGATCTCGAGACAGTCCCCAAGAACACTATCACAAGTCTAGACGGACCCTGAGGTCACCCCAGCAACGTAAAGCAGCTCCATGTGCCCCAAATCAACCCGAAATGTGGCCCGATTCCCCTGCATTGACTCCAGAGCCATCCCCAGTTCCCCATTAAACAAGACCACTGGCTTGACTTCCTTCAGGCAACTCCAGAGATGCCCCGAGAACACTGTCCCAAGACTAGAAGAACACCAACTTCAGCACAGCAACTCGAGGAATGCTCCGTGTACCACAAATCGTCTCGAGATGAGAGCTGAATCGCTGGCTTAGGCTCAAGACGTATGCCAACTTTCCAGAAGCACCTCAAGAGGAGGCTTCTCTCAGCAATAGGTATGTTCGAGGGACCCCGAGTCTGCTGCCTCAAGTGGAATATATAGCGAGAAGCCCTAAATTGAAAGGAGGCCGGATTTCCTTGCAGTGGCTTGAATACAGGATCGTCTTTCATCTCACAGCATGAAGGGATGTCTGAATCCCCTGTGGAGACCTTAGAGAAAGCTCTAGGTCCCTGCCTCATTTTGACGGAATGCCTCACATCCCGTTGTCACCTCGAGAGGCAAGCGGAGTTCAGTGCTTCAAAATGTGACGATGCCTGACTCCTCTTGAATATTGATAGGAATCCCAAAATCCATGTGGCTATCGGAAAGGTTACTTGGGTACCCTGCCTCACCTTGAGAAGCGTCCCTTGTGCACTGCCAAGCCTCGAAGAGATTCCAGAGCTGCCCCTCGTTACTGGACAGGAGTCCTGACGTCACTGAATAAACACGAGTTTTGAAGAGCCATCCCCGTCGTAACCCGAGTATATACCCCAGGTCCCCGCCGCAAGTCGAGAAAAACCATGAGACTTTCCCCTATAGGCGAGATGAGGCCCGATTCTCCTGCAGTGCATGCAGAGCAATTCCGTGATCCCCATCAAACAAGTCAGGACCTTCGACTTGCTTAATGGATCTCGAGACAGTCCCCAAGAATACTGTCACATGTCTAGACGGATCCTGAGGTCACCCCATCAACGCAAAGCAGCACAATGTGCCCCAAATCAACTCGGGATGATGGCAGATTACCCTGCATTGACCCTAGAGCCATCCCCCTTTCCACATTAAACACGACTAGTGGCTTGACTTCCTTCAGGCAACTCCAGAGAGGCCCCGAGAACACTGTCCCAAGTATAGAGGAACACCAACTTCAGCACAGCAACTCGAGGAATGCGCCGTGTACCCCAAATCGTCTCGAGATGAGAGCTGATTCCCTGGCTTAGGTTCAAGACGTATGCCAACTTTCCAGAAGCACCTCAAGCAGAGGATTCTCTCAGCAATAGGTATGTTGGAGGGACCTCCACTTTGCTGCCTCAAGTGGAATATACAGCGAGAAGCCCTAACTTGAAAGGAGGCCCGGTTTCCTTGCAGTGACTTGAATACAGGCTCGTCTTTCATCTCACAGCATGAAGGAATGTCTGAATCCCCTGTGGAGACCTTAGAGAAAGCCCTAGGTCCCTGCCTCATTTTGACGGAATGTCTCACATCCCGTTGACACCTCGAGAGGCACACGGAGTTCACTGCTTCAAAATGTGACGATGCCTGACTCCTCCTGAACATTGATAGGAATCCCAAAATCACTGTAGCTACAGGACAGGGTTCTTGGGTGCCCTGCCTCACCTCGAGAAGCATCCCTTTTGCCCTGCCAAGCCTCGAAGAGATTCCGGAGGTGTCTCTCATTACTAGACAGGAGTCCTGACGTCACTGAATAAACACGTGTTTTGAAGGGCCATCCCCGCCGTAACTCGAGAACATACCCCAGTTCGCGCCGCAACTCGAGTAAAACCATGAGACTTCCCCTAGAGGCGAGATGAGGCCTGATTCCCTGCAGTCCATGAAGAGCATTCCCGTGATCCCCATCAAACAAGTCAGGAGCTTCGACTTGCTTAATGGATCTCCAGAGAGTCCCCAGGAACACTGTCACAAGTCTAGACAGACCCTGAGGTCACCCCAGCAATGCAAAGCAGCTGCAAGTACCCCACATCAACTCGAGATGAGGCCCGATTCCCATGCATTGACTCCAGAGCCATCCCCCGTACCCCATTAAACACAACCATTGGCTTGACTTCCTTCCGGCAACACCAGAGATGCCCCAAGAACACTGTCCCAAGTCTAGAGGAATACGAACTTCAGCACAGCAACTCGAGGAATGCTCCGTGTACCCCAAATCGTTTCGAGGTGAGAGCTGATTCCATGGCTTAGGCTCAAGACGTATGCCAACTTTCCAGAAGCCCCTCAAGAGGAGGCTTCTCTCAGCAATAGGTATGTGGGAGGGACCCCGAGTTTGCTGCCTCAAGTGGAATATACACCCAGAAGCCCTAACTTGAAAGGAGGCCGGATTTCCTTGCAGTGGCTTGAATACAGGCTCGTCTTTCATCTCACAGCATGAAGGGGTGTCTGAAGCCCCTGTGTAGACCTTAGAGAAAGCTCTAGGTCCCTGCCTCATTTTGACGGAATGCCTCACATCCCATTGACACCTCGAGAGGCACGCGGAGTTCACTGCTTCAAAAGGTGATGATGCCTGACTCGTCTTGAATATTGATAGGAATCCCAAAATCACTGTGGCTACTGGAAAGGGTCCTTGGGTGCCCTGCCTCTCCTCGAGAAGCATACCTTTTGACCTGCCAAGCCTCGAAGAGATTCCTGAGGTGTCCCTCGTTACTAGACAGGAGTCCTGACGGCACTGAATAAACACGGGTTTTGAGGGGCCATCCCCGCCGTAACTCGAGAAGATTCCCCAGGTCCCCCGCGCAACTTGAGAGAAACCGTGAGACTTCCCCCTAGATGTGAGATGAGTCCTGATTCCCTGCAGTGCATGCAGAGTATTCCCGTGATCCCCAGCAAACAAGTCAGGAGCTTCGACTTGCTTAATTGAACTCGAGAAAGTCCCCAGGAACACTGTCACAAGTCTAGACAGACCCTGAGGTCACCTCAGCAATGCAAAGCAGCTGCAAGTACCCCACATCAACTCGAGATGAGGCCCGATTCCCATGCATTGACTCCAGAGCCATCCCCAGTTCCCCATTAAACAAGACCACTGGCTTGTCTTCCTTCAGACAACTCCAGAGATGCCCCGAGAACACTGTGCCAAGACTAGAGGAACACCAACTTCAGTACAGCAACTAGAGGAATGCCCCGTGTACCACAAATCGTCTCGAGATGAGAGCTGATTCCCTGGCTTAGGCTCAAGACGTATGCCAACTTTCCAGAAGCACCTCAAGAGGAGGCTTCTCTCAGCAATAGGTATGTTCGTGGGACCCCGAGTTTGCTGCCTAAAGTGGAATATACAGCGAGAAGCCCTAACTTGAATGGAGGCCGGATTTCCTTGCAGTGTCTTGAATACAGGCTCGTATTTCATCTCACAACAGGAAGGGATGTCTGAATCCCCTGTGGAGACCATAGAGAAAGCCCTAGGTCCCTGCCTCATTTTGACGGAATGCCTCACATCCCGTTGACACCACGAGAGGCACGCGGAGTTCACTGCTTCAAAAGGTGACGATGCCTGACTCCTCTTGAATATTGATACGAATCCCAAAATCCCTGTGGCTATTGGAAAGGTTCCTTGGGTGCCCTGCCTCATCTCGAGAAGCGTCCCTTGTGCCCCGGCAAGCCTCGAAGAGATTCCTGAGCTGTCCCTCGTTACTGGAAAGGAGTCCTGACATCACTGAATAAACACGTGTTTTGAAGGGCCATCGCCGCCGTAACTCGAGTATATACCCCAGGTCCCCGCCGCAACTCGAGAAAAACCATGAAACTTTCCCCTAGAGGCGAGATGAGGCCCGGTTCTCCTTCATTGCATGCAGAGCAATTCCGTGATCCCCATCCAACAAGTCAGGAGCTTCGACTTGCTTAATGGATCTCGAGACATTTCCCAAGAACACTGTCACATGTCTAGACGGACCCTGAGGTATCCCCAGCAACGCAAAGCAGCTCCATGTGCCCCAAATCAACATGAGATGAGGTCCGATTCCCCTGTATTGACTCCAGAGCCATCTGCTGTTCCGCATTAAACACCACCAGTGGCTTGACCTCCTTCAGACAACTCCAGAGATGCCCCGAGAACACTGTCCCTAGTCTAGAGGAACACCTACTTTAGCACAGCAACTCGAGGAATGCTTCCTGTATGCCAAATCTTCTCGAGATGAGAGCTGATTCCCTGGCTTAGGCTCTAGACGTATGCCAACTTTCCAGAAGCACTTCAAGAGGAGGCTTCTCTCAGCAATAGGTATGTGGGAGGGAACCCGAGTTTGCTGCCTCAAATGTGACGATGCCTGACTCCTCCTGAACATTGATAGGAATCCCAAAATCACTGTGGCTACAGGAAAGGGTTCTTGTGTGCCCTGCCTCACCTCGAGAAGCATCCCTTTTGCCCTGCCAAGGCTCGAAGAGATTCCTGAGGTGTCCCTCATTACTAGAGAGGAGTCATGACGTCACTGAATAAACACGTGTTTTCAAGGGCCATGCCCGCCATAACTCGAGAACATACCCCAGGTCCCGACGCAACTCGAGAAAAACGATGAGGCTTCCCCTAGATGCGATATGAGGCTTGATTCCCTGCAGTACATGCAGAGCATTCCCGTGATCCCAATCAAGCAAGTCAGCAGCTTCAAATTGCTTAATGGATCTCGAGAGAGTCCATAGGAACACTGTCACAAGTCTAGACAGACCGTGACATCACCCCAGCAACGCAAAGCAGCCCCAAGTACCCGACATCAACTCGAGTTGAGGCCCGATTCCCATGCATTGACTCCAGAGCTATCCCCCGTACACCATTAAAGCACAACCAGTGGATTGATTTCCTTCAGGCAACTCCAGAGATGCCTCGAGAACACTGTCCCAAGTCTAGAGGAATACGAACTTCAGCAAAGCAACTCGAGGAATGCTCCGTGTACCCCAAATCGTTTCGAGGTGAGAGCTGATTCCATGGCTAGGCTCAAGACGTATGCCAACTTTCCAGAAGCTCCTCAAGAGGAGGCTTCTCTCAGCAATAGGTATGTGGGAGGGACCCCGAGTTTGCTGCCTCAAGTGGAATATACAGCGAGAAGCCCTAACTTGAAAGGAGGCCGGATTTCCTTGCAGTGGCTTGAATACAGGCTCGTCTTTCATCTCACAGCATGAAGGGATGTCTGAATCCCCTGTGGAGACCTTAGAGAAAGCTCTAGGTACCTGCCTCATTTTGACGGAATGCCTCACATCCCGTTGACACTTCGAGAGGCACGCGGAGTTCACTGCTTCAAAAGGTGATGATGCCTCACTCGTCTTGAATATTGATAGGAATCCCAAAATCACTGTGGCTACTGGAAAGGGTCCTTGGGTGCCCTGCGTCACCTCGAGAAGCATACCTTTTACCTGCCAAGAATCGAAGAGATTCCTGAGGTGTGCCTCGTTACTAGACAGGAGTCCTGACGGCACTGAATAAACACGTGTTTTGAAGGGCCATCCCCGCCGTAACTCGAGAAGATACCCCATGTCCCCCGCAACTTGAGAGAAACCATGAGACTTCCCCCTAGATGCGAGATGAGTCCTGATTCCCTGCAATGCATGCATAGTATTCCCGTGATCCCCATTAAACAAGTCAGGTGCTTCGAATTGCTTAATGGATCTCGAGACAGTCCCCAAGAACACTGTCACAAGTCTAGACGGACCCTGAGGTCACGCCAGCAACGCAAAGCACCTCCATGTGCCCCAAATCAACCCGAGATGTGGCCCGATTCCCCTGCATTGACTCCAGAGCCATCCCCAGTTCCCCATTAAACAAGACAACTGGCAAGACTTCCTTCATGCAACTCCAGAGATGCCCTGAGAACACTGTCCCAAGTCTAGAGGAACACCAACTTCAGCACAGCAACTCGAGGAATGCTCCGTGTACCACAAATCGTCTCGAGATGAGAGCTGAATCCCTGGCTTAGGCTCAAGACGTATGCCAACTTTCCAGAAGCACCTCAAGAGGAGGATTCTCTCAGCAATAGGTATGTTGGAGGGACCCCGAGTTTGCTGCCTCAAGTTGAATATACGGCGAGAAGCCCTAACTTGAAAGGAGGCCGGATTTCCTTGCAGTGGCTTGAATACAGGCTCGTCTTTCATCTCACAGAATGAAGGGGTGTCTGAATCCCCTGTGGAGGCCTTAGAGAAAGCTATAGGTCCCTACCTCATTTTGACGGAATGCCTCACATCCCGTTGTCACCTCCAGAGGCACGCGGAGTTCACTGCTTCAAAAGGTGACGATGCCTGACTCCTCTAAAATATTTATAGGAATCCCAAAATCCCTGTGGCTATTGGGAACGTTCCTTGGGTGCCCTGCCTCAAGTGGAGAAGCGTCCCTTGTGCCATGCCAAGCCTCGATGAGATTCCTGAGCTGTCTCTCGTTACTGGACAGGAGTTCTGACGTCACTGAATAAACACGAGTTTTGAAGCCCATCCCCGCCGTAACCCGAGTACATACCCCAGGTCCCCGCCGCAAGTCGAGAAAAACCATGAGACTTTCCCCTAGAGGCGAGATGAGGCCCGATTCTCCTGCAGTGCATGCAGAGCAATTCCGTGATCCCCATCAAACAAGTCAGAAGCTTCGACTTGCTTAATGGATCTCGAGAGAGTCCCCAAGAACACTGTCACATGTCTAGACGGATCCTGAGGTCACCCCATCAAGGCAAAGCAGCACCATGTGCCCCAAATCAACTCGAGATAATGCCCGATTCCCCTGCATTGACTCCAGAGCCATCCCCCGTTCCACATTAAACACGACCAGTGGCTTGACTTCCTTCAGGCAACTGCAGAGACGCCCTGAGAACACTGTCCCAAGTCTAGAGGAACACCATCTTCAGCACAGCAACTCGAGGAATGCTCCGTGTACCCCAAATCGTCTCGAGATGAGAGCTGATTCCCTGGCTTAGGCTCAAGACGTATGCCAACTTTCCAGAAGCACCTCAAGAGGAGGCTTCTCTCAGCAATAGTTATGTTGGAGGGACCCCCAGTTTGCTGCCTCAAAAGGAATATACAGCGAGAAGCCCTAACTTGAAAGGAGGCCGGATTTCCTTGCAGTGTCTTGAATACAGGCTCGTCTTTCATCTCACAACCGGAAGGAATGTCTGAATCCTCTGTGGAGACCTTAGAGAAAGCGCTAGGTCGCTGCCTCATTTTGAAGGAATGTCTCACATCCCGTTGACACCTCGAGAGGCACACAGAGTTCACTGCTTCAAAATGTGATGATGCCTGACCCCTCTTGAACATTGATAGGAATCCCAAAATCACTTTAGCTACAGGACAGGGTTCTTGGGTGCCATGCCTCACCTCGAGAAGCATCCCTTTGCCTGCCAAGCCTCGAAGAGATTCCTGAGGTGTCTCTCGTTACTAGACAGGAGTCCTGACGTCACTGAATAAACACGTGTTTTGAAGGGCCATCCCCGCCGTAACTCGAGAACATACCCCAGGTCCCGCCGCAACTCGAGAAAAACCATGAGACTTCCCCTAGATGCGAGATGACGTCTGATTCCCTGCAGTCCATGCAGAGCAGTCCCGTGATCCCCATCAAGCAAGTCAGGAGCTTCGACTTGCTTAATGGATCTCTAGAGAGTCCCCAGGAACACTGTCACAAGTCTAGACAGACCCTGAGGTCACCCCAGCAATGCAAAGCAGCTCCAAGTGCCCCACATCAACTCGAGATGAGGCCCCATTCTCCGGTATTTACTCAAGAGCTATCCCCCGTACCCCATTAAACACCAACACTGGCTTGACTTCATTCAGGCAACTCCAGAGATGCCCCAAGAACACTGTTCCAAGTCTAGAGGAACACCAACTTCAGCACAGCAACTCGAGGAATGCTCCGTGTACCCCAAATCGTTCCGAGGTGAGAGCTGATTCCCTGGCTTAGGCTCAAGACGTATAACAACTTTCCAGAAGCACCTCAAGAGGAGGCTTCTCTCAGCAATCGGTATGTGGGAGGGAACCCAAGTTTGCTGCCTCAAGTGGAATATACAGTGAGAAGCCCTAACTTGAAAGGAGGCCGGATTTCCTGGCAGTGTGTTGAATACAGGCTCGTCTTTCATCTCACAACAGGAAGGGATGTCTGAATCCCCTGTGGAGACCTTAGAGAAAGCCCTAGGTCCCTGCCTCATTTTGACGGAATGTCTCACATCCCGTTGACACCTCGAGAGGCACACGGAGTTCACTGCTTCAAAATGTGACGATGCCTGACTCCTCCTGAACATTGATAGAAATTCCAAAATCACTGTAGCTACAGGACAGGGTTCTTTGGTGCCCTGCCTCACCTCGAGAAGCATCCCTTTTGCGCTGCCAAGCCTCGAAGAGATTCCTGAGGTGTCTCTCGTTACTAGACAGGAGTCCTGACGTCACTGAATAAACACGTGTTTTGAAGGGCCATCCCCGCCGTAACTCGAGAACATACCCCAGTTCGCGCCACAACTCGAGTAAAACCATGAGATTTCCCCTAGAGGCGAGATGAGGCCTGATTCCCTGCAGTCCATGAAGAGCATTCCCGTGATCCCCATCAAACAAGTCAGGAGCTTCGACTTGCTTAATGGATCTCCAGAGAGTCCCCAGGAACACTGTCACAAGTCTAGACAGACCCTGAGGTCACCCCAGCAATGCAAAGCAGCTGCAAGTACCCCACATCAACTCGAGATGAGGCCCGATTCCCATGCATTGACTCCAGAGCCATCCCCCGTACCCCATTAAACACAACCATTGGCTTGACTTCCTTCCGGCAACACCAGAGATGCCCCAAGAACACTGTCCCAAGTCTAGAGGAATACGAACTTCAGCACAGCAACTCGAGGAATGCTCCGTGTACCCCAAATCGTTTCGAGGTGAGAGCTGATTCCATGGCTTAGGCTCAAGACGTATGCCAACTTTCCAGAAGCCCCTCAAGAGGAGGCTTCTCTCAGCAATAGGTATGTGGGAGGGACCCCGAGTTTGCTGCCTCAAGTGGAATATACAGCCAGAAGCCCTAACTTGAAAGGAGGCCGGATTTCCTTGCAGTGGCTTGAATACAGGCTCGTCTTTCATCTCACAGCATGAAGGGGTGTCTGAAGCCCCTGTGTAGACCTTAGAGAAAGCTCTAGGTCCCTGCCTCATTTTGACGGAATGCCTCACATCCCATTGACACCTCGAGAGGCACGCGGAGTTCACTGCTTCAAAAGGTGATGATGCCTGACTCGTCTTGAATATTGATAGGAATCCCAAAATCACTGTGGCTACTGGAAAGGGTCCTTGGGTGCCCTGCCTCTCCTCGAGAAGCATACCTTTTGACCTGCCAAGCCTCGAAGAGATTCCTGAGGTGTCCCTCGTTACTAGACAGGAGTCCTGACGGCACTGAATAAACACGGGTTTTGAGGGGCCATCCCCGCCGTAACTCGAGAAGATTCCCCAGGTCCCCCGCACAACTTGACAAAAACCGTGAGACTTCCCCCTAGATGCGAGATGAGTCCTGATTCCCTGAAGTGCATGCAGAGTATTCCCGTGATCCCCAGCAAACAAGTCAGGAGCTTCGACTTGCTTAATTGAACTCGAGAAAGTCCCCAGGAACACTGTCACAAGTCTAGACAGACCCTGAGGTCACCTCAGCAATGCAAAGCAGCTGCAAGTACCCCACATCAACTCGAGATGAGGCCCGATTCCCATGCATTGACTCCAGAGCCATCCCCAGTTCCGCATTAAACAAGACCACTGGCTTGTCTTCCTTCAGACAACTCCAGAGATGCCCCGAGAACACTGTGCCAAGACTAGAGGAACACCAACTTCAGTACAGCAACTAGAGGAATGCCCCGTGTACCACAAATCGTCTCGAGATGAGAGCTGATTCCCTGGCTTAGGCTCAAGACGTATGCCAACTTTCCAGAAGCACCTCAAGAGGAGGCTTCTCTCAGCAATAGGTATGTTCGTGGGACCCCGAGTTTGCTGCCTAAAGTGGAATATACAGCGAGAAGCCCTAACTTGAATGGAGGCCGGATTTCCTTGCAGTGTCTTGAATACAGGCTCGTATTTCATCTCACAACAGGAAGGGATGTCTGAATCCCCTGTGGAGACCATAGAGAAAGCCCTAGGTCCCTGCCTCATTTTGACGGAATGCCTCACATCCCGTTGACACCACGAGAGGCACGCGGAGTTCACTGCTTCAAAAGGTGACGATGCCTGACTCCTCTTGAATATTGATACGAATCCCAAAATCCCTGTGGCTATTGGAAAGTTTCCTTGGGTGCCCTGCCTCATCTCGAGAAGCGTCCCTTGTGCCCCGGCAAGCCTCGAAGAGATTCTTGCGCTGTCCCTCGTTACTGGAGAGGAGTCCTGACGTCACTGAATAAACACGTGTTTTGAAGGGCCATCGCCGCCGTAACTCGAGTATATACCCCAGGTCCCCGCCGCAACTCGAGAAAAACCATGAAACTTTCCCCTAGAGGCGAGATGAGGCCCGGTTCTCCTGCACTGCATGCAGAGCAATTCCGTGATTCCCATCCAACAAGTCAGGAGCTTCGACTTGCTTAATGGCTCTCGAGACATTCCCCAAGAACACTGTCACATGTCTAGACGGACCCTGAGGTATCCCCAGCAATGCAAAGCAGCTCCATGTGCCCCAAATCAACTTGAGATGAGGTCCGATTCCCCTGTATTGACTCCAGAGCCATCTGCTGTTTCGCATTAAACACCACCAGTGGCTTGACCTCCTTCAGACAACTCCAGAGATGCCCCGAGAACACTGTCCCTAGTCTAGAGGAACACCTACTTTAGCACAGCAACTCGAGGAATGCTTCCTGTATGCCAAATCCTCTCAAGATGAGAGCTGATTCCCTGGCTTAGACTCAAGACATATGCCAACTTTCCAGAAGCACTTCAAGAGGAGGCTTCTCTCAGCAATATGTATGTGGGAGGGAACCCGAGTTTGCTGCCTCAAATGGAATATACAGCGCGAAGCACTAACTAGAAAGGAGGCTGGTTTCCTAGCAGTGTCTTGAATACAGGCTCGTCTTTCATCTCACAGCAGGAAGAGATGTCTGAATCCCCTGTGGAGACTTTAGAGAAAGCCCTAGGTCCCTGCCACATTTTGACGGAATGCCTCACATCCGGTTGACACCTCGAGAGTCACGCGGAGTTCACTGCTTCAAAAGCTGACGATGCCTGACTCCTCTAAAATATTGATAGGAATCACAAAATCCCTGTGGCTATTTGAAAGGTTCCTTGGGTGTCCTGCCTCACCTCGAGAAGCGTCCCTTGTGCCTGCCAAGCCTCGAAGAGATTCCTGAGCTGTCCCTCGTTACTGGACAGGAGTCCTGACGTCACTGAATAAACACGAGTTTTTAAGGGCCATCCCCGCCGTAACCCGAGTACATACCCCAGGTCCCCGTCGCAAGTCGAAAAAAACCATGAGACTTTCCCCTAGTGGCGAGATGAGGCCCGATTCTCCTGCAGTGCATGCAGAGCAATTCCGTGATCCCCATCAAACAAGTCAGGACCTTCGACTTGCTTAATGGATCTCGAGACAGTCCCCAAAAAAACTGTCACATGTCTAGACGGATCCTGCGGTCACCCCATCAACGTAAAGCAGCACCATGTGCCCCACATCAACTCGAGATAATGCCCGAATCCCCTGCATTGACTCCAGAGCCATCTCACGTTCCACATTAAACACCACCAGTGGCTTGACTTCCTTCAGACAACTCCAGAGATGCCCTGAGAACACTGTCCCAAGTCTAGAGGAACACCATCTTCAGCACAGCAACTCGAGGAATGCTCCGTGTACCCCAAATCGTCTCGAGATGAGAGCTGATTCCCTGGCTTAGGCTCAAGACGTATGCCAACTTTCCAGAAGCACCTCAAGGGGAGGCTTCTCTCAGCAAAAGGTATGTTGGAGGGACCCCCAGTTTGCTGCCTCAAGTGGAATATGCAGCAAGAAGCCCTAACTTGAAAGGAGGCCGGGTTTCCTTGCAGTGTCTTGAATACAGGCTCGTCTTTCATCTCACAACCGGAAGGAATGTCTGCATCCCCTGTGGAGACCTTAGCGAAAGCCCTAGGTCCCTGCCTCATTTTGACGGATTGCCTCACATCCCGTTGACACCTCGGGAGGCACACGGAGTTCACTGCTTCAAATGTGACGATGCCTGACTCCTCCTGAACATTGATAGGAATCCCAAAATCACTGTGGCTACAGGAAAGGGTTCTTGTGTGCCCTGCCTCACCTCGAGAAGCATCCCTTTTGCCCTGCCAAGGCTCGAAGAGATTCCTGAGGTGTCCCTCATTACTAGACAGGAGTCATGACGTCACTGAATAAACACGTGTTTTCAAGAGCCATGCCCGCCATAACTCGAGAACATACCCCAGGTCCCGACGCAACTCGAGAAAAACGATTAGGCTTCCCCTAGATGCGATATGAGGCTTGATTCCCTGCAGTACATGCAGAGCATTCCCGTGATCCCAATCAAGCAAGTCAGCAGCTTCAAATTGCTTAATGGATCTCGAGAGAGTCCCCAGGAACACTGTCACAAGTCTAGACAGACCGTGACATCACCCCAGCAACGCAAAGCAGCTCCAAGTACCCCACATCAACTCGAGTTGAGGCCCGATTCCCATGCATTGACTCCAGAGCTATCCCCCGTACCCCATTAAAGCACAACCAGTGGATTGATTTCCTTCAGGCAACTCCAGAGATTCCCCGAGAACACTGTCCCAAGTCTAGAGGAATACGAACTTCAGCAAAGCAACTCGAGGAATGCTCCGTGTACCCCAAATCGTTTCGAGGTGAGAGCTGATTCCATGGCTAGGCTCAAGACGTATGCCAACTTTCCAGAAGCACCTCAAGAGGAGGCTTCTCTCAGCAATCGGTATGTGGGAGGGAACCCGAGTTTGCTGCCTCAAGTGGAATATACAGTGAGAAGCCCTAACTTGAAAGGAGGCCGGATTTCCTGGCAGTGTGTTGAATACAGGCTCGTCTTTCATCTCACAACAGGAAGGGATGTCTGAATCCCCTGTGGAGACCTTAGAGAAAGCCCTAGGTCCCTGCCTCATTTTGACGGAATGTCTCACATCCCGTTGACACCTCGAGAGGCACACGGAGTTCACTGCTTCAAAATGTGACGATGCCTGACTCCTCCTGAACATTGATAGGAATCCCAAAATCACTGTAGCTACAGGACAGGGTTCTTTGGTGCCCTGCCTCACCTCGAGAAGCATCCCTTTTGCCCTGCCAAGCCTCGAAGAGATTCCTGAGGTGTCTCTCGTTACTAGACAGGAGTCCTGACGTCACTGAATAAACACGTGTTTTGAAGGGCCATCCCCGCCGTAACTCGAGAACATACCCCAGTTCGCGCCGCAACTCGAGTAAAACCATGAGATTTCCCCTAGAGGCGAGATGAGGCCTGATTCCCTGCAGTCCATGAAGAGCATTCGCGTGATCCCCATCAAGCAAGTCAGGAGCTTCGACTTGCTTAATTGAACTCGAGAAAGTCCCCAGGAACACTGTCACAAGTCTAGACAGACCCTGAGGTCACCCCAGCAATGCAAAGCAGCTGCAAGTATCCCACATCAACTCGAGATGAGGCCCGATTCCCATGCATTGACTCCAGAGCCATCCCCAGTTCCCCATTAAACAAGACCACTGGCTTGTCTTCCTTCAGACAACTCCAGAGATGCCCCGAGAACACTGTCCCAAGTCTAGAGGAACACCAACTTCAGCACAGCAACTCGAGGAATGCCCCGTGTACCACAAATCGTCTCGAGATGAGAGCTGATTCCCTGGCTTAGGCTCAAGACGTATGCCAACTTTCCAGAAGCACCTCAAGAGGAGGCTTCTCTCAGCAATAGGTATGTTCGTGGGACCCCGAGTTTGCTGCCTAAAGTGGAATATACAGCGAGAAGCCCTAACTTGAATGGAAGCCGGATTTCCTTGCAGTGTCTTGTATACAGGCTCGTCTTTCATCTCACAACAGGAAGGGATGTCTGAATCCCCTGTGAAGACCTTTGAGAAAGCCCTAGGTCCCTGCCTAATTGTGACGGAATGCCTCACATCCCGTTGACACCACGAGAGGCACGCGGAGTTCACTGCTTCAAAAGGTGACGATGCCTGACTCCTCTTGAATATTGATAGGAATCCCAAAATCCCTGTGGCTATTGGAAAGGTTCCTTGGGTGCCCTGCCTCATCTCGAGAAGCGTCCCTTGTGCCCCGGCAAGAATCGAAGAGATTCCTGAGCTGTCCCTCGTTACTGGACAGGAGTCCTGACGTCACTGAATAAACACGTGTTTTGAAGGGCCATCGCCGCCGTAACTCGAGTATATACCCCAGGTCCCCGCCGCAACTCGAGAAAAACCATGAGACTTCCGCCTAGAGGCGAGATGAGGCCCGATTCTCCTGCAGTGCATGCAGAGCAATTCCGTGATCCCCATCAAACAAGTCAGGAGCTTCGACTTGCTTAATGGATCTCGAGACATTCCCCAAGAACACTGTCACATGTCTAGACGGACCCTGAGGTATCCCCAGCAAAGCAAAGCAGCTCCATGTGCCCCAAATCAACTTGAGATGAGGTCCGATTCCCCTGCATTGACTCCAGAGCCATCTGCCGTTCCACATTAAACACCACCAGTGGCTTGACCTCCTTCAGACAACTCCAGAGATGCCCCGAGAACACTGTCCCAAGTCTAGAGGAACACCTACTTTAGCACAGCAACTCGAGGAATGCTTCCTGAATGCCAAATCTTCTCGAGTTGAGAGCTGATTTCCTGGCTTAGGCTCAAGATGTATGCCAACTTTCCAGAAGCACCTCAAGAGGAGGCTTCTCTCAGCAATAGGTATGTGGGAGGGAACCCGAGTTTGCTGCCTCAAATGGAATATACAGCGAGAAGCACTAACTAGAATGGAGGCCGGTTTCTTAGCAGTGTCTTGAATACAGCCTCGTCTTTCATCTCACAGCAGGAAGAGATGTCTGAATCCCCTGTGGAGACCTTACAGAAAGCCCTAGGTCCCTGCCTCATTTTGACGGAATGCCTCACATCCCGTTGACACCTCGAGAGTCACGCGGAGTTCACTGCTTCAAAAGCTGACGATGCCTGACTCCTCCTGAACATTGATAGGAATCCCAAAATCACTGTAGCTACAGGACAGGGTTCTTGGGTGCCCTGCCTCACCTCGAGAAGCATCCCTTTTGCCCTGCCAAGCCTCGAAGAGATTCCTGAGGTGTCCCTCATTACTAGACAGGAGTCATGACGTCACTGAATAAACACGTGTTTTCAAGGGCCATGCCCGCCATAACTCGAGAACATACCCCAGGTCCCGCCGCAACTCGAGAAAAACCATGAGACTTCCCCTAGATGCGAGATGAGGGCTGATTCCCTGCAGTCCATGCAGAGCATTCCCGTAATCCCAATCAAGCAAGTCAGCAGCTTCGAATTTCTTAATGGATCTCGAGATTGTCCCCAGGAACACTGTCACAAGTCTAGACAGATCCTGACATCACCCCAGCAGCGCAAAGCAGCACCAAGTACCCCATATCAACTCGCGTTGAGGCCCGATTCCCATGCATTGACTCCAGAGCCATCCCCCGTACCCCATTAAACACCACCAGTGGCTTGACTTCCTTCAGGCAACTCCAGAGATGCCCCGAGAACACTGTCCCAAGTCTAGAGGAATACGAACTTCAGCACAGCAACTCGAGGAATGCTCCGTGTATCCCAAATCGTTTCGAGGTGAGAGCTGATTCCATGGCTTAGGCTCAAGACGTATGCCAACTTTCCAGAAGCCCCTCAAGAGGAGGATTCTCTCAGCAATAGGTATGTTGGAGGGACGCCCACTTTGCTGCCTCAAGTGGAATATACAGCGAGAAGCCCTAACTTGAAAGGAGGCCGGATTTCCTTGCAGTGTCTTGAATACAGGCTCGTCTTTCATCTCACAACCGGAAGGGATGTCTGAATCCCCTGTGGAGAACTTAGAGAAAGCCCTAGGTCCCTGCCTCATTTTGACGGATTGCCTCACATCCCGTTGACACCTCGAGAGGCACGCGGAGTTCACTGCTTCAAAAGTTGATGCTGCCTGACTCGTCTTGAATATTGATAGGAATCCCAAAATCCCTGTGGCTATTTGAAAGGTTCCTTGGGTGTCCTGCCTCACCTCGAGAAGCGTCCCTTGTGCCTGCCAAGCCTTGAAGAGATTCCTGAGCTGTCCCTCGTTACTGGACAGGAGTCCTGACGTCACTGAATAAACAGGAGTTTTTAAGGGCCATCCCCGCTGTAACCCGAGTACATACCCCAGGTCCCCGCCGCAAGTCGAGAAAAACCATGAGACTTTCCCCTAGTGGCGAGATGAGGCCCGATTCTCCTGCAGTGCATGCAGAGCAATTCCGTGATCCCCATCAAACAAGTCAGGACCTTCGACTTGCTTAATGGATCTCGAGACAGTCCCCAAGAATACTGTCACATGTCTAGACGGATCCTGAGGTCACCCCATCAACGCAAAGCAGCACTATGTGCCCCACATCAACTCGAGATAATGCCCGATTCCCCTGCATTGACTCCAGAGCCATCCCCCGTTCCACATTAAACACCACCAGTGGCTTGACTTCCTTCAGACAACTCAAGAGATGCCCTGAGAACACTGTCCCAAGTCTAGAGGAACACCATCTTCAGCACAGCAACTCGAGGAATGCTCCGTGTACCTCAAATCGTCTGGAGATGAGAGCTGATTCCCTGGCTTAGGCTCAAGACGTATGCCAACTTTCCAGAAGCACCTCAAGGGGAGGCTTCTCTCAGCAATAGGTATGTTGGAGGGACCCCCAGTTTGCTGCCTCAAGTGGAATATGCAGCGAGAAGCCCTAACTTGAAAGGAGGCCGGGTTTCCTTGCAGTGTCTTGAATACAGGCTCGTCTTTCATCTCACAATGGGAAGGAATGTCTGAATCCCCTGTGGAGACCTTAGCGAAAGCCCTAGGTCCCTGCCTCATTTTGACGGATTGCCTCACATCCCGTTGACACCTGGAGAGGCACCCGGAGTTCACTGCTTCAAATGTGACGATGCCTGACTCCTCCTGAACATTGATAGGAATCCCAAAATCACTGTGGCTACAGGAAACGGTTCTTGTGTGCCCTGCCTCACCTCGAGAAGCATCCCTTTTGCCCTGCCAAGGCTCGAAAAGATTCCTGAGGTGTCCCTCATTACTAGACAGGAGTCATGACGTCACTTAAAAAACACGTGTTTTCAAGGGCCAAGCCCGCCATAACTCGAGAACATACCCCACGTACCGCCGCGACTCGAGAAAAACCATGAGACTTCCCCTAGATGCGATATGAGGCCTGATTCCCTGCAGTCCATGCAGAGCATTCCCGTGATCCCAATCAAGCAAGTCAGCAGCTTCGAATTGCTTAATGGATCTCGAGAGAGTCCCCAGGAACACTGTCACAAGTCTAGACAGACCCTGACATCACCCCAGCAAAGCAAAGCAGGTCCAAGTACCCCACATCACCTCGAGTTGAGGCCGGATTCCCATGCATTGACTCCAGAGCCATCCCCCGTTCCACATTAAACACGACCAGTAGCTTGACTTCCTTCAGGCAACTCCAGAGACGCCCTGAGAACACTGTCCCAAGTCTAGAGAAACACCATCTTCAGCACAGCAACTCGAGGAATGCTCCGTGTACCCCAAATCGTCTCGAGATGAGAGCTGATTCCCTGGCTTAGGCTCAAGACGTATGCCAACTTTCCAGAAGCACCTCAAGTGGAGACTTCTCTCAGCAATAGGTATGTTGGAGGGACCCCCAGTTTGCTGCCTCAAGAGGAATATACAGCGAAAAGCCCTAACTTGAAAGGAGGACGGATTTCCTTGCAGTGGCTTGAATACAGGCTCGTCTTTCATCTCACAGCATGAAGGGATGTCTGAAACCCCTGTGGAGACCTTAGAGAAAGCTCTAGGTCCCTGCCTCATTTTGAGGGAATGCCTCACATCCCGTTGTCACCTCGAGAGGCACGCGGAGTTCACTGCTTCAAAAGGTGATGATGCCTCACTCGTCTTGAATATTGATAGGAATCAAAAAATCACTGTGGCTACTGGAAAGGGTCCTTGGGTGCCCTGCCTCACCTCGAGAAGCATACCTTTTGACCTGCCAAGCCTCTAAGAGATTCCTGAGGTTTCCCTTATTACTAGACAGGAGTCCTGACGGCACTGAATAAACAGGTGTTTTGAAGGGCCATCCCCGCCGTAACTCGAGAAGATACCCCAGGTCCCCAGCGCAACTTGAGAGAAACCATGAGACTTCCCCCAAGATGCGAGATGAGTCCTGATTCCCTGCAGTGCATGCAGGGTATTCCCGTGATCCCCATCAAACAAGTCAGGAGCTTCGACTTGCTTAATGGATCTCGAGACAGTCCCCAAGAACACTGTCACAAGTCTAGACGGACCCTGAGGTCACCCCAGCAACGTAAAACAGCTCCATGTGCCCCAAATCAACCCGAAATGTGGCCCGATTCCCCTGCATTGACTCCAGAGCCATCCCCAGTTCCCCATTAAACAAGACCACTGGCTTGACTTCCTTCAGGCAACTCCAGAGATGCCCCGAGAACACTGTCCCAAGACTAGAAGAACACCAACTTCAGCACAGCAACTCGAGGAATGCTCCGTGTACCACAAATCGTCTCGAGATGAGAGCTGAATCGCTGGCTTAGGCTCAAGACGTATGCCAACTTTCCAGAAGCACCTCAAGAGGAGGCTTCTCTCAGCAATAGGTATGTTCGAGGGACCCTGAGTTTGCTGCCTCAAGTGGAATATATAGCGAGAAGCCCTAAATTGAAAGGAGGCCGGATTTCCTTGCAGTGGCTTGAATACAGGATCGTCTTTCATCTCACAGCATGAAGGGATGTCTGAATCCCCTGTGGAGACCTTAGAGAAAGCTCTAGGTCCCTGCCTCATTTTGACGGAATGCCTCACATCCCGTTGTCACCTCGAGAGGCAAGCGGAGTTCAGTGCTTCAAAATGTGACGATGCCTGACTCCTCTTGAATATTGATAGGAATCCCAAAATCCATGTGGCTATCGGAAAGGTTACTTGGGTACCCTGCCTCACCTTGAGAAGCGTCCCTTGTGCACTGCCAAGCCTCGAAGAGATTCCAGAGCTGCCCCTCGTTACTGGACAGGAGTCCTGACGTCACTGAATAAACACGAGTTTTGAAGAGCCATCCCCGTCGTAACCCGAGTATATACCCCAGGTCCCCGCCGCAAGTCGAGAAAAACCATGAGACTTTCCCCTATAGGCGAGATGAGGCCCGATTCTCCTGCAGTGCATGCAGAGCAATTCCGTGATCCCCATCAAACAAGTCAGGACCTTCGACTTGCTTAATGGATCTCGAGACAGTCCCCAAGAACACTGTCACATGTCTAGACGGATCCTGAGGTCACCCCATCAACGCAAAGCAGCACAATGTGCCCCAAATCAACTCGGGATGATGGCAGATTACCCTGCATTGACCCTAGAGCCATCCCCCTTTCCACATTAAACACGACTAGTGGCTTGACTTCCTTCAGGCAACTCCAGAGAGGCCCCGAGAACACTGTCCCAAGTCTAGAGGAACACCAACTTCAGCACAGCAACTCGAGGAATGCGCCGTGTACCCCAAATCGTCTCGAGATGAGAGCTGATTCCCTGGCTTAGGTTCAAGACGTATGCCAACTTTCCAGAAGCACCTCAAGCAGAGGATTCTCTCAGCAATAGGTATGTTGGAGGGACCTCCACTTTGCTGCCTCAAGTGGAATATACAGCGAGAAGCCCTAACTTGAAAGGAGGCCCGGTTTCCTTGCAGTGTCTTGAATACAGGCTCGTCTTTCATCTCACAGCATGAAGGAATGTCTGAATCCCCTGTGGAGACCTTAGAGAAAGCCCTAGGTCCCTGCCTCATTTTGACGGAATGTCTCACATCCCGTTGACACCTCGAGAGGCACACGGAGTTCACTGCTTCAAAATGTGACGATGCCTGACTCCTCCTGAACATTGATAGGAATCCCAAAATCACTGTAGCTACAGGACAGGGTTCTTGGGTGCCCTGCCTCACCTCGAGAAGCATCCCTTTTGCCCTGCCAAGCCTCGAAGAGATTCCGGAGGTGTCTCTCATTACTAGACAGGAGTCCTGACGTCACTGAATAAACACGTGTTTTGAAGGGCCATCCCCGCCGTAACTCGAGAACATACCCCAGTTCGCGCCGCAACTCGAGTAAAACCATGAGACTTCCCCTAGAGGCGAGATGAGGCCTGATTCCCTGCAGTCCATGAAGAGCATTCCCGTGATCCCCATCAAACAAGTCAGGAGCTTCGACTTGCTTAATGGATCTCCAGAGAGTCCCCAGGAACACTGTCACAAGTCTAGACAGACCCTGAGGTCACCCCAGCAATGCAAAGCAGCTGCAAGTACCCCACATCAACTCGAGATGAGGCCCGATTCCCATGCATTGACTCCAGAGCCATCCCCCGTACCCCATTAAACACAACCATTGGCTTGACTTCCTTCCGGCAACACCAGAGATGCCCCAAGAACACTGTCCCAAGTCTAGAGGAATACGAACTTCAGCACAGCAACTCGAGGAATGCTCCGTGTACCCCAAATCGTTTCGAGGTGAGAGCTGATTCCATGGCTTAGGCTCAAGACGTATGCCAACTTTCCAGAAGCCCCTCAAGAGGAGGCTTCTCTCAGCAATAGGTATGTGGGAGGGACCCCGAGTTTGCTGCCTCAAGTGGAATATACACCCAGAAGCCCTAACTTGAAAGGAGGCCGGATTTCCTTGCAGTGGCTTGAATACAGGCTCGTCTTTCATCTCACAGCATGAAGGGGTGTCTGAAGCCCCTGTGTAGACCTTAGAGAAAGCTCTAGGTCCCTGCCTCATTTTGACGGAATGCCTCACATCCCATTGACACCTCGAGAGGCACGCGGAGTTCACTGCTTCAAAAGGTGATGATGCCTGACTCGTCTTGAATATTGATAGGAATCCCAAAATCACTGTGGCTACTGGAAAGGGTCCTTGGGTGCCCTGCCTCTCCTCGAGAAGCATACCTTTTGACCTGCCAAGCCTCGAAGAGATTCCTGAGGTGTCCCTCGTTACTAGACAGGAGTCCTGACGGCACTGAATAAACACGGGTTTTGAGGGGCCATCCCCGCCGTAACTCGAGAAGATTCCCCAGGTCCCCCGCGCAACTTGAGAGAAACCGTGAGACTTCCCCCTAGATGTGAGATGAGTCCTGATTCCCTGCAGTGCATGCAGAGTATTCCCGTGATCCCCAGCAAACAAGTCAGGAGCTTCGACTTGCTTAATTGAACTCGAGAAAGTCCCCAGGAACACTGTCACAAGTCTAGACAGACCCTGAGGTCACCTCAGCAATGCAAAGCAGCTGCAAGTACCCCACATCAACTCGAGATGAGGCCCGATTCCCATGCATTGACTCCAGAGCCATCCCCAGTTCCCCATTAAACAAGACCACTGGCTTGTCTTCCTTCAGACAACTCCAGAGATGCCCCGAGAACACTGTGCCAAGACTAGAGGAACACCAACTTCAGTACAGCAACTAGAGGAATGCCCCGTGTACCACAAATCGTCTCGAGATGAGAGCTGATTCCCTGGCTTAGGCTCAAGACGTATGCCAACTTTCCAGAAGCACCTCAAGAGGAGGCTTCTCTCAGCAATAGGTATGTTCGTGGGACCCCGAGTTTGCTGCCTAAAGTGGAATATACAGCGAGAAGCCCTAACTTGAATGGAGGCCGGATTTCCTTGCAGTGTCTTGAATACAGGCTCGTATTTCATCTCACAACAGGAAGGGATGTCTGAATCCCCTGTGGAGACCATAGAGAAAGCCCTAGGTCCCTGCCTCATTTTGACGGAATGCCTCACATCCCGTTGACACCACGAGAGGCACGCGGAGTTCACTGCTTCAAAAGGTGACGATGCCTGACTCCTCTTGAATATTGATACGAATCCCAAAATCCCTGTGGCTATTGGAAAGGTTCCTTGGGTGCCCTGCCTCATCTCGAGAAGCGTCCCTTGTGCCCCGGCAAGCCTCGAAGAGATTCCTGAGCTGTCCCTCGTTACTGGAAAGGAGTCCTGACATCACTGAATAAACACGTGTTTTGAAGGTCCATCGCCGCCGTAACTCGAGTATATACCCCAGGTCCCCGCCGCAACTCGAGAAAAACCATGAAACTTTCCCCTAGAGGCGAGATGAGGCCCGATTCTCCTGCATTGCATGCAGAGCAATTCCGTGATCCCCATCCAACAAGTCAGGAGCTTCGACTTGCTTAATGGATCTCGAGACATTTCCCAAGAACACTGTCACATGTCTAGACGGACCCTGAGGTATCCACAGCAACGCAAAGCAGCTCCATGTGCCCCAAATCAACATGAGATGAGGTCCGATTCCCCTGTATTGACTCCAGAGCCATCTGCTGTTCCGCATTAAACACCACCAGTGGCTTGACCTCCTTCAGACAACTCCAGAGATGCCCCGAGAACACTGTCCCTAGTCTAGAGGAACACCTACTTTAGCACAGCAACTCGAGGAATGCTTCCTGTATGCCAAATCTTCTCGAGATGAGAGCTGATTCCCTGGCTTAGGCTCTAGACGTATGCCAACTTTCCAGAAGCACTTCAAGAGGAGGCTTCTCTCAGCAATAGGTATGTGGGAGGGAACCCGAGTTTGCTGCCTCAAATGTGACGATGCCTGACTCCTCCTGAACATTGATAGGAATCCCAAAATCACTGTGGCTACAGGAAAGGGTTCTTGTGTGCCCTGCCTCACCTCGAGAAGCATCCCTTTTGCCCTGCCAAGGCTCGAAGAGATTCCTGAGGTGTCCCTCATTACTAGAGAGGAGTCATGACGTCACTGAATAAACACGTGTTTTCAAGGGCCATGCCCGCCATAACTCGAGAACATACCCCAGGTCCCGACGCAACTCGAGAAAAACGATGAGGCTTCCCCTAGATGCGATATGAGGCTTGATTCCCTGCAGTACATGCAGAGCATTCCCGTGATCCCAATCAAGCAAGTCAGCAGCTTCAAATTGCTTAATGGATCTCGAGAGAGTCCATAGGAACACTGTCACAAGTCTAGACAGACCGTGACATCACCCCAGCAACGCAAAGCAGCCCCAAGTACCCGACATCAACTCGAGTTGAGGCCCGATTCCCATGCATTGACTCCAGAGCTATCCCCCGTACACCATTAAAGCACAACCAGTGGATTGATTTCCTTCAGGCAACTCCAGAGATGCCTCGAGAACACTGTCCCAAGTCTAGAGGAATACGAACTTCAGCAAAGCAACTCGAGGAATGCTCCGTGTACCCCAAATCGTTTCGAGGTGAGAGCTGATTCCATGGCTAGGCTCAAGACGTATGCCAACGTTCCAGAAGCCCCTCAAGAGGAGGCTTCTCTCAGCAATAGGTATGTGGGAGGGACCCCGAGTTTGCTGCCTCAAGTGGAATATACAGCGAGAAGCCCTAACTTGAAAGGAGGCCGGATTTCCTTGCAGTGGCTTGAATACAGGCTCGTCTTTCATCTCACAGCATGAAGGGATGTCTGAATCCCCTGTGGAGACCTTAGAGAAAGCTCTAGGTACCTGCCTCATTTTGACGGAATGCCTCACATCCCGTTGACACTTCGAGAGGCACGCGGAGTTCACTGCTTCAAAAGGTGATGATGCCTCACTCGTCTTGAATATTGATAGGAATCCCAAAATCACTGTGGCTACTGGAAAGGGTCCTTGGGTGCCCTGCGTCACCTCGAGAAGCATACCTTTTACCTGCCAAGAATCGAAGAGATTCCTGAGGTGTGCCTCGTTACTAGACAGGAGTCCTGACGGCACTGAATAAACACGTGTTTTGAAGGGCCATCCCCGCCGTAACTCGAGAAGATACCCCATGTCCCCCGCAACTTGAGAGAAACCATGAGACTTCCCCCTAGATGCGAGATGAGTCCTGATTCCCTGCAGTGCATGCAGAGTATTCCCGTGATCCCCATAAAACAAGTCAGGTGCTTCGAATTGCTTAATGGATCTCGAGACAGTCCCCAAGAACACTGTCACAAGTCTAGACGGACCCTGAGGTCACGCCAGCAACGCAAAGCAGCTCCATGTGCCCCAAATCAACCCGAGATGTGGCCCGATTCCCCTGCATTGACTCCAGAGCCATCCCCAGTTCCCCATTAAACAAGACAACTGGCAAGACTTCCTTCATGCAACTCCAGAGATGCCCTGAGAACACTGTCCCAAGTCTAGAGGAACACCAACTTCAGCACAGCAACTCGAGGAATGCTCCGTGTACCACAAATCGTCTCGAGATGAGAGCTGAATCCCTGGCTTAGGCTCAAGACGTATGCCAACTTTCCAGAAGCACCTCAAGAGGAGGATTCTCTCAGCAATAGGTATGTTGGAGGGACCCCGAGTTTGCTGCCTCAAGTTGAATATACGGCGAGAAGCCCTAACTTGAAAGGAGGCCGGATTTCCTTGCAGTGGCTTGAATACAGGCTCGTCTTTCATCTCACAGAATGACGGGGTGTCTGAATCCCCTGTGGAGGCCTTAGAGAAAGCTATAGGTCCCTACCTCATTTTGACGGAATGCCTCACATCCCGTTGTCACCTCCAGAGGCACGCGGAGTTCACTGCTTCAAAAGGTGACGATGCCTGACTCCTCTAAAATATTTATAGGAATCCCAAAATCCCTGTGGCTATTGGGAACGTTCCTTGGGTGCCCTGCCTCAAGTGGAGAAGCGTCCCTTGTGCCATGCCAAGCCTCGATGAGATTCCTGAGCTGTCTCTCGTTACTGGACAGGAGTTCTGACGTCACTGAATAAACACGAGTTTTGAAGGCCATCCCCGCCGTAACCCGAGTACATACCCTAGGTCCCCGCCGCAAGTCGAGAAAAACCATGAGACTTTCCCCTAGAGGCGAGATGAGGCCCGATTCTCCTGCAGTGCATGCAGAGCAATTCCGTGATCCCCATCAAACAAGTCAGAAGCTTCGACTTGCTTAATGGATCTCGAGAGAGTCCCCAAGAACACTGTCACATGTCTAGACGGATCCTGAGGTCACCCCATCAAGGCAAAGCAGCACCATGTGCCCCAAATCAACTCGAGATAATGCCCGATTCCCCTGCATTGACTCCAGAGCCATCCCCCGTTCCACATTAAACACGACCAGTGGCTTGACTTCCTTCAGGCAACTGCAGAGACGCCCTGAGAACACTGTCCCAAGTCTAGAGGAACACCATCTTCAGCACAGCAACTCGAGGAATGCTCCGTGTACCCCAAATCGTCTCGAGATGAGAGCTGATTCCCTGGCTTAGGCTCAAGACGTATGCCAACTTTCCAGAAGCACCTCAAGAGGAGGCTTCTCTCAGCAATAGTTATGTTGGAGGGACCCCCAGTTTGCTGCCTCAAAAGGAATATACAGCGAGAAGCCCTAACTTGAAAGGAGGCCGGATTTCCTTGCAGTGTCTTGAATACAGGCTCGTCTTTCATCTCACAACCGGAAGGAATGTCTGAATCCTCTGTGGAGACCTTAGAGAAAGCGCTAGGTCGCTGCCTCATTTTGAAGGAATGTCTCACATCCCGTTGACACCTCGAGAGGCACACAGAGTTCACTGCTTCAAAATGTGATGATGCCTGACCCCTCTTGAACATTGATAGGAATCCCAAAATCACTTTAGCTACAGGACAGGGTTCTTGGGTGCCATGCCTCACCTCGAGAAGCATCCCTTTGCCTGCCAAGCCTCGAAGAGATTCCTGAGGTGTCTCTCGTTACTAGACAGGAGTCCTGACGTCACTGAATAAACACGTGTTTTGAAGGGCCATCCCCGCCGTAACTCGAGAACATACCCCAGGTCCCGCCGCAACTCGAGAAAAACCATGAGACTTCCCCTAGATGCGAGATGACGTCTGATTCCCTGCAGTCCATGCAGAGCAGTCCCGTGATCCCCATCAAGCAAGTCAGGAGCTTCGACTTGCTTAATGGATCTCCAGAGAGTCCCCAGGAACACTGTCACAAGTCTAGACAGACCCTGAGGTCACCCCAGCAATGCAAAGCAGCTCCAAGTGCCCCACATCAACTCGAGATGAGGCCCCATTCTCCGGTATTTACTCAAGAGCTATCCCCCGTACCCCATTAAACACCAACACTGGCTTGACTTCATTCAGGCAACTCCAGAGATGCCCCAAGAACACTGTTCCAAGTCTAGAGGAACACCAACTTCAGCACAGCAACTCGAGGAATGCTCCGTGTACCCCAAATCGTTCCGAGGTGAGAGCTGATTCCCTGGCTTAGGCTCAAGACGTATAACAACTTTCCAGAAGCACCTCAAGAGGAGGCTTCTCTCAGCAATCGGTATGTGGGAGGGAACCCAAGTTTGCTGCCTCAAGTGGAATATACAGTGAGAAGCCCTAACTTGAAAGGAGGCCGGATTTCCTGGCAGTGTGTTGAATACAGGCTCGTCTTTCATCTCACAACAGGAAGGGATGTCTGAATCCCCTGTGGAGACCTTAGAGAAAGCCCTAGGTCTCTGCCTCATTTTGACGGAATGTCTCACATCCCGTTGACACCTCGAGAGGCACACGGAGTTCACTGCTTCAAAATGTGACGATGCCTGACTCCTCCTGAACATTGATAGAAATTCCAAAATCACTGTAGCTACAGGACAGGGTTCTTTGGTGCCCTGCCTCACCTCGAGAAGCATCCCTTTTGCGCTGCCAAGCCTCGAAGAGATTCCTGAGGTGTCTCTCGTTACTAGACAGGAGTCCTGACGTCACTGAATAAACACGTGTTTTGAAGGGCCATCCCCGCCGTAACTCGAGAACATACCCCAGTTCGCGCCACAACTCGAGTAAAACCATGAGATTTCCCCTAGAGGCGAGATGAGGCCTGATTCCCTGCAGTCCATGAAGAGCATTCCCGTGATCCCCATCAAACAAGTCAGGAGCTTCGACTTGCTTAATGGATCTCCAGAGAGTCCCCAGGAACACTGTCACAAGTCTAGACAGACCCTGAGGTCACCCCAGCAATGCAAAGCAGCTGCAAGTACCCCACATCAACTCGAGATGAGGCCCGATTCCCATGCATTGACTCCAGAGCCATCCCCCGTACCCCATTAAACACAACCATTGGCTTTACTTCCTTCCGGCAACACCAGAGATGCCCCAAGAACACTGTCCCAAGTCTAGAGGAATACGAACTTCAGCACAGCAACTCGAGGAATGCTCCGTGTACCCCAAATCGTTTCGAGGTGAGAGCTGATTCCATGGCTTAGGCTCAAGACGTATGCCAACTTTCCAGAAGCCCCTCAAGAGGAGGCTTCTCTCAGCAATAGGTATGTGGGAGGGACCCCGAGTTTGCTGCCTCAAGTGGAATATACAGCCAGAAGCCCTAACTTGAAAGGAGGCCGGATTTCCTTGCAGTGGCTTGAATACAGGCTCGTCTTTCATCTCACAGCATGAAGGGGTGTCTGAAGCCCCTGTGTAGACCTTAGAGAAAGCTCTAGGTCCCTGCCTCATTTTGACGGAATGCCTCACATCCCATTGACACCTCGAGAGGCACGCGGAGTTCACTGCTTCAAAAGGTGATGATGCCTGACTCGTCTTGAATATTGATAGGAATCCCAAAATCACTGTGGCTACTGGAAAGGGTCCTTGGGTGCCCTGCCTCTCCTCGAGAAGCATACCTTTTGACCTGCCAAGCCTCGAAGAGATTCCTGAGGTGTCCCTCGTTACTAGACAGGAGTCCTGACGGCACTGAATAAACACGGGTTTTGAGGGGCCATCCCCGCCGTAACTCGAGAAGATTCCCCAGGTCCCCCGCACAACTTGACAAAAACCGTGAGACTTCCCCCTAGATGCGAGATGAGTCCTGATTCCCTGAAGTGCATGCAGAGTATTCCCGTGATCCCCAGCAAACAAGTCAGGAGCTTCGACTTGCTTAATTGAACTCGAGAAAGTCCCCAGGAACACTGTCACAAGTCTAGACAGACCCTGAGGTCACCTCAGCAATGCAAAGCAGCTGCAAGTACCCCACATCAACTCGAGATGAGGCCCGACTCCCATGCATTGACTCCAGAGCCATCCCCAGTTCCGCATTAAACAAGACCACTGGCTTGTCTTCCTTCAGACAACTCCAGAGATGCCCCGAGAACACTGTGCCAAGACTAGAGGAACACCAACTTCAGTACAGCAACTAGAGGAATGCCCCGTGTACCACAAATCGTCTCGAGATGAGAGCTGATTCCCTGGCTTAGGCTCAAGACGTATGCCAACTTTCCAGAAGCACCTCAAGAGGAGGCTTCTCTCAGCAATAGGTATGTTCGTGGGACCCCGAGTTTGCTGCCTAAAGTGGAATATACAGCGAGAAGCCCTAACTTGAATGGAGGCCGGATTTCCTTGCAGTGTCTTGAATACAGGCTCGTATTTCATCTCACAACAGGAAGGGATGTCTGAATCCCCTGTGGAGACCATAGAGAAAGCCCTAGGTCCCTGCCTCATTTTGAGGGAATGCCTCACATCCCGTTGACACCACGAGAGGCACGCGGAGTTCACTGCTTCAAAAGGTGACGATGCCTGACTCCTCTTGAATATTGATACGAATCCCAAAATCCCTGTGGCTATTGGAAAGTTTCCTTGGGTGCCCTGCCTCATCTCGAGAAGCGTCCCTTGTGCCCCGGCAAGCCTCGAAGAGATTCTTGCGCTGTCCCTCGTTACTGGAGAGGAGTCCTGACGTCACTGAATAAACACGTGTTTTGAAGGGCCATCGCCGCCGTAACTCGAGTATATACCCCAGGTCCCCGCCGCAACTCGAGAAAAACCATGAAACTTTCCCCTAGAGGCGAGATGAGGCCCGGTTCTCCTGCACTGCATGCAGAGCAATTCCGTGATCCCCATCCAACAAGTCAGGAGCTTCGACTTGCTTAATGGCTCTCGAGACATTCCCCAAGAACACTGTCACATGTCTAGACGGACCCTGAGGTATCCCCAGCAATGCAAAGCAGCTCCATGTGCCCCAAATCAACATGAGATGAGGTCCGATTCCCCTGTATTGACTCCAGAGCCATCTGCTGTTTCGCATTAAACACCACCAGTGGCTTGACCTCCTTCAGACAACTCCAGAGATGCCCCGAGAACACTGTCCCTAGTCTAGAGGAACACCTACTTTAGCACAGCAACTCGAGGAATGCTTCCTGTATGCCAAATCCTCTCAAGATGAGAGCTGATTCCCTGGCTTAGGCTCAAGACATATGCCAACTTTCCAGAAGCACTTCAAGAGGAGGCTTCTCTCAGCAATATGTATGTGGGAGGGAACCCGAGTTTGCTGCCTCAAATGGAATATACAGCGCGAAGCACTAACTAGGAAGGAGGCTGGTTTCCTAGCAGTGTCTTGAATACAGGCTCGTCTTTCATCTCACAGCAGGAAGAGATGTCTGAATCCCCTGTGGAGACTTTAGAGAAAGCCCTAGGTCCCTGCCACATTTTGACGGAATGCCTCACATCCGGTTGACACCTCGAGAGTCACGCGGAGTTCACTGCTTCAAAAGCTGACGATGCCTGACTCCTCTAAAATATTGATAGGAATCACAAAATCCCTGTGGCTATTTGAAAGGTTCCTTGGGTGCCCTGCCTCACCTCGAGAAGCGTCCCTTGTGCCTGCCAAGCCTCGAAGAGATTCCTGAGCTGTCCCTCGTTACTGGACAGGAGTCCTGACGTCACTGAATAAACACGAGTTTTTAAGGGCCATCCCCGCCGTAACCCGAGTACATACCCCAGGTCCCCGTCGCAAGTCAAAAAAAACCATGAGACTTTCCCCTCGTGGCGAGATGAGGCCCGATTCTCCTGCAGTGCATGCAGAGCAATTCCGTGATCCCCATCAAACAAGTCAGGACCTTCGACTTGCTTAATGGATCTCGAGACAGTCCCCAAAAAAACTGTCACATGTCTAGACGGATCCTGCGGTCACCCCATCAACGCAAAGCAGCACCATGTGCCCCACATCAACTCGAGATAATGCCCGAATCCCCTGCATTGACTCCAGAGCCATCTCACGTTCCACATTAAACACCACCAGTGGCTTGACTTCCTTCAGACAACTCCAGAGATGCCCTGAGAACACTGTCCCAAGTCTAGAGGAACACCATCTTCAGCACAGCAACTCGAGGAATGCTCCGTGTACCCCAAATCGTCTCGAGATGAGAGCTGATTCCCTGGCTTAGGCTCAAGACGTATGCCAACTTTCCAGAAGCACCTCAAGGGGAGGCTTCTCTCAGCAAAAGGTATGTTGGAGGGACCCCCAGTTTGCTGCCTCAAGTGGAATATGCAGCAAGAAGCCCTAACTTGAAAGGAGGCCGGGTTTCCTTGCAGTGTCTTGAATACAGGCTCGTCTTTCATCTCACAACCGGAAGGAATGTCTGAATCCCCTGTGGAGACCTTAGCGAAAGCCCTAGGTCCCTGCCTCATTTTGACGGATTGCCTCACATCCCGTTGACACCTCGGGAGGCACACGGAGTTCACTGCTTCAAATGTGACGATGCCTGACTCCTCCTGAACATTGATAGGAATCCCAAAATCACTGTGGCTACAGGAAAGGGTTCTTGTGTGCCCTGCCTCACCTCGAGAAGCATCCCTTTTGCCCTGCCAAGGCTCGAAGAGATTCCTGAGGTGTCCCTCATTACTAGACAGGAGTCATGACGTCACTGAATAAACACGTGTTTTCAAGAGCCATGCCCGCCATAACTCGAGAACATACCCCAGGTCCCGACGCAACTCGAGAAAAATGATTAGGCTTCCCCTAGATGCGATATGAGGCTTGATTCCCTGCAGTACATGCAGAGCATTCCCGTGATCCCAATCAAGCAAGTCAGCAGCTTCAAATTGCTTAATGGATCTCGAGAGAGTCCTCAGGAACACTGTCACAAGTCTAGACAGACCGTGACATCACCCCAGCAACGCAAAGCAGCTCCAAGTACCCCACATCAACTCGAGTTGAGGCCCGATTCCCATGCATTGACTCCAGAGCTATCCCCCGTACCCCATTAAAGCACAACCAGTGGATTGATTTCCTTCAGGCAACTCCAGAGATTCCCCGAGAACACTGTCCCAAGTCTAGAGGAATACGAACTTCAGCAAAGCAACTCGAGGAATGCTCCGTGTACCCCAAATCGTCTCGAGATGAGAGCTGATTCCATGGCTAGGCTCAAGACGTATGCCAACTTTCCAGAAGCACCTCAAGAGGAGGCTTCTCTCAGCAATCGGTATGTGGGAGGGAGCCCGAGTTTGCTGCCTCAAGTGGAATATACAGTGAGAAGCCCTAACTTGAAAGGAGGCCGGATTTCCTGGCAGTGTGTTGAATACAGGCTCGTCTTTCATCTCACAACAGGAAGGGATGTCTGAATCCCCTGTGGAGACCTTAGAGAAAGCCCTAGGTCCCTGCCTCATTTTGACGGAATGTCTCACATCCCGTTGACACCTCGAGAGGCACACGGAGTTCACTGCTTCAAAATGTGACGATGCCTGACTCCTCCTGAACATTGATAGGAATCCCAAAATCACTGTAGCTACAGGACAGGGTTCTTTGGTGCCCTGCCTCACCTCGAGAAGCATCCCTTTTGCGCTGCCAAGCCTCGAAGAGATTCCTGAGGTGTCTCTCGTTACTAGACAGGAGTCCTGACGTCACTGAATAAACACGTGTTTTGAAGGGCCATCCCCGCCGTAACTCGAGAACATACCCCAGTTCGCGCCGCAACTCGAGTAAAACCATGAGATTTCCCCTAGAGGCGAGATGAGGCCTGATTCCCTGCAGTCCATGAAGAGCATTCGCGTGATCCCCATCAAGCAAGTCAGGAGCTTCGACTTGCTTAATTGAACTCGAGAAAGTCCCCAGGAACACTGTCACAAGTCTAGACAGACCCTGAGGTCACCCCAGCAATGCAAAGCAGCTGCAAGTATCCCACATCAACTCGAGATGAGGCCCGATTCCCATGCATTGACTCCAGAGCCATCCCCAGTTCCCCATTAAACAAGACCACTGGCTTGTCTTCCTTCAGACAACTCCAGAGATGCCCCGAGAACACTGTCCCAAGTCTAGAGGAACACCAACTTCAGCACAGCAACTCGAGGAATGCCCCGTGTACCACAAATCGTCTCGAGATGAGAGCTGATTCCCTGGCTTAGGCTCAAGACGTATGCCAACTTTCCAGAAGCACCTCAAGAGGAGGCTTCTCTCAGCAATAGGTATGTTCGTGGGACCCCGAGTTTGCTGCCTAAAGTGGAATATACAGCGAGAAGCCCTAACTTGAATGGAAGCCGGATTTCCTTGCAGTGTCTTGTATACAGGCTCGTCTTTCATCTCACAACAGGAAGGGATGTCTGAATCCCCTGTGAAGACCTTTGAGAAAGCCCTAGGTCCCTGCCTAATTGTGACGGAATGCCTCACATCCCGTTGACACCACGAGAGGCACGCGGAGTTCACTGCTTCAAAAGGTGACGATGCCTGACTCCTCTTGAATATTGATAGGAATCCCAAAATCCCTGTGGCTATTGGAAAGGTTCCTTGGGTGCCCTGCCTCATCTCGAGAAGCGTCCCTTGTGCCCCGGCAAGCCTCGAAGAGATTCCTGAGCTGTCCCTCGTTACTGGACAGGAGTCCTGACGTCACTGAATAAACACGTGTTTTGAAGGGCCATCGCCGCCGTAACTCGAGTATATACCCCAGGTCCCCGCCGCAACTCGAGAAAAACCATGAGACTTCCGCCTAGAGGCGAGATGAGGCCCGATTCTCCTGCAGTGCATGCAGAGCAATTCCGTGATCCCCATCAAACAAGTCAGGAGCTTCGACTTGCTTAATGGATCTCGAGACATTCCCCAAGAACACTGTCACATGTCTAGACGGACCCTGAGGTATCCCCAGCAAAGCAAAGCAGCTCCATGTGCCCCAAATCAACTTGAGATGAGGTCCGATTCCCCTGCATTGACTCCAGAGCCATCTGCCGTTCCACATTAAACACCACCAGTGGCTTGACCTCCTTCAGACAACTCCAGAGATGCCCCGAGAACACTGTCCCAAGTCTAGAGGAACACCTACTTTAGCACAGCAACTCGAGGAATGCTTCCTGAATGCCAAATCTTCTCGAGTTGAGAGCTGATTTCCTGGCTTAGGCTCAAGATGTATGCCAACTTTCCAGAAGCACCTCAAGAGGAGGCTTCTCTCAGCAATAGGTATGTGGGAGGGAACCCGAGTTTGCTGCCTCAAATGGAATATACAGCGAGAAGCACTAACTAGAATGGAGGCCGGTTTCTTAGCAGTGTCTTGAATACAGCCTCGTCTTTCATCTCACAGCAGGAAGAGATGTCTGAATCCCCTGTGGAGACCTTACAGAAAGCCCTAGGTCACTGCCTCATTTTGACGGAATGCCTCACATCCCGTTGACACCTCGAGAGTCACGCGGAGTTCACTGCTTCAAAAGCTGACGATGCCTGACTCCTCCTGAACATTGATAGGAATCCCAAAATCACTGTAGCTACAGGACAGGGTTCTTGGGTGCCCTGCCTCACCTCGAGAAGCATCCCTTTTGCCCTGCCAAGCCTCGAAGAGATTCCTGAGGTGTCCCTCATTACTAGACAGGAGTCATGACGTCACTGAATAAACACGTGTTTTCAAGGGCCATGCCCGCCATAACTCGAGAACATACCCCAGGTCCCGCCGCAACTCGAGAAAAACCATGAGACTTCCCCTAGATGCGAGATGAGGGCTGATTCCCTGCAGTCCATGCAGAGCATTCCCGTAATCCCAATCAAGCAAGTCAGCAGCTTCGAATTTCTTAATGGATCTCGAGATTGTCCCCAGGAACACTGTCACAAGTCTAGACAGATCCTGACATCACCCCAGCAGCGCAAAGCAGCACCAAGTACCCCATATCAACTCGCGTTGAGGCCCGATTCCCATGCATTGACTCCAGAGCCATCCCCCGTACCCCATTAAACACCACCAGTGGCTTGACTTCCTTCAGGCAACTCCAGAGATGCCCCGAGAACACTGTCCCAAGTCTAGAGGAATACGAACTTCAGCACAGCAACTCGAGGAATGCTCCGTGTATCCCAAATCGTTTCGAGGTGAGAGCTGATTCCATGGCTTAGGCTCAAGACGTATGCCAACTTTCCAGAAGCCCCTCAAGAGGAGGATTCTCTCAGCAATAGGTATGTTGGAGGGACTCCCACTTTGCTGCCTAAAGTGGAATATACAGCGAGAAGCCCTAACTTGAAAGGAGGCCGGATTTCCTTGCAGTGTCTTGAATACAGGCTCGTCTTTCATCTCACAACCGGAAGGGATGTCTGAATCCCCTGTGGAGAACTTAGAGAAAGCCCTAGGTCCCTGCCTCATTTTGACGGATTGCCTCACATCCCGTTGACACCTCGAGAGGCACGCGGAGTTCACTGCTTCAAAAGTTGATGCTGCCTGACTCGTCTTGAATATTGATAGGAATCCCAAAATCCCTGTGGCTATTTGAAAGGTTCCTTGGGTGTCCTGCCTCACCTCGAGAAGCGTCCCTTGTGCCTGCCAAGCCTCGAAGAGATTCCTGAGCTGTCCCTCGTTACTGGACAGGAGTCCTGACGTCACTGAATAAACAGGAGTTTTTAAGGGCCATCCCCGCTGTAACCCGAGTACATACCCCAGGTCCCCGCCGCAAGTCGAGAAAAACCATGAGACTTTCCCCTAGTGGCGAGATGAGGCCCGATTCTCCTGCAGTGCATGCAGAGCAATTCCGTGATCCCCATCAAACAAGTCAGGACCTTCGACTTGCTTAATGGATCTCGAGACAGTCCCCAAGAATACTGTCACATGTCTAGACGGATCCTGAGGTCACCCCATCAACGCAAAGCAGCACTATGTGCCCCACATCAACTCGAGATAATGCCCGATTCCCCTGCATTGACTCCAGAGCCATCCCCCGTTCCACATTAAACACCACCAGTGGCTTGACTTCCTTCAGACAACTCAAGAGATGCCCTGAGAACACTGTCCCAAGTCTAGAGGAACACCATCTTCAGCACAGCAACTCGAGGAATGCTCCGTGTACCTCAAATCGTCTGGAGATGAGAGCTGATTCCCTGGCTTAGGCTCAAGGCGTATGCCAACTTTCCAGAAGCACCTCAAGGGGAGGCTTCTCTCAGCAATAGGTATGTTGGAGGGACCCCCAGTTTGCTGCCTCAAGTGGAATATGCAGCGAGAAGCCCTAACTTGAAAGGAGGCCGGGTTTCCTTGCAGTGTCTTGAATACAGGCTCGTCTTTCATCTCACAATGGGAAGGAATGTCTGAATCCCCTGTGGAGACCTTAGCGAAAGCCCTAGGTCCCTGCCTCATTTTGACGGATTGCCTCACATCCCGTTGACACCTGGAGAGGCACCCGGAGTTCACTGCTTCAAATGTGACGATGCCTGACTCCTCCTGAACATTGATAGGAATCCCAAAATCACTGTGGCTACAGGAAACGGTTCTTGTGTGCCCTGCCTCACCTCGAGAAGCATCCCTTTTGCCCTGCCAAGGCTCGAAAAGATTCCTGAGGTGTCCCTCATTACTAGACAGGAGTCATGACGTCACTTTAAAAACACGTGTTTTCAAGGGCCAAGCCCGCCATAACTCGAGAACATACCCCACGTACCGCCGCGACTCGAGAAAAACCATGAGACTTCCCCTAGATGCGATATGAGGCCTGATTCCCTGCAGTCCATGCAGAGCATTCCCGTGATCCCAATCAAGCAAGTCAGCAGCTTCGAATTGCTTAATGGATCTCGAGAGAGTCCCCAGGAACACTGTCACAAGTCTAGACAGACCCTGACATCACCCCAGCAAAGCAAAGCAGGTCCAAGTACCCCACATCACCTCGAGTTGAGGCCGGATTCCCATGCATTGACTCCAGAGCCATCCCCCGTTCCACATTAAACACGACCAGTAGCTTGACTTCCTTCAGGCAACTCCAGAGACGCCCTGAGAACACTGTCCCAAGTCTAGAGAAACACCATCTTCAGCACAGCAACTCGAGGAATGCTCCGTGTACCCCAAATCGTCTCGAGATGAGAGCTGATTCCCTGGCTTAGGCTCAAGACGTATGCCAACTTTCCAGAAGCACCTCAAGTGGAGACTTCTCTCAGCAATAGGTATGTTGGAGGGACCCCCAGTTTGCTGCCTCAAGAGGAATATACAGCGAAAAGCCCTAACTTGAAAGGAGGACGGATTTCCTTGCAGTGGCTTGAATACAGGCTCGTCTTTCATCTCACAGCATGAAGGGATGTCTGAAACCCCTGTGGAGACCTTAGAGAAAGCTCTAGGTCCCTGCCTCATTTTGAGGGAATGCCTCACATCCCGTTGTCACCTCGAGAGGCACGCGGAGTTCACTGCTTCAAAAGGTGATGATGCCTCACTCGTCTTGAATATTGATAGGAATCAAAAAATCACTGTGGCTACTGGAAAGGGTCCTTGGGTGCCCTGCCTCACCTCGAGAAGCATACCTTTTGACCTGCCAAGCCTCGAAGAGATTCCTGAGGTTTCCCTTATTACTAGACAGGAGTCCTGACGGCACTGAATAAACAGGTGTTTTGAAGGGCCATCCCCGCCGTAACTCGAGAAGATACCCCAGGTCCCCAGCGCAACTTGAGAGAAACCATGAGACTTCCCCCAAGATGCGAGATGAGTCCTGATTCCCTGCAGTGCATGCAGGGTATTCCCGTGATCCCCATCAAACAAGTCAGGAGCTTCGACTTGCTTAATGGATCTCGAGACAGTCCCCAAGAACACTGTCACAAGTCTAGACGGACCCTGAGGTCACCCCAGCAACGTAAAACAGCTCCATGTGCCCCAAATCAACCCGAAATGTGGCCCGATTCCCCTGCATTGACTCCAGAGCCATCCCCAGTTCCCCATTAAACAAGACCACTGGCTTGACTTCCTTCAGGCAACTCCAGAGATGCCCCGAGAACACTGTCCCAAGACTAGAAGAACACCAACTTCAGCACAGCAACTCGAGGAATGCTCCGTGTACCACAAATCGTCTCGAGATGAGAGCTGAATCGCTGGCTTAGGCTCAAGACGTATGCCAACTTTCCAGAAGCACCTCAAGAGGAGGCTTCTCTCAGCAATAGGTATGTTCGAGGGACCCCGAGTTTGCTGCCTCAAGTGGAATATATAGCGAGAAGCCCTAAATTGAAAGGAGGCCGGATTTCCTTGCAGTGGCTTGAATACAGGATCGTCTTTCATCTCACAGCATGAAGGGATGTCTGAATCCCCTGTGGAGACGTTAGAGAAAGCTCTAGGTCCCTGCCTCATTTTGACGGAATGCCTCACATCCCGTTGTCACCTCGAGAGGCAAGCGGAGTTCAGTGCTTCAAAATGTGACGATGCCTGACTCCTCTTGAATATTGATAGGAATCCCAAAATCCATGTGGCTATCGGAAAGGTTACTTGGGTACCCTGCCTCACCTTGAGAAGCGTCCCTTGTGCACTGCCAAGCCTCGAAGAGATTCCAGAGCTGCCCCTCGTTACTGGACAGGAGTCCTGACGTCACTGAATAAACACGAGTTTTGAAGAGCCATCCCCGTCGTAACCCGAGTACATACCCCAGGTCCCCGCCGCAAGTCGAGAAAAACCATGAGACTTTCCCCTATAGGCGAGATGAGGCCCGATTCTCCTGCAGTGCATGCAGAGCAATTCCGTGATCCCCATCAAACAAGTCAGGACCTTCGACTTGCTTAATGGATCTCGAGACAGTCCCCAAGAATACTGTCACATGTCTAGACGGATCCTGAGGTCACCCCATCAACGCAAAGCAGCACAATGTGCCCCAAATCAACTCGGGATGATGGCAGATTCCCCTGCATTGACCCTAGAGCCATCCCCCTTTCCCCATTAAACACGACTAGTGGCTTGACTTCCTTCAGGCAACTCCAGAGATGCCCCGAGAACACTGTCCCAAGTCTAGAGGAACACCAACTTCAGCACAGCAACTCGAGGAATGCGCCGTGTACCCCAAATCGTCTCGAGATGAGAGCTGATTCCCTGGCTTAGGTTCAAGACGTATGCCAACTTTCCAGAAGCACCTCAAGCAGAGGATTCTCTCAGCAATAGGTATGTTGGAGGGACCTCCACTTTGCTGCCTCAAGTGGAATATACAGCGAGAAGCCCTAACTTGAAAGGAGGCCCGGTTTCCTTGCAGTGTCTTGAATACAGGCTCGTCTTTCATCTCACAGCATGAAGGAATGTCTGAATCCCCTGTGGAGACGTTAGAGAAAGCCCTAGGTCCCTGCCTCATTTTGACGGAATGTCTCACATCCCGTTGACACCTCGAGAGGCACACGGAGTTCACTGCTTCAAAATGTGACGATGCCTGACTCCTCCTGAACATTGATAGGAATCCCAAAATCACTGTAGCTACAGGACAGGGTTCTTGGGTGCCCTGCCTCACCTCGAGAAGCATCCCTTTTGCCCTGCCAAGCCTCGAAGAGATTCCGGAGGTGTCTCTCATTACTAGACAGGAGTCCTGACGTCACTGAATAAACACGTGTTTTGAAGGGCCATCCCCGCCGTAACTCGAGAACATACCCCAGTTCGCGCCGCAACTCGAGTAAAACCATGAGACTTCCCCTAGAGGCGAGATGAGGCCTGATTCCCTGCAGTCCATGAAGAGCATTCCCGTGATCCCCATCAAACAAGTCAGGAGCTTCGACTTGCTTAATGGATCTCCAGAGAGTCCCCAGGAACACTGTCACAAGTCTAGACAGACCCTGAGGTCACCCCAGCAATGCAAAGCAGCTGCAAGTACCCCACATCAACTCGAGATGAGGCCCGATTCCCATGCATTGACTCCAGAGCCATCCCCCGTACCCCATTAAACACAACCATTGGCTTGACTTCCTTCCGGCAACACCAGAGATGCCCCAAGAACACTGTCCCAAGTCTAGAGGAATACGAACTTCAGCACAGCAACTCGAGGAATGCTCTGTGTACCCCAAATCGTTTCGAGGTGAGAGCTGATTCCATGGCTTAGGCTCAAGACGTATGCCAACTTTCCAGAAGCCCCTCAAGAGGAGGCTTCTCTCAGCAATAGGTATGTGGGAGGGACCCCGAGTTTGCTGCCTCAAGTGGAATATACACCCAGAAGCCCTAACTTGAAAGGAGGCCGGATTTCCTTGCAGTGGCTTGAATACAGGCTCGTCTTTCATCTCACAGCATGAAGGGGTGTCTGAAGCCCCTGTGTAGACCTTAGAGAAAGCTCTAGGTCCCTGCCTCATTTTGACGGAATGCCTCACATCCCATTGACACCTCGAGAGGCACGCGGAGTTCACTGCTTCAAAAGGTGATGATGCCTGACTCGTCTTGAATATTGATAGGAATCCCAAAATCACTCTGGCTACTGGAAAGGGTCCTTGGGTGCTCTGCCTCTCCTCGAGAAGCATACCTTTTGACCTGCCAAGCCTCGAAGAGATTCCTGAGGTGTCCCTCGTTACTAGACAGGAGTCCTGACGGCACTGAATAAACACGGGTTTTGAGGGGCCATCCCCGCCGTAACTCGAGAAGATTCCCCAGGTCCCCCACGCAACTTGAGAGAAACCGTGAGACTTCCCCCTAGATGTGAGATGAGTCCTGATTCCCTGCAGTGCATGCAGAGTATTCCCGTGATCCCCAGCAAACAAGTCAGGAGCTTCGACTTGCTTAATTGAACTCGAGAAAGTCCCCAGGAACACTGTCACAAGTCTAGACAGACCCTGAGGTCACCTCAGCAATGCAAAGCAGCTGCAAGTACCCCACATCAACTCGAGATGAGGCCCGATTCCCATGCATTGACTCCAGAGCCATCCCCAGTTCCCCATTAAACAAGACCACTGGCTTGTCTTCCTTCAGACAACTCCAGAGATGCCCCGAGAACACTGTCCCAAGACTAGAGGAACACCAACTTCAGTACAGCAACTAGAGGAATGCCCCGTGTACCACAAATCGTCTCGAGATGAGAGCTGATTCCCTGGCTTAGGCTCAAGACGTATGCCAACTTTCCAGAAGCACCTCAAGAGGAGGCTTCTCTCAGCAATAGGAATGTTCGTGGGACTCCGAGTTTGCTGCCTAAAGTGGAATATACAGCGAGAAGCCCTAACTTGAATGGAGGCCGGATTTCCTTGCAGTGTCTTGAATACAGGCTCGTATTTCATCTCACAACAGGAAGGGATGTCTGAATCCCCTGTGGAGAATATAGAGAAAGCCCTAGGTCCCTGCCTCATTTTGACGGAATGCCTCACATCCCGTTGACACCACGAGAGGCACGCGGAGTTCACTGCTTCAAAAGGTGACGATGCCTGACTCCTCTTGAATATTGATAGGAATCCCAAAATCCCTGTGGCTATTGGAAAGGTTCCTTGGGTGCCCTGCCTCATCTCGAGAAGCGTCCCTTGTGCCCCGGCAAGCCTCGAAGAGATTCCTGAGCTGTCCCTCGTTACTGGAGAGGAGTCCTGACGTCACTGAATAAACACGTGTTTTGAAGGGCCATCGCCGCCGTAACTCGAGTATATACCCCAGGTCCCCGCCGCAACTCGAGAAAAACCATGAAACTTTCCCCTAGAGGCGAGATGAGGCCCGATTCTCCTGCATTGCATGCAGAGCAATTCCGTGATCCCCATCCAACAAGTCAGGAGCTTCGACTTGCTTAATGGATCTCGAGACATTTCCCAAGAACACTGTCACATGTCTAGACGGACCCTGAGGTATCCCCAGCAATGCAAAGCAGCTCCATGTGCCCCAAATCAACATGAGATGAGGTCCGATTCCCCTGTATTGACTCCAGAGCCATCTGCTGTTCCGCATTAAACACCACCAGTGGCTTGACCTCCTTCAGACAACTCCAGAGATGCCCCGAGAACACTGTCCCTAGTCTAGAGGAACACCTACTTTAGCACAGCAACTCGAGGAATGCTTCCTGTATGCCAAATCTTCTCGAGATGAGAGCTGATTCCCTGGCTTCGGCTCAAGATGTATGCCAACTTTCCAGAAGCACTTCAAGAGGAGGCTTCTCTCAGCAATAGGTATGTGGGAGGGAACCCGAGTTTGCTGCCTCAAATGTGACGATGCCTGACTCCTCCTGAACATTGATAGGAATCCCAAAATCACTGTGGCTACAGGAAAGGGTTCTTGTGTGCCCTGCCTCACCTCGAGAAGCATCCCTTTTGCCCTGCCAAGGCTCGAAGAGATTCCTGAGGTGTCCCTCATTACTAGAGAGGAGTCATGACGTCACTGAATAAACACGTGTTTTCAAGGGCCATGCCCGCCATAACTCGAGAACATACCCCAGGTCCCGACGCAACTCGAGAAAAACGATGAGGCTTCCCCTAGATGCGATATGAGGCTTGATTCCCTGCAGTACATGCAGAGCATTCCCGTGATCCCAATCAAGCAAGTCAGCAGCTTCAAATTGCTTAATGGATCTCGAGAGAGTCCATAGGAACACTGTCACAAGTCTAGACAGACCGTGACATCACCTCAGCAAAGCAAAGCAGCCCCAAGTACCCGACATCAACTCGAGTTGAGGCCCGATTCCCATGCATTGACTCCAGAGCTATCCCCCGTACACCATTAAAGCACAACCAGTGGATTGATTTCCTTCAGGCAACTCCAGAGATGCCTCGAGAACACTGTCCCAAGTCTAGAGGAATACGAACTTCAGCAAAGCAACTCGAGGAATGCTCCGTGTACCCCAAATCGTTCCGAGGTGAGAGCTGATTCCCTGGCTTAGGCTCAAGACGTATGCCAACTTTCCAGAAGCACCTCAAGAGGAGGCTTCTCTCAGCAATCGGTATGTGGGAGGGAACCCAAGTTTGCTGCCTCAAGTGGAATATACAGTGAGAAGCCCTAACTTGAAAGGAGGCCGGATTTCCTGGCAGTGTGTTGAATACAGGCTCGTCTTTCATCTCACAACAGGAAGGGATGTCTGAATCCCCTGTGGAGACCTTAGAGAAAGCCCTAGGTCCCTGCCTCATTTTGACGGAATGTCTCACATCCCGTTGACACCTCGAGAGGCACACGGAGTTCACTGCTTCAAAATGTGACGATGCCTGACTCCTCCTGAACATTGATAGGAATTCCAAAATCACTGTAGCTACAGGACAGGGTTCTTTGGTGCCCTGCCTCACCTCGAGAAGCATCCCTTTTGCGCTGCCAAGCCTCGAAGAGATTCCTGAGGTGTCTCTCGTTACTAGACAGGAGTCCTGACGTCACTGAATAAACACGTGTTTTGAAGGGCCATCCCCGCCGTAACTCGAGAACATACCCCAGTTCGCGCCACAACTCGAGTAAAACCATGAGATTTCCCCTAGAGGCGAGATGAGGCCTGATTCCCTGCAGTCCATGAAGAGCATTCCCGTGATCCCCATCAAACAAGTCAGGAGCTTCGACTTGCTTAATGGATCTCCAGAGAGTCCCCAGGAACACTGTCACAAGTCTAGACAGACCCTGAGGTCACCCCAGCAAAGCAAAGCAGCTGCAAGTACCCCACATCAACTCGAGATGAGGCCCGATTCCCATGCATTGACTCCAGAGCCATCCCCCGTACCCCATTAAACACAACCATTGGCTTTACTTCCTTCCGGCAACACCAGAGATGCCCCAAGAACACTGTCCCAAGTCTAGAGGAATACGAACTTCAGCACAGCAACTCGAGGAATGCTCCGTGTACCCCAAATCGTTTCGAGGTGAGAGCTGATTCCATGGCTTAGGCTCAAGACGTATGCCAACTTTCCAGAAGCCCCTCAAGAGGAGGCTTCTCTCAGCAATAGGTATGTGGGAGGGACCCCGAGTTTGCTGCCTCAAGTGGAATATACAGCCAGAAGCCCTAACTTGAAAGGAGGCCGGATTTCCTTGCAGTGGCTTGAATACAGGCTCGTCTTTCATCTCACAGCATGAAGGGGTGTCTGAAGCCCCTGTGTAGACCTTAGAGAAAGCTCTAGGTCCCTGCCTCATTTTGACGGAATGCCTCACATCCCATTGACAGCTCGAGAGGCACGCGGAGTTCACTGCTTCAAAAGGTGATGATGCCTGACTCGTCTTGAATATTGATAGGAATCCCAAAATCACTGTGGCTACTGGAAAGGGTCCTTGGGTGCCCTGCCTCTCCTCGAGAAGCATACCTTTTGACCTGCCAAGCCTCGAAGAGATTCCTGAGGTGTCCCTCGTTACTAGACAGGAGTCCTGACGGCACTGAATAAACACGGGTTTTGAGGGGCCATCCCCGCCGTAACTCGAGAAGATTCCCCAGGTCCCCCGCACAACTTGACAAAAACCGTGAGACTTCCCCCTAGATGCGAGATGAGTCCTGATTCCCTGAAGTGCATGCAGAGTATTCCCGTGATCCCCAGCAAACAAGTCAGGAGCTTCGACTTGCTTAATTGAACTCGAGAAAGTCCCCAGGAACACTGTCACAAGTCTAGACAGACCCTGAGGTCACCTCAGCAATGCAAAGCAGCTGCAAGTACCCCACGTCAACTCGAGATGAGGCCCGATTCCCATGCATTGACTCCAGAGCCATCCCCAGTTCCGCATTAAACAAGACCACTTGCTTGTCTTCCTTCAGACAACTCCAGAGATGCCCCGAGAACACTGTGCCAAGACTAGAGGAACACCAACTTCAGTACAGCAACTAGAGGAATGCCCCGTGTACCACAAATCGTCTCGAGATGAGAGCTGATTCCCTGGCTTAGGCTCAAGACGTATGCCAACTTTCCAGAAGCAACTCAAGAGGAGGCTTCTCTCAGCAATAGGTATGTTCGTGGGACCCCGAGTTTGCTGCCTAAAGTGGAATATACAGCGAGAAGCCCTAACTTGAATGGAGGCCGGATTTCCTTGCAGTGTCTTGAATACAGGCTCGTATTTCATCTCACAACAGGAAGGGATGTCTGAATCCCCTGTGGAGACCATAGAGAAAGCCCTAGGTCCCTGCCTCATTTTGACGGAATGCCTCACATCCCGTTGACACCACGAGAGGCACGCGGAGTTCACTGCTTCAAAAGGTGACGATGCCTGACTCCTCTTGAATATTGATACGAATCCCAAAATCCCTGTGGCTATTGGAAAGTTTCCTTGGGTGCCCTGCCTCATCTCGAGAAGCGTCCCTTGTGCCCCGGCAAGCCTCGAAGAGATTCCTGCGCTGTCCCTCGTTACTGGAGAGGAGTCCTGACGTCACTGAATAAACACGTGTTTTGAAGGGCCATCGCCGCCGTAACTCGAGTATATACCCCAGGTCCCCGCCGCAACTCGAGAAAAACCATGAAACTTTCCCCTAGAGGCGAGATGAGGCCCGGTTCTCCTGCACTGCATGCAGAGCAATTCCGTGATCCCCATCCAACAAGTCAGGAGCTTCGACTTGCTTAATGGCTCTCGAGACATTCCCCAAGAACACTGTCACATGTCTAGACGGACCCTGAGGTATCCCCAGCAATGCAAAGCAGCTCCATGTGCCCCAAATCAACATGAGATGAGGTCCGATTCCCCTGTATTGACTCCAGAGCCATCTGCTGTTCCGCATTAAACACCACCAGTGGCTTGACCTCCTTCAGACAACTCCAGAGATGCCCCGAGAACACTGTCCCTAGTCTAGAGGAACACCTACTTTAGCACAGCAACTCGAGGAATGCTTCCTGTATGCCAAATCCTCTCAAGATGAGAGCTGATTCCCTGGCTTAGGCTCAAGACATATGCCAACTTTCCAGAAGCACTTCAAGAGGAGGCTTCTCTCAGCAATATGTATGTGGGAGGGAACCCGAGTTTGCTGCCTCAAATGGAATATACAGCGCGAAGCACTAACTAGAAAGGAGGCTGGTTTCCTAGCAGTGTCTTGAATACAGGCTCGTCTTTCATCTCACAGCAGGAAGAGATGTCTGAATCCCCTGTGGAGACTTTAGAGAAAGCCCTAGTTCCCTGCCACATTTTGACGGAATGCCTCACATCCGGTTGACACCTCGAGAGTCACGCGGAGTTCACTGCTTCAAAAGCTGACGCTGCCTGACTCCTCTAAAATATTGATAGGAATCACAAAATCCCTGTGGCTATTTGAAAGGTTCCTTGGGTGCCCTGCCTCACCTCGAGAAGCGTCCCTTGTGCCTGCCAAGCCTCGAAGAGATTCCTGAGCTGTCCCTCGTTACTGGACAGGAGTCCTGACGTCACTGAATAAACACGAGTTTTTAAGGGCCATCCCCGCCGTAACCCGAGTACATACCCCAGGTCCCCGTCGCAAGTCGAAAAAAACCATGAGACTTTCCCCTCGTGGCGAGATGAGGCCCGATTCTCCTGCAGTGCATGCAGAGCAATTCCGTGATCCCCATCAAACAAGTCAGGACCTTCGACTTGCTTAATGGATCTCGAGACAGTCCCCAAAAAAACTGTCACATGTCTAGACGGATCCTGCGGTCACCCCATCAACGCAAAGCAGCACCATGTGCCCCACATCAACTCGAGATAATGCCCGAATCCCCTGCATTGACTCCAGAGCCATCCCACGTTCCACATTAAACACCACCAGTGGCTTGACTTCCTTCAGACAACTCCAGAGATGCCCTGAGAACACTGTCCCAAGTCTAGAGGAACACCATCTTCAGCACAGCAACTCGAGGAATGCTCCGTGTACCCCAAATCGTCTCGAGATGAGAGCTGATTCCCTGGCTTAGGCTCAAGACGTATGCCAACTTTCCAGAAGCACCTCAAGGGGAGGCTTCTCTCAGCAAAAGGTATGTTGGAGGGACCCCCAGTTTGCTGCCTCAAGTGGAATATGCAGCAAGAAGCCCTAACTTGAAAGGAGGCCGGGTTTCCTTGCAGTGTCTTGAATACAGGCTCGTCTTTCATCTCACAACCGGAAGGAATGTCTGAATCCCCTGTGGAGACCTTAGCGAAAGCCCTAGGTCCCTGCCTCATTTTGACGGATTGCCTCACATCGCGTTGACACCTCGGGAGGCACACGGAGTTCACTGCTTCAAATGTGACGATGCCTGACTCCTCCTGAACATTGATAGGAATCCCAAAATCACTGTGGCTACAGGAAAGGGTTCTTGTGTGCCCTGCCTCACCTCGAGAAGCATCCCTTTTGCCCTGCCAAGGCTCGAAGAGATTCCTGAGGTGTCCCTCATTACTAGACAGGAGTCATGACGTCACTGAATAAACACGTGTTTTCAAGAGCCATGCCCGCCATAACTCGAGAACATACCCCAGGTCCCGACGCAACTCGAGAAAAACGATTAGGCTTCCCCTAGATGCGATATGAGGCTTGATTCCCTGCAGTACATGCAGAGCATTCCCGTGATCCCAATCAAGCAAGTCAGCAGCTTCAAATTGCTTAATGGATCTCGAGAGAGTCCCCAGGAACACTGTCACAAGTCTAGACAGACCGTGACATCACCCCAGCAACGCAAAGCAGCTCCAAGTACCCCACATCAACTCGAGTTGAGGCCCGATTCCCATGCATTGACTCCAGAGCTATCCCCCGTACCCCATTAAAGCACAACCAGTGGATTGATTTCCTTCAGGCAACTCCAGAGATTCCCCGAGAACACTGTCCCAAGTCTAGAGGAATACGAACTTCAGCAAAGCAACTCGAGGAATGCTCCGTGTACCCCAAATCGTTTCGAGGTGAGAGCTGATTCCATGGCTAGGCTCAAGACGTATGCCAACTTTCCAGAAGCACCTCAAGAGGAGGCTTCTCTCAGCAATCGGTATGTGGGAGGGAACCCGAGTTTGCTGCCTCAAGTGGAATATACAGTGAGAAGCCCTAACTTGAAAGGAGGCCGGATTTCCTGGCAGTGTGTTGAATACAGGCTCGTCTTTCATCTCACAACAGGAAGGGATGTCTGAATCCCCTGTGGAGACCTTAGAGAAAGCCCTAGGTCCCTGCCTCATTTTGACGGAATGTCTCACATCCCGTTGACACCTCGAGAGGCACACGGAGTTCACTGCTTCAAAATGTGACGATGCCTGACTCCTCCTGAACATTGATAGGAATCCCAAAATCACTGTAGCTACAGGACAGGGATCTTTGGTGCCCTGCCTCACCTCGAGAAGCATCCCTTTTGCCCTGCCAAGCCTCGAAGAGATTCCTGAGGTGTCTCTCGTTACTAGACAGGAGTCCTGACGTCACTGAATAAACACGTGTTTTGAAGGGCCATCCCCGCCGTAACTCGAGAACATACCCCAATTCGCGCCGCAACTCGAGTAAAACCATGAGATTTCCCCTAGAGGCGAGATGAGGCCTGATTCCCTGCAGTCCATGAAGAGCATTCGCGTGATCCCCATCAAGCAAGTCAGGAGCTTCGACTTGCTTAATTGAACTCGAGAAAGTCCCCAGGAACACTGTCACAAGTCTAGACAGACCCTGAGGTCACCCCAGCAATGCAAAGCAGCTGCAAGTATCCCACATCAACTCGAGATGAGGCCCGATTCCCATGCATTGACTCCAGAGCCATCCCCAGTTCCCCATTAAACAAGACCACTGGCTTGTCTTCCTTCAGACAACTCCAGAGATGCCCCGAGAACACTGTCCCAAGTCTATAGGAACACCAACTTCAGCACAGCAACTCGAGGAATGCCCCGTGTACCACAAATCGTCTCGAGATGAGAGCTGATTCCCTGGCTTAGGCTCAAGACGTATGCCAACTTTCCAGAAGCACCTCAAGAGGAGGCTTCTCTCAGCAATAGGTATGTTCGTGGGACCCCGAGTTTGCTGCCTAAAGTGGAATATACAGCGAGAAGCCCTAACTTGAATGGAAGCCGGATTTCCTTGCAGTGTCTTGTATACAGGCTCGTCTTTCATCTCACAACAGGAAGGGATGTCTGAATCCCCTGTGAAGACCTTTGAGAAAGCCCTAGGTCCCTGCCTAATTGTGACGGAATGCCTCACATCCCGTTGACACCACGAGAGGCACGCGGAGTTCACTGCTTCAAAAGGTGACGATGCCTGACTCCTCTTGAATATTGATAGGAATCCCAAAATCCCTGTGGCTATTGGAAAGGTTCCTTGGGTGCCCTGCCTCATCTCGAGAAGCGTCCCTTGTGCCCCGGCAAGCCTCGAAGAGATTCCTGAGCTGTCCCTCGTTACTGGACAGGAGTCCTGACGTCACTGAATAAACACGTGTTTTGAAGGGCCATCGCCGCCGTAACTCGAGTATATACCCCAGGTCCCCGCCGCAACTCGAGAAAAACCATGAGACTTCCGCCTAGAGGCGAGATGAGGCCCGATTCTCCTGCAGTGCATGCAGAGCAATTCCGTGATCCCCATCAAACAAGTCAGGAGCTTCGACTTGCTTAATGGATCTCGAGACATTCCCCAAGAACACTGTCACATGTCTAGACGGACCCTGAGGTATCCCCAGCAAAGCAAAGCAGCTCCATGTGCCCCAAATCAACTTGAGATGAGGTCCGATTCCACTGCATTGACTCCAGAGCCATCTGCCGTTCCACATTAAACACCACCAGTGGCTTGACCTCCTTCAGACACCTCCAGAGATGCCCCGAGAACACTGTCCCAAGTCTAGAGGAACACCTACTTTAGCACAGCAACTCGAGGAATGCTTCCTGAATGCCAAATCTTCTCGAGTTGAGAGCTGATTTCCTGGCTTAGGCTCAAGATGTATGCCAACTTTCCAGAAGCACCTCAAGAGGAGGCTTCTCTCAGCAATAGGTATGTGGGAGGGAACCCGAGTTTGCTGCCTCAAATGGAATATACAGCGAGAAGCACTAACTAGAATGGAGGCCGGTTTCTTAGCAGTGTCTTGAATACAGCCTCGTCTTTCATCTCACAGCAGGAAGAGATGTCTGAATCCCCTGTGGAGACCTTACAGAAAGCCCTAGGTCCCTGCCTCATTTTGACGGAATGCCTCACATCCCGTTGACACCTCGAGAGTCACGCGGAGTTCACTGCTTCAAAAGCTGACGATGCCTGACTCCTCCTGAACATTGATAGGAATCCCAAAATCACTGTAGCTACAGGACAGGGTTCTTGGGTGCCCTGCCTCACCTCGAGAAGCATCCCTTTTGCCCTGCCAAGCCTCGAAGAGATTCCTGAGCTGTCCCTCGTTACTGGACAGGAGTCCTGACGTCACTGAATAAACACGAGTTTTTAAGGGCCATCCCCGCCGTAACCCGTGTACATACCCCAGGTCCCTGCCGCAAGTCAAGAAAAACCATGAGACTTTCCCCTAGTGGCGAGATGAGGCCCGATTCTCCTGCAGTGCATGCAGAGCAATTCCATGATCCCCATCAAACAAGTCAGGACCTTCGTCTTGCTTAATGGATCTCGAGACAGTCCCCAAGAATACTATCACATGTCTAGTTGGATCCTGAGGTCACCCCATCAACGCAAAGCAGCACCATGTGCCCCACATCAACTCGAGATAATGCCCGATTCCCCTGCATTGACTCCAGAGCCATCCCCCGTTCCAGATTAAACAAAACCAGTGGCTTGACTTCTTTCAGACAACTCCAGGGATGCCCTGAGAACACTCTCCCAAGTCTAGAGGAACACCATCTTCAGCACAGCAACTCGAGGAATGCTCTGTGTACCCCAAATCGTCTCGAGATGAGAGCTGATTACCTGGCTTATGCTCAAGACGTATGCCAACTTTCCAGAAGCACCTCAAGGGGAGGCTTCTCTCAGCAATAGTTATGTTGGAGGGACCCCCAGTTTGCTGCCTCAAGTGGAATATGCAACGAGAAGCCCTAACTTGAAAGGAGGGCGGGTTTCCTTGCAGTGTCTTGAATACAGGCTCGTCTTTCATCTCACAACCGGAAGGATTGTCTGAATCCCCTGTGGAGACCTTAGCGAAAGCCCTAGGTCCCTGCCTCATTTTGACGGATTGCCTCACAGCCCGTTGACACCTCGGGAGGCACACGGAGTTCACTGCTTCAAATGTGACGATGCCTGACCCCTCCTGATCATTGATAGGAATCCCAAAATCACTGTGGCTACAGGAAAGGGTTCTTGTGTGCCCTGCCTCACCTCAAGAAGCATCCCTTTTGCCCTGCCAAGCCTCGAAGAGATTCCTGAGGTGTCCCTCATTACTAGACAGGAGTCATGACGTCACTGAATAAACACGTGTTTTCAAGGGCCATGCCCGCCATAACTCGAGAACATACCCCAAGTCCCGCCGCAACTCGAGAAAAACCATGAGACTTCCCCTAGATGCGAGATGAGGGCTGATTCCCTGCAGTCCATGCAGAGCATTCCCGTAATCCCAATCAAGCAAGTCAGCAGCTTCGAATTTCTTAATGGATCTCGAGATTGTCCCCAGGAACACTGTCACAAGTCTAGACAGATCCTGACATCACCCCAGCAGCGCAAAGCAGCACCAAGTACCCCATATCAACTCGCGTTGAGGCCCGATTCCCATGCATTGACTCCAGAGCCATCCCCCGTACCCCATTAAACACCACCAGTGGCTTGACTTCCTTCAGGCAATTCCAGAGATGCCCCGAGAACACTGTCCCAAGTCTAGAGGAATACGAACTTCAGCACAGCAACTCGAGGAATGCTCCGTGTATCCCAAATCGTTTCGAGGTGAGAGCTGATTCCATGGCTTAGGCTCAAGACGGATGCCAACTTTCCAGAAGCCCCTCAAGAGGAGGATTCTCTCAGCAATAGGTATGTTGGAGGGACGCCCACTTTGCTGCCTCAAGTGGAATATACAGCGAGAAGCCCTAACTTGAAAGGAGGCCGGATTTCCTTGCAGTGTCTTGAATACAGGCTCGTCTTTCATCTCACAACCGGAAGGGATGTCTGAATCCCCTGTGGAGAACTTAGAGAAAGCCCTAGGTCCCTGCCTCATTTTGACGGATTGCCTCACATCCCGTTGACACCTCGAGAGGCACGCGGAGTTCACTGCTTCAAAAGTTGATGCTGCCTGACTCGTCTTGAATATTGATAGGAATCCCAAAATCCCTGTGGCTATTTGAAAGGTTCCTTGGGTGTCCTGCCTCACCTCGAGAAGCGTCCCTTGTGCCTGCCAAGCCTCGAAGAGATTCCTGAGCTGTCCCTCGTTACTGGACAGGAGTCCTGACGTCACTGAATAAACAGGAGTTTTTAAGGGCCATCCCCGCTGTAACCCGAGTACATACCCCAGGTCCCCGCCGCAAGTCGAGAAAAACCATGAGACTTTCCCCTAGTGGCGAGATGAGGCCCGATTCTCCTGCAGTGCATGCAGAGCAATTCCGTGATCCCCATCAAACAAGTCAGGACCTTCGACTTGCTTAATGGATCTCGAGACAGTCCCCAAGAATACTGTCACATGTCTAGACGGATCCTGAGGTCACCCCATCAACGCAAAGCAGCACTATGTGCCCCACATCAACTCGAGATAATGCCCGATTCCCCTGCATTGACTCCAGAGCCATCCCCCGTTCCACATTAAACACCACCAGTGGCTTGACTTCCTTCAGACAACTCAAGAGATGCCCTGAGAACACTGTCCCAAGTCTAGAGGAACACCATCTTCAGCACAGCAACTCGAGGAATGCTCCGTGTACCTCAAATCGTCTGGAGATGAGAGCTGATTCCCTGGCTTAGGCTCAAGACGTATGCCAACTTTCCAGAAGCACCTCAAGGGGAGGTTTCTCTCAGCAATAGGTATGTTGGAGGGACCCCCAGTTTGCTGCCTCAAGTGGAATATGCAGCGAGAAGCCCTAACTTGAAAGGAGGCCGGGTTTCCTTGCAGTGTCTTGAATACAGGCTCGTCTTTCATCTCACAATGGGAAGGAATGTCTGAATCCCCTGTGGAGACCTTAGCGAAAGCCCTAGGTCCCTGCCTCATTTTGACGGATTGCCTCACATCCCGTTGACACCTGGAGAGGCACCCGGAGTTCACTGCTTCAAATGTGACGATGCCTGACTCCTCCTGAACATTGATAGGAATCCCAAAATCACTGTGGCTACAGGAAACGGTTCTTGTGTGCCCTGCCTCACCTCGAGAAGCATCCCTTTTGCCCTGCCAAGGCTCGAAAAGGTTCCTGAGGTGTCCCTCATTACTAGACAGGAGTCATGACGTCACTTAAAAAACACGTGTTTTCAAGGGCCAAGCCCGCCATAACTCGAGAACATACCCCACGTACCGCCGCGACTCGAGAAAAACCATGAGACTTCCCCTAGATGCGATATGAGGCCTGATTCCCTGCAGTCCATGCAGAGCATTCCCGTGATCCCAATCAAGCAAGTCAGCAGCTTCGAATTGCTTAATGGATCTCGAGAGAGTCCCCAGGAACACTGTCACAAGTCTAGACAGACCCTGACATCACCCCAGCAAAGCAAAGCAGGTCCAAGTACCCCACATCACCTCGAGTTGAGGCCGGATTCCCATGCATTGACTCCAGAGCCATCCCCCGTTCCACATTAAACACGACCAGTAGCTTGACTTCCTTCAGGCAACTCCAGAGACGCCCTGAGAACACTGTCCCAAGTCTAGAGAAACACCATCTTCAGCACAGCAACTCGAGGAATGCTCCGTGTACCCCAAATCGTCTCGAGATGAGAGCTGATTCCCTGGCTTAGGCTCAAGACGTATGCCAACTTTCCAGAAGCACCTCAAGTGGAGACTTCTCTCAGCAATAGGTATGTTGGAGGGACCCCCAGTTTGCTGCCTCAAGAGGAATATACAGCGAAAAGCCCTAACTTGAAAGGAGGACGGATTTCCTTGCAGTGGCTTGAATACAGGCTCGTCTTTCATCTCACAGCATGAAGGGATGTCTGAAACCCCTGTGGAGACCTTAGAGAAAGCTCTAGGTCCCTGCCTCATTTTGAGGGAATGCCTCACATCCCGTTGTCACCTCGAGAGGCACGCGGAGTTCACTGCTTCAAAAGGTGATGATGCCTCACTCGTCTTGAATATTGATAGGAATCAAAAAATCACTGTGGCTACTGGAAAGGGTCCTTGGGTGCCCTGCCTCACCTCGAGACGCATACCTTTTGACCTGCCAAGCCTCGAAGAGATTCCTGAGGTTTCCCTTATTACTAGACCGGAGTCCTGACGGCACTGAATAAACAGGTGTTTTGAAGGGCCATCCCCGCCGTAACTCGAGAAGATACACCAGGTCCCCAGCGCAACTTGAGAGAAACCATGAGACTTCCCCCAAGATGCGAGATGAGTCCTGATTCCCTGCAGTGCATGCAGGGTATTCCCGTGATCCCCATCAAACAAGTCAGGAGCTTCGACTTGCTTAATGGATCTCGAGACAGTCCCCAAGAACACTGTCACAAGTCTAGACGGACCCTGAGGTCACCCCAGCAACGTAAAACAGCTCCATGTGCCCCAAATCAACCCGAAATGTGGCCCAATTCCCCTGCATTGACTCCAGAGCCATCCCCAGTTCCCCATTAAACAAGACCACTGGCTTGACTTCCTTCAGGCAACTCCAGAGATGCCCCGAGAACACTGTCCCAAGACTAGAAGAACACCAACTTCAGCACAGCAACTCGAGGAATGCTCCGTGTACCACAAATCGTCTCGAGATGAGAGCTGAATCGCTGGCTTAGGCTCAAGACGTATGCCAACTTTCCAGAAGCACCTCAAGAGGAGGCTTCTCTCAGCAATAGGTATGTTCGAGGGACCCCGAGTTTGCTGCCTCAAGTGGAATATATAGCGAGAAGCCCTAAATTGAAAGGAGGCCGGATTTCCTTGCAGTGGCTTGAATACAGGATCGTCTTTCATCTCACAGCATGAAGGGATGTCTGAATCCCCTGTGGAGACCTTAGAGAAAGCTCTAGGTCCCTGCCTCATTTTGACGGAATGCCTCACATCCCGTTGTCACCTCGAGAGGCAAGCGGAGTTCAGTGCTTCAAAATGTGACGATGCCTGACTCCTCTTGAATATTGATAGGAATCCCAAAATCCATGTGGCTATCGGAAAGGTTACTTGGGTACCCTGCCTCACCTTGAGAAGCGTCCCTTGTGCACTGCCAAGCCTCGAAGAGATTCCAGAGCTGCCCCTCGTTACTGGACAGGAGTCCTGACGTCACTGAATAAACACGAGTTTTGAAGAGCCATCCCCGTCGTAACCCGAGTACATACCCCAGGTCCCCGCCGCAAGTCGAGAAAAACCATAAGACTTTCCCCTATAGGCGAGATGAGGCCCGATTCTCCTGCAGTGCATGCAGAGCAATTCCGTGATCCCCATCAAACAAGTCAGGACCTTCGACTTGCTTAATGGATCTCGAGACAGTCCCCAAGAATACTGTCACATGTCTAGACGGATCCTGAGGTCACCCCATCAACGCAAAGCAGCACAATGTGCCCCAAATCAACTCGGGATGATGGCAGATTCCCCTGCATTGACCCTAGAGCCATCCCCCTTTCCCCATTAAACACGACTAGTGGCTTGACTTCCTTCAGGCAACTCCAGAGATGCCCCGAGAACACTGTCCCAAGTCTAGAGGAACACCAACTTCAGCACAGCAACTCGAGGAATGCGCCGTGTACCCCAAATCGTCTCGAGATGAGAGCTGATTCCCTGGCTTAGGTTCAAGACGTATGCCAACTTTCCAGAAGCACCTCAAGCAGAGGATTCTCTCAGCAATAGGTATGTTGGAGGGACCTCCACTTTGCTGCCTCAAGTGGAATATACAGCGAGAAGCCCTAACTTGAAAGGAGGCCCGGTTTCCTTGCAGTGTCTTGAATACAGGCTCGTCTTTCATCTCACAGCATGAAGGAATGTCTGAATCCCCTGTGGAGACCTTAGAGAAAGCCCTAGGTCCCTGCCTCATTTTGACGGAATGTCTCACATCCCGTTGACACCTCGAGAGGCACACGGAGTTCACTGCTTCAAAATTTGACGATGCCTGACTCCTCCTGAACATTGATAGGAATCCCAAAATCACTGTAGCTACAGGACAGGGTTCTTGGGTGCCCTGCCTCACCTCGAGAAGCATCCCTTTTGCCCTGCCAAGCCTCGAAGAGATTCCGGAGGTGTCTCTCATTACTAGACAGGAGTCCTGACGTCACTGAATAAACACGTGTTTTGAAGGGCCATCCCCGCCGTAACTCGAGAACATACCCCAGTTCGCGCCGCAACTCGAGTAAAACCATGAGACTTCCCCTAGAGGCGAGATGAGGCCTGATTCCCTGAAGTCCATGAAGAGCATTCCCGTGATCCCCATCAAACAAGTCAGGAGCTTCGACTTGCTTAATGGATCTCCAGAGAGTCCCAAGGAACACTGTCACAAGTCTAGACAGACCCTGAGGTCACCGCAGCAATGCAAAGCAGCTGCAAGTACCCCACATCAACTCGAGATGAGGCCCAATTCCCATGCATTGACTCCAGAGCCATCCCCCGTACCCCATTAAACACAACCATTGGCTTGACTTCCTTCCGGCAACACCAGAGATGCCCCAAGAACACTGTCCCAAGTCTAGAGGAATACGAACTTCAGCACAGCAACTCGAGGAATGCTCCGTGTACCCCAAATCGTTTCGAGGTGAGAGCTGATTCCATGGCTTAGGCTCAAGACGTATGCCAACTTTCCAGAAGCCCCTCAAGAGGAGGCTTCTCTCAGCAATAGGTATGTGGGAGGGACCCCGAGTTTGCTGCCTCAAGTGGAATATACACCCAGAAGCCCTAACTTGAAAGGAGGCCGGATTTCCTTGCAGTGGCTTGAATACAGGCTCGTCTTTCATCTCACAGCATGAAGGGGTGTCTGAAGCCCCTGTGTATACCTTAGAGAAAGCTCTAGGTCCCTGCCTCATTTTGACGGAATGCCTCACATCCCATTGACACCTCGAGAGGCACGCGGAGTTCACTGCTTCAAAAGGTGATGATGCCTGACTCGTCTTGAATATTGATAGGAATCCCAAAATCACTGTGGCTACTGGAAAGGGTCCTTGGGTGCCCTGCCTCTCCTCGAGAAGCATACCTTTTGACCTGCCAAGCCTCGAAGATATTCCTGAGGTGTCCCTCGTTACTAGACAGGAGTCCTGACGGCACTGAATAAACACGGGTTTTGAGGGGCCATCCCCGCCGTAACTCGAGAAGATTCCCCAGGTCCCCCGCGCAACTTGAGAGAAACCGTGAGACTTCCCCCTAGATGTGAGATGAGTCCTGATTCCCTGCAGTGCATGCAGAGTACTCCCGTGATCCCCAGCAAACAAGTCAGGAGCTTCGACTTGCTTAATTGAACTCGAGAAAGTCCCCAGGAACACTGTCACAAGTCTAGACAGACCCTGAGGTCACCTCAGCAATGCAAAGCAGCTGCAAGTACCCCACATCAACTCGAGATGAGGCCCGATTCCCATGCATTGACTCCAGAGCCATCCCCAGTTCCCCATTAAACAAGACCACTGGCTTGTCTTCCTTCAGACAACTCCAGAGATGCCCCGAGAACACTGTGCCAAGACTAGAGGAACACCAACTTCAGTACAGCAACTAGAGGAATGCCCCGTGTACCACAAATCGTCTCGAGATGAGAGCTGATTCCCTGGCTTAGGCTCAAGACGTATGCCAACTTTCCAGAAGCACCTCAAGAGGAGGCTTCTCTCAGCAATAGGAATGTTCGTGGGACCCCGAGTTTGCTGCCTAAAGTGGAATATACAGCGAGAAGCCCTAACTTGAATGGAGGCCGGATTTCCTTGCAGTGTCTTGAATACAGGCTCGTATTTCATCTCACAACAGGAAGGGATGTCTGAATCCCCTGTGGAGACCATAGAGAAAGCCCTAGGTCCCTGCCTCATTTTGACGGAATGCCTCACATCCCGTTGACACCACGAGAGGCACGCGGAGTTCACTGCTTCAAAAGGTGACGATGCCTGACTCCTCTTGAATATTGATAGGAATCCCAAAATCCCTGTGGCTATTGGAAAGGTTCCTTGGGTGCCCTGCCTCATCTCGAGAAGCGTCCCTTGTGCCCCGGCAAGCCTCGAAGAGATTCCTGAGCTGTCCCTCGTTACTGGAGAGGAGTCCTGACGTCACTGAATAAACACGTGTTTTGAAGGGCCATCGCCGCCGTAACTCGAGTATATACCCCAGGTCCCCGCCGCAACTCGAGAAAAACCATGAAACTTTCCCCTAGAGGCGAGATGAGGCCCGATTCTCCTGCATTGCATGCAGAGCAATTCCGTGATCCCCATCCAACAAGTCAGGAGCTTCGACTTGCTTAATGGATCTCGAGACATTTCCCAAGAACACTGTCACATGTCTAGACGGACCCTGAGGTATCCCCAGCAACGCAAAGCAGCTCCATGTGCCCCAAATCAACATGAGATGAGGTCCGATTCCCCTGTATTGACTCCAGAGCCATCTGCTGTTCCGCATTAAACACCACCAGTGGCTTGACCTCCTTCAGACAACTCCAGAGATGCCCCGAGAACACTGTCCCTAGTCTAGAGGAACACCTACTTTAGCACAGCAACTCGAGGAATGCTTCCTGTATGCCAAATCTTCTCGAGATGAGAGCTGATTCCCTGGCTTAGGCTCAAGACGTATGCCAACTTTCCAGAAGCACTTCAAGAGGAGGCTTCTCTCAGCAATAGGTATGTGGGAGGGAACCCGAGTTTGCTGCCTCAAATGTGACGATGCCTGACTCCTCCTGAACATTGATAGGAATCCCAAAATCACTGTGGCTACAGGAAAGGGTTCTTGTGTGCCCTGCCTCACCTCGAGAAGCATCCCTTTTGCCCTGCCAAGGCTCGAAGAGATTCCTGAGGTGTCCCTCATTACTAGAGAGGAGTCATGACGTCACTGAATAAACACGTGTTTTCAAGGGCCATGCCCGCCATAACTCGAGAACATACCCCAGGTCCCGACGCAACTCGAGAAAAACGATGAGGCTTCCCCTAGATGCGATATGAGGCTTGATTCCCTGCAGTACATGCAGAGCATTCCCGTGATCCCAATCAAGCAAGTCAGCAGCTTCAAATTGCTTAATGGATCTCGAGAGAGTCCATAGGAACACTGTCACAAGTCTAGACAGACCGTGACATCACCTCAGCAACGCAAAGCAGCCCCAAGTACCCGACATCAACTCGAGTTGAGGCCCGATTCCCATGCATTGACTCCAGAGCTATCCCCCGTACACCATTAAAGCACAACCAGTGGATTGATTTCCTTCAGGCAACTCCAGAGATGCCTCGAGAACACTGTCCCAAGTCTAGAGGAATACGAACTTCAGCAAAGCAACTCGAGGAATGCTCCGTGTACCCCAAATCGTTTCGAGGTGAGAGCTGATTCCATGGCTAGGCTCAAGACGTATGCCAACTTTCCAGAAGCCCCTCAAGAGGAGGCTTCTCTCAGCAATAGGTATGTGGGAGGGACCCCGAGTTTGCTGCCTCAAGTGGAATATACAGCGAGAAGCCCTAACTTGAAAGGAGGCCGGATTTCCTTGCAGTGGCTTGAATACAGGCTCGTCTTTCATCTCACAGCATGAAGGGATGTCTGAATCCCCTGTGGAGACCTTAGAGAAAGCTCTAGGTACCTGCCTCATTTTGACGGAATGCCTCACATCCTGTTGACACTTCGAGAGGCACGCGGAGTTCACTGCTTCAAAAGGTGATGATGCCTCACTCGTCTTGAATATTGATAGGAATCCCAAAATCACTGTGGCTACTGGAAAGGGTCCTTGGGTGCCCTGCGTCACCTCGAGAAGCATACCTTTTACCTGCCAAGAATCGAAGAGATTCCTGAGGTGTGCCTCGTTACTAGACAGGAGTCCTGACGGCACTGAATAAACACGTGTTTTGAAGGGCCATCCCCGCCGTAACTCGAGAAGATACCCCATGTCCCCCGCAACTTGAGAGAAACCATGAGACTTCCCCGTAGATGCGAGATGAGTCCTGATTCCCTGCAGTGCATGCAGAGTATTCCCGTGATCCCCATAAAACAAGTCAGGTGCTTCGAATTGCTTAATGGATCTCGAGACAATCCCCAAGAACACTGTCACAAGTCTAGACGGACCCTGAGGTCACGCCAGCAACGCAAAGCAGCTCCATGTGAACCAAATCAACCCGAGATGTGGCCCGATTCCCCTGCATTGACTCCAGAGCCATCCCCAGTTCCCCATTAAACAAGACAACTGGCAAGACTTCCTTCATGCAACTCCAGAGATGCCCTGAGAACACTGTCCCAAGTCTAGAGGAACACCAACTTCAGCACAGCAACTCGAGGAATGCTCCGTGTACCACAAATCGTCTCGAGATGAGAGCTGAATCCCTGGCTTAGGCTCAAGACGTATGCCAACTTTCCAGAAGCACCTCAAGAGGAGGATTCTCTCAGCAATAGGTATGTTGGAGGGACCCCGAGTTTGCTGCATCAAGTGGAATATACAGCGAGAAGCCCTAACTTGAAAGGAGGCCGGATTTCCTTGCAGTGGCTTGAATACAGGCTCGTCTTTCATCTCACAGAATGAAGGGGTGTCTGAATCCCCTGTGGAGGCCTTAGAGAAAGCTATAGGTCCCTACGTCATTTTGAAGGAATGCCTCACATCCCGTTGTCACCTTCAGAGGCACGCGGAGTTCACTGCTTCAAAAGGTGACGATGCCTGACTCCTCTAAAATATTTATAGGAATCCCAAAATCCCTGTGGCTATTGGGAACGTTCCTTGGGTGCCCTGCCTCAAGTGGAGAAGCGTCCCTTGTGCCCTGCCAAGCCTCGATGAGATTCCTGAGCTGTCTCTCGTTACTGGACAGGAGTTCTGACGTCACTGAATAAACACGAGTTTTGAAGGCCATCCCCGCCGTACCCCGAGTACATACCCCAGGTCCCCGCCGCAAGTCGAGAAAAACCATGAGACTTTCCCCTAGAGGCGAGATGAGGCCCGATTCTCCTGCAGTGCATGCAGAGCAATTCCGTGATCCCCATCAAACAAGTCAGAAGCTTCGACTTGCTTAATGGATCTCGAGAGAGTCCCCAAGAACACTGTCACATGTCTAGACGGATCCTGAGGTCACCCCATCAAGGCAAAGCAGCACCATGTGCCCCAAATCAACTCGAGATAATGCCCGATTCCCCTGCATTGACTCCAGAGCCATCCCCCGTTCCACATTAAACACGACCAGTGGCTTGACTTCCTTCAGGCAACTGCAGAGACGCCCTGAAAACACTGTGCCAAGTCTAGAGGAACACCATCTTCAGCACAGCAACTCGAGGAATGCTCTGTGTACCCCAAATCGTCTCGAGATGAGAGCTGATTCCCTGGCTTAGGCTCAAGACGTATGCCAACTTTCCAGAAGCACCTCAAGGGGAGCTATCTCTCAGCAATAGGTATGTTGGAGGGACCCCCAGTTTGCTGCCTCAAAAGGAATATACAGCGAGAAGCCCTAACTTGAAAGGAGGCCGGATTTCCTTGCAGTGTCTTGAATACAGGCTCGTCTTTCATCTCACAACCGGAAGGAATGTCTGAATCCTCTGTGGAGACCTTAGAGAAAGCGCTAGGTCCCTGCCTCATTTTGAAGGAATGTCTCACATGCCGTTGACACCTCGAGAGGCACACAGAGTTCACTGCTTCAAAATGTGATGATGCCTGACCCCTCTTGAACATTGATAGGAATCCCAAAATCACTTTAGCTACAGGACAGGGTTCTTTGGTGCCATGCCTCACCTCGAGAAGCATCCCTTTGCCTGCCAAGCCTCGAAGAGATTCCTGAGGTGTCTCTCGTTACTAGACAGGAGTCCTGACGTCACTGAATAAACACGTGTTTTGAAGGGCCATCCCCGCCGTAACTCGAGAACATACCCCAGGTCCCGCCGCAACTCGAGAAAAACCATGAGACTTCCCCTAGATGCGAGATGACGTCTGATTCCCTGCAGTCCATGCAGAGCAGTCCCGTGATCCCCATCAAGCAAGTCAGGAGCTTCGACTTGCTTAATGGATCTCCAGAGAGTCCCCAGGAACACTGTCACAAGTCTAGACAGACCCTGAGGTCACCCCAGCAATGCAAAGCAGCTCCAAGTGCCCCACATCAACTCGAGATGAGGCCCGATTCTCCGGTATTGACTCAAGAGCCATCCCCCGTACCCCATTAAACACCAACACTGGCTTGACTTCATTCAGGCAACTCCAGAGATGCCCCAAGAACACTGTTCCAAGTCTAGAGGAACACCAACTTCAGCACAGCAACTCGAGGAATGCTCCGTGTACCCCAAATCGTTCTGAGGTGAGAGCTGATTCCCTGGCTTAGGCTCAAGACGTATAACAACTTTCCAGAAGCACCTCAAGAGGAGGCTTCTCTCAGCAATCGGTATGTGGGAGGGAACCCAAGTTTGCTGCCTCAAGTGGAATATACAGTGAGAAGCCCTAACTTGAAAGGAGGCCGGATTTCCTGGCAGTGTGTTGAATACAGGCTCGTCTTTCATCTCACAACAGGAAGGGATGTCTGAATCCCCTGTGGAGACCTTAGAGAAAGCCCTAGGTCCCTGCCTCATTTTGACGGAATGTCTCACATCCCGTTGACACCTCGAGAGGCATACGGATTTCACTGCTTCAAAATGTGACGATGCCTGACTCCTCCTGAACATTGATAGGAATCCCAAAATCACTGTAGCTACAGGACAGGGTTCTTTGGTGCCCTGCCTCACCTCGAGAAGCATCCCTTTTGCGCTGCCAAGCCTCGAAGAGATTCCTGAGGTGTCTCTCGTTACTAGACAGGAGTCCTGACGTCACTGAATAAACACGTGTTTTGAAGGGCCATCCCCGCCGTAACTCGAGAACATACCCCAGTTCGCGCCGCAACTCGAGTAAAACCATGAGATTTCCCCTAGAGGCGAGATGAGGCCTGATTCCCTGCAGTCCATGAAGAGCATTCGCGTGATCCCCATCAAGCAAGTCAGGAGCTTCGACTTGCTTAATTGAACTCGAGAAAGTCCCCAGGAACACTGTCACAAGTCTAGACAGACCCTGAGGTCACCCCAGCAATGCAAAGCAGCTGCAAGTACCCCACATCAACTCGAGATGAGGCCCGATTCCCATGCATTGACTCCAGAGCCATCCCCAGTTCCCCATTAAACAAGACCACTGGCTTGTCTTCCTTCAGACAACTCCAGAGATGCCCCGAGAACACTGTCCCAAGACTAGAGGAACACCAACTTCAGCACAGCAACTCGAGGAATGCCCCGTGTACCACAAATCGTCTCGAGATGAGAGCTGATTCCCTGGCTTAGGCTCAAGACGTATGCCAACTTTCCAGAAGCACCTCAAGAGGAGGCTTCTCTCAGCAATAGGTATGTTCGTGGGACCCCGAGTTTGCTGCCTAAAGTGGAATATACAGCGAGAAGCCCTAACTTGAATGGAGGCCGGATTTCCTTGCAGTGTCTTGTATACAGGCTCGTCTTTCATCTCACAACAGGAAGGGATGTCTGAATCCCCTGTGAAGACCTTTGAGAAAGCCCTAGGTCCCTGCCTCATTGTGACGGAATGCCTCACATCCCGTTGACACCACGAGAGGCACGCGGAGTTCACTGCTTCAAAAGGTGACGATGCCTGACTCCTCTTGAATATTGATAGGAATCCCAAAATCCCTGTGGCTATTGGAAAGGTTCCTTGGGTGCCCTGCCTCATCTCGAGAAGCGTCCCTTGTGCCCCGGCAAGCCTCGAAGAGATTCCTGAGCTGTCCCTCGTTACTGGACAGGAGTCCTGACGTCACTGAATAAACACGTGTTTTGAAGGGCCATCGCCGCCGTAACTCGAGTATATACCCCAGGTCCCTGCCGCAACTCGAGAAAAACCATGAGACTTCCGCCTAGAGGCGAGATGAGGCCCGATTCTCCTGCAGTGCATGCAGAGCAATTCCGTGATCCCCATCAAACAAGTCAGGAGCTTCGACTTGCTTAATGGATCTCGAGACAGTCCCCAAGAACACTGTCACATGTCTAGACGGACCCTGAGGTATCCCCAGCAACGCAAAGCAGCTCCATGTGCCCCAAATCAACTTGAGATGAGGTCCGATTCCCCTGCATTGACTCCAGAGCCATCTGCCTTTCCGCATTAAACACCACCAGTGGCTTGACCTCCTTCAGACAACTCCAGAGATGCCCCGAGAACACTGTCCCAAGTCTAGAGGAACACCTACTTTAGCACAGCAACTCGAGGAATGCTTCCTGTATGCCAAATCTTCTCGAGTTGAGAGCTGATTCCCTGGCTTAGGCTCAAGACGTATGCCAACTTTCCAGAAGCACCTCAAGAGGAGGCTTCTCTCAGCAATAGGTATGTGGGAGGGAACCCGAGTTTGCTGCCTCAAATGGAATATACAGCGAGAAGCACTAACTAGAATGGAGGCCGGTTTCCTAGCAGTGTCTTGAATACAGGCTCATCTTTCATCTCACAGCAGGAAGAGATGTCTGAATCCCCTGTGGAGACCTTAGAGAAAGCCCTAGGTCCCTGCCTCATTTTGACGGAATGCCTCACATCCCGTTGACACCTCGAGAGTCACGCGGAGTTCACTGCTTCAAAAGCTGACGATGCCTGACTCCTCTTGAATATTGATAGGAATCACAAAATCCCTGTGGCTATTTGAAAGGTTCCTTGGGTGCCCTGCCTCACCTCGAGAAGCGTCCCTTGTGCCTGCCAAGCCTCGAAGAGATTCCTGAGCTGTCCCTCGTTACTGGACAGGAGTCCTGACGTCACTGAATAAACACGAGTTTTTAAGGGCCATCCCCGCCGTAACCCGAGTACATACCCCAGGTCCCCGCCGCAAGTCGAGAAAAACCATGAGACTTTCCCCTAGTGGCGAGATGAGGCCCGATTCTCCTGCAGTGCATGCAGAGCAATTCCATGATCCCCATCAAACAAGTCAGGACCTTCGACTTGCTTAATGGATCTCGAGACAGTCCCCAAGAATACTATCACATGTCTAGACCGATCCTGAGGTCACCCCATCAACGCAAAGCAGCACCATGTGCCCCACATCAACTCGAGATAATGCCCGATTCCCCTGCATTGACTCCAGAGCCATCCCCCGTTCCACATTAAACACCACCAGTGGCTTGACTTCCTTCAGACAACTCCAGAGATGCCCTGAGAACACTGTCCCAAGTCTAGAGGAACACCATCTTCAGCACAGCAACTCGAGGAATGCTCCGTGTACCCCAAATCGTCTCGAGATGAGAGCTGATTCCCTGGCTTAGGCTCAAGACGTATGCCAACTTTCCAGAAGCACCTCAAGGGGAGGCTTCTCTCAGCAATAGGTATGTTGGAGGGACCCCCAGTTTGCTGCCTCAAGTGGAATATGCAGCGAGAAGCCCTAACTTGAAAGGAGGCCGGGTTTCCTTGCAGTGTCTTGAATACAGGCTCGTCTTTCATCTCACAACGGGAAGGAATGTCTGAATCCTCTGTGGAGACCTTAGAGAAAGCGCTAGGTCCCTGCCTCATTTTGAAGGAATGTCTCACATGCCGTTGACACCTCGAGAGGCACACAGAGTTCACTGCTTCAAAATGTGATGATGCCTGACCCCTCTTGAACATTGATAGGAATCCCAAAATCACTTTAGCTACAGGACAGGGTTCTTGGGTGCCATGCCTCACCTCGAGAAGCATCCCTTTGCCTGCCAAGCCTCGAAGAGATTCCTGAGGTGTCTCTCGTTACTAGACAGGAGTCCTGACGTCACTGAATAAACACGTGTTTTGAAGGGCCATCCCCGCCGTAACTCGAGAACATACCCCAGGTCACGCCGCAACTCGAGAAAAACCATGAGACTTCCCCTAGATGCGAGATGACGTCTGATTCCCTGCAGTCCATGCAGAGCAGTCCCGTGATCCCCATCAAGCAAGTCAGGAGCTTCGACTTGCTTAATGGATCTCCAGAGAGTCCCCAGGAACACTGTCACAAGTCTAGACAGACCCTGAGGTCACCCCAGCAATGCAAAGCAGCTCCAAGTGCCCCACATCAACTCGAGATGAGGCCCGATTCTCCGGTATTGACTCAAGAGCCATCCCCCGTACCCCATTAAACACCAACACTGGCTTGACTTCATTCAGGCAACTCCAGTGATGCCCCAAGAACACTGTTCCAAGTCTAGAGGAACACCAACTTCAGCACAGCAACTCGAGGAATGCTCCGTGTACCCCAAATCGTTCCGAGGTGAGAGCTGATTCCCTGGCTTAGGCTCAAGACGTATAACAACTTTCCAGAAGCACCTCAAGAGGAGGCTTCTCTCAGCAATCGGTATGTGGGAGGGAAACCAAGTTTGCTGCCTCAAGTGGAATATACAGTGAGAAGCCCTAACTTGAAAGGAGGCCGGATTTCCTGGCAGTGTGTTGAATACAGGCTCGTCTTTCATCTCACAACAGGAAAGGATGTCTGAATCCCCTGTGGAGACCTTAGAGAAAGCCCTAGGTCCCTGCCTCATTTTGACGGAATGTCTCACATCCCGTTGACACCTCGAGAGGCATACGGATTTCACTGCTTCAAAATATGACGATGCCTGACTCCTCCTGAACATTGATAGGAATCCCAAAATCACTGTAGCTACAGGACAGGGTTCTTTGGTGCCCTTCCTCACCTCGAGAAGCATCCCTTTTGCGCTGCCAAGCCTCGAAGAGATTCCTGAGGTGTCTCTCGTTACTAGACAGGAGTCCTGACGTCACTGAATAAACACGTGTTTTGAAGGGCCATCCCCGCCGTAACTCGAGAACATACCCCAGTTCGCGCCGCAACTCGAGTAAAACCATGAGATTTCCCCTAGAGGCGAGATGAGGCCTGATTCCCTGCAGTCCATGAAGAGCATTCGCGTGATCCCCATCAAGCAAGTCAGGAGCTTCGACTTGCTTAATTGAACTCGAGAAAGTCCCCAGGAACACTGTCACAAGTCTAGACAGACCCTGAGGTCACCCCAGCAATGCAAAGCAGCTGCAAGTACCCCACATCAACTCGAGATGAGGCCCGATTCCCATGCATTGACTCCAGAGCCATCCCCAGTTCCCCATTAAACAAGACCACTGGCTTGTCTTCCTTCAGACAACTCCAGAGATGCCCCGAGAACACTGTCCCAAGACTAGAGGAACACCAACTTCAGCACAGCAACTCGAGGAATGCCCCGTGTACCACAAATCGTCTCGAGATGAGAGCTGATTCCCTGGCTTAGGCTCAAGACGTATGCCAACTTTCCAGAAGCACCTCAAGAGGAGGCTTCTCTCAGCAATAGGTATGTTCGTGGGACCCCGAGTTTGCTGCCTAAAGTGGAATATACAGCGAGAAGCCCTAACTTGAATGGAGGCCGGATTTCCTTGCAGTGTCTTGTATACAGGCTCGTCTTTCATCTCACAACAGGAAGGGATGTCTGAATCCCCTGTGAAGACCTTTGAGAAAGCCCTAGGTCCCTGCCTCATTGTGACGGAATGCCTCACATCCCGTTGACACCACGACAGGCACGCGGAGTTCACTGCTTCAAAAGGTGACGATGCCTGACTCTTCTTGAATATTGATAGGAATCCCAAAATCCCTGTGGCTATTGGAAAGGTTCCTTGGGTGCCCTGCCTCATCTCGAGAAGCGTCCCTTGTGCCCCGGCAAGCCTCGAAGAGATTCCTGAGCTGTCCCTCGTTACTGGACAGGAGTCCTGACGTCACTGAATAAACACGTGTTTTGAAGGGCCATCGCCGCCGTAACTCGAGTATATACCCCAGGTCCCCGCCGCAACTCGAGAAAAACCATGAGACTTCCGCCTAGAGGCGAGATGAGGCCCGATTCTCCTGCAGTGCATGCAGAGCAATTCCGTGATCCCCATCAAACAAGTCAGGAGCTTCGACTTGCTTAATGGATCTCGAGACATTCCCCAAGAACACTGTCACATGTCTAGACGGACCCTGAGGTATCCCCAGCAACGCAAAGCAGCTCCATGTGCCCCAAATCAACTTGAGATGAGGTCCGATTCCCCTGCATTGACTCCAGAGCCATCTGCCGTTCCGCATTAAACACCACCAGTGGCTTGACCTCCTTCAGACAACTCCAGAGATGCCCCGAGAACACTGTCCCAAGTCTAGAGAAACACCTACTTTAGCACAGCAACTCGAGGAATGCTTCCTGTATGCCAAATCTTCTCGAGTTGAGAGCTGATTCCCTGGCTTAGGCTCAAGACGTATGCCAACTTTCCAGAAGCACCTCAAGAGGAGGCTTCTCTCAGCAATAGGTATGTGGGAGGGAACCCGAGTTTGCTGCCTCAAATGGAATATACAGCGAGAAGCACTAACTAGAATGGAGGCCGGTTTCCTAGCAGTGTCTTGAATACAGGCTCATCTTTCATCTCACAGCAGGAAGAGATGTCTGAATCCCCTGTGGAGACCTTAGAGAAAGCCCTAGGTCCCTGCCTCATTTTGACGGAATGCCTCACATCCCATTGACACCTCGAGAGTCACGCGGAGTTCACTGCTTCAAAAGCTGACGATGCCTGACTCCTCTTGAATATTGATAGGATTCACAAAATCCCTGTGGCTATTTGAAAGGTTCCTTGGGTGCCCTGCCTCACCTCGAGAAGCGTCCCTTGTGCCTGCCAAGCCTCGAAGAGATTCCTGAGCTGTCCCTCGTTACTGGACAGGAGTCCTGACGTCACTGAATAAACACGAGTTTTTAAGGGCCATCCCCGTCGTAACCCGAGTACATACCCCAGGTCCCCGCCGCAAGTCGAGAAAAACCATGAGACTTTCCCCTAGTGGTGAGATGAGGCCCGATTCTACTGCAGTGCATGCAGAGCAATTCCATGATCCCCATCAAACAAGTCAGGACCTTCGACTTGCTTAATGGATCTCGAGACAGTCCCCAAGAATACTATCACATGTCTAGACCGATCCTGAGGTCACCCCATCAACGCAAAGCAGCACCATGTGCCCCACATCAACTCGAGATAATGCCCGATTCCCCTGCATTGACTCCAGAGCCATCCCCCGTTCCACATTAAACACCACCAGTGGCTTGACTTCCTTCAGGCAACTCCAGAGATGCCCTGAGAACACTGTCCCAAGTCTAGAGGAACACCATCTTCAGCACAGCAACTCGAGGAATGCTCCGTGTACCCCAAATCGTCTCGAGATGAGAGCTGATTCCCTGGCTTAGGCTCAAGACGTATGCCAACTTTCCAGAAGCACCTCAAGGGGAGGCTTCTCTCAGCAATAGGTATGTTGGAGGGACCCCCAGTTTGCTGCCTCAAGTGGAATATGCAACGAGAAGCCCTAACTTGAAAGGAGGCCGGGTTTCCTTGCAGTGTCTTGAATACAGGCTCGTCTTTCATCTCACAACGGGAAGGAATGTCTGAATCCCCTGTGGAGACCTTAGCGAAAGCCCTAGGTCCCTGCCTCATTTTGACGGATTGCCTCACATCCCGTTGACACCTCGAGAGGCACACGGAGTACACTGCTTCAAATGTGACGATGCCTGACTCCTCCTGAACATTGATAGGAATCCCAAAATCACTGTGGCTACAGGAAAGGGTTCTTGTGTGCCCTGCCTCACCTCGAGAAGCATCCCTTTTGCCCTGCCAAGGCTCGAAAAGATTCATGAGGTGTCCCTCATTACTAGACAGGAGTCATGACGTCACTGAATAAACACGTGTTTTCAAGGGCCAAGCCCGCCATAACTCGAGAACATACCCCACGTACCGCCGCGACTCGAGAAAAACCATGAGACTTCCCCTAGATGCGATATGAGGCCTGATTCCCTGCAGTCCATGCAGAGCATTCCCGTGATCCCAATCAAGCAAGTCAGCAGCTTCGAATTGCTTAATGGATCTCGAGAGAGTAACCAGGAACACTGTCACAAGTCTAGACAGACCCTGACATCACCCCAGCAAAGCAAAGCAGGTCCAAGTAACCCACATCACATCGAGTTGGGGCCCGATTCCCATGCATTGACTCCAGAGCCATCACCCGTACCCTATTAAACACCACCAGTGGCTTGACTTCCTTCAGGCAACTCCAGAGATGCCCCGAGAACACAGTCCCAATTCTAGAGGAATACGAAGTTCAGCACAGCAACTCGAGGAATGCTCCGTGTACCAAAAATCGTTTCGAGGTGAGAGCTGATTCCATGGCTTAGGCTCAAGACGTATGCCAACTTTCCAGAAGCTCCTCAAGCGGAGGATTCTCTCAGCAATAGGTATGTTGGAGGGACCCCCACTTTGCTGCCTCAAGTGGAATATACAGCGAGAAGCCCTAACTTGAAAGGAGGCCGGATTTCCTTGCAGTGGCTTGAATACAGGCTCGTCTTTCATCTCACAGCATGAAGGGATGTCTGAATCCCCTGTGGAGACCTTAAAGAAAGCTCTAGGTCCCTGCCTCATTTTGACGGAATACCTCACATCCCGTTGACACTTCGAGAGGCACGCGGAATTCACTGCTTCAAAAGGTGATGATGCCTGACTCGTCTTGAATATTGATAGGAATCCCAAAATCCCTGTGGCTATTTGAAAGGTTCCTTGGGTGTCCTGCCTCACCTCGAGAAGCGTCCCTTGTGCCTGCCAAGCCTCGAAGAGATTCCTGAGCTGTCCCTCGTTACTGGACAGGAGTCCTGACGTCACTGAATAAACAGGAGTTTTTAAGGGCCATCCCCGCTGTAACCCGAGTACATACCCCAGGTCCCCGCCGCAAGTCGAGAAAAAACATGAGACTTTCCCCTAGTGGCGAGATGAGGCCCGATTCTCCTGCAGTGCATGCAGAGCAATTCCGTGATCCCCATCAAACAAGTCAGGACCTTCGACTTGCTTAATGGATCTCGAGACAGTCCCCAAGAATACGGTCACATGTCTAGATGGATCCTGAGCTCACCCCATCAACGCAAAGCAGCACCATGTGCCCCACATCAACTCGAGATAATGCCCGATTCCCCTGCATTGACTGCAGAGCCATCCCACGTTCCACATTAAGCACCACCAGTGGCTTGACTTCCTTCAGACAACTCCAGAGATGCCCTGAGAACACTGTCCCAAGTCTAGAGGAACACCATCTTCAGCACAGCAACTCGAGGAATGCTCCGTGTACCCCAAATCGTCTCGAGATGAGAGCTGATTCCCTGGCTTAGGCTCAAGACGTATGCCAACTTTCCAGAAGCACCTCAAGTGGAGGCTTCTCTCAGCAATAGGTATGTTGGAGGGACCCCCAGTTTGCTGCCTCAAGTGGAATATGCAGCGAGAAGCCCTAACTTGAAAGGAGGCCGGGTTTCCTTGCAGTGTCTTGAATACAGGCTCGTCTTTCATCTCACAACGGGAAGGAATGTCTGAATCCCCTGTGGAGACCTTAGCGAAAGCCCTAGGTCCCTGCCTCATTTTGACGGATTGCCTCACATCCCGTTGACACCTCGAGAGGCACCCGGAGTTCACTGCTTCAAATGTGACGATGCCTGACTCCTCCTGAACATTGATAGGAATCCCAAAATCACTGTGGCTACAGGAAAGGGTTCTTGTGTGCCCTGCCTCACCTCGAGAAGCATCCCTTTTCCCTGCCAAGGCTCAAAAAGATTCCTGAGTTGTCCCTCATTACTAGACAGGAGTCATGACGTCACTGAATAAACACGTGTTTTCAAGGGCCATGCCCGCCATAACTCGAGAACATACCCCACGTACCGCCGCGACTCGAGAAAAACCATGAGACTTCCCCTAGATGCGATATGAGGCCTGATTCACTGCAGTCCATGCAGAGCATTCCCGTGATCCCAATCAAGCAAGTCAGCAGCTTCGAATTGCTTAATGGATCTCGAGAGAGTCCCCAGGAACACTGTCACAAGTCTAGACAGACCCTGACATCACCCCAGCAAAGCAAAGCAGGTCCAAGTACCCCACATCACCTCGAGTTGAGGCCCGATTCCCATGCATTGACTCCAGAGCCATCCCCCGTTCCACATTAAACACGACCAGTAGCTTGACTTCCTTCAGGCAACTCCAGAGACGCCCTGAGAACACTGTCCCAAGTCTAGAGATACACCATCTTCAGCACAGCAACTCAAGGAATGCTCCGTGTACCCCAAATCGTCTCGAGATGAGAGCTGATTCCCTGGTTTAGGCTCAAGACGTATGCCCACTTTCCAGAAGCACCTCAAGGGGAGACTTCTCTCAGCAATAGGTATGTTGGAGGGACCCCCAGTTTGCTGCCTCAAGAGGAATATACAGCGAAAAGCCCTAACTTGAAAGGAGGCCGGATTTCCTTGCAGTGTCTTGAATACAGGCTCGTCTTTCATCTCACAACCGGAAGGAATGTCTGAATCCTCTGTGGAGACCTTAGAGAAAGCCCTAGGTCCCTGCCTCATTTTGAAGGAATGTCTCACATCCCGTTGACACCTCGAGAGGCACACGGAGTTCACTGCTTCAAAATGTGATGATGCCTGACTCCTCTTGAACATTGATAGGAATCCCTAAATCACTGTAGCTACAGGACAGCGTTCTTGGGTGCCCTGCCTCACCTCGAGAAGCATCCCTTTTGCCTGCCAAGCCTCGAAGAGATTCCTGAGGTGTCTCTCGTTACTAGACAGGAGTCCTGACGTCACTGAATAAACACATGTTTTGAAGGGCCATCCCCGCCATAACTCAAGAACATACCCCAGGTCCCGCCGCAACTCGAGAAAAACCATGAGACTTCCCCTAGATGCGATATGAGGCCTGATTCCCTGCAGTCCATGCAGAGCATTCCCATGATCCCCATCAAGCAAGTCAGGAGCTTCGACTTCCTTAATCGAACTCGAGAAAGTCCCCAGGAACACTGTCACAAGACTAGACAGACCCTGAGGTCACCCCAGCAATGTAAAGCAGCTCCAAGTACCCCACATCAACTCGCGATGAGGCCCGATTCCCCTGCATTGACTCCAGAGCCATCCCCCGTACCACATTAAACACCACCAGTGGCTTGACTTCCTTCAGGCAACTCCAGAGATGCCCTGAGAACACTGTCCCAAGTCTAGAGGAATACGAACTTCAGCACAGCAACTCGAGGAATGCTCCGTGTACCCCAAATCGTTTCGAGGTGAGAGCTGATTCCATGGCTTAGGCTCAAGACGTATGCCAACTTTCCAGAAGCACCTCAAGAGGAGGCTTCTCTCAGCAGTAGGTATGTGGGAGGGACCCCGAGTTTGCTGCCTCAAGTGGAATATACAGCGAGAAGCCCTAACTAGAAAGGAGGACGGATTTCCTTGCAGTGGCTTGAATACAGGCTCGTCTTTCATCTCACAGCATGAAGGGATGTCTGAAACCCCTGTGGAGACCTTAGAGAAAGCTCTAGGTCCCTGCCTCATTTTGAGGGAATGCCTCACATCCCGTTGTCAATTCGAGAGGCACGCGGAGTTCACTGCTTCAAAAGGTGACGATGCCTGACTCGTCTTGAATATTGATAGGAATCAAAAAATCACTGTGGCTACTGGAAAGGGTCCTTGGGTGCCCTGCCTCACCTCGAGAAGCATACCTTTTGAACTGCCAAGCCTCGAAGAGATTCCTGAGTTTTCCCTTGTTACTAGACAGGAGTCCTGACGGCACTGAATAAACACGTGTTTTGAAGGGCCATCCCCGCCGTAACTCGAGAAGATACACCAGGTCCCCAGCGCAACTTGAGAGAAACCATGAGACTTCCCCCAAGATGCGAGATGAGTCCTGATTCCCTGCAGTGCATGCAGGGTATTCCCGTGATCCCCATCAAACAAGTCAGGAGCTTCGACTTGCTTAATGGATCTCGAGACAGTCCCCAAGAACACTGTCACATGTCTAGACGGATCCTGAGGTCACCCCATCAACGCAAAGCAGCACAATGTGCCCCAAATCAACTCGGGATGATGGCAGATTCCCCTGCATTTACCCTAGAGCCATCCCCCGTTCCCCATTAAACACGACTAGTGGCTTGACTTCCTTCAGGCAACTCCAGAGATGCCCCGAGAACACTGTGCCAAGTCTAGAGGAACAACAACTTCAGTACAGCAACTAGAGGAATGCCCCGTGTACCACAAATCGTCTCGAGATGAGAGCTGATTCCCTGGCTTAGGCTCAAGACGTATGCCAACTTTCCAGAAGCACCTCAAGAGGAGGCTTCTCTCAGCAATAGGTATGTTCGTGGGACCCCGAGTTTGCTGCCTAAAGTGGAATATACAGCGAGAAGCCCTAACTTGAATGGAGGCCGGATTTCCTTGCAGTGGCTTGAATACAGGCTCGTATTTCATCTCACAACAGGAAGGGATGTCTGAATCCCCTGTGGAGACCATAGAGAAAGCCCTAGGTCCCTGCCTCATTTTGACGGAATGCCTCACATCCCGTTGACACCACGAGAGGCACGCGGAGTTCACTGCTTCAAAAGGTGACGATGCCTGACTCCTCTTGAATATTGATACGAATCCCAAAATCCCTGTGGCTATTGGAAAGTTTCCTTGGGTGCCCTGCCTCATCTCGAGAAGCGTCCCTTGTGCCCCGGCAAGCCTCGAAGAGATTCCTGCGCTGTCCCTCGTTACTGGAGAGGAGTCCTGACATCACTGAATAAACACGTGTTTTGAAGGGCCATCGCCGCCGTAACTCGAGTATATACCCCAGGTCCCCGCCGCAACTCGAGAAAAACCATGAAACTTTCCCCTAGAGGCGAGATGAGGCCCGGTTCTCCTGCACTGCATGCAGAGCAATTCCGTGATCCCCATCCAACAAGTCAGGAGCTTCGACTTGCTTAATGGATCTCGAGACATTCCCCAAGAACACTGTCACATGTCTAGACGGACCCTGAGGTATCCCCAGCAACGCAAAGCAGCTCCATGTGCCCCAAATCAACATGAGATGAGGTCCGATTCCCCTGTATTGACTCCAGAGCCATCTGCTGTTCCGCATTAAACACCACCAGTGGCTTGACCTCCTTCAGACAACTCCAGAGATACCCCGAGAACACTGTCCCTAGTCTAGAGGAACACCTACTTTAGCACAGCAACTCGAGGAATGCTTCCTGTATGCCAAATCCTCTCAAGATGAGAGCTGATTCCCTGGCTTAGGCTCAAGACGTATGCCAACTTTCCAGAAGCACTTCAAGAGGAGGCTTCTCTCAGCAATATGTATGTGGGAGGGAACCCGAGTTTGCTGCCTCAAATGGAATATACAGCGAGAAGCACTAACTAGAAAGGAGGCCGGTTTCCTAGCAGTGTCTTGAATACAGGCTCGTCTTTCATCTCACAGCAGGAAGAGATGTCTGAATCACCTGTGGAGACTTTAGAGAAAGCCCTAGGTCCCTGCCACATTTTGACGGAATGCTCACATCCGGTTGACACCTCGAGAGTCACGCGGAGTTCACTGCTTCAAAAGCTGACGATGCCTGACTCCTCTAAAATATTGATAGGAATCACAAAATCCCTGTGGCTATTTGAAAGGTTCCTTGGGTGCCCTGCCTCACCTCGAGAAGCGTCCCTTGTGCCTGCCAAGCCTCGAAGAGATTCCTGAGCTGTCCCTCGTTACTGGACAGGAGTCCTGACGTCACTGAATAAACACGAGTTTTTAAGGGCCATCCCCGCCGTAACCCGAGTACATACCCCAGGTCCCCGTCGCAAGTCGAAAAAAACCATGAGACTTTCCCCTCGTGGCGAGATGAGGCCCGATTCTCCTGCAGTGCATGCAGAGCAATTCCGTGATCCCCATCAAACAAGTCAGGACCTTCGACTTGCTTAATGGATCTCGAGACAGTCCCCAAAAAAACTGTCACATGTCTAGACGGATCCTGCGGTCACCCCATCAACGCAAAGCAGCACCATGTGCCCCACATCAACTCGAGATAATGCCCGAATCCCCTGCATTGACTCCAGAGCCATCCCACGTTCCACATTAAACACCACCAGTGGCTTGACTTCCTTCAGACAACTCCAGAGATGCCCTGAGAACACTGTCCCAAGTCTAGAGGAACACCATCTTCAGCACAGCAACTCGAGGAATGCTCCGTGTACCCCAAATAGTCTCGAGATGAGAGCTGATTCCCTGGCTTAGGCTCAAGACGTATGCCAACTTTCCAGAAGCACCTCAAGGGGAGGCTTCTCTCAGCAAAAGGTATGTTGGAGGGACCCCCAGTTTGCTGCCTCAAGTAGAATATGCAGCAAGAAGCCCTAACTTGAAAGGAGGCCGGGTTTCCTTGCAGTGTCTTGAATACAGGCTCGTCTTTCATCTCACAACCGGAAGGAATGTCTGAATCCCCTGTGGAGACCTTAGCGAAAGCCCTAGGTCCCTGCCTCATTTTGACGGATTGCCTCACATCCCGTTGACACCTCGGGAGGCACACGGAGTTCACTGCTTCAAATGTGACGATGCCTGACTCCTCCTGAACATTGATAGGAATCCCAAAATCACTGTGGCTACAGGAAAGGGTTCTTGTGTGCCCTGCCTCACCTCGAGAAGCATCCCTTTTGCCCTGCCAAGGTTCGAAGAGATTCCTGAGGTGTCCCTCATTACTAGACAGGAGTCATGACGTCACTGAATAAACACGTGTTTTCAAGAGCCATGCCCGCCATAACTCGAGAACATAACCCAGGTCCCGACGCAACTCGAGAAAAACGATTAGGCTTCCCCTAGATGCGATATGAGGCTTGATTCCCTGCAGTACATGCAGAGCATTCCCGTGATCCCAATCAAGCAAGTCAGCAGCTTCAAATTGCTTAATGGATCTCGAGAGAGTCCCCAGGAACACTGTCACAAGTCTAGACAGACACTGACATCACCCCAGCAACGCAAAGCAGCTCCAAGTACCCCACATCAACTCGAGTTGAGGCCCGATTCCCATGCATTGACTCCAGAGCTATCCCCCGTACCCCATTAAAGCACAACCAGTGGATTGATTTCCTTCAGGCAACTCCAGAGATGCCCCGAGAACACTGTCTCAAGTCTAGAGGAATACGAACTTCAGCAAAGCAACTCGAGGAATGCTCCGTGTACCCCAAATCGTTTCGAGGTGAGAGCTGATTCCATGGCTAGGCTCAAGACGTATGCCAACTTTCCAGAAGCACCTCAAGAGGAGGCTTCTCTCAGCAATCGGTATGTGGGAGGGAACCCGAGTTTGCTGCCTCAAGTGGAATATACAGTGAGAAGCCCTAACTTGAAAGGAGGCCGGATTTCCTGGCAGTGTGTTGAATACAGGCTCGTCATTCATCTCACAACAGGAAGGGATGTCTGAATCCCCTGTGGAGACCTTAGAGAAAGCCCTAGGTCCCTGACTCATTTTGACGGAATGTCTCACATCCCGTTGACACCTCGAGAGGCACACGGAGTTCACTGCTTCAAAATGTGACGATGCCTGACTCCTCCTGAACATTGATAGGAATGCCAAAATCACTGTAGCTACAGGACAGGGTTCTTTGGTGCCCTGCCTCACCTCGAGAAGCATCCCTTTTGCCCTGCCAAGCCTCGAAGAGATTCCTGAGGTGTCTCTCGTTACTAGACAGGAGTCCTGACGTCACTGAATAAACACGTGTTTTGAAGGGCCATCCCCGCCGTAACTAGAGAACATACCCCAATTCGCGCCGCAACTCGAGTAAAACCATGAGATTTCCCCTAGAGGCGAGATGAGGCCTGATTCCCTGCAGTCCATGAAGAGCATTCGCGTGATCCCCATCAAGCAAGTCAGGAGCTTCGACTTGCTTAATTGAACTCGAGAAAGTCCCCAGGAACACTGTCACAAGTCTAGACAGATCCTGAGGTCACCCCAGCAATGCAAAGCAGCTGCAAGTACCCCACATCAACTCGAGATGAGGCCCGATTCCCATGCATTGACTCCAGAGCCATCCCCAGTTCCCCATTAAACAAGACCACTGGCTTCTCTTCCTTCAGACAACTCCAGAGATGCCCCGAGAACACTGTGCCAAGACTAGAGGAACACCAACTTCAGCACAGCAACTCGAGGAATGCCCCGTGTACCACAAATCGTCTCGAGATGAGAGCTGATTCCCTGGCTTAGGCTCAAGACGTATGCCAACTTTCCAGAAGCACCTCAAGAGGAGGCTTTTCTCAGCAATAGGTATGTTCGTGGGACCCCGAGTTTGCTGCCTAAAGTGGAATATACAGCGAGAAGCCCTAACTTGAACGGAGGCCGGATTTCCTTGCAGTGTCTTGTATACAGGCTCGTCTTTCATCTCACAACAGGAAGGGATGTCTGAATCCCCTGTGAAGACCTTTGAGAAAGTCCTAGGTCCCTGCCTCATTGTGACGGAATGCCTCACATCCCGTTGACACCACGAGAGGCACGCGGAGTTCACTGTTTCAAAAGGTGACGATGCCTGACTCCTCTTGAATATTGATAGGAATCCCAAAATCCCTGTGGCTATTGGAAAGGTTCCTTGGGTGCCCTGCCTCATCTCGAGAAGCGTCCCTTGTGCCCCGGCAAGCCTCGAAGAGATTCCTGAGCTGTCCCTCGTTACTGGACAGGAGTCCTGACGTCACTGAATAAACACGTGTTTTGAAGGGCCATCGCCGCCGTAACTCGAGTATATACCCCAGGTCCCCGCCGCAACTCGAGAAAAACCATGAGACTTCCGCCTAGAGGCGAGATGAGGCCCGATTCTCCTGCAGTGCATGCAGAGCAATTCCGTGATCCCCATCAAACAAGTCAGGAGCTTCGACTTGCTTAATGGATCTCGAGACATTCCCCAAGAACACTGTCACATGTCTAGACGGACCCTGAGGTATCCCCAGCAAAGCAAAGCAGCTCCATGTGCCCCAAATCAACTTGAGATGAGGTCCGATTCCCCTGCATTGACTCCAGAGCCATCTGCCGTTCCACATTAAACACGACCAGTGGCTTGACCTCCTTCAGACACCTCCAGAGATGCCCCGAGAACACTGTCCCAAGTCTAGAGGAACACCTACTTTAGCACAGCAACTCGAGGAATGCTTCCTGAATGCCAAATCTTCTCGAGTTGAGAGCTGATTCCCTGGCTTAGGCTCAAGACGTATGCCAACTTTCCAGAAGCACCTCAAGAGGAGGCTTCTCTCAGCAATAGGTATGTGGGAGGGAACCCGAGTTTGCTGCCTCAAATCGAATATACAGCGAGAAGCACTAACTAGAATGGAGGCCGGTTTCCTAGCAGTGTCTTGAATACAGGCTCGTCTTTCATCTCACAGCAGGAAGAGATGTCTGAATCCCCTGTGGAGACCTTACAGAAAGCCCTAGGTCCCTGCCTCATTTTGACGGAATGCCTCACATCCCGTTGACACCTCGAGAGTCACGCGGAGTTCACTGCTTCAAAAGCTGACGATGCCTGACTCCTCCTGAACATTGATAGGAATCCCAAAATCACTGTAGCTACAGGACAGGGTTCTTGGGTGCCCTGCCTCACCTCGAGAAGCATCCCTTTTGCCCTGCCAAGCCTCGAAGAGATTCCTGAGCTGTCCCTCGTTACTGGACAGGAGTCCTGACGTCACTGAATAAACACGAGTTTTTAAGGGCCATCCCTGCCGTAACCCGAGTACATACCCCAGGTCCCTGCCGCAAGTCAAGAAAAACCATGAGACTTTCCCCTAGTGGCGAGATGAGGCCCGATTCTCCTGCAGTGCATGCAGAGCAATTCCATGATCCCCATCAAACAAGTCAGGACCTTCGACTTGCTTAATGGATCTCGAGACAGTCCCCAGGAATACTATCACATGTCTAGTTGGATCCTGAGGTCACCCCATCAACGCAAAGCAGCACCATGTGCCCCACATCAACTCGAGATAATGCCCGATTCCCCTGCATTGACTCCAGAGCCATCCCCCGTTCCAGATTAAACAAAACCAGTGGCTTGACTTCCTTCAGAGAACTCCAGAGATGCCCTGAGAACACTGTCCCAAGTCTAGAGGAACACCATCTTCAGCACAGCAACTCGAGGAATGCTCTGTGTACCCCTAATCGTCTCGAGATGAGAGCTGATTACCTGGCTTATGCTCAAGACGTATGCCAACTTTCCAGAAGCACCTCAAGCACAGTATTCTCTCAGCAATAGGTATGTTGGAGGGACCTCCACTTTGCTGCCTCAAGTGGAATATACAGCGAGAAGCCCTAACTTGAAAGGAGGCCCGGTTTCCTTGCAGTGTCTTGAATACAGGCTCATCTTTCATCTCACAGCATGAAGGAATGTCTGAATCCCCTGTGGAGACCTTAGAGAAAGCCCTAGGTCCCTGCCTCATTTTGACGGAATGTCTCACATCCCGTTGACACCTCGAGAGGCACACGGAGTTCACTGCTTCAAAATGTGACGATGCCTGACTCCTCCTGAACATTGATAGGAATCCCAAAATCACTGTAGCTACAGGACAGGGTTCTTGGGTGCCCTGCCTCACCTCGAGAAGCATCCCTTTTGCCCTGCCAAGCCTCGAAGAGATTCCGGAGGTGTCTCTCATTACTAGACAGGAGTCCTGACGTCACTGAATAAACACGTGTTTTGAAGGGCCATCCCCGCCATAAATCGAGAACATACCCCAGTTCGCGCCGCAACTCGAGTAAAACCATGAGACTTCCCCTAGAGGCGAGATGAGGCCTGATTCCCTGCAGTCCATGAAGAGCATTCCCGTGATCCCCATCAAACAAGTCAGGAGCTTCGACTTGCTTAATGGATCTCCAGAGAGTCCCCAGGAACACTGTCACAAGTCTAGACAGACCCTGAGGTCACCCCAGCAATGCAAAGCAGCTGCAAGTACCCCACATCAACTCGAGATGAGGCCCGATTCCCATGCATTGACTCCAGAGCCATCCCCCGTACCCCATTAAACACAACCATTGGCTTGACTTCCTTCCGGCAACACCAGAGATGCCCCAAGAACACTGTCCCAAGTCTAGAGGAATACGAACTTCAGCACAGCAACTCGAGGAATGCTCCGTGTACCCCAAATCGTTTCGAGGTGAGAGCTGATTCCATGGCTTAGGCTCAAGACGTATGCCAACTTTCCAGAAGCCCCTCAAGAGGAGGCTTCTCTCAGCAATAGGTATGTGGGAGGGACCCCGAGTTTGCTGCCTCAAGTGGAATATACACCCAGAAGCCCTAACTTGAAAGGAGGCCGGATTTCCTTGCAGTGGCTTGAATACAGGCTCGTCTTTCATCTCACAGCATGAAGGGGTGTCTGAAGCCCCTGTGTAGACCTTAGAGAAAGCTCTAGGTCCCTGCCTCATTTTGACGGAATGCCTCACATCCCATTGACACCTCGAGAGGCACGCGGAGTTCACTGCTTCAAAAGGTGATGATGCCTGACTCGTCTTGAATATTGATAGGAATCCCAAAATCACTGTGGCTACTGGAAAGGGTCCTTGGGTGCCCTGCCTCTCCTCGAGAAGCATACCTTTTGACCTGCCAAGCCTCGAAGAGATTCCTGAGGTGTCCCTCGTTACTAGACAGGAGTCCTGACGGCACTGAATAAACACGGGTTTTGAGGGGCCATCCCCGCCGTAACTCGAGAAGATTCCCCAGGTCCCCCGCGCAACTTGAGAGAAACCGTGAGACTTCCCCCTAGATGTGAGATGAGTCCTGATTCCCTGCAGTGCATGCAGAGTATTCCCGTGATTCCCAGCAAACAAGTCAGGAGCTTCGACTTGCTTAATTGAACTCGAGAAAGTCCCCAGGAACACTGTCACAAGTCTAGACAGACCCTGAGGTCACCTCAGCAATGCAAAGCAGCTGCAAGTACCCCACATCAACTCGAGATGAGGCCCGATTCCCATGCATTGACTCCAGAGCCATCCCCAGTTCCCCATTAAACAAGACCACTGGCTTGTCTTCCTTCAGACAACTCCAGAGATGCCCCGAGAACACTGTGCCAAGACTAGAGGAACACCAACTTCAGTACAGCAACTAGAGGAATGCCCCGTGTACCACAAATCGTCTCGAGATGAGAGCTGATTCCCTGGCTTAGGCTCAAGACGTATGCCAACTTTCCAGAAGCACCTCAAGAGGAGGCTTCTCTCAGCAATAGGTATGTTCGTGGGACCCCGAGTTTGCTGCCTAAAGTGGAATATACAGCGAGAAGCCCTAACTTGAATGGAGGCCGGATTTCCTTGCAGTGTCTTGAATACAGGCTCGTATTTCATCTCACAACAGGAAGGGATGTCTGAATCCCCTGTGGAGACCATAGAGAAAGCCCTAGGTCCCTGCCTCATTTTGACGGAATGCCTCACATCCCGTTGACACCACGAGAGGCACGCGGAGTTCACTGCTTCAAAAGGTGACGATGCCTGACTCCTCTTGAATATTGATAGGAATCCCAAAATCCCTGTGGCTATTGGAAAGGTTCCTTGGGTGCCCTGCCTCATCTCGAGAAGCGTCCCTTGTGCCCCGGCAAGCCTCGAAGAGATTCCTGAGCTGTCCCTCGTTACTGGAGAGGAGTCCTGACGTCACTGAATAAACACGTGTTTTGAAGGGCCATCGCCGCCGTAACTCGAGTATATACCCCAGGTCCCCGCCGCAACTCGAGAAAAACCATGAAACTTTCCCCTAGAGGCGAGATGAGGCCCGATTCTCCTGCACTGCATGCAGAGCAATTCCGTGATCCCCATCCAACAAGTCAGGAGCTTCGACTTGCTTAATGGATCTCGAGACATTTCCCAAGAACACTGTCACATGTCTAGACGGACCCTGAGGTATCCCCAGCAACGCAAAGCAGCTCCATGTGCCCCAAATCAACATGAGATGAGGTCCGATTCCCCTGTATTGACTCCAGAGCCATCTGCTGTTCCGCATTAAACACCACCAGTGGCTTGACCTCCTTCAGACAACTCCAGAGATGCCCCGAGAACACTGTCCCTAGTCTAGAGGAACACCTACTTTAGCACAGCAACTCGAGGAATGCTTCCTGTATGCCAAATCTTCTCGAGATGAGAGCTGATTCCCTGGCTTAGGCTCAAGACGTATGCCAACTTTCCAGAAGCACTTCAAGAGGAGGCTTCTCTCAGCAATAGGTATGTGGCAGGGAACCCGAGTTTGCTGCCTCAAATGTGACGATGCCTGACTCCTCCTGAACATTGATAGGAATCCCAAAATCACTGTGGCTACAGGAAAGGGTTCTTGTGTGCCCTGCCTCACCTCGAGAAGCATCCCTTTTGCCCTGCCAAGGCTCGAAGAGATTCCTGAGGTGTCCCTCATTACTAGACAGGAGTCATGACGTCACTGAATAAACACGTGTTTTCAAGGGCCATGCCCGCCATAACTCGAGAACATACCCCAGGTCCCGACGCAACTCGAGAAAAACGATGAGGCTTCCCCTAGATGCGATATGAGGCTTGATTCCCTGCAGTACATGCAGAGCATTCCCGTGATCCCAATCAAGCAAGTCAGCAGCTTCAAATTGCTTAATGGATCTCGAGAGAGTCCATAGGAACACTGTCACAAGTCTAGACAGACCGTGACATCACCCCAGCAACGCAAAGCAGCCCCAAGTACCCGACATCAACTCGAGTTGAGGCCCGATTCCCATGCATTGACTCCAGAGCTATCCCCCGTACACCATTAAAGCACAACCAGTGGATTGATTTCCTTCAGGCAACTCCAGAGATGCCTCGAGAACACTGTCCCAAGTCTAGAGGAATACGAACTTCAGCAAAGCAACTCGAGGAATGCTCCGTGTACCCCAAATCGTTTCGAGGTGAGAGCTGATTCCATGGCTAGGCTCAAGACGTATGCCAACTTTCCAGAAGCCCCTCAAGAGGAGGCTTCTCTCAGCAATAGGTATGTGGGAGGGACCCCGAGTTTGCTGCCTCAAGTGGAATATACAGCGAGAAGCCCTAACTTGAAAGGAGGCCGGATTTTATTGCAGTGGCTTGAATACAGGCTCGTCTTTCATCTCACAGCATGAAGGGATGTCTGAATCCCCTGTGGAGACCTTAGAGAAAGCTCTAGGTACCTGCCTCATTTTGACGGAATGCCTCACATCCCATTGACACTTCGAGAGGCACGCGGAGTTCACTGCTTCAAAAGGTGATGATGCCTCACTCGTCTTGAATATTGATAGGAATCCCAAAATCACTGTGGCTACTGGAAAGGGTCCTTGGGTGTCCTGCCTCACCTCGAGAAGCATACCTTTTGACCTGCCAAGCCTCGAAGAGATTCCTGAGGTGTCCCTCGTTACTAGACAGGAGTCCTGACGGCACTGAATAAACACGTGTTTTGAAGGGCCATCCCCGCCGTAACTCGAGAAGATACCCCAGGTCCCCCGCGCAACTTGAGAGAAACCATGAGACTTCCCCCTAGATGCGAGATGAGTCCTGATTCCCTGCAGTGCATGCAGAGTATTCCCGTGATCCCCATAAAACAAGTCAGGAGCTTCAAATTGCTTAATGGATCTCGAGACAGTCCCCAAGAACACTGTCACATGTCTAGACGGATCCTGAGGTCACCCCATCAAGGCAAAGCAGCACCATGTGCCCCAAATCAACTCGAGATAATGCCCGATTCCCCTGCATTGACTCCAGAGCCATCCCCCCTTCCACATTAAACACGACCAGTGGCTTGACTTCCTTCAGGCAACTCCAGAGACGCCCTGAGAACACTGTCCCAAGTCTAGAGGAACACCATCTTCAGCACAGCAACTCGAGGAATGCTCCGTGTACCCCAAATCGTCTCGAGATGAGAGCTGATTCCCTGGCTTAGGCTCAAGACGTATGCCAACTTTCCAGAAGCACCTCAAGGGCAGCCTTCTCTCAGCAATAGGTATGTTGGAGGGACCCCCAGTTTGCTGCCTCAAAAGGAATATACAGCGAGAAGCCCTAACTTGAAAGGAGGCCGGATTTCCTTGCAGTGTCTTGAATACAGGCTCGTCTTTCATCTCACAACCGGAAGGAATGTCTGAATCCTCTGTGGAGACCTTAGAGAAAGCGCTAGGTCCCTGCCTCATTTTGAAGGAATGTCTCACATCCCGTTGACACCTCGAGAGGCACACAGAGTTCACTGCTTCAAAATGTGATGATGCCTGACCCCTCTTGAACATTGATAGGAATCCCAAAATCACTTTAGCTACAGGACAGGGTTCTTGGGTGCCCTGCCTCACCTCGAGAAGCATCCCTTTGCCTGCCAAGCCTCGAAGAGATTCCTGAGGTGTCTCTCGTTACTAGACAGGAGTCCTGACGTCACTGAATAAACACGTTTTTTGAAGGGCCATCCCCGCCGTAACTCGAGAACATACCCCAGGTCCCGCCGCAACTCGAGAAAAACCATGAGACTTCCCCTAGATGCGAGATGAGGCCTGATTCCCTGCAGTCCATGCAGAGCATTCCCATGATCCCCATCAAGCAAGTCAGGAGCTTCTACTTGCTTAATCGAACTCGAGAAAGTTCCTAGGAACTCTGTCACAAGTCTAGACAGACTCTGAGGTCACCCCAGCAATGTAAAGCAGCTCCAAGTACCCCACATCAACCCGCGATGAGGCCCGATTCCCCTGCATTCACTCCAGAGCCATCCCCCGTACCACATTAAACACCAAAAGTGGTTTGACTTCCTTCAGGCAACTCCAGAGATGCCCTGAGAACACTGTCCCAAGTCTAGAGGAATACGAACTTCAGCACAGCAACTCGAAGAATGCTCCGTGTACCCCAAATCGTTTCGAGGTGAGAGCTGCTTCCATGGCTTAGGCTCAAGACGTATGCCAACTTTTCAGAAGCACCTCAAGAGGAGGCTTCTCTCAGCAGTAGGTATGTGGGAGGGACCCCGAGTTTGCTGCCTCAAGTGGAATATACACGAGAAGCCCTAACTTGAAAGGAGGACGGATTTCCTTGCAGTGGCTTGAATACAGGCTCGTCTTTCATCTCACAGCATGAAGGGATGTCTGAAGCCCCTGTGGAGACCTTAGAGAAAGCTCTAGGTCCCTGCCTCATTTTGAGGGAATGCCTCACATCCCGTTGTCACCTCGAGAGGCACGCGGAGTTCAGTGCTTCAAAAGGTGACGATGCCTGACTCCTCTTGAATATTGATAGGAATCCCAAAATCCATGTGGCTATTGGAAAGGTTCCTTGGGTGCCCTGCCTCACCTCGAGAAGCGTCCCTTGTGCACTGCCAAGCCTCGAAGAGATTCCTGAGCTGCCCCTCGTTACTGGACAGGAGTCCTGACGTCACTGAATAAACACGAGTTTTGAAGGCCATCCCCGTCGTAACCCGAGTACATACCCCAGGTCCCCGCCGCAAGTCGAGAAAAACCATGAGACTTTCCCCTATAGGCGAGATGAGGCCCGATTCTCCTGCAGTGCATGCAGAGCAATTCCGTGATCCCCATCAAACAAGTCAGGACCTTCGACTTGCTTAATGGATCTCGAGACATTCCCCCAGAACACTGTCACATGTCTAGACGGATCCTGAGGTCACCCCATCAACGCAAAGCAGCACAATGTGCCCCAAATCAACTCGGGATGATGGCAGATTCCCCTGCATTGACCCTAGAGCTATCCCCCGTTCCACATTAAACACGACCAGTGGCTTGACTTCCTTCAGGCAACTCCAGAGATGCCCGGAGAACACTGTCCCAAGTCTAGAGGAACACCATCTTCAGCACAGCAACTCGAGGAATGCTCCGTGTACCCCAAATCATCTCGAGATGAGAGCTGATTCCCTGGCTTATGCTCAAGACGTATGCCAACTTTCCAGAAGCACCTCAAGGGGAGGCTTCTCTCAGCAATAGTTATGTTGGAGGGACCCCCAGTTTGCTACCTCAAGTGGAATATGCAACGAGAAGCCCTAACTTGAAAGGAGGCCGGGTTTCCTTGCAGTGTCTTGAATACAGGCTTGTCTTTCATCTCACAACCGGAAGGATTGTCTGAATCCCCTGTGGAGACCTTAGCGAAAGCCCTAGGTCCCTGCCTCATTTTGACGGATTGCCTCACATCCCGTTGACACCTCGGGAGGCACACGGAGTTCACTGCTTCAAATGTGACGATGCCTGACCCCTCCTGATCATTGATAGGAATCCCAAAATCACTGTGGCTACAGGAAAGGGTTCTTGTGTGCCCTGCCTCACCTCGAGAAGCATCCCTTTTGCCCTGCCAAGCCTCGAAGAGATTCCTGATGTGTCCCTCGTTACTAGACAGGAGAATTGACGTCACTGAATAAACACGTGTTTTGAAGGGCCATCCCGGCAATAACTCAAGAAAATATCCCAGGTCCCGCCGCAACTCGAGAAAAACCATGAGACTTCCCCTAGATGCGAGATGACGTCTGATTCCCTGCAGTCCATGCAGAACAGTCCCGTGATCCCCATCAAGCAAGTCAGGAGCTTCGACTTGCTTAATGGATCTCAAGAGAGTCCCCAGGAACACTGTCACAAGTCTAGACAGACCCTGAGGTCACCCCAGCAATGCAAAGCAGCTCCAAGTGCCCCACATCAACTCGAGATGAGGCCCGATTCTCCGGTATTGACTCAAGAGCCATCCCCCGTACCCCATTAAACACCAACACTGGCTTGACTTCATTCAGTCAACTCCAGAGATGCCCCAAGAACACTGTTCCAAGTCTAGAGGAACACCAACTTCAGCACAGCAACTCGAGGAATGCTCCGTGTACCACAAATCGTTCCGAGGTGAGAGCTGATTCCCTGGCTTAGGCTCAAGACGTATACCAACTTTCCAGAAGCACCTCAAGAGGAGGCTTCTCTCAGCAATCGGTATGTGGGAGGGAACCCGAGTTTGCTGCCTCAAGTGGAATATACAGTGAGAAGCCCTAACTTGAAAGGAGGCCGGATTTCCTGGCAGTGTGTTGAATACAGGCTCGTCTTTCATCTCACAACAGGAAGGGATGTCTGAATCCCCTGTGGAGACCTTAGAGAAAGCCCTAGGTCCCTGCCTCATTTTGACGGAATGTCTCACATCCCGTTGACACCTCGAGAGGCACACGGAGTTCACTGCTTCAAAATGTGACGATGCCTGACTCCTCCTGAACATTGATAGGAATCCCAAAATCACTGTAGCTACAGGACAGGGTTCTTTGGTGCCCTGCCTCACCTCGAGAAGCATCCCTTTTGCCCTGCCAAGCCTCGAAGAGATTCCTGAGGTGTCTCTCGTTACTAGACAGGAGTCCTGACGTCACTGAATAAACACGTGTTTTGAAGGGCCATCCCCGCCGTAACTCGAGAACATACCCCAGTTCGCGCCGCAACTCGAGTAAAACCATGAGACTTCCCCTAGAGGCGAGATGAGGCCTGATTCCCTGAAGTCCATGAAGAGCATTCGCGTGATCCCCATCAAGCAAGTCAGGAGCTTCGACTTGCTTAATTGAACTCGAGAAAGTCCCCAGGAACACTGTCACAAGTCTAGACAGACCCTGAGGTCACCCCAGCAATGCAAAGCAGCTGCAAGTACCCCACATCAACTCGAGATGAGGCCCGATTCCCATGCATTGACTCCAGAGCCATCCCCAGTTCCCCATTAAACAAGACCACTGGCTTGTCTTCCTTCAGACAACTCCAGAGATGCCCCGAGAACACTGTCCCAAGACTAGAGGAACACCAACTTCAGCACAGCAACTCGAGGAATGCCCCGTGTACCACAAATCGTCTCGAGATGAGAGCTGATTCCCTGGCTTAGGCTCAAGACGTATGCCAACTTTCCAGAAGCACCTCAAGAGGAGGCTTCTCTCAGCAATAGGTATGTTCGTGGGACCCCGAGTTTGCTGCCTCAAGTGGAATATACAGCGAGAAGCCCTAACTTGAATGGAGGCCGGATTTCCTTGCAGTGTCTTGTATACAGGCTCGTCTTTCATCTCACAACAGGAAGGGATGTCTGAATCCCCTGTGAAGACCTTTGAGAAAGCCCTAGGTCCCTGCCTCATTGTGACGGATTGCCTCACATCCCGTTGACACCACGAGAGGCACGCGGAGTTCACTGCTTCAAAAGGTGACGATGCCTGACTCCTCTTGAATATTGATAGGAATCCCAAAATCCCTGTGGCTATTGGAAAGGTTCCTTGGGTGCCCTGCCTCATCTCGAGAAGCGTCCCTTGTGCCCCGGCAAGCCTCGAAGAGATTCCTGAGCTGTCCCTCGTTACTGGACAGGAGTCCTGACGTCACTGAATAAACACGTGTTTTGAAGGGCCATCGCCGCCGTAACTCGAGTATATACCCCAGGTCCCCGCCGCAACTCGAGAAAAACCATGAGACTTCCGCCTAGAGGCGAGATGAGGCCCGATTCTCCTGCAGTGCATGCAGAGCAATTCCGTGATCCCCATCAAACAAGTCAGGAGCTTCGACTTGCTTAATGGATCTCGAGACAGTCCCCAAGAACTCTGTCACATGTCTAGACGGACCCTGAGGTATCCCCAGCAACGCAAAGCAGCTCCATGTGCCCCAAATCAACTTGAGATGAGGTCCGATTCCCCTGCATTGACTCCAGAGCCATCTGCCGTTCCGCATTAAACACCACCAGTGGCTTGACCTCCTTCAGACAACTCCAGAGATTCCCCGAGAACACTGTCCCAAGTCTAGAGGAACACCTACTTTAGCACAGCAACTCGAGGAATGCTTCCTGTATGCCAAATCTTCTCGAGTTGAGAGCTGATTCCCTGGCTTAGGCTCAAGACGTATGCCAACTTTCCAGAAGCACCTCAAGAGGAGGCTTCTCTCAGCAATAGGTATGTGGGAGGGAACCCGAGTTTGCTGCCTCAAATGGAATATACAGCGAGAAGCACTAACTAGAATGGAGGCCGGTTTCCTAGCAGTGTCTTGAATACAGGCTCATCTTTCATCTCACAGCAGGAAGAGATGTCTGAATCCCCTGTGGAGACCTTAGAGAAAGCCCTAGTTCCCTGCCTCATTTTGACGGAATGCCTCACATCCCGTTGACACCTCGAGAGTCACGCGCAGTTCACTGCTTCAAAAGCTGACGATGCCTGACTCCTCCTGAACATTGATAGGAATCCCAAAATCACTGTAGCTACAGGACAGGGATCTTAGGTGCCCTGCCTCACCACGAGAAGCATCCCTTTTGCCCTGCCAAGCCTCGAAGAGATTCCTGAGCTGTCCCTCGTTACTGGACAGGAGTCCTGACGTCACTGAATAAACACGAGTTTTTAAGGGCCATCCCCGCCGTAACCCTAGTACATACCCCAGGTCCCCCCGCAAGTCGAGAAAAACCATGAGACTTTCCCCTAGTGGCGAGATGAGGCCCGATTCTCTTGCAGTGCATGCAGAGCAATTCCATGATCCCCATCAAACAAGTCAGGCCCTTCGACTTGCTTAATGGATCTCGAGACAGTCCCCAAGAATACTATCACATGTCTAGATGGATGCTGAGGTCACCCCATCAACGCAAAGCAGCACCATGTGCCCCACATCAACTCGAGATAATGCCCGATTCCCCTGCATTGACTCCAGAGCCATCCCCCGTTTCAGATTAAACACCACCAGTTTCTTGACTTCCTTCAGACAACTCCAGAGATGCCCTGAGAACACTGTCCCAAGTCTAGAGGAACACCATCTTCAGCACAGCAACTCGAGGAATGCTCCGTGTACCCAAATCGTCTCGAGATGAGAGCTGATTCCCTGGCTTATGCTCAAGACGTATGCCAACTTTCCAGAAGCACCTCAAGGGGAGGCTTCTCTCAGCAATAGTTATGTTGGAGGGACAACCAGTTTGCTGTCTCAAGTGGAATATGCAACGAGAAGCCCTAACTTGAAAGGAGGCCGGGTTTCCTTGCAGTGTCTTGAATACAGGCTCGTCTTTCATCTCACAACCGGAAGGATTGTCTGAATCCCCTGTCGAGACCTTAGCAAAAGCCCTAGGTCCTTGCCTCATTTTGACGGATTGCCTCACATCCCGTTGACACCTCGGGAGGCACACGGAGTTCACTGCTTCAAATGTGACGATGCCTGACCCCTCCTGAATATTGATAGGAATCCCAAAATCACTGTGGCTACAGGAAAGGGTTCTTGTGTGCCCTGCCTCACCTCAAGAAGCATCCCTTTTGCCCTGCCAAGCCTCGAAGAGATTCCTGAGGTGTCTCGCGTTACTAGACAGGAGTCCTGACGTCACTGAATAAACACGTGTTTTGAAGGGCCATCCCCGCCGTAACTCGAGAACATACCCCAGTTCGCGCCGCAACTCGAGTAAAACCATGAGACTTCCCCTAGAGGCGAGATGAGGCCTGATTCCCTGAAGTCCATGAAGAGCATTCCCGTGATCCCTATCAAGCAAGTCAGGAGCTTCGACTTGCTTAATTGAACTCGAGAAAGTCCCCAGGAACACTGTCACAAGTCTAGACAGACCCTGAGGTCACCCCAGCAAAGCAAAGCAGCTGCAAGTACCCCACATCAACTCGAGATGAGGCCCGATTCCCATGCATTGACTCCAGAGCCATCCCCAGTTCCCCATTAAACAAGACCACTGGCTTGTCTTCCTTCAGACAACTCCAGAGATGCCCCGAGAACACTGTGCCAAGACTAGAGGAACACCAACTTCAGCACAGCAACTCGAGGAATGCCCCGTGTACCACAAATCGTCTCGAGATGAGAGCTGATTCCCTGGCTTAGGCTCAAGACGTATGCCAACTTTCCAGAAGCACCTCAAGAGGAGGCTTCTCTCAGCAATAGGTATGTTCGTGGGACCCCGAGTTTGCTGCCTAAAGTGGAATATACAGCGAGAAGCCCTAACTTGAATGGAGGCCGGATTTCCTTGCAGTGTCTTGTATACAGGCTCGTCTTTCATCTCACAACAGGAAGGGATGTCTGAATCCCCTGTGAAGACCTTTGAGAAAGCCCTAGGTCCCTGCCTCATTGTGACGGAATGCCTCACATCCCGTTGACACCACGACAGGCACGCGGAGTTCACTGCTTCAAAAGGTGACGATGCCTGACTCTTCTTGAATATTGATAGGAATCCCAAAATCCCTGTGGCTATTGGAAAGGTTCCTTGGGTGCCCTGCCTCATCTCGAGAAGCGTCCCTTGTGCCCCAGCAAGCCTCGAAGAGATTCCTGAGCTGTCCCTCGTTACTGGACAGGAGTCCTGACGTCACTGAATAAACACGTGTTTTGAAGGGCCATCGCCGCCGTAACTCGAGTATATACCCCAGGTCCCCGCCGCAACTCGAGAAAAACCATGAGACTTCCGCCTAGAGGCGAGATGAGGCCCGATTCTCCTGCAGTGCATGCAGAGCAATTCCGTGATCCCCATCAAACAAGTCAGGAGCTTCGACTTGCTTAATGGATCTCGAGACATTCCCCAAGAACACTGTCACATGTCTAGACGGACCCTGAGGTATCCCCAGCAACGCAAAGCAGCTCCATGTGCCCCAAATCAACTTGAGATGAGGTCCGATTCCCCTGCATTGACTCCAGAGCCATCTGCCGTTCCGCATTAAACACCACCAGTGGCTTGACCTCCTTCAGACAACTCCAGAGATGCCCCGAGAACACTGTCCCAAGTCTAGAGGAACACCTACTTTAGCACAGCAACTCGAGGAATGCTTCCTGTATGCCAAATCTTTTCGAGTTGAGAGCTGATTCCCTGGCTTAGGCTCAAGACGTATGCCAACTTTCCAGAAGAACCTCAAGAGGAGGCTTCTCTCAGCAATAGGTATGTGGGAGGGAACCCGAGTTTCCTGCCTCAAATGGAATATACTGCGAGAAGCACTAACTAGAATGGAGGCCGGTTTCCTAGCAGTGTCTTGAATACAGGCTCGTCTTTCATCTCACAGCAGGAAGAGATGTCTGAATCCCCTGTGGAGACCTTAGAGAAAGCCCTAGTTCCCTGCCTCATTTTGACGGAATGCCTCACATCCCGTTGACACCTCGAGAGTCACGCGGAGTTAACTGCTTCAAAAGCTGACGATGCCTGACTCCTCCTGAACATTGATAGGAATCCCAAAATCACTGTAGCTACAGGACAGGGATCTTGGGTGCCCTGCCTCACCACAAGAAGCATCCCTTTTGCCCTGCCAAGCCTCGAAGAGATTCCTGAGCTGTCCCTCGTTACTGGACAGGAGTCCTGACGTCACTGAATAAACACGAGTTTTTAAGGGCCATCCCCGCCGTAACCCGAGTACATACCCCAGGTCCCCGCCGCAAGTCGAGAAAAACCATGAGACTTTCCCCTAGTGGCGAGATGAGGCCCGATTCTCCTGCAGTGCATGCAGAGCAATTCCATGATCCCCATCAAACAAGTCAGGCCCTTCGACTTGCTTAATGGATCTCGAGACAGTCCCCAAGAATACTATCACATGTCTAGATGGATCCTGAGGTCACCCCATCAACGCAAAGCAGCACCATGTGCCCCACATCAACTCGAGATAATGCCCGATTCCCCTGCATTGACCCCAGAGCCATCCCCCGTTTCAGATTAAACACCACCAGTGGCTTGACTTCCTTCAGACAACTCCAGAGATGCCCTGAGAACACTGTCCCAAGTCTAGAGGAACACCATCTTCAGCACAGCAACTCGAGGAATGCTCCGTGTACCCCAAATCGTCTCGAGATGAGAGCTGATTCCCTGGCTTATGCTCAAGACGTATGCCAACTTTCCAGAAGCACCTCAAGGGGAGGCTTCTCTCAGCAATAGTTATGTTGGAGGGACAACCAGTTTGCTGCCTCAAGTGGAATATGCAACGAGAAACCCTAACTTGAAAGGAGGCCGGGTTTCCTTGCAGTGTCTTGAATACAGGCTCGTCTTTCTTCTCACAACCGGAAGGATTGTCTGAATCCCCTGTCGAGACCTTAGCAAAAGCCCTAGGTCCTTGCCTCATTTTGACGGATTGCCTCACATCCCGTTGACACCTCGGGAGGCACACGGAGTTCACTGCTTCAAATGTGACGATGCCTGACCCCTCCTGATCATTGATAGGAATCCCAAAATCACTGTCGCTACAGGAAAGGGTTCTTGTGTGCCCTGCCTCACCTCGAGAAGCATCCCTTTTGCCCTGCCAAGGCTCGAAGAGATTCCTGAGGTGTCCCTCATTACTAGACAGGAGTCATGACGTCACTGAATAAACACGTGTTTTCAAGGGCCATGCCCGCCATAACTCGAGAATTTACCCCAGGTCCCGCCGCAACTCGAGAAAAACCATGAGACTTCCCCTAGATGCGAGATGAGGCCTGATTCCCTGCAGTCCATGCAGAGCATTCCCGTGATCCCAATCAAGCAAGTCAGCAGCTTCGAATTGCTTAATGGATCTCAAGAGAGTCCCCAGGAACACTGTCACAAGTCTAGACAGACCCTGACATCACACCAGCAACGCAAAGCAGCTTCAAGTACCCCACATCAACTCGCGTTGAGGCCCGATTCCCATGCATTGACTCCAGAGCCATCCCCCGTACCCCATTAAACACCACCAGTGGCTTGACTTCCTTCAGGGAACTCGAGAGATGCCCCGAGAACACTGTCCCAAGACTAGAGGAATACGAACTTCACCACAGCAACTCGAGGAATGCTCCGTGTACCCCAAATCGTTTCGAGGTGAGAGCTGATTCCATGGCTTAGGCTCAAGACGTATGCCAACTTTCCAGAAGCACCTCAAGAGGAGGCTTCTCTCAGCAATAGGTATTTGGGAGGGACCCCAAGTTTGCTGCCTCAAGTGGAATACACAGCCAGAAGCCCTAACTTGAAAGGAGGCCGGATTTCCTTGCAGTGGCTTGGATACAGGCTCGTCTTTCATCTCACAGCATGAAGGGATGTCTGAATCCCCTGTGGAGACCTTAGAGAAAGCTCTAGGTCCCTGCATCATTTTGACGGAATGCCTCACATCCAGTTGACACTTCGAGAGGCACGCGGAGTTCACTGCTTCAAAAGGTGATGATGCCTGACTCGTCTTGAATATTGATAGGAATCCCAAAATTACTGTGGCTACTGGAAAGGGACATTGGTTGCCCTGCCTCACCTCGAGAAGCATACGTTTTGACCTGCCAAGCCTCGAAGAGATTCCTGAGGTGTCCCTCGTTACTAGACAGGAGTCCTGATGGCACTGAATAAACACGGGTTTTGAGGGGCCATCCCCGCCGTAACTCGAGAAGATACCCCAGGTCCCCCGCGCAACTTGAGAGAAACCGTGAGACTTCCCCCTAGATGCGAGATGAGTCCTGATTCCCTGCAGTGCATGCAGAGTATTCCCGTGATCCCCATCAAACAAGTCAGGAGCTTCGACTTGCTTAATGGTTCTCGAGACAGTCCCCAAGAACTCTGTCACAAGTCTAGACGGACCCTGAGGTCACCCCAGCAACGCAAAGCAGCTCCATGTGCCCCAAATCAACCCGAGATGTGGCCCGATTCCCCTGCATTGACTCCAGAGCCATCCCCAGTTCCCCATTAAACAAGACAACTGGCTAGACTTCCTTCAGGCAACTCCAGAGATGCCCCGAGAACACTCTCCCAAGACTAGAGGAACACCAGCTTCAGCACAGCAACTCGAGGAATGCTCCGTGTACCACAAATCGTCTCGAGATGAGAGCTGAATCCCTGGCTTAGGTTCAAGACGTATGCCAACTTTCCAGAAGCACCTCAAGAGGAGGCTTCTATCAGCAATAGGTATGTTGGAGGGACCCCGAGTTTGCTGCCTCAAGTGGAATATAGAGCGAGAAGCCCTAACTTGAAAGGAGGCCGGATTTCCTTGCAATGGCTTGAATACAGGCTCGTCTTTCATCTCACAGAATGAAGGGATGACTGAATCTCCTGTGGAGACCTTAGAGAAAGCTATAGGTCCCTGCCTCATTTTGACGGAATGCCTCACATCCCGTTGTCACCTAGAGAGGCACGCGGAGTTCACTGCTTCAAAAGGTGACGATGCCTGACTCCTCTAAAATATTGATAGGAATCCCAAAATCCCTGTGGCTATTGGAAAGGTTCCTTGGGTGCCCTGCCTCACCACGAGAAGCGTCCCTTGTGCCCTGCCAAGCCTCGAAGAGATTCCTGAGCTGTCCCTCGTTACTGGACAGGAGTCCTGACGTCACTGAATGAACATGAGTTTTGAAGGCCCATCCGCGCCGTAACCCGAGTACATACCCCAGGTCCCCGCCGCAAGTCGAGAAAAACCATGAGACTTTCCCCTAGAGGCGAGATGAGGCCCGATTCTCCTGCAGTGCGTGCAGAGCAATTCCGTGATCCCCATCAAACAAGTCAGAAGCTTCGACTTGCTTAATGGATCTCGAGACAGTCACCAGGGAACACTGTCACATGTCTAGACGGATCCTGAGGTCACCCCATCAACGCAAAGCAGCACCATGTGCCCCAAATCAACTTGAGATGAGGGCCGATTCCCCTGCATTGACTCCAGAGCCATCTGCCGTTCCACATTAAACACGACCAGTGGCTTGACTTCTTTCAGGCAACTCCAGAGACGCCCCGAGAACACTGGCCCAAGTCTAGAGGAACACCTACTTTAGCACAGCAACTCGAGGAATGCTTCCTGTATGCCAAATCTTCTCGAGTTGAGAGCTGATTCCCTGGCTTAGGCTCAAGACGTATGCCAACTTTCCAGAAGCACCTCAAGAGGAGGCTTCTCTCAGCAATAGGTATGTGGGAGGGAACCCGAATTGCTGCCTCAAATGGAATATACAGCGAGAAGCACTAACTAGAATGGAGGCCGGTTTCCTAGCAGTGTCTTGAATACAGGCTCGTCTTTCATCTCACAGCAGGAAGAGATGTCTGAATCCCCTGTGGAGACCTTAGAGAAAGCCCTAGTTCCCTGCCTCATTTTGACGGAATGCCTCACATCCCGTTGACACCTCGAGAGTCACGCGGAGTTCACTGCTTCAAAAGCTGACGATGCCTGACTCCTCCTGAACATTGATAGGAATCCCAAAATCACTGTAGCTACAGGACAGGGTTCTTGGGTGCCCTGCCTCACTTCGAGAAGCATCCCTTTTGCCCTGCCAAGCCTCGAAGAGATTCCTGAGCTGTCCCTCGTTACTGGACAGGAGTCCTGACGTCACTGAATAAACACGAGTTTTTAAGGGCCATCCCCGCCGTAACCCGAGTACATACCCCAGGTCCCCGCCGCAAGTCGAGAAAAACCATGAGACTTTCCCCTAGATGCGAGATGAGGCCTGATTCCCTGCAGTCCATGCAGAGCATTCCCGTGATCCCAATCAAGCAAGTCAGCAGCTTCGAATTGCTTAATGGATCTCGAGAGAGTCCCCAGGAACACTGTCACAAGTCTAGACAGACACTGACATCACCCCAGCAACGCAAAGCAGCTCCAAGTACCCCACATCAACTCGCATTGAGGCCCGATTCCCATGCATTGACTCCAGACCCATCCCCCGTACCCCATTAAACACCACCAGTGGCTTGACTTCCTTCAGGCAACTCGTGAGATGCCCCGAGAACACTGTCCCAAGTCTAGAGGAATACGAACTTCAGCACAGCAACTCGAGGAATGCTCCGTGTACCCCAAATCGTTTCGAGGTGAGAGCTGATTCCATGGCTTAGGCTCAAGACGTATGCCAACTTTCCAGAAGCACCTCAAGAGGAGGCTTCTCTCAGCAATAGGTATTTGGGAGGGACCCCGAGTTTGCTGCCTCAAGTGGAATATACAGCGAGAAGCCCTAACTTCAAAGGAGGCCGGATTTCCTTGCAGTGGCTTGGATACAGGCTCGTCTTTCATCTCACAGCATGAAGGGATGTCTGAATCCCCTGTGGAGACCTTAGAGAAAGCTCTAGGTCCCTGCATCATTTTGACGGAATACCTCACATCCAGTTGACACTTCGAGAGGCACGCGGAGTTCACTGCTTCAAAAGGTGATGATGCCTGACTCGTCTTGAATATTGATAGGAATCCCAAAATCACTGTGGCTACTGGAAAGGGACATTGGTTGTCCTGCCTCACCTCGAGAAGCATACCTTTTGACCTGCCAAGCCTCGAAGAGATTCCTGAGGTGTCCCTCGTTACTAGACAGGAGTCCTGACGGCACTGAATAAACACGGGTTTTGAGGGGCCATCCCCGCCGTAACTCGAGAAGATACCCCAGGTCCCCCACGCAACTTGAGAGAAACCGTGAGACTTCCCCCTAGATGCGAGATGAGTCCTGATTCCCTGGAGTGCATGCAGAGTATTCCCGTGATCCCCATCAAACAAGTCAGGAGCTTCGACTTGCTTAATGGATCTCGAGACAGTCCCCAAGAACACTGTCACAAGTCTAGACGGACCCTGAGGTCACCCCAGCAACGCAAAGCAGCTCCATGTGCCCCAAATCAACCCGAGATGTGGCCCGATTCCCCTGCATTGACTCCAGAGCCATCCCCAGTTCCCCATTAAACAAGACAACTGGCTAGACTTCTTTCAGGCAACTCCAGAGATGCCCCGAGAACACTCTCCCAAGACTAGAGGAACACCAACTTCAGCACAGCAACTCGAGGAATGCTCCGTGTACCACAAATCGTCTCGAGATGAGAGCTGAATCCCTGGCTTAGGCTCAAGACGTATGCCAACTTTCCAGAAGCACCTCAAGAGGAGGATTCTCTCAGCAATAGGTATGTTGGAGGGACCCCGAGTTTGCTGCCTCAAGTGGAATATACAGCGAGAAGCCCTAACTTGAAAGAAGGCCGGATTTCCTTGCAGTGGCTTGAATACAGGCTCGTCTTTCATCTCACAGAATGAAGGGATGTCTGAATCCCCTGTGGAGACCTTAGAGAAAGCTATAGGTCCCTACCTCATTTTGACGGGATGCCTCACATCCCGTTGTCACCTCCAGAGGCACGCGGAGTTCACTGCTTCAAAAGGTGACGATGCCTGACTCCTCTAAAATATTGATAGGATCCCAAAATCCCTGTGGCTATTGGAAACCTTCCTTGGGTGCCCTGCCTCAAGTGGAGAAGCGTCCCTTGTGCCCTGCCAAGTCTCGATGAGATTCCTGAGCTGCCCATCGTTACTGGACAGGAGTTCTGACGTCACTGAATAAACACGAGTTTTGAAGGCCATCCCCGCCGTAACCCGAGTACATACCCCAGGTCCCCACCGCAAGTCGAGAAAAACCATGACACTTTCCCCTAGAGGCGAGATGAGGCCCGATTCTCCTGCAGTGCATGCAGAGCAATTCCGTGATCCCCATCAAACAAGTCAGAAGCTTCGACTTGCTTAATGGATCTCGAGACAGTCCCCAAGAACACTGTCACATGTCTAGACGGATCCTGAGGTCACCCCATCAAGGCAAAGCAGCACCATGTGCCCCAAATCAACTCGAGATAATGCCCGATTCCCCTGCATTGACTCCAGAGCCATCCCCCGTTCCACATTAAACACGACCAGTAGCTTGACTTCCTTCAGGCAACTCCAGAGACGCCCTGAGAACACTGTCCCAAGTCTAGAGAAACACCATCTTCAGCACAGCAACTCGAGGAATGCTCCGTGTACCCCAAATCGTCTCGAGATGAGAGCTGATTCCCTGGCTTAGGCTCAAGACGTATGCCAACTTTCCAGAAGCACCTCAAGGGGAGCCTTCTCTCAGCAATAGGTATGTTGGAGGGATCCCCAGATTGCTGCCTCAAGTGGAATATACACGAGAAGCCCTAACGTGAAAGGAGGACGGATTTCCTTGCAGTGGCTTGAATACAGGTTCGTCTTTCATCTCACAACAGGAAGGGATGTCTGAATCCCCTGTGGAGACCTTAGAGAAAGCCCTAGGTCCCTGCCTCGTTTTGACGGAATGTCTCACATCCCGTTGACACCTCGAGAGGCACACGGAGTTCACTGCTTCAAAATGTGACGATGCCTGACTCCTCCTGAACATTGATAGGAATCCCAAAATCACTGTAGCTACAGGACAGGGTTCTTTGGTGCCCTGCCTCACCTCGAGAAGCATCCCTTTTGCCCTGCCAAGCCTCGAAGAGATTCCTGAGGTGTCTCTCGTTACTAGACAGGAGTCCTGACGTCACTGAATAAACACGTGTTTTGAAGGGCCATCCCCGCCAGAACACGAGAACATACCCCAGTTCGCGCCGCAACTCGAGTAAAACCATGAGACTTCCCCTAGAGGCGAGATGAGGCCTGATTCCCTGCAGTCCATTAAGAGCATTCCCGTGATCCCTATCAAGCAAGTCAGGAGCTTCAACTTGCTTAATTCAACTCGAGAAAGTCCCCAGGAACACTGTCACAAGTCTAGACAGACCCTGAGGTCACCCCAGCAATGCAAAGCAGCTGCAAGTACCCCACATCAACTCGAGATGAGGCCCGATTCCCAAGCATTGACTCCAGAGCCATCCCCAGTTCCCCATTAAACAAGACCACTGGTTGTCTTCCTTCAGACACCTCCAGAGATGCCCCGAGAACACTGTCCCAAGACTAGAGGAACACCAACTTCAGCACAGCAACTCGAGGAATGCCCCGTGTACCACAAATCGTCTCGAGATGAGAGCTGATTCCCTGGCTTAGGCTCAAGACGTATGCCAACTTTCCAGAAGCACCTCAAGAGGAGGCTTCTCTCAGCAATAGGTATGGTCGTGGGACCCCGAGTTTGCTGCCTCAAGTGGAATATACAGCGAGAAGCCCTAACTTGAATGGAGGCCGGATTTCCTTGCAGTGTCTTGTATACAGGCTCGTCTTTCATCTCACAACCGGAAGGGATGTCTGAATCCCCTGTGGAGACCTTAGAGAAAGCCCTATGTCCCTGCCTCATTTTGACGGAATGCCTCACATCCCGTTGACACCACGAGAGACACGCGGAGTTCACTGCTTCAAAAGGTGACGATGCCTGACTCCTCTTGAATATTGATAGGAATCCCAAAATCCCTGTGGCTATTGGAAAGGTTCCTTGGGTGCCCTGCCTCATCTCGAGAAGCGTCCCTTGTGCCCCGGCAAGCCTCGAAGAGATTCCTGAGCTGTCCCTCGTTACTGGACAGCAGTCCTGACGTCACTGAATAAACACGTGTTTTGAAGGGCCATCGCCGCCGTAACTCGAGTATATACCCCAGGTCCCCGCCGCAACTCGAGAAAAACCATGAGACTTCCGCCTAGAGGCGAGATGAGGCCCGATTCTCCTGCAGTGCATGCAGAGCAATTCCGTGATCCCCATCAAACAAGTCAGGAGCTTCGACATGCTTAATGGATCTCGAGACATTCCCCAAGAACACTGTCACATGTCTAGACGGACCCTGAGGTATTCCAGCAACGCAAAGCATCTCCATGTGCCCCAAATCAACTTGAGATGAGGTCCGATTCCCCTGCATTGACTCCAGAGGCATCTGCCGTTCCGCATTAAGCACCACCAGTGGCTTGACCTCCTTCAGACAACTCCAGAGATGACCCGAGAACACTGTCCCAAGTCTAGAGGAAAACCTCCTTTAGCACAGCAACTCGAGGATTGCTTCCTGTATGCCAAATCTTCTCGAGTTGAGAGCTGATTCCCTGGCTTAGGCTCAAGACGTATGCCAACTTTCCAGAAGCACCTCAAGAGGAGGCTTTTCTCAGCAATAGGTATGTGGGAGGGAACCCGAGTTTCCTGCCTCAAATGGAATATACAGCGAGAAGCACTAACTAGAATGGAGGCCGGTTTCCTAGCAGTGTCTTGAATACAGGCTCGTCTTTCATCTCACAGCAGGAAGAGATGTCTGAATCCCCTGTGGAGACCTTAGAGAAAGCCCTAGGTCCCTGCCTCATTTTGACGGAATGCCTCACATCCCGTTGACACCTCGAGAGTCACGTGGAGTTCACTGCTTCAAAAGCTGACGATGCCTGACTCCTCCTGAACATTGATAGGAATCCCAAAATCACTGTACCTACAGGACAGGGTTCTTGGGTGCCCTGCCTCACCTCGAGAAGCATCCCTTTTGCCCTGCCAAGCCTCGAAGAGATTCCTGAGCTGTCCCTCGTTACTGGACAGGAGTCCTGACGTCACTGAATAAACACGAGTTTTTAAGGGCCATCCCCGCCGTAACCCGAGTACATACCCCAGGTCCCCGCCGCAAGTCGAGAAAAACCATGAGACTTTCCCCTAGTGGCGAGATGAGGCCCGATTCTCCTGCAGTGCATGCAGAGCAATTCCATGATCCCCATCAAACAAGTCAGGACCTTCGACTTGCTTAATGGATCTCGAGACAGTCCCCAAGAATACTATCACATGTCTAGATGGATCCTGAGGTCACCCCATCAACGCAAAGCAGCACCATGTGCCCCACATCAACTCGAGATAATGCCCGATTCAACTGCATTGACTCCAGAGCCATCCCCCGTACCCCATTAAACACCACCAGTGGCTTGACTTCCTTCAGGCAACTCGAGAGATGCCCCGAGAACACTGTCCCAAGTCTAGAGGAATACGAACTTCAGCACAGCAACTCGAGGAATGCTCCGTGTACCCCAAATCGTTTCGAGGTGAGAGCTGATTCCATGGCTTAGGCTCAAGACGTATGCCAACTTTCCAGAAGCACCTCAAGAGGAGGCTTCTCTCAGCAATAGATATTTGGGAGGGACCCCGAGTTTGCTGCCTCAAGTGGAATATACAGCCAGAAGCCCTAACTTGAAAGGAGGCCGGATTTCCTTGCAGTGGCTTGGATACAGGCTCGTCTTTCATCTCACAGCATGAAGGGATGTCTGAATCCCCTGTGGAGACCTTAGAGAAAGCTCTAGGTCCCTGCCTCATGTTGACGGAATGCCTCACATCCCGTTGTCACCTCAAGAGGCAAGCGGAATTCACTGCTTCAAAAGGTGACGATGCCTGACTCCTCTTAAATAATGATAGGAATCCCAAAATCCCTGTGGCTATTGGAAAGTTTCCTTGGGTGCCCTGCCTCACCTCGAGAAGCGTCCCTTGTGCCCTGCCAAGCCTCGAAGAGATTCCTGAGCTGTCCCTCGTTACTAGACAGGAGTCCTGACGTCACTGAATAAACACGAGTTTTGAAGGCCCATCCCCGCCATAAGCCGAGTACATACCCCAGGTCCCCGCCGCAAGTCGAGAAAAACCGTGAGACTTTCCCCTAGAGGCGAGATGAGGCCCGATTCTCCTGCAGTGCATGCAGAGCAATTCCGTGATCCCCATTAAACAAGTCAGAAGCTTCGAATTGCTTAATGGATCTCCAGACAGTCCCCTAGAACACTGTCACATGTCTAGACGGATCCTGAGGTCACCCCATCAACGCAAAGCAGCACCATCTGCCCCAAATCAACTCGGGATAATGCCCGATTCCCCTGCATTGACCCCAGAGCCATCCCCCGTTCCACATTAAACACGACCAGTGGCTTGACTTCCTTCAGGCAACTCCAGAGATGCCCTGAGAACACTGTCCCAAGTCTAGAGGAACACCATCTTCAGCACAGCAACTCGAGGAATGCTCCGTGTACCCCAAATCGTCTCGAGATGTGAGCTGATTCCCTGGCTTAGGCTCAAGACGTATGCCAACTTTCCAGAAGCACCTCAAGGGGAGCATTCTCTCAGCAATAGGTATGTTGGAGGGACCACCAGTTTGCTGCCTCAAGTGGAATATGCAGCGAGAAGCCCTAACTTGAAAGGAGGCCAGATTTCCTTGCTGTGTCTTGAATACAGGCTCGTCTTTCATCTCACAACCAGAAGGAATGTCTGAATCCCCTGTGGAGACCTTAGAGAAAGCCCTAGGTCCCTGCCTCATTTTGACGGAATGCCTCACATCCCGTTGACACCTCGAGAGGCACACGGAGTTCACTGCTTCAAAATGTGACGATGCCTGTCTCCTCCTGAACATTGATAGGAATCCCAAAATCACTGTGGCTACTGGAAAGGTTCCTTGTGTGCCCTGCCTCACCTCGAGAAGCATCCCTTTTGCCCTGCCAAGCCTCGAAGAGTTTCCTGATGTGTCCCTCGTTACTAGACAGGAGAACTGACGTCACTGTATAAACACGTGTTTTGAAGGGCCATCCCCGCCATAACTCGAGAACATACCCCAGTTCGCGCCGCAACTCGAGTAAAACCATGAGACTTCCCCTAGAGGCGAGATGAGGCCTGAGTCCCTGCAGTCCATTAAGAGCATTCCCGTGATCCCTATCAAGCAAGTCAGGAGCTTCGACTTGCTTAATTGAACTCGAGAAAGTCCCCAGGAACACTGTCACAAGTCTAGACAGACCCTGAGGTCACCCCAGCAATGCAAAGCAGCTGCAAGTACCCCACATCAACTCGAGATGAGGCCCGATTCCCATGCATTGACTCCAGAGCCATCCCCAGTTCCCCATTAAACAAGAAGACTGGCTTGTCTTCCTTCAGACAACTCCAGAGATGCCCCGAGAACACTGTGCCAAGACTAGAGGAACACCAACTTCAGCACAGCAACTCGAGGAATGCCCCGTGTACCACAAATCGTCTCGAGATGAGAGCTGATTCCCTGGCTTAGGCTCAAGACGTATGCCAACTTTCCAGAAGCACCTCAAGATGAGGCTTCTCTGAGCAATAGGTATGTTCGTGGGACCCCGAGTTTGCTGCCTAAAGTGGAATATACAGCGAGAAGCCCTAACTTGAATGGAGGCGGATTTCCTTGCAGTGTCTTGTATACAGGCTCGTCTTTCATCTCACAACAGGAAGGGATGTCTGAATCCCCAGTGAAGACCTTTGAGAAAGCCCTAGGTCCCTGCCTCATTGTGACGGAATGCCTCACATCCCGTTGACACCACGAGAGGCACGCGGAGTTCACTGCTTCAAAAGGTGACGATGCCTGACTCCTCTTGAATATTGATAGGAATCCCAAAATCCCTGTGGCTATTGGAAAGGTTCCTTGGGTGCCCTGCCTCATCTCGAGAAGCGTCCCTTGTGCCCCGGCAAGCCTCGAAGAGATTCCTGAGCTGTCCCTCGTTACTGGACAGGAGTCCTGACGTCACTGACTAAACACGAGTTTTTAAGGGCCATCCCCGCCGTAACCCGAGTACATACCCCAGGTCCCCGCCGCAAGTCGAGAAAAACCATGAGACTTTCCCCTAGATGCGAGATGAGGCCTGATTCCCTGCAGTCCATGCAGAGCATTCCCGTGATCCCAATCAAGCAAGTCAGCAGCTTCGAATTGCTTAATGGATCTCGAGAGAGTCCCCAGGAACACTGTCACAAGTCTAGACAGACACTGACATCACACCAGCAACGCAAAGCAGCTCCAAGTACCCCACATCAACTCGCATTGAGGCCCGATTCCCATGCATTGACTCCAGAGCCATCCCCCGTACCCCATTAAACACCACCAGTGGCTTGACTTCCTTCAGGCAACTCGTGAGATTCCCCGAGAACACTGTCCCAAGTCTAGAGGAATAAGAACTTCAGCACAGCAACTCGAGGAATGCTCCGTGTACCCCAAATCGTTTCGAGGTGAGAGCTGATTCCATGGCTTAAGCTCAAGACGTATGCCAACTTTCCAGAAGCACCTCAAGAGGAGGCTTCTCTCAGCAATAGGTATTTGGGAGGGACCCCGAGTTTGCTGCCTCAAGTGGAATATATAGCGAGAAGCCCTAACTTCAAAGGAGGCCGGATTTCCTTGCAGTGGCTTGGATACAGGCTCGTCTTTCATCTCACAGCATGAAGGGATGTCTGAATCCCCTGTGGAGACCTTAGAGAAAGCTCTAGGTCCCTGCAACATTTTGACGGAATGCCTCACATCCAGTTGACACTTCGAGAGGCACGCGGAGTTCACTGCTTCAAAAGGTGATGATGCCTGACTCGTCTTGAATATTGATAGGAATCCCAAAATCACTGTGGCTACTGGAAAGGGACATTGGTTGTCCTGCCTCACCTCGAGAAGCATACCTTTTGACCTGCCAAGCCTCGAAGAGATTCCTGAGGTGTCCCTCGTTACTAGACAGGAGTCCTGACGGCACTGAATAAACACGGGTTTTGAGGGGCCATCCCCGCCGTAACTCGAGAAGATACCCCAGGTCCCGCACGCAACTTGAGAGAAACCGTGAGACTTCCCCCTAGATGCAAGATGAGTCCTGATTCCCTGCAGTGCATGCAGAGTATTCCCGTGATCCCCATCAAACAAGTCAGGAGCTTCGACTTGCTTAATGTATCTCGAGACAGTCCCCAAGAACACTGTCACAAGTCTAGACGGACCCTGAGGTCACCCCAGCAATGCAAAGCAGCTCCATGTGCCCCAAATCAACCCGAGATGTGGCCCGATTCCCCTGCATTGACTCCAGAGCCATCCCCAGTTCCCCATTAAACAAGACAACTGGCTAGACTTCCTTCAGGCAACTCCAGAGATGCCCCGCAAACACTCTCCCAAGACTAGAGGAACACCAACTTCAGCACAGCAACTCGAGGAATGCTCCGTGTACCACAAATCGTCTCGAGATGAGAGCTGAATCCCTGGCTTAGGCTCAAGACGTATGCCAACTTTCCAGAAGCACCTCAAGAGGAGGATTCTCTCAGCAATAGGTATGTTGGAGGGACCCCGAGTTTGCTGCCTCAAGTGGAATATACAGCGAGAAGCCCTAACTTGAAAGAAGGCCGGATTTCCTTGCAGTGGCTTGAATACAGGCTCGTCTTTCATCTCACAGAATGAAGGGATGTCTGAATCCCATGTGGAGACCTTAGAGAAAGCTATAGGTCCCTACCTCATTTTGACGGGATGCCTCACATCCCGTTGTCACCTCCAGAGGCACACGGAGTTCACTGCTTCAAAAGGTGACGATGCCCGAATCCTCTAAAATATTGATAGGAATCCCAAAATCCCTGTGGCTATTGGAAACCTTCCTTGGGTGCCCTGCCTCAAGTGGAGAAGCGTCCCTTGTGCCCTGCCAAGTCTCGATGAGATTCCTGAGCTGCCCATCGTTACTGGACAGGAGTTCTGACGTCACTGAATAAACACGAGTTTTGAAGGCCATCCCCGCCGTACCCCGAGTACATACCCCAGGTCCCCACCGCAAGTCGAGAAAAACCATGACACTTTCCCCTAGAGGCGAGATGAGGCCCGATTCTCCTGCAGTGCATGCAGAGCAATTCCGTGATCCCCATCAAACAAGTCAGAAGCTTCGACTTGCTTAATGGATCTCGAGACAGTCCCCAAGAACACTGTCACATGTCTAGACGGATCCTGAGGTCATCCCATCAAGGCAAAGCAGCACCATGTGCCCCAAATCAACTCGAGATAATGCCCGATTCCCCTGCATTGACTCCAGAGCCATCCCCCGTTCCACATTAAACACAACCAGTAGCTTGAATTCCTTCAGGCAACTCCAGAGACGCCCTGAGAACACTGTCCCAAGTCTAGAGAAACACCATCTTCAGCACAGCAACTCGAGGAATGCTCCGTGTACCCCAAATCGTCTCGAGATGAGAGCTGATTCCCTGGCTTATGCTCAAGACGTATGCCAACTTTCCAGAAGCACCTCAAGGGGAGCCTTCTCTCAGCAATAGGTATGTTGGAGGGACCCCCAGATTGCTGCCTCAAGTGGAATATACACGAGAAGCCCTAACTTGAAAGGAGGACGGATTTCCTTGCAGTGGCTTGAATACAGGCTCGTCTTTCATCTCACAACAGGAAGGGATGTCTGAATCCCCTGTGGAGACCTTAGAGAAAGCCCTAGGTCCCTGCCTCGTTTTGACGGAATGTCTCACATCCCGTTGACACCTCGAGAGGCACACGGAGTTCACTGCTTCAAAATGTGACGATGCCTGACTCCTCCTGAACATTGATAGGAATCCCAAAATCACTGTAGCTACAGGACAGGGTTCTTTGGTGCCCTGCCTCACCTCGAGAAGCATCCCTTTTGCCCTGCCAAGCCTCGAAGAGATTCCTGAGGTGTCTCTCGTTACTAGACAGGAGTCCTGACATCACTGAATAAACACGTGTTTTGAAGGGCCATCCCCGCCGGAACACGAGAACATACCCCAGTTCGCGCCGCAAGTCGAGTAAAACCATGAGACTTCCCCTAGAGGCGAGATGAGGCCTGATTCCCTGCATTCCATGAAGAGCATTCCCGTGATCCCTATCAAGCAAGTCAGGAGCTTCGACTTGCTTAATTGAACTCGAGAAAGTCCCCAGGAACACTGTCACAAGTCTAGACAGACCCTGAGGTCACCCCAGCAATGCAAAGCAGCTGCAAGTACCCCACATCAACTCGAGATGAGGCCCGATTCCCAAGCATTGACTCCAGAGCCATCCCCAGTTCCCCATTAAACAAGACCACTGGCTTGTCTTCCTTCAGACACCTCCAGAGATGCCCCGAGAACACTGTCCCAAGACTAGAGGAACACCAACTTCAGCACAGCAACTCGAGGAATGCCCCGTGTACCACAAATCGTCTCGAGATGAGAGCTGATTCCCTGGCTTAGGCTCAAGACGTATGCCAACTTTCCAGAAGCACCTCAAGAGGAGGCTTCTCTCAGCAATAGGTATGGTCGTGGGACCCCGAGTTTGCTGCCTCAAGTGGAATATACAGCGAGAAGCCCTAACTTGAATGGAGGCCGGATTTCCTTGCAGTGTCTTGTATACAGGCTCGTCTTTCATCTCACAACCGGAAGGGATGTCTGAATTCCCTGTGGAGACCTTAGAGAAAGCCCTATGTCCCTGCCTCATTTTGACGGAATGCCTCACATCCCGTTGACACCACGAGAGACACGCGGAGTTCACTGCTTCAAAAGGTGACGATGCCTGACTCCTCTTGAATATTGATAGGAATCCCAAAATCCCTGTGGCTATTGGAAAGGTTCCTTGTGTGCCCTGCCTCATCTCGAGAAGCGTCCCTTGTGCCCCGGCAAGCCTCGAAGAGATTCCTGAGCTGTCCCTCGTTACTGGACAGGAGTCCTGACGTCACTGAATAAACACGTGTTTTGAAGGGCCATCGCCGCCGTAACTCGAGTACATACCCCAGGTCCCCGCCGCAACTCGAGAAAAACCATGAGACTTCCGCCTAGAGGCGAGATGAGGCCCGATTCTCCTGCAGTGCATGCAGAGCAATTCCGTGATCCCCATCAAACAAGTCAGTAGCTTCGACTTGCTTAATGGATCTCGAGACATTCCCCAAGAACACTGTCACATGTCTAGACGGACCCTGAGGTATCCCCAGCAACGCAAACCAGCTCCATGTGCCCCAAATCAACTTGAGATGAGGTCCGATTCCCCTGCATTGACTCCAGAGGCATCTGCCGTTCCACATTAAACACCACCAGTGGCTTGACTTCCTTCAGACAACTCCAGAGATGCCCCGAGAACACTGTCCCAAGTCTAGAGGAAAACCTCCTTTAGCACAGCAACTCGAGGATTGCTTCCTGTATGCCAAATCTTCTCGAGTTGAGAGCTGATTCCCTGGCGTAGGCTCAAGACGTATGCCAACTTTCCAGAAGCACCTCAAGAGGAGGCTTCTCTCAGCAATAGGTATGTGGGAGGGAACCCGAGTTTCCTGCCTCAAATGGAATATACAGCGAGAAGCACTAACTAGAATGGAGGCCGGTTTCCTAGCAGTGTCTTGAATACAGGCTCGTCTTTCATCTCACAGCAGGAAGAGATGTCTGAATCCCCTGTGGAAACCTTTGAGAAAGCCCTAGGTCCCTGCCTCATTTTGATGGAATGCCTCACATCCCGTTGACACCTCGAGAGTCACGCGGAGTTCACGGCTTCAAAAGCTGACGATGCCTGACTCCTCCCTGAACATTGATAGGAATCCCAAAATCACTGTAGCTACAGGACAGGGTTCTTGGGTGCCCTGCCTCACCTCGAGAAGCATCCCTTTTGCCCTGCCAAGCCTCGAAGAGATTCCTGAGCTGTCCCTCGTTACTGGACAGGTGTCCTGACGTCACTGAATAAACACGAGTTTTTAAGGGCCATCCCCGCCGTAACCCGAGTACATACCCCAGGTCCCCGCCGCAAGTCGAGAAAAACCATGAGACTTTCCCCTAGTGGCGAGATGAGGCCCGATTCTCCTGCAGTGCATGCAGAGCAATTCCATGATCCCCATCAAACAAGTCAGGACCTTCGACTTGCTTAATGGATCTAGAGACAGTCCCCAAGAATACTATCACATGTCTAGATGGATCCTGAGGTCACCCCATCATCGCAAAGCAGCACCATGTGCCCCACATCAACTCGAGATAATGCCCGATTCCCCTGCATTGACTCCAGAGCCATCCCCCGTTCCAGATTAAACACCACCAGTGGCTTGACTTCCTTCAGACAACTCCAGAGATGCCCTGAGAACACTGTCCCAAGTCTAGAGGAACACCATCTTCAGCACAGCAACTCGAGGAATGCTCCGTGTACCCCAAATCGTCTCGAGATGAGAGCTGATTCCCTGGCTTATGCTCAAGACGTATGCCAACTTTCCAGAAGCACCTCAAGGGGAGGCTTCTCTCAGCAATAATTATGTTGGAGGGACCCCCAGTTTGCTGCCTCAAGTGGAATATGCAACGAGAAGCCCTAACTTGAAAGGAGGCCGGGTTTCCTTGCAGTGTCTTGAATACAGGCTCGTCTTTCATCTCACAACCGGAGGGATTGTCTGAATCCCCTGTGGAGACCTTAGCGAAAGCCCTAGGTCCCTGCCTCATTTTGACGGATTGCCTCACATCCCGTTGACACCTCGGGAGGCACACGGAGTTCACTGCTTCAAATGTGACGATGCCTGACCCCTCCTGATCATTGATAAGAATCCCAAAATCACTGTGGCTACAGGACAGGGTTCTTTGGTGCCCTGCCTCACCTCGAGAAGCATCCCTTTTGCCCTGCCAAGCCTCGAAGAGATACCTGAGGTGTCTCTCGTTACTAGACAGGAGTCCTGACATCACTGAATAAACACGTGTTTTGAAGGGCCATCCCCGCCGGAACACGAGAACATACCCCAGTTCGCGCCGCAAGTCGAGTAAAACCATGAGACTTCCCCTAGAGGCGAGATGAGGCCTGATTCCCTGCATTCCATGAAGAGCATTCCCGTGATCCCTATCAAGCAAGTCAGGAGCTTCGACTTGCTTAATTGAACTCGAGAAAGTCCCCAGGAACACTGTCACAAGTCTAGACAGACCCTGAGGTCACCCCAGCAATGCAAAGCAGCTGCAAGTACCCCACATCAACTCGAGATGAGGCCCGATTCCCAAGCATTGACTCCAGAGCCATCCCCAGTTCCCCATTAAACAAGACCACTGGCTTGTCTTCCTTCAGACACCTCCAGAGATGCCCCGAGAACACTGTCCCAAGACTAGAGGAACACCAACTTCAGCACAGCAACTCGAGGAATGCCCCGTGTACCACAAATCGTCTCGAGATGAGAGCTGATTCCCTGGCTTAGGCTCAAGACGTATGCCAACTTTCCAGAAGCACCTCAAGAGGAGGCTTCTCTCAGCAATAGGTATGGTCGTGGGACCCCGAGTTTGCTGCCTAAAGTGGAATATACAGCGAGAAGCCCTAACTTGAATGGAGGCCGGATTTCCTTGCAGTGTCTTGTATACAGGCTCGTCTTTCATCTCACAACCGGAAGGGATGTCTGAATTCCCTGTGGAGACCTTAGAGAAAGCCCTATGTCCCTGCCTCATTTTGACGGAATGCCTCACATCCCGTTGACACCACGAGAGACACGCGGAGTTCACTGCTTCAAAAGGTGACGATGCCTGACTCCTCTTGAATATTGATAGGAATCCCAAAATCCCTGTGGCTATTGGAAAGGTTCCTTGTGTGCCCTGCCTCATCTCGAGAAGCGTCCCTTGTGCCCCGGCAAGCCTCGAAGAGATTCCTGAGCTGTCCCTCGTTACTGGACAGGAGTCCTGACGTCACTGAATAAACACGTGTTTTGAAGGGCCATCGCCGCCGTAACTCGAGTACATACCCCAGGTCCCCGCCGCAACTCGAGAAAAACCATGAGACTTCCGCCTAGAGGCGAGATGAGGCCCGATTCTCCTGCAGTGCATGCAGAGCAATTCCGTGATCCCCATCAAACAAGTCAGTAGCTTCGACTTGCTTAATGGATCTCGAGACATTCCCCAAGAACACTGTCACATGTCTAGACGGACCCTGAGGTATCCCCAGCAACGCAAACCAGCTCCATGTGCCCCAAATCAACTTGAGATGAGGTCCGATTCCCCTGCATTGACTCCAGAGGCATCTGCCGTTCCACATTAAACACCACCAGTGGCTTGACTTCCTTCAGACAACTCCAGAGATGCCCCGAGAACACTGTCCCAAGTCTAGAGGAAAACCTCCTTTAGCACAGCAACTCGAGGATTGCTTCCTGTATGCCAAATCTTCTCGAGTTGAGAGCTGATTCCCTGGCGTAGGCTCAAGACGTATGCCAACTTTCCAGAAGCACCTCAAGAGGAGGCTTCTCTCAGCAATAGGTATGTGGGAGGGAACCCGAGTTTCCTGCCTCAAATGGAATATACAGCGAGAAGCACTAACTAGAATGGAGGCCGGTTTCCTAGCAGTGTCTTGAATACAGGCTCGTCTTTCATCTCACAGCAGGAAGAGATGTCTGAATCCCCTGTGGAAACCTTTGAGAAAGCCCTAGGTCCCTGCCTCATTTTGATGGAATGCCTCACATCCCGTTGACACCTCGAGAGTCACGCGGAGTTCACGGCTTCAAAAGCTGACGATGCCTGACTCCTCCCTGAACATTGATAGGAATCCCAAAATCACTGTAGCTACAGGACAGGGTTCTTGGGTGCCCTGCCTCACCTCGAGAAGCATCCCTTTTGCCCTGCCAAGCCTCGAAGAGATTCCTGAGCTGTCCCTCGTTACTGGACAGGTGTCCTGACGTCACTGAATAAACACGAGTTTTTAAGGGCCATCCCCGCCGTAACCCGAGTACATACCCCAGGTCCCCGCCGCAAGTCGAGAAAAACCATGAGACTTTCCCCTAGTGGCGAGATGAGGCCCGATTCTCCTGCAGTGCATGCAGAGCAATTCCATGATCCCCATCAAACAAGTCAGGACCTTCGACTTGCTTAATGGATCTAGAGACAGTCCCCAAGAATACTATCACATGTCTAGATGGATCCTGAGGTCACCCCATCATCGCAAAGCAGCACCATGTGCCCCACATCAACTCGAGATAATGCCCGATTCCCCTGCATTGACTCCAGAGCCATCCCCCGTTCCAGATTAAACACCACCAGTGGCTTGACTTCCTTCAGACAACTCCAGAGATGCCCTGAGAACACTGTCCCAAGTCTAGAGGAACACCATCTTCAGCACAGCAACTCGAGGAATGCTCCGTGTACCCCAAATCGTCTCGAGATGAGAGCTGATTCCCTGGCTTATGCTCAAGACGTATGCCAACTTTCCAGAAGCACCTCAAGGGGAGGCTTCTCTCAGCAATAATTATGTTGGAGGGACCCCCAGTTTGCTGCCTCAAGTGGAATATGCAACGAGAAGCCCTAACTTGAAAGGAGGCCGGGTTTCCTTGCAGTGTCTTGAATACAGGCTCGTCTTTCATCTCACAACCGGAGGGATTGTCTGAATCCCCTGTGGAGACCTTAGCGAAAGCCCTAGGTCCCTGCCTCATTTTGACGGATTGCCTCACATCCCGTTGACACCTCGGGAGGCACACGGAGTTCACTGCTTCAAATGTGACGATGCCTGACCCCTCCTGATCATTGATAAGAATCCCAAAATCACTGTGGCTACAAGAAAGGGTTCTTGTGTGCCCTGCCTCACCTCGAGAAGCATCCCTTTTGCCCTGCCAAGGCTCGAAGAGATTCCTGAGGTGTCCCTCATTACTAGACAGGAGTCATGACGTCACTGAATAAACACGTGTTTTCAAGGGCCATGCCCGCCATAACTCGAGAACATACCCCAGGTCCCGCCGCAACTCGAGAAAAACCATGAGACTTCCCCTAGATGCGAGATGAGGCCTGATTCCCTGCAGTCCATGAAGAGCATTCCCGTGATCCCAATCAAGCAAGTCAGCAGCTTCGAATTTCTTAATGGATCTCGAGAGAGTCCCCAGGAACACTGTCACAAGTCTAGACAGACCCTGACATCACCCCACCAACGCAAAGCAGCTCCAAGTACCCCACATCAACTCGAGTTGAGGCCCGATTCCCATGCATTGACTCCAGAGCCATCCCCCGAACCCCATTAAACACCACCAGTGGCTTGACTTCCTTCATGCAACTCGAGAGATGCCCCGAGAAAACTGCCCCAAGTCTAGAGGAATACGTACTTCAGCACAGCAACTCGAGAAATGCTCCGTGTACACCAAATCGTTTCGAGGTGAGAGCTGATTCCATGGCTTAGGCTCAAGACGTATGCCAACTTTCCAGAAACACCTCAGGAGGAGGCTTCTCTCAGCAATAGGTATTTGGGAGGGACCCCGAGTTTGCTGCCTCAAGTGGAATATACAGCGAGAAGCCCTAACTTGAAAGGAGGCCGAATTTCCTTGCAGTGGCTTGGATACAGGCTCGTCTTTCATCTCACAGCATGAAGGGATGTCTGAATCCCCTGTGGAGACCTTAGAGAAAGCTCTAGGTCCCTGCATCATTTTGACGGAATGCCTCACATCCAGTTGACACTTCGAGAGGCACGCGGAGTTCATTGCTTCAAAAGGTGATGATGCCTGACTCGCCTTGAAGAGATTCCTCGTTACTAGACAGGAGTCCTGACGGCACTGAATAAACACGGGTTTTGAGGGACCATCCCCGCCGTAACTCGAGAAGATACCCCAGGTCCCCCGCGCAACTTGAGAGAAACCGTGAGACTTCCCCCTAGATGCGAGATGAGTCCTGATTCCCTGCAGTGCATGCAGAGTATTCCCGTGATCCCCATCAAACAAGTCAGGAGCTTCGACTTGCTTAATGGATCTCGAGACAGTCCCCAAGAACACTGTCACAAGTCTAGACGGACCCTGAGGTCACCCCAGGAACGCAAAGCAGCTCCATGTGCCCCAAATCAACCCGAGATGTGGCCCGATTCCCCTGCATTGACTCCAGAGCCATCCCCAGTTCCCCATTAAACAAGACAACTGGCTAGACTTCCTTCAGGCAACTCCAGAGATGCCCCGCAAACACTCTCCCAAGACTAGAGGAACACCAACTTCAGCACAGCAACTCGAGGAATGCTCCGTGTACCACAAATCGTCTCGAGATGAGAGCTGAATCCCTGGCTTAGGCTCAAGACGTATGCCAACTTTCCAGAAGCACCTCAAGAGGAGGCTTCTCTCAGCAATAGGTATGTTGGAGGGACCCCGAGTTTGCTGCCTCAAGTGGAATATACAGCGAGAAGCCCTAACTTGAAAGGAGGCCGGATTTCCTTGCAGTGGCTTGAATACAGGCTCGTCTTTCATCTCACAGAATGAAGGGATGTCTGAATCCCCTGTGGAGACCTTAGAGAAAGCTCTAGGTCCCTGCCTCATTTTGACGGAATGCCTCACATCCCGTTGTCACCTAGAGAGGCACGCGGAGTTCACTGCTTCAAAATGTGATGATGCCTGACTCCTCTAAAATATTGATAGGAATCCCAAAATCCCTGTGGCTATTGGAAAGGTTCCTTGGGTGCCCTGCCTCACCTCGAGAAGCGTCCCTTGTGCCCTGCCAAGCCTCGAAGAGATTCCTGAGCTGTTCCTCGTTACTGGACAGGAGTCCTGACATCACTGAATAAACACGAGTTTTGAAGGGCCATCCCCGCCGTAAAACGAGTACATACCCCAGGTCCCCGCCGCAAGTCGAGAAAAACCATGAGACTTTCCCCTAGAGGCGAGATGAGGCCCGATTCTCCTGCAGTGCATGCAGAGCAATTCCGAGATCCCCATCAAACAAGTCAGAAGCTTCGACTTGCTTAATGGATCTCGAGACAGTCACCAGGGAACACTGTCACATGTCTAGACGGATCCTGAGGTCACCCCATCAACGCAAAGCAGCACCATGTGCCCCAAATCAACTCGAGATAATGCCCGATTCCCCTGCATTGACTCCAGAGCCATCCCCCGTTCCACATTAAACACGACCAGTGGCTTGACTTCCTTCAGGCAACTCCAGAGATGCCCTGAGAACACTGTCCCAAGTCTAGAGGAACACCATCTTCAGCCCAGCAACTCGAGGAATGCTCCGTGTACCCCAAATCGTCTCGAGATGAGAGCTGATTCGATGGCTTAGGCTCAAGACGTATGCCAACTTTCCAGAAGCACCTCAAGGGGAGCCTTCTCTCAGCAATAGGAATGTTGGAGGGACCCCCAGTTTGCTGCCTGAAGTGGAATATACAGCGAGAAGCCCTAACTTGAAAGGAGGCCGGATTTTCTTGCTGTGTCTTGAATACAGGCTCGTCTTTCATCTCACAACCGGAAGGAATGTCTGAATCCCCTGTGGAGACCTTAGAGAAAGCCCTAGGTCCCTGCCTCATTTTAACGGAATGCCTCACATACTGTTGACACCTCGAGAGGCACACAGAGTTCACTGCCTCAAAATGTGACGATGCCTGACTCCTCCTGAACATTGATAGAAATCCCAAAATCACTGTAGCTACAGGACAGGGTTCTTGGGTGCCCTGCCTGACCTCGAGAAGCATCCCTTTTGCCCTGCCAAGCCTCGAAGAGATTCCTGAGGTGTCTCTCGTTACTAGACAGGAGTCCTGACGTCACTGAATAAACACGTGTTTTGAAGGGCCATCACCGCCATAACTCGAGAACATACGCCAGTTCCCGCCGCAACTCGAGTAAAACCATGAGACTTCCCCTAGATGCGAGATGAGGCCTGATTCCCTGCAGTCCATGCAGAGCATTCCCGTGATCCCCATCAAGCAAGTCAGGAGCTTCGACTTGCTTAATGGATCTCGAGACAGTCCCCAAGAACACTGTCACATGTCTAGATGGATCCTGAGGTCACCCCATCAATGCAAAGCAGCACCATGTGCCCCAAATCAACTCGAGATAATGCCCGATTCCCCTGCATTGACTCCAGAGCCATCCCCCGTTCCACATTAAACACGACCAGTGGCTTGACTTCCTTCAGGCAACTCCAGAGATGCCCTGAGAACACTGTCCCAAGTCTAGAGGAACACCATCTTCAGCACAGCAACTCTAGGAATGCTCCGTGTACCCCAAATCGTCTCGAGATGAGAGCTGATTCCCTGGCTTAGGCTCAAGACGGATGCCAACTTTCCAAAAGCACCTCAAGGGGAGCCTTCTCTCAGCAATAGGTATGTTGGAGGGAACCATAGTTTGCTGCCTCAAGTGGAATATACAGCGAGAAGCCCTAACTTGAATGGAGGCCGGATTTCCTTGCAGTGTCTTGTATATAGGCTCGTCTTTCATCTCACAACAGGAAGGGATGTCTGAATCCCCTGTGAAGACCTTAGAGAAAGCCCTAGGTCCCTGCCTCATTTTGACGGAATGCCTCACATCCCGTTGACACCTCGAGAGGCACGCGGAGTTCACTGCTTCAAATGTGACGATGCCTGACCCCTCCTGATCATTGATAGGAATCCCAAAATCACTGTGGCTACAGGAAAGTGTTCTTGTGTGCCCTGCCTCACCTCGAGAAGCAACCCTTTTGCCCTGCCAAGGCTCGAAGAGATTCCTGAGCTGTCCCTCGTTACTGGACAGGAGTCCTGACGTCACTAAATAAACACGAGTTTTGAAGGGCCATCCCCGCCATAAGCCGAGTACATACCCCAGGTCCCCGCCGCAAGTCGAGAAAAACCATGAGACTTTCCCCTAGAGGCGAGATGAGGCCCGATTCTCCTGCAGTGCATGCAGAGCAATTCCGTGATCCCCATCAAACAAGTCAGAAGCTTCGACTTGCTTAATGGATCTCGAGACAGTCCCCAAGAACACTGTCACATGTCTAGACGGATCCTGAGGTCACCCCATCAACGCAAAGCAGCACCATGTGCCCCAAATCAACTCGAGATAATGCCCGATTCCCCTGCATTGACTCCAGAGCCATCCCCCGTTCCACATTAAACACAACCAGTGTCTTGACTTCCTTCAGGCAACTCCAGAGATGACCTGGGAACACTGTCCCAAGTCTAGAGGAACACCATCTTCAGCACAGCAACTCGAGGAATGCTCCGTGTACCCCAAATCGTCTCGAGATGAAAGCTGAATCCCTGGCTTAGGTTCAAGACGTATGCCAACTTTTCAGAAGCACCTCAAGGGGAGCCTTCTCTCAGCAATAGGTATGTTGGAGGGACCCCCAGTTTGCTGCCTCAAGTGGAATATGCAGCGAGAAGCCCTAACTTGAAAGGAGGCCGGATTTCCTTGCTGTGTCTTGAATACAGGCTCGTCTTTCATCTCACAACCGGAAGGAATATCTGAATCCCCTGTGGAGACCTTGGAGAAAGCCCTAGGTCCCTGCCTCATTTTGACGGAATGCCTCACATCCCGTTGACACCTCGAGAGGCACACGGAGTTCACTGCTTCAAAATGTGACGATGCCTGACTCCTCCTGAACATTGATAGGAATCCCAAAATCACTGTAGCTACAGGACAGGGTTCTTGGGTGCCCTGCCTGACCTCGAGAAGCATCCCTTTTGCCCTGCCAAGCCTCGGAGAGATTCCTGAGGTGTCTCTCGTTACTAGACAGGAGTCCTGACGTCACTGAATAAACACGTGTTTTGAAGGGCCACCCCCGCCGTAACTCGAGTACATACCCCAGTTCCCCGCCGCAACTCGAGAAAAACCATGAGACTTCCGCCTAGAGGCGAGATAAGGCCCGATTCTCCTGCAGTGCATGCAGAGCAATTCCGTGATCCCCATCAAACAAGTCAGGGGCTTCGACTTGCTTAATGGATCTCGAGACATTCCCCAAGAACACTGTCACATGTCTAGATGGACCCTGAGTTATCCCCAGCAACGCAAGGCAGCTCCATGTGCCCCAAATCAACTTGAGATGAGGTCCGATTCCCCTGCATTGACTCCAGAGCCATCTGCCGTTCCGCATTAAACACCACCAGTGGCTTGACCTCCTTCAGACAACTCCAGAGATGCCCCGAGAACACTGTCCCAAGTCTAGAGGAACACCTACTTTAGCACAGCAACTCGAGGAATGCTTCCTGTATGCCAAATCCTCTCGAGATGAGAGCTGATTCCCTGGTTTAGGCTCAGGACGTATGCCAACTTTCCAGAAGCACCTCAAGAGGAGGCTTCTCTCAGCAATAGGTATGTGGGAGGGAACCCGAGTTTGCTGCCTCAAAGGGAATATACAGCGAGAAGCACTAACTAGAAAGGAGGCCGGTTTCCTAGCAGTGTCTTGAATACAGGCTCGTCTTTCATCTCACAGCAGGAAGAGATGTGTGAATCCCCTGTGGAGACCTTAGAGAAAGCCCTAGGTCCCTGCTTCATTTTGACGGAATGCCTCACATCCCGTTGACACCTCGAGAGTCACGCGGAGTCCACTGCTCCAAAAGCTGACGATGCCTGACTCCTCTTGAATATTGATAGGAATCACAAAATCCCTGTGGCTATTTGAAAGTTTCCTTGGGTGCCCTGCCTCACGTCGAGAAGCGTTCCTTGTGCCTGCCAAGCCTCGAAGAGATTCCTGAGCTGTCCCTCGTTACTGGACAGGAGTCCTGACGTCACTGAATAAACACGAGTTTTTAAGGGCCATACCCGCCGTAACCCGAGTACATAACCCAGGTCCCCGCCGCAAGTCGAGAAAAACCATGAGACTTTCCCCTCTTGGCGAGATGAGGCCCGATTCTCCTGCAGTGCATGCAGAGCAATTCCGTGATCCCCATCAAACAAGTCAGGACCTTCGACGTGCTTAATGGATCTCGAGACAGTCCCCAAGAATACTGTCACATATCTAGACGGATCCTGAGGTCACCCCATCAACGCAAAGCAGCACCATGTGCCCCACATCAACTCGAGATAAAGCCCGATTCCCCTGCATTGACTCCAGAGCCATCCCCCGTTCCACATTAAAAACCACCAGTGGCTTGACTTCCTTCAGACAACTCCAGAGATGCCCTGAGAACACTGTCCCAAGTCTAGAGGAACACCATCTTCAGCACAGCAACTCGAGGAATGCTCCGTGTACCCCAAATCGTCTCGAGATGAGAGCTGATCCCTGGCTTAGGCTCAAGACGTATGCCAACTTTCCAGAAGCACCTCAAGGGGAGGCTTCTCCAGCAATAGGTATGTTGGAGGGACCCCCAGTTTCCTGCCTCAAGTGGAATATGCAGCGAGAAGCCTTAACTTGAAAGGAGGCCGGGTTTCCCTGCAGTGTCTTGAATACAGGCTCGACTTTCATCTCACAACCGGAAGGAAAGTCTGAATCCCCTGTGGAGACCTTAGCGATAGCCCTAGATCCCTGCCTCATTTTGACGGAATGCCTCACATCCCGTTGACACCTCGAGAGGCACGCGGAGTTCACTGCTTCAAAATGTGAGGATGCCTGACTCCTCCTGAACATTGATAGGAATCCCAAAATTACTGTAGCTACAGGACAGGGTCCTTGGGTGCCCTGCCTCACCTCGAGAAGCAACCCTTTTGCCCTGCCAAGCCTCGAAGAGATTCCTGAGGTGTCTCTCGTTACTAGACAGGAGTCCTGACGTCACTGAATAAACACGTGTTTTGAAGGGCCATCCCCGCCATAACTCAAGAACATACCCCAGTTCCCGCCGCAACTCGAGTAAAACCATGAGACTTCCCCTGGATGCGAGATGAGGCCTGATTCCCTGCAGTCCATGCAGAGCATTCCCGTGATCCCCATCAAGCAAGTCAGGAGCTTCGACTTGCTTAATTCAACTCGAGAAAGTACCAAGGAACACTGTCACAAGTCTAGACAGACCCTGAGGTCACCCCAGCAATGCAAAGCAGCTGCAAGTACCCCACATCAACTCGAGATGAGGCCCGATTCCCATGCATTGACTCCAGAGCCATCCCCCGTTCCACATTAAACACGACCAGTGGCTTGACTTCTTTCAGGCAACTCCAGAGATGCCCTGAGAACACTGTCCCAAGTCTAGAGGAACACCATCTTCAGCACAGCAACTCGAGGAATGCTCCGTGTACCCCAAATCGTCTCGAGATGAGAGCTGATTCCCTGGCTTAGGCTCAAGACGTATGCCAACTTTCCAGAAGCACCTCAAGGGGAGCCTTCTCTCAGCAATAGGTATGTTGGAGGGACCCCCAGTTTGCTGCCTCAAGTGGAATATACAGCGAGAAGCCCTAACTTGAAAGGAGGCCGGATTTCCTTGCAGTGGCTTGAATAAAGGTTCGTCTTTCATCTCACAGAATGAAGGGATGTCTGAATCCCCTGTGGAGACCTTAGAGAAAGCTATAGGTCCCTGCCTCATTTTGACGGAATGCCTCACATCCCGTTGTCACCTCGAGAGGCACGCGGAGTTCACGGCTTCAAAACGTGACGATGCCTGACTCCTCTAAAATATTGATAGGAATCCCAAAATCCCTGTGGCTATTGGAAAGGTTCCTTGGGTGCCCTGCCTCACCTCGAGAAGCGTCCCTTGTGCCCTGCCAAGCCTCGAAGAGATTCCTGAGGTGTCTCTCGTTACTAGACAGGAGTCCTGACGTCACTGAATAAACACGTGTTTTGAACGGCCATCCCGCCATAACTCGAGAACATACCCCAGTTCCCGACGCAACTCGAGTAAAACCATGAGACTTCCCCTAGATGCGAGATGAGGCCTGATTCCCTGCAGTCCATGCAGAGCATTCCCGTGATCCCCATCAAGCAAGTCAGGAGCTTCGACTTGCTACATGGATCTCGAGACAGTCCCCAAGAACACTGTCACATGTCTAGATGGATCCTGAGATCACCCCATCAACCCAAAGCAGCACCATGTGCCCCAAATCAACTCGAGATAATGCCCGATTACCCTGCATTGACTCCAGAGCCATCCCCCGTTCCACATTAAACACCACCAGTGGCTTGACTTCCTTCAGGCAACTCCAGAGATGCCCCGAGAACACTGTCCCAAGTCTTGAGGAATACGAACTTCAGCACAGCAACTCGAGGAATGCCCCGTGTACCACAAATCATCTCGAGATGAGAGCTGATTCCCTCGCTTAGGCTCAAGACGTATGCCAACTTTCCAGAAGCACCTCAAGAGGAGGCTTCTCTCAGCAATAGGTATGTTCGTGGGACCCCGAGTTTGCTGCCTAAAGTGGAATATACAGCGAGAAGCCCTAACTTGAAAGGAGGCCGGATTTCCTTGCAGTGTCTTGTATACAGGCTCGTCTTTCATCTCACAACAGGAAAGGATGTCTGAATCCCCTGTGGAGACCTTAGAGAAAGCTCTAGGTCCCTGCCTCATTTTGACGGAATGCCTCACATCCCGTTGTCACCTCAAGAGGCAAGCGGAATTCACTGCTTCAAAAGGTGACGATGCCTGACTCCTCTTAAATAATGATAGGAATCCCAAAATCCCTGTGGCTATTGGAAAGTTTCCTTGGGTGCCCTGCCTCACCTCGAGAAGCGTCCCTTGTGCCCTGCCAAGCCTCGAAGAGATTCCTGAGCTGTCCCTCGTTACTAGACAGGAGTCCTGACGTCAATGAATAAACACGAGTTTTGAAGGGCCATCCCCGCCATAAGCCGAGTACATACCCCAGGTCCCCGCCGCAAGTCGAGAAAAACTGTGAGACTTTCCCCTAGAGGCGAGATGAGGCCCGATTCTCCTACAGTGCATGCAGAGCAATTCCGTGATCCCCATTAAACAAGTCAGAAGCTTCGACTTGCTTAATGGATCTCCACACAGTCCCCAAGAACACTGTCACATGTCTAGACGGATCCTGAGGTCACCCCATCAACGCAAAGCAGCACCATGTGCCCCAAATCAACTCGGGATAATGCCCGATTCCCCTGCATTGACCCCAGAGCCATCCCCCGTTCCACATTAAACACGACCAGTGGCTTGACTTCCTTCAGGCAACTCCAGAGATGCCCTGAGAACACTGTCCCAAGTCTAGAGGAACACCATCTTCAGCACAGCAACTCGAGGAATGCTCCGTGTACCCCAAATCGTCTCGAGATGTGAGCTGATTCCCTGGCTTAGGCTCAAGACGTATGCCAACTTTCCAGAAGCACCTCAAGGGGAGCCTTCTCTCAGCAATAGGTATGTTGGAGGGACCACCAGTTTGCTGCCTCAAGTGGAATATGCAGCGAGAAGCCCTAACTTGAAAGGAGGCCAGATTTCCTTGCTGTGTCTTGAATACAGGCTCGTCTTTCATCTCACAACCAGAAGGAATGTCTGAATCCCCTGTGGAGACCTTAGAGAAAGCCCTAGGTCCCTGCCTCATTTTGACGGAATGCCTCACATCCCGTTGACACCTCGAGAGGCACACGGAGTTCACTGCTTCAAAATGTGACGATGCCTGTCTCCTCCTGAACATTGATAGGAATCCCAAAATCACTGTGGCTACTGGAAAGGTTTCTTGTGTGCCCTGCCTCACCTCGAGAAGCATCCCTTTTGCCCTGCCAAGCCTCGAAGAGATTCCTGATGTATCCCTCGTTACTAGACAGGAGAACTGACGTCACTGTATAAACACGTGTTTTGAAGGGCCATCCCCGCCATAACTCGAGAACATACCCCAGTTCGCGCCGCAACTCGAGTAAAACCATGAGACTTCCCCTAGAGGCGAGATGAGGCCTGAGTTCCTGCAGTCCATTAAGAGCATTCCCGTGATCCCTATCAAGCAAGTCAGGAGCTTCGACTTGCTTAATTGAACTCGAGAAAGTCCCCAGGAACACTGTCACAAGTCTAGACAGACCCTGAGGTCACCCCAGCAATGCAAAGCAGCTGCAAGTACCCCACATCAACTCGAGATGAGGCCCGATTCCCATGCATTGACTCCAGAGCCATCCCCAGTTCCCCATTAAACAAGAAGACTGGCTTGTCTTCCTTCAGACAACTCCAGAGATGCCCCGAGAACACTGTGCCAAGACTAGAGGAACACCAACTTCAGCACAGCAACTCGAGGAATGCCCCGTGTACCACAAATCGTCTCGAGATGAGAGCTGATTCCCTGGCTTAGGCTCAAGACGTATGCCAACTTTCCAGAAGCACCTCAAGATGAGGCTTCTCTCAGCAATAGGTATGTTCGTGGGACCCCGAGTTTGCTGCCTAAAGTGGAATATACAGCGAGAAGCCCTAACTTGAATGGAGGCGGATTTCCTTGCAGTGTCTTGTGTACAGGCTCGTCTTTCATCTCACAACAGGAAGGGATGTCTGAATCCCCTGTGAAGACCTTTGAGAAAGCCCTAGGTCCCTGCCTCATTGTGACGGAATGCCTCACATCCCGTTGACACCACGAGAGGCACGCGGAGTTCACTGCTTCAAAAGGTGACGATGCCTGACTCCTCTTGAATATTGATAGGAATCCCAAAATCCCTGTGGCTATTGGAAAGGTTCCTTGGGTGCCCTGCCTCATCTCGAGAAGCGTCCCTTGTGCCCCGGCAAGCCTCGAAGAGATTCCTGAGCTGTCCCTCGTTACTGGACAGGAGTCCTGACGTCACTGACTAAACACGAGTTTTTAAGGGCCATCCCCGCCGTAACCCGAGTACATACCCCAGGTCCCCGCCGCAAGTCGAGAAAAACCATGAGACTTTCCCCTAGATGCGAGATGAGGCCTGATTCCCTGCAGTCCATGCAGAGCATTCCCGTGATCCCAATCAAGCAAGTCAGCAGCTTCAAATTGCTTAATGGATCTCGAGAGAGTCCCCAGGAACACTGTCACAAGTCTAGACAGACACTGACATAACACCAGCAACGCAAAGCAGCTCCAAGTACCCCAAATCAACTCGCATTGAGGCCCGATTCCCATGCATTGACTCCAGAGCCATCCCCCGTACCCCATTAAACACCACCAGTGGCTTGACTTCCTTCAGGCAACTCGTGAGATTCCCCGAGAACACTGTCCCAAGTCTAGAGGAATAAGAACTTCAGCACAGCAACTCGAGGAATGCTCCGTGTACCCCAAATCGTTTCGAGGTGAGAGCTGATTCCATGGCTTAAGCTCAAGACGTATGCCAACTTTCCAGAAGCACCTCAAGAGGAGGCTTCTCTCAGCAATAGGTATTTGGGAGGGACCCCGAGTTTGCTGCCTCAAGTGGAATATACAGCGAGAAGCCCTAACTTGAAAGGAGGCCGGATTTCCTTGCAGTGGCTTGGATACAGGCTCTTCTTTCATCTCACAGCATGAAGGGATGTCTGAATCCCCTGTGGAGACCTTAGAGAAAGCTCTAGGTCCCTGCATCATTTTGACGGAATGCCTCACATCCAGTTGACACTTCGAGAGGCACGCGGAGTTCACTGCTTCAAAAGGTGATGATGCCTGACTCCTCTTGAATATTGATAGGAATCCCAAAATCACTGTGGCTACTGGAAAGGGACATTGGTTGTCCTGCCTCACCTCGAGAAGCATACCTTTTGACCTGCCAAGCCTCGAAGAGATTCCTGAGGTGTCCCTCGTTACTAGACAGGAGTCCTGACGGCACTGAATAAACACGGGTTTTGAGGGGCCATCCCCGCCGTAACTCGAGAAGATACCCCAGGTCCCCCACGCAACTTGAGAGAAACCGTGAGACTTCCCCCTAGATGCAAGATGAGTCCTGATTCCCTGCAGTGCATGCAGAGTATTCCCGTGATCCCCATCAAACAAGTCAGGAGCTTCGACTTGCTTAATGGATCTCGAGACAGTCCCCAAGAACACTGTCACAAGTCTAGACGGACCCTGAGGTCACCCCAGCAATGCAAAGCAGCTCCATGTGCCCCAAATCAACCCGAGATGTGGCCCGATTCCCCTGCATTGACTCCAGAGCCATCCCCAGTTCCCCATTAAACAAGACAACTGGCTAGACTTCCTTCAGGCAACTCCAGAGATGCCCCGCAAACACTCTCCCAAGACTAGAGGAACACCAACTTCAGCACAGCAACTCGAGGAATGCTCCGTGTACCACAAATCGTCTCGAGATGAGAGCTGAATCCCTGGCTTAGGCTCAAGACGTATGCCAACTTTCCAGAAGCACCTCAAGAGGAGGATTCTCTCAGCAATAGGTATGTTGGAGGGACCCCGAGTTTGCTGCCTCAAGTGGAATATACAGCGAGAAGCCCTAACTTGAAAGAAGGCCGGATTACCTTGCAGTGGCTTGAATACAGGCTCGTCTTTCATCTCACAGAATGAAGGGATGTCTGAATCCCATGTGGAGACCTTAGAGAAAGCTCTAGGTACCTGCCTCATTTTGACGGGATGCCTCACATCCCGTTGTCACCTCCAGAGGCACACGGAGTTCACTGATTCAAAAGGTGACGATGCCCGACTCCTCTAAAATATTGATAGGAATCCCAAAATCCCTGTGGCTATTGGAAACCTTCCTTGGGTGCCCTGCCTCAAGTGGAGAAGCGTCCCTTGTGCCCTGCCAAGTCTCGATGAGATTCCTGAGCTGCCCATCGTTACTGGACAGGAGTTCTGACGTCACTGAATAAACACGAGTTTTGAAGGCCATCCCCGCCGTACCCCGAGTACATACCCCAGGTCCCCACCGCAAGTCGAGAAAAACCATGACACTTTCCCCTAGAGGCGAGATGAGGCCCGATTCTCCTGCAGTGCATGCAGAGCAATTCCGTGATCCCCATCAAACAAGTCAGAAGCTTCGACTTGCTTAATGGATCTCGAGACAGTCCCCAAGAACACTGTCACATGTCTAGACGGATCCTGAGGTCACCCCATCAAGGCAAAGCAGCACCATGTGCCCCAAATCAACTCGAGATAATGCCCGATTCCCCTGCATTGACTCCAGAGCCATCCCCCGTTCCACATTAAACACGACCAGTAGCTTGACTTCCTTCAGGCAACTCCAGAGACGCCCTGAGAACACTGTCCCAAGTCTAGAGAAACACCATCTTCAGCACAGCAACTCGAGGAATGCTCCGTGTACCCCAAATCGTCTCGAGATGAGAGCTGATTCCCTGGCTTATGCTCAAGACGTATGCCAACTTTCCAGAAGCACCTCAAGGGGAGCCTTCTCTCAGCAATAGGTATGTTGGAGGGACCCCCAGATTGCTGCCTCAAGTGGAATATACACGAGAAGCCCTAACTTGAAAGGAGGACGGATTTCCTTGCAGTGGCTTGAATACAGGCTCGTCTTTCATCTCACAACAGGAAGGGATGTCTGAATCCCCTGTGGAGACCTTAGAGAAAGCCCTAGGTCCCTGCCTCGTTTTGACGGAATGTCTCACATCCCGTTGACACCTCGAGAGGCACACGGAGTTCACTGCTTCAAAATGTGACGATGCCTGACTCCTCCTGAACATTGATAGGAATCCCAAAATCACTGTAGCTACAGGACAGGGTTCTTTGGTGCCCTGCCTCACCTCGAGAAGCATCCCTTTTGCCCTGCCAAGCCTCGAAGAGATTCCTGATGTGTCTCTCGTTACTAGACAGGAGTCCTGACATCACTGAATAAACACGTGTTTTGAAGGGCCATCCCCGCCGGAACACGAGAACATACCCCAGTTCGCGCCGCAAGTCGAGTAAAACCATGAGACTTCCCCTAGAGGCGAGATGAGGCCTGATTCCCTGCAGTCCATGAAGAGCATTCCCGTGATCCCTATCAAGCAAGTCAGGAGCTTCAACTTGCTTAATTGAACTCGAGAAAGTCCCCAGGAACACTGTCACAAGTCTAGACAGACCCTGAGGTCACCCCAGCAATGCAAAGCAGCTGCAAGTACCCCACATCAACTCGAGATGAGGCCCGATTCCCAAGCATTGACTCCAGAGCCATCCCCAGTTCCCCATTAAACAAGACCACTGGCTTGTCTTCCTTCAGACACCTCCAGAGATGCCCCGAGAACACTGTCCCAAGACTAGAGGAACACCAACTTCAGCACAGCAACTCGAGGAATGCCCCGTGTACCACAAATCGTCTCGAGATGAGAGCTGATTCCCTGGCTTAGGCTCAAGACGTATGCCAACTTTCCAGAAGCACCTCAAGAGGAGGCTTCTCTCAGCAATAGGTATGGTCGTGGGACCCCGAGTTTGCTGCCTCAAGTGGAATATACAGCGAGAAGCCCTAACTTGAATGGAGGCCGGATTTCCTTGCAGTGTCTTGTATACAGGCTCGTCTTTCATCTCACAACCGGAAGGGATGTCTGAATCCCCTGTGGAGACCTTAGAGAAAGCCCTATGTCCCTGCCTCATTTTGACGGAATGCCTCACATCCCGTTGACACCACGAGAGACACGCGGAGTTCACTGCTTCAAAAGGTGACGATGCCTGACTCCTCTTGAATATTTATAGGAATCCCAAAATCCCTGTGGCTATTGGAAAGGTTCCTTGTGTGCCCTGTCTCATCTCGAGAAGCGTCCCTTGTGCCCCGGCAAGCCTCGAAGAGATTCCTGAGCTGTCCCTCGTTACTGGACAGGAGTCCTGACGTCACTGAATAAACACGTGTTTTGAAGGGCCATCGCCGCCGTAACTCGAGTACATACCCCAGGTCCCCGCCGCAACTCGAGAAAAACCATGAGACTTCCGCCTAGAGGCGAGATGAGGCCCGATTCTCCTGCAGTGCATGCAGAGCAATTCCGTGATCCCCATCAAACAAGTCAGGAGCTTCGACTTGCTTAATGGATCTCGAGACATTCCCCAAGAACACTGTCACATGTCTAGACGGAACCTGAGGTATCCCCAGCAACGCAAACCAGCTCCATGTGCCCCAAATCAACTTGAGATGAGGTCCGATTCCCCTGCATTGACTCCAGAGGCATCTGCCGTTCCACATTAAACACCACCAGTGGCTTGACCTCCTTCAGACAACTCCAGAGATGCCCCGAGAACACTGTCCCAAGTCTAGAGGAAAACCTCCTTTAGCACAGCAACTCGAGGATTGCTTCCTGTATGCCAAATCTTCTCGAGTTGAGAGCTGATTCCCTGGCGTAGGCTCAAGACGTATGCCAACTTTCCAGAAGCACCTCAAGAGGAGGCTTCTCTCAGCAATAGGTATGTGGGAGGGAACCCGAGTTTCCTGCCTCAAATGGAATATACAGCGAGAAGCACTAACTAGAATGGAGGCCGGTTTCCTAGCAGCGTCTTGAATACAGGCTCGTCTTTCATCTCACAGCAGGAAGAGATGTCTGAATCCCCTGTGGAGACCTTAGAGAAAGCCCTAGGTCCCTGCCTCATTTTGATGGAATGCCTCACATCCCGTTGACACCTCGAGAGTCACGCGGAGTTCACTGCTTCAAAAGCTGACGATGCCTGACTCCTCCCTGAACATTGATAGGAATCCCAAAATCACTGTAGCTACAGGACAGGGTTCTTGGGTGCCCTGCCTCACCTCGAGAAGCATCCCTTTTGCCCTGCCAAGCCTCGAAGAGATTCCTGAGCTGTCCCTCGTTACTGGACAGGTGTCCTGACGTCACTGAATAAACACGAGTTTTTAAGGGCCATCCCCGCCGTAACCCGAGTACATACCCCAGGTCCCCGCCGCAAGTCGAGAAAAACCATGAGACTTTCCCCTAGTGGCGAGATGAGGCCCGATTCTCCTGCAGTGCATGCAGAGCAATTCCATGATCCCCATCAAACAAGTCAGGACCTTCGACTTGCTTAATGGATCTAGAGACAGTCCCCAAGAATACTATCACATGTCTAGATGGATCCTGAGGTCACCCCATCAACGCAAAGCAGCACCATGTGCCCCACATCAACTCGAGATAATGCCCGATTCCCCTGCATTGACTCCAGAGCCATCCCCCGTTCCAGATTAAACACCACCAGTGGCTTGACTTCCTTCAGACAACTCCAGAGATGCCCTGAGAACACTGTCCCAAGTCTAGAGGAACACCATCTTCAGCACAGCAACTCGAGGAATGCTCCGTGTACCCCAAATCGTCTCGAGATGAGAGCTGATTCCCTGGCTTATGCTCAAGACGTATGCCAACTTTCCAGAAGCACCTCAAGGGGAGGCTTCTCTCAGCAATAATTATGTTGGAGGGACCCCCAGTTTGCTGCCTCAAGTGGAATATGCAACGAGAAGCCCTAACTTGAAAGGAGGCCGGGTTTCCTTGCAGTGTCTTGAATACAGGCTCGTCTTTCATCTCACAACCGGAGGGATTGTCTGAATCCCCTGTGGAGACCTTAGCGAAAGCCCTAGGTCCCTGCCTCATTTTGACGGATTGCCTCACATCCCGTTGACACCTCGGGAGGCACACGGAGTTCACTGCTTCAAATGTGACGATGCCTGACCCCTCCTGATCATTGATAAGAATCCCAAAATCACTGTGGCTACAGGAAAGGGTTCTTGTGTGCCCTGCCTCACCTCGAGAAGCATCCCTTTTGCCCTGCCAAGGCTCGAAGAGATTCCTGAGGTGTCCCTCATTACTAGACAGGAGTCATGACGTCACTGAATAAACACGTGTTTTCAAGGGCCATGCCCGCCATAACTCGAGAACATACCCCAGGTCCCGCCGCAACTCGAGAAAAACCATGAGACTTCCCCTAGATGCGAGATGAGGCCTGATTCCCTGCAGTCCATGAAGAGCATTCCCGTGATCCCAATCAAGCAAGTCAGCAGCTTCGAATTTCTTAATGGATTTCGAGAGAGTCCCCAGGAACACTGTCACAAGTCTAGACAGACCCTGACATCACCCCAGCAACGCAAAGCAGCTCCAAGTACCCCACATCAACTCGAGTTGAGGCCCGATTCCCATGCATTGACTCCAGAGCCATCCCCCGTACCCCATTAAGCACCACCAGTGGCTTGACTTCCTTCATGCAACTCGAGAGATGCCCCGAGAAAACTGCCCCAAGTCTAGAGGAATACGAACTTCAGCACAGCAACTCGAGAAATGCTCCGTGTACCCCAAATCGTTTCGAGGTGAGAGCTGATTCCATGGCTTAGGCTCAAGACGTATGCCAACTTTCCAGAAACACCTCAGGAGGAGGCTTCTCTAAGCAATAGGTATTTGGGAGGGACCCCGAGTTTGCTGCCTCAAGTGGAATATACAGCGAGAAGCCCTAACTTGAAAGGAGGCCGAATTTCCTTGCAGTGGCTTGGATACAGGCTCGTCTTTCATCTCACAGCATGAAGGGATGTCTGAATCCCCTGTGGAGACCTTAGAGAAAGCTCTAGGTCCCTGCATCATTTTGACGGAATGCCTCACATCCAGTTGACACTTCGAGAGGCACGCGGAGTTCATTGCTTCAAAATGTGATGATGCCTGACTCGCCTTGAATATTGATAGGAATCCCAAAATCACTGTGGCTACTGGAAAGGGACATTGGTTGCCCTGCCTCACCTCGAGAAGCATACATTTTGACCTGCCAAGCCTCGAAGAGATTCCTGAGGTGGCCCTCGTTACTAGACAGGAGTCCTGACGGCACTGAATAAACACGGGTTTTGAGGGACCATCCCCGCCGTAACTCGAGAAGATACCCCAGGTCCCCCGCGCAACTTGAGAGAAACCGTGAGACTTCCCCCTAGATGCGAGATGAGTCCTGATTCCCTGCAGTGCATGCAGAGTATTCCCGTGATCCCCATCAAACAAGTCAGGAGCTTCGACTTGCTTAATGGATCTCGAGACAGTCCCCAAGAACACTGTCACAAGTCTAGACGGACCCTGAGGTCACCCCAGCAACGCAAAGCAGCTCCATGTGCCCCAAATCAACCCGAGATGTGGCCCGATTCCCCTGCATTGACTCCAGAGCCATCCCCAGTTCCCCATTAAACAAGACAACTGGCTAGACTTCCTTCAGGCAACTCCAGAGATGCCCCGCAAACACTCTCCCAAGACTAGAGGAACACCAACTTCAGCACAGCAACTCGAGGAATGCTCCGTGTACCACAACTCGTCTCGAGATGAGAGCTGAATCCCTGGCTTAGGCTCAAGACGTATGCCAACTTTCCAGAAGCACCTCAAGAGGAGGCTTCTCTCAGCAATAGGTATGTTGGAGGGACCCCGAGTTTGCTGCCTCAAGTGGAATATACAGCGAGAAGCCCTAACTTGAAAGGAGGCCGGATTTCCTTGCAGTGGCTTGAATACAGGCTCGTCTTTCATCTCACAGAATGAAGGGATGTCTGAATCCCCTGTGGAGACCTTAGAGAAAGCTCTAGGTCCCTGCCTCATTTTGACGGAATGCCTCACATCCCGTTGTCACATAGAGAGGCACGCGGAGTTCACTGCTTCAAAATGTGATGATGCCTGACTCCTCTAAAATATTGATAGGAATCCCAAAATCCCTGTGGCTATTGGAAAGGTTCCTTGGGTGCCCTGCCTCACCTCGAGAAGCGTCCCTTGTGCCCTGCCAAGACTCGAAGAGATTCCTGAGCTGTTCCTCGTTACTGGACAGGAGTCCTGACATCACTGAATAAACACGAGTTTTGAAGGGCCATCCCCGCCGTAAAACGAGTACATACCCAAGGTCCCCGCCGCAAGTCGAGAAAAACCATGAGACTTTCCCCTAGAGGCGAGATGAGGCCCGATTCTCCTGCAGTGCATGCAGAGCAATTCCGAGATCCCCATCAAACAAGTCAGAAGCTTCGACTTGCTTAATGGATCTCGAGACAGTCACCAGGGAACACTGTCACATGTCTAGACGGATCCTGAGGTCACCCCATCAACGCAAAGCAGCACCATGTGCCCCAAATCAACTCGAGATAATGCCCGATTCCCCTGCATTGACTCCAGAGCCATCCCCCGTTCCACATTAAACACGACCAGTGGCTTGACTTCCTTCAGGCAACTGCAGAGATGCCCTGAGAACACTGTCCCAAGTCTAGAGGAACACCATCTTCAGCCCAGCAACTCGAGGAATGCTCCGTGTACCCCAAATCGTCTCGAGATGAGAGCTGATTCGATGGCTTAGGCTCAAGACGTATGCCAACTTTCCAGAAGCACCTCAAGGGGAGCCTTCTCTCAGCAATAGGAATGTTGGAGGGACCCCCAGTTTGCTGCCTCAAGTGGAATATACAGCGAGAAGCCCTAACTTGAAAGGAGGCCGGATTTTCTTGCTGTGTCTTGAATACAGGCTCGTCTTTCATCTCACAACCGGAAGGAATGTCTGAATCCCCTGTGGAGACCTTAGAGAAAGCCCTAGGTCCCTGCCTCATTTTAACGGAATGCCTCACATACCGTTGACACCTCGAGAGGCACACGGAGTTCACTGCCTCAAAATGTGACGATGCCTGACTCCTCCTGAACATTGATAGGAATCCCAAAATCACTGTAGCTACAGGACAGGGTTCTTGGTGCCCTGCCTGACCTCGAGAAGCATCCCTTTTGCCCTGCCAAGTCTCGAAGAGATTCCTGAGGTGTCTCTCGTTACTAGACAGGAGTCCTGACGTCACTGAATAAACACGTGTTTTGAAGGGCCATCACCGCCATAACTCGAGAACATACGCCAGTTCCCGCCGCAACTCGAGTAAAACCATGAGACTTCCCCTAGATGCGAGATGAGGCCTGATTCCCTGCAGTCCATGCAGAGCATTCCCGTGATCCCCATCAAGCAAGTCAGGAGCTTCGACTTGCTTAATGGATCTCGAGACAGTCCCCAAGAACACTGTCACATGTCTAGATGGATCCTGAGGTCACCCCATCAATGCAAAGCAGCACCATGTGCCCCAAATCAACTCGAGATAATGCCCGATTCCCCTGCATTGACTCCAGAGCCATCCCCCGTTCCACATTAAACACGACCAGTGGCTTGACTTCCTTCAGGCAACTCCAGAGATGCCCTGAGAACACTGTCCCAAGTCTAGAGGAACACCATCTTCAGCACAGCAACTCGAGGAATGCTCCGTGTACCCCAAATCGTCTCGAGATGAGAGCTGATTCCCTGGCTTAGGCTCAAGACGGATGCCAACTTTCCAAAAGCACCTCAAGGGGAGCCTTCTCTCAGCAATAGGTATGTTGGAGGGAACCCCAGTTTGCTGCCTCAAGTGGAATATACAGCGAGAAGCCCTAACTTGAATGGAGGCCGGATTTCCTTGCAGTGTCTTGTATATAGGCTCGTCTTTCATCTCACAACAGGAAGGGATGTCTGAATCCCCTGTGAAGACCTTAGAGAAAGCCCTAGGTCCCTGCCTCATTTTGACGGAATGCCTCACATCCCGTTGTCACCTCGAGAGGCACGCGGAGTTCACTGCTTCAAATGTGACGATGCCTGACCCCTCCTGATCATTGATAGGAATCCCAAAATCACTGTGGCTACAGGAAAGTGTTCTTGTGTGCCCTGCCTCACCTCGAGAAGCAACCCTTTTGCCCTGCCAAGGCTCGAAGAGATTCCTGAGCTGTCCCTCGTTACTGGACAGGAGTCCTGACGTCACTGAATAAACACGAGTTTTGAAGGGCCATCCCTGCCATAAGCCGAGTACATACCCCAGGTCCCCGCCGCAAGTCGAGAAAAACCATGAGACTTTCCCCTAGAGGCGAGATGAGGCCCGATTCTCCTGCAGTGCATGCAGAGCAATTCCGTGATCCCCATCAAACAAGTCAGAAGCTTCGACTTGCTTAATGGATCTCGAGACAGTCCCCAAGAACACTGTCACATGTCTAGACGGATCCTGAGGTCACCCCATCAACGCAAAGCAGCACCATGTGCCCCAAATCAACTCGAGATAATGCCCGATTCCCCTGCATTGACTCCAGAGCCATCCCCCGTTCCACATTAAACACAACCATTGTCTTGACTTCCTTCAGGCAACTCCAGAGATGACCTGAGAACACTGTCCCAAGTCTAGAGGAACACCATCTTCAGCACAGCAACTCGAGGAATGCTCCGTGTACCCCAAATCGTCTCGAGATGAAAGCTGAATCCCTGGCTTAGGCTCAAGACGTATGCCAACTTTTCAGAAGCACCTCAAGGGGAGCCTTCTCTCAGCAATAGGTATGTTGGAGGGACCCCCAGTTTGCTGCCTCAAGTGGAATATGCAGCGAGAAGCCCTAACTTGAAAGGAGGCCGGATTTCCTTGCTGTGTCTTGAATACAGGCTCGTCTTTCATCTCACAACCGGAAGGAATGTCTGAATCCCCTGTGGAGACCTTAGAGAAAGCCCTAGGTCCCTGCCTCATTTTGACGGAATGCCTCACATCCCGTTGACACCTCGAGAGGCACACGGAGTTCACTGCTTCAAAATGTGACGATGCCTGACTCCTCCTGAACATTGATAGGAATCCCAAAATCACTGTAGCTACAGGACAGGGTTCTTGGGTGCCCTGCCTGACCTCGAGAAGCATCCCTTTTGCCCTGCCAAGCTTCGGAGAGATTCCTGAGGTGTCTCTCGTTACTAGACAGGAGTCCTGACGTCACTGAATAAACACGTGTTTTGAAGGGCCATCGCCGCCGTAACTCGAGTATATACCCCAGGTCCCCGCCGCAACTCGAGAAAAACCATGAGACTTCCGCCTAGAGGCGAGATGAGGCCCGATTCTCCTGCAGTGCATGCAGAGCAATTCCGTGATCCCCATCAAACAAGTCAGGAGCTTCGACTTGCTTAATGGATCTCGAGACATTCCCCAAGAACACTGTCACATGTCTAGACGGACCCTGAGGTATCCCCAGCAACGCAAAGCAGCTCCATGTGCCCCAAATCAACTTGAGATGAGGTCCGATTCCCCTGCATTGACTCCAGAGCCATCTGCCGTTCCGCATTAAACACCACCAGTGGCTTGACCTCCTTCAGACAACTCCAGAGATGCCCCGAGAACACTGTCCCAAGTCTAGAGGAACACCTACTTTAGCACAGCAACTCGAGGAATGCTTCCTGTATGCCAAATCCTCTCGAGATGAGAGCTGATTCCCTGGTTTAGGCTCAAGACGTATGCCAACTTTCCAGAAGCACCTCAAGAGGAGGCTTCTCTCAGCAATAGGTATGTGGGAGGGAACCCGAGTTTGCTGCCTCAAAGGGAATATACAGCGAGAAGCACTAACTAGAAAGGAGGCCGGTTTCCTAGCAGTGTCTTGAATACAGGCTCGTCTTTCATCTCACAGCAGGAAGAGATGTGTGAATCCCCTGTGGGGACCTTAGAGAAAGCCCTAGGTCCCTGCTTCATTTTGACGGAATGCCTCACATCCCGTTGACACCTCGAGAGTCACGCGGAGTCCACTGCTCCAAAAGCTGACGATGCCTGACTCCTCTTGAATATTGATAGGAATCACAAAATCCCTGTGGCTATTTGAAAGTTTCCTTGGGTGCCCTGCCTCACCTCGAGAAGCGTTCCTTGTGCCTGCCAAGCCTCGAAGAGATTCCTGAGCTGTCCCTCGTTACTGGACAGGAGTCCTGACGTCACTGAATAAACACGAGTTTTTAAGGGCCATACCCGCCGTAACCCGAGTACATAACCCAGGTCCCCGCCGCAAGTCGAGAAAAACCATGAGACTTTCCCCTCTTGGCGAGATGAGGCCCGATTCTCCTGCAGTGCATGCAGAGCAATTCCGTGATCCCCATCAAACAAGTCAGGACCTTCGACTTGCTTAATGGATCCCGAGACAGTCCCCAAGAATACTGTCACATATCTAGACGGATCCTGAGGTCACCCCATCAACGGAAAGCAGCACCATGTGCCCCAAATCAACTCGAGATAATGCCCGATTCCCCTGCATTGACTCCAGAGCCATCCCCCGTTCCACATTAAAAACCACCAGTGGCTTGACTTCCTTCAGACAACTCCAGAGATGCCCTGAGAACACTGTCCCAAGTCTAGAGGAACACCATCTTCAGCACAGCAACTCGAGGAATGCTCCGTGTACCCCAAATCGTCTCGAGATGAGAGCTGATCCCTGGCTTAGGCTCAAGACGTATGCCAACTTTCCAGAAGCACCTCAAGGGGAGGCTTCTCCAGCAATAGGTATGTTGGAGGGACCCCCAGTTTCCTGCCTCAAGTGGAATATGCAGCGAGAAGCCTTAACTTGAAAGGAGGCCGGGTTTCCCTGCAGTGTCTTGAATACAGGCTCGACTTTCATCTCACAACCGGAAGGAAAGTCTGAATCCCCTGTGGAGACCTTAGCGATAGCCCTAGGTCCCTGCCTCATTTTGACGGAATGCCTCACATCCCGTTGACACCTCGAGAGGCACGCGGAGTTCACTGCTTCAAAATGTGACGATGCCTGACTCCTCCTGAACATTGATAGGAATCCCAAAATTACTGTAGCTACAGGACAGGGTCCTTGGGTTCCCTGCCTCACCTCGAGAAGCAACCCTTTTGCCCTGCCAAGCCTCGAAGAGATTCCTGAGGTGTCTCTCGTTACTAGACAGGAGTCCTGACGTCACTGAATAAACAGGTGTTTTGAAGGGCCATCCCCGCCATAACTCAAGAACATACCCCAGTTCCCGCCGCAACTCGAGTAAAACCATGAGACTTCCCCTGGATGCGAGATGAGGCCTGATTCCCTGCAGTCCATGCAGAGCATTCCCGTGATCCCCATCAAGCAAGTCAGGAGCTTCGACTTGCTTAATTCAACTCGAGAAAGTCCCCAGGAACACTGTCACAAGTCTAGACAGACCCTGAGGTCACCCCAGCAATGCAAAGCAGCTGCAAGTACCCCACATCAACTCGAGATGAGGCCCGATTCCCATGCATTGACTCCAGAGACATCCCCCGTTCCACATTAAACACGACCAGTGGCTTGACTTCCTTCAGGCAACTCCAGAGATGCCCTGAGAACACTGTCCCAAGTCTAGAGGAACACCATCTTCAGCACAGCAACTCGAGGAATGCTCCGTGTACCCCAAATCGTCTCGAGATGAGAGCTGATTCCCTGGCTTAGGCTCAAGACGTATGCCAACTTTCCAGAAGCACCTCAAGGGGAGCCTTCTCTCAGCAATAGGTATGTTGGAGGGACCCCCAGTTTGCTGCCTCAAGTGGAATATACAGCGAGAAGCCCTAACTTGAAAGGAGGCCGGATTTCCTTGCAGTGGCTTGAATAAAGGTTCGTCTTTCATCTCACAGAATGAAGGGATGTCTGAATCCCCTGTGGAGACCTTAGAGAAAGCTATAGGTCCCTGCCTCATTTTGACGGAATGCCTCACATCCCGTTGTCACCTCGAGAGGCACGCGGAGTTCACGGCTTCAAAAAGTGACGATGCCTGACTCCTCTAAAATATTGATAGGAATCCCAAAATCCCTGTGGCTATTGGAAAGGTTCCTTGGGTGCCCTGCCTCACCTCGAGAAGCGTCCCTTGTGCCCTGCCAAGCCTCGAAGAGATTCCTGAGGTGTCTCTCGTTACTAGACAGGAGTCCTGACGTCACTGAATAAACACGTGTTTTGAACGGCCATCCCGCCATAACTCGAGAACATACCCCAGTTCCCGACGCAACTCGAGTAAAACCATGAGACTTCCCCTAGATGCGAGATGAGGCCTGATTCCCTGCAGTCCATGCAGAGCATTCCCGTGATCCCCATCAAGCAAGTCAGGAGCTTCGACTTGCTACATGGATCTCGAGAGAGTCCCCAAGAACACTGTCACATGTCTAGATGGATCCTGAGATCACCCCATCAACCCAAAGCAGCACCATGTGCCAAAAATCAACTCGAGATAATGCCCGATTACCCTGCATTGACTCCAGAGCCATCCCCCGTTCCACATTAAACACCACCAGTGGCTTGACTTCCTTCAGGCAACTCCAGAGATGCCCCGAGAACACTGTCCCAAGTCTTGAGGAATACGAACTTCAGCACAGCAACTCGAGGAATGCCCCGTGTACCACAAATCGTCTCGAGATGAGAGCTGATTCCCTCGCTTAGGCTCAAGACGTATGCCAACTTTCCAGAAGCACCTCAAGAGGAGGCTTCTCTCAGCAATAGGTATGTTCGTGGGACCCCGAGTTTGCTGCCTAAAGTGGAATATACAGCGAGAAGCCCTAACTTGAAAGGAGGCCGGATTTCCTTGCAGTGTCTTGTATACAGGCTCGTCTTTCATCTCACAACAGGAAAGGATGTCTGAATCCCCTGTGAAGACCTTAGAGAAAGCCCTAGGTCCCTGCCTCATTGTGACGGAATGCCTCACATCCCGTTGACACCACGAGAGGCACGCGGAGTTCACTGCTTCAAAAGGTTACGATGCCTGACTCCTCTTGAATATTGATAGGAATCCCAAAATCCCTGTGGCTATTGGAATGGTTCCTTGGGTGCCCTGCCTCACCTCGAGATGCGTCCCTTGTGCCCCGGCAAGCCTCGAAGAGATTCCTGAGCTTTCCCTCGTTACTGGACAGGAGTCCTGACGTCACTGAATAAACACGTGTTTTGAAGGGCCATCGCCGCCGTAACTCGAGTACATACCCCAGGTCCCCGCCGCAACTCGAGAAAAACCATGAGACTTCCCCTAGATGCGAGATGAGGCCTGATTCCCTGCAGTCCATGCAGAGCATTCCCGTGATCCCAATCAAGCAAGTCAGCAGCTTCGAATTGCTTAATGGATCTCGAGATAGTCCCCAGGAACACTGTCACAAGTCTAGACAGACCCTGACATCACCCCAGCAACGCAAAGCAGCTCCAAGTACCCCACATCAACTCGCGTTGAGGCCCGATTCCCATGCATTGACTCCAGAGCCATCCCCCGTACCCCATTAAGCACCACCAGTGGCTTGACTTCCTTCAGGCAACTCGAGAGATGCCCCGAGAACACTGTCCCAAGTCTAGAGGAATACGAACTTCAGCACAGCAACTCGAGGAATGCTCCGTGTACCCCAAATCGTTTCGAGGTGAGAGCTGATTCCATGGCTTAGGCTCAAGACGTATGCCAACTTTCCAGAAGCACCTCAAGAGGAGGCTTCTCTCAGCAATAGGTATTTGGGAGGGACCCCGAGTTTGCTGCCTCAAGTGGAATATACAGCGAGAAGCCCTAACTTGAAAGGAGGACGGATTTCCTTGCAGTGGCTTGGATACAGGCTCGTCTTTCATCTCACAGCATGAAGGGATGTCTGAATCCCCTGTGGAGACCTTAGAGAAAGCTCTAGGTCCCTGCATCATTTTGACGGAATGCCTCACATCCAGTTGACACTTCGAGAGGCACGCGGAGTTCACTGCTTCAAAAGGTGATGATGCCTGACTCGTCTTGAATATTGATAGGAATCCCAAAATCACTGTGGCTACTGGAAAGGGTCATTGGTTGCCCTGCCTCACCTCGAGAAGCATACCTTTTCACCTGCCAAGCCTGGAAGAGATTCCTGAGGTGTCCCTCGTTACGAGACAGGAGTCCTGACTTCACTGAATAAACACGGGTTTTGAGGGGCCATCCCCGCCGTAACTCGAGAAGATACCCCAGGTCCCCCGCGCAACTTGAGAGAAACCGTGAGACTTCCCCCTAGATGCGAGATGAGTCCAGATTCCCTGCAGTGCATGCAGAGTATTCCCATGATATCCATCAAACAAGTCAGGAGCTTCGACTTGCTTAATGGATCTCGAGACAGTCCCCAAGAACAATGTCACAAGTCTAGACGGACCCTGAGGTCACCCCAGCAACGCAAAGCAGCTCCATGTGCCCCAAATCAACCCGAGATGTGGCCCGATTCCCCTGCATTGACTCCAGAGCCATCCCCAGTTCCCCATTAAACAAGACAACTGGCTAGACTTCCTTCAGGCAACTCCAGAGATGCCCCGCAAACACTCTCCCAAGACTAGAGGAACACCAACTTCACACAGCAACTCGAGGAATGCTCCGTGTACCACAACTCGTCTCGAGATGAGAGCTGAATCCCTGGCTTAGGCTCAAGACGTATGCCAACTTTCCAGAAGCACCTCAAGAGGAGGCTTCTCTCAGCAATAGGTATGTTGGAGGGACCCCGAGTTTGCTGCCTCAAGTGGAATATACAGCGAGAAGCCCTAACTTGAAAGGAGGCCGGATTTCCTTGCAGTGGCTTGAATACAGGCTCGTCTTTCATCTCACAGAATGAAGGGATGTCTGAATCCCCTGTGGAGACCTTAGAGAAAGCTCTAGGTCCCTGCCTCATTTTGACGGAATGCCTCACATCCAGTTGTCACCTAGAGAGGCACGCGGAGTTCACTGCTTCAAAATGTGATGATGCCTGACTCCTCTAAAATATTGATAGGAATCCCAAAATCCCTGTGGCTATTGGAAAGGTTCCTTGGGTGCCCTGCCTCACCTCGAGAAGCGTCCCTTGTGCCCTGCCAAGCCTCGAAGAGATTCCTGAACTGTTCCTCGTTACTGGACAGGAGTCCTGACATCACTGAATAAACACGAGTTTTGAAGGGCCATCCCCGCCGTAAAACGAGTACATACCCCAGGTCCCCGCCGCAAGTCGAGAAAAACCATGAGACTTTCCCCTAGAGGCGAGATGAGGCCCGATTCTCCTGCAGTGCATGCAGAGCAATTCCGAGATCCCCATCAAACAAGTCAGAAGCTTCGACTTGCTTAATGGATCTCGAGACAGTCACCAGGGAACACTGTCACATGTCTAGACGGATCCTGAGGTCACCCCATCAACGCAAAGCAGCACCATGTGCCCCAAATCAACTCGAGATAATGCCCGATTCCCCTGCATTGACTCCAGAGCCATCCCCCGTTCCACATTAAACACGACCAGTGGCTTGACTTCCTTCAGGCAACTGCAGAGATGCCCTGAGAACACTGTCCCAAGTCTAGAGGAACACCATCTTCAGCCCAGCAACTCGAGGAATGCTCCGTGTACCCCAAATCGTCTCGAGATGAGAGCTGATTCGATGGCTTAGGCTCAAGACGTATGCCAACTTTCCAGAAGCACCTCAAGGGGAGCCTTCTCTCAGCAATAGGAATGTTGGAGGGACCCCCAGTTTGCTGCCTCAAGTGGAATATACAGCGAGAAGCCCTAACTTGAAAGGAGGCCGGATTTTCTTGCTGTGTCTTGAATACAGGCTCGTCTTTCATCTCACAACCGGAAGGAATGTCTGAATCCCCTGTGGAGACCTTAGAGAAAGCCCTAGGTCCCTGCCTCATTTTAACGGAATGCCTCACATACCGTTGACACCTCGAGAGGCACACGGAGTTCACTGCCTCAAAATGTGACGATGCCTGACTCCTCCTGAACATTGATAGGAATCCCAAAATCACTGTAGCTACAGGACAGGGTTCTTGGGTGCCCTGCCTGACCTCGAGAAGCATCCCTTTTGCCCTGCCAAGCCTCGAAGAGATTCCTGAGGTGTCTCTCGTTACTAGACAGGAGTCCTGACGTCACTGAATAAACACGTGTTTTGAAGGGCCATCACCGCCATAACTCGAGAACATACGCCAGTTCCCGCCGCAACTCGAGTAAAACCATGAGACTTCCCCTAGATGCGAGATGAGGCCTGATTCCCTGCAGTCCATGCAGAGCATTCCCGTGATCCCCATCAAGCAAGTCAGGAGCTTCGACTTGCTTAATGGATCTCGAGACAGTCCCCAAGAACACTGTCACATGTCTAGATGGATCCTGAGGTCACCCCATCAATGCAAAGCAGCACCATGTGCCCCAAATCAACTCGAGATAATGCCCGATTCCCCTGCATTGACTCCAGAGCCATCCCCCGTTCCACATTAAACACGACCAGTGGCTTGACTTCCTTCAGGCAACTCCAGAGATGCCCTGAGAACACTGTCCCAAGTCTAGAGGAACACCATCTTCAGCACAGCAACTCGAGGAATGCTCCGTGTACCCCAAATCGTCTCGAGATGAGAGCTGATTCCCTGGCTTAGGCTCAAGACGGATGCCAACTTTCCAAAAGCACCTCAAGGGGAGCCTTCTCTCAGCAATAGGTATGTTGGAGGGACCCCCAGTTTGCTGCCTCAAGTGGAATATACAGCGAGAAGCCCTAACTTGAATGGAGGCCGGATTTCCTTGCAGTGTCTTGTATATAGGCTCGTCTTTCATCTCACAACAGGAAGGGATGTCTGAATCCCATGTGAAGACCTTAGAGAAAGCCCTAGGTCCCTGCCTCATTTTGACGGAATGCCTCACATCCCGTTGACACCTCGAGAGGCACGCGGAGTTCACTGCTTCAAATGTGACGATGCCTGACCCCTCCTGATCATTGATAGGAATCCCAAAATCACTGTGGCTACAGGAAAGTGTTCTTGTGTGCCCTGCCTCACCTCGAGAAGCAACCCTTTTGCCCTACCAAGGCTCGAAGAGATTCCTGAGCTGTCCCTCGTTACTGGACAGGAGTCCTGACGTCACTGAATAAACACGAGTTTTGAAGGGCCATCCCCGCCATAAGCCGAGTACATACCCCAGGTCCCCGCCGCAAGTCGAGAAAAACCATGAGACTTTCCCCTAGAGGCGAGATGAGGCCCGATTCTCCTGCAGTGCATGCAGAGCAATTCCGTGATCCCCATCAAACAAGTCAGAAGCTTCGACTTGCTTAATGGATCTCGAGACAGTCCCCAAGAACACTGTCACATGTCTAGACGGATCCTGAGGTCACCCCATCAACGCAAAGCAGCACCATGTGCCCCAAATCAACTCGAGATAATGCCCGATTCCCCTGCATTGACTCCAGAGCCATCCCCCGTTCCACATTAAACACAACCAGTGTCTTGACTTCCTTCAGGCAACTCCAGAGATGACCTGAGAACACTGTCCCAAGTCTAGAGGAACACCATCTTCAGCACAGCAACTCGAGGAATGCTCCGTGTACCCCAAATCGTCTCGAGATGAAAGCTGAATCCCTGGCTTAGGCTCAAGACGTATGCCAACTTTTCAGAAGCACCTCAAGGGGAGCCTTCTCTCAGCAATAGGTATGTTGGAGGGACCCCCAGTTTGCTGCCTCAAGTGGAATATGCAGCGAGAAGCCCTAACTTGAAAGGAGGCCGGATTTCCTTGCTGTGTCTTGAATACAGGCTCGTCTTTCATCTCACAACCGGAAGGAATGTCTGAATCCCCTGTGGAGACCTTAGAGAAAGCCCTAGGTCCCTGCCTCATTTTGACGGAATGCCTCACATCCCGTTGACACCTCGAGAGGCACACGGAGTTCACTGCTTCAAAATGTGACGATGCCTGACTCCTCCTGAACATTGATAGGAATCCCAAAATCACTGTAGCTACAGGACAGGGTTCTTGGGTGCCCTGCCTGACCTCGAGAAGCATCCCTTTTGCCCTGCCAAGCCTCGAAGAGATTCCTGAGGTGTCTCTCGTTACTAGACAGGAGTCCTGACGTCACTGAATAAACACGTGTTTTGAAGGGCCATCCCCGCCGTAACTCGAGTACATACCCCAGTTCCCCGCCGCAACTCGAGAAAAACCATGAGACTTCCGCCTAGAGGCGAGATAAGGCCCGATTCTCCTGCAGTGCATGCAGAGCAATTCCGTGATCCCCATCAAACAAGTCAGGGGCTTCGACTTGCTTAATGGATCTCGAGACATTCCCCAAGAACACTGTCACATGTCTAGACGGACCCTGAGGTATCCCCAGCAACGCAAAGCAGCTCCATGTGCCCCAAATCAACTTGAGATGAGGTCCGATTCCCCTGCATTGACTCCAGAGCCATCTGCCGTTCCGCATTAAACACCACCAGTGGCTTGACCTCCTTCAGACAACTCCAGAGGTGCCCCGAGAACACTGTCCCAAGTCTACAGGAACACCTACTTTAGCACAGCAACTCGAGGAATGCTTCCTGTATGCCAAATCCTCTCGAGATGAGAGCTGATTCCCTGGTTTAGGCTCAAGACGTATGCCAACTTTCCAGAAGCACCTCAAGAGGAGGCTTCTCTCAGCAATAGGTATGTGGGAGGGAACCCGAGTTTGCTGCCTCAAAGGGAATATACAGCGAGAAGCACTAACTAGAAAGGAGGCCGGTTTCCTAGCAGTGTCTTGAATACAGGCTCGTCTTTCATCTCACAGCAGGAAGAGATGTGTGAATCCCCTGTGGAGACCTTAGAGAAAGCCCTAGGTCCCTGCTTCATTTTGACGGAATGCCTCACATCCCGTTGACACCTCGAGAGTCACGCGGAGTCCACTGCTCCAAAAGCTGACGTTGCCTGACTCCTCTTGAATACTGATAGGAATCACAAAATCCCTGTGGCTATTTGAAAGTTTCCTTGGGTGCCCTGCCTCACCTCGAGAAGCGTCCCTTGTGCCTGCAAGCCTCGAAGAGATTCCTGAGCTGTCCCTCGTTACTGGACAGGAGTCCTGACGTCACTGAATAAACACGAGTTTTTAAGGGCCATACCCGACGTAACCCGAGTACATAACCCAGGTCCCCGCCGCAAGTCGAGAAAAACCATGAGACTTTCCCCTCTTGGCGAGATGAGGCCCGATTCTCCTGCAGTGCATGCAGAGCAATTCCGTGATCCCCATCAAACAAGTCAGGACCTTCGACTTGCTTAATGGATCTCGAGACAGTCCCCAAGAATACTGTCACATATCTAGACGGATCCTGAGGTCACCGCATCAACGCAAAGCAGCACCATGTGCCCCACATCAACTCGAGATAATGCCCGATTCCCCTGCATTGACTCCAGAGCCATCCCCCGTTCCAGATTAAACACCACCAGTGGCTTGACTTCCTTCAGACAACTCCAGAGATGCCCTGAGAACACTGTCCCAAGTCTAGAGGAACACCATCTTCAGCACAGCAACTCGAGGAATGCTCCGTGTACCCCAAATCGTCTCGAGATGAGAGCTGATCCCTGGCTTAGGCTCAAGACGTATGCCAACTTTCCAGAAGCACCTCAAGGGGAGGCTTCTCTCAGCAATAGGTATGTTGGAGGGACCCCCAGTTTCCTGCCTCAAGTGGAATATGCAGCGAGAAGCCTTAACTTGAAAGGAGGCCGGGTTTCCCTGCAGTGTCTTGAATACAGGCTCGACTTTCATCTCACAACCGGAAGGAAAGTCTGAATCCCCTGTGGAGACCTTAGCGATAGCCCTAGGTCCCTGCCTCATTTTGACGGAATGCCTCACATCCCGTTGACACCTCGAGAGGCACGCGGAGTTCACTGCTTCAAAATGTGACGATGCCTGACTCCTCCTGAACATTGATAGGAATCCCAAAATTACTGTAGCTACAGGACAGGGTCCTTGGGTGCCCTGCCTCACCTCGAGAAGCAACCCTTTTGCCCTGCCAAGCCTCGAAGAGATTCCTGAGGTGTCTCTCGTTACTAGACAGGAGTCCTGACGTCACTGAATAAACACGTGTTTTGAAGGGCCATCCCCGCCATAACTCGAGAACATACCCCAGTTCGCGCCGCAACTCGAGTAAAACCATGAGACTTCCCCTAGAGGCGAGATGAGGCCTGAGTCTCTGCAGTCCATGCAGAGCATTCCCGTGATCCCCATCAAGCAAGTCAGGAGCTTCGACTTGCTTAATTCAACTCGAGAAAGTCCCCAGGAACACTGTCACAAGTCTAGACAGACCCTGAGGTCACCCCAGCAATGCAAAGCAGCTGCAAGTACCCCACATCAACTCGAGATGAGGCCCGATTCCCATGCATTGACTCCAGAGCCATCCCCCGTTCCACATTAAACACGACCAGTGGCTTGACTTCCTTCAGGCAACTCCAGAGATGCCCTGAGAACACTGTCCCAAGTCTAGAGGAACACCATCTTCAGCACAGCAACTCGAGGAATGCTCCGTGTACCCCAAATCGTCTCGAGATGAGAGCTGATTCCCTGGCATAGGCTCAAGACGTATGCCAACTTTCCAGAAGCACCTCAAGGGGAGCCTTTTCTCAGCAATAGGTATGTTGGAGGGACCCCCAGTTTGCTGCCTCAAGTGGAATATACAGCGAGAAGCCCTAACTTGAAAGGAGGCCGGATTTCCTTGCAGTGGCTTGAATAAAGGTTCGTCTTTCATCTCACAGAATGAAGGGATGTCTGAATCCCCTGTGGAGACCTTAGAGAAAGCTATAGGTCCCTGCCTCATTTTGACGGAATGCCTCACATCCCGTTGTCACCTCGAGAGGCACGCGGAGTTCACGGCTTCAAAAAGTGACGATGCCTGACTCCTCTAAAATATTGATAGGAATCCCAAAATCCCTGTGGCTATTGGAAAGGTTCCTTGGGTGCCCTGCCTCACCTCGAGAAGCGTCCCTTGTGCCCTGCCAAGCCTCGAAGAGATTCCTGAGGTGTCTCTCGTTACTAGACAGGAGTCCTGACGTCACTGAATAAACACGTGTTTTGAAGGGCCATCACCGCCATAACTCGAGAACATACGCCAGTTCCCGCCGCAACTCGAGTAAAACCATGAGACTTCCCCTAGATGCGAGATGAGGCCTGATTCCCTGCAGTCCATGCAGAGCATTCCCGTGATCCCCATCAAGCAAGTCAGGAGCTTCGACTTGCTTAATGGATCTCGAGACAGTCCCCAAGAACACTGTCACATGTCTAGATGGATCCTGAGGTCACCCCATCAATGCAAAGCAGCACCATGTGCCCCAAATCAACTCGAGATAATGCCCGATTCCCCTGCATTGACTCCAGAGCCATCCCCCGTTCCACATTAAACACGACCAGTGGCTTGACTTCCTTCAGGCAACTCCAGAGATGCCCTGAGAACACTGTCCCAAGTCTAGAGGAACACCATCTTCAGCACAGCAACTCGAGGAATGCTCCGTGTACCCCAAATCGTCTCGAGATGAGAGCTGATTCCCTGGCTTAGGCTCAAGACGGATGCCAACTTTCCAAAAGCACCTCAAGGGGAGCCTTCTCTCAGCAATAGGTATGTTGGAGGGACCCCCAGTTTGCTGCCTCAAGTGGAATATACAGCGAGAAGCCCTAACTTGAATGGAGGCCGGATTTCCTTGCAGTGTCTTGTATATAGGCTCGTCTTTCATCTCACAACAGGAAGGGATGTCTGAATCCCATGTGAAGACCTTAGAGAAAGCCCTAGGTCCCTGCCTCATTTTGACGGAATGCCTCACATCCCGTTGACACCTCGAGAGGCACGCGGAGTTCACTGCTTCAAATGTGACGATGCCTGACCCCTCCTGATCATTGATAGGAATCCCAAAATCACTGTGGCTACAGGAAAGTGTTCTTGTGTGCCCTGCCTCACCTCGAGAAGCAACCCTTTTGCCCTACCAAGGCTCGAAGAGATTCCTGAGCTGTCCCTCGTTACTGGACAGGAGTCCTGACGTCACTGAATAAACACGAGTTTTGAAGGGCCATCCCCGCCATAAGCCGAGTACATACCCCAGGTCCCCGCCGCAAGTCGAGAAAAACCATGAGACTTTCCCCTAGAGGCGAGATGAGGCCCGATTCTCCTGCAGTGCATGCAGAGCAATTCCGTGATCCCCATCAAACAAGTCAGAAGCTTCGACTTGCTTAATGGATCTCGAGACAGTCCCCAAGAACACTGTCACATGTCTAGACGGATCCTGAGGTCACCCCATCAACGCAAAGCAGCACCATGTGCCCCAAATCAACTCGAGATAATGCCCGATTCCCCTGCATTGACTCCAGAGCCATCCCCCGTTCCACATTAAACACAACCAGTGTCTTGACTTCCTTCAGGCAACTCCAGAGATGACCTGAGAACACTGTCCCAAGTCTAGAGGAACACCATCTTCAGCACAGCAACTCGAGGAATGCTCCGTGTACCCCAAATCGTCTCGAGATGAAAGCTGAATCCCTGGCTTAGGCTCAAGACGTATGCCAACTTTTCAGAAGCACCTCAAGGGGAGCCTTCTCTCAGCAATAGGTATGTTGGAGGGACCCCCAGTTTGCTGCCTCAAGTGGAATATGCAGCGAGAAGCCCTAACTTGAAAGGAGGCCGGATTTCCTTGCTGTGTCTTGAATACAGGCTCGTCTTTCATCTCACAACCGGAAGGAATGTCTGAATCCCCTGTGGAGACCTTAGAGAAAGCCCTAGGTCCCTGCCTCATTTTGACGGAATGCCTCACATCCCGTTGACACCTCGAGAGGCACACGGAGTTCACTGCTTCAAAATGTGACGATGCCTGACTCCTCCTGAACATTGATAGGAATCCCAAAATCACTGTAGCTACAGGACAGGGTTCTTGGGTGCCCTGCCTGACCTCGAGAAGCATCCCTTTTGCCCTGCCAAGCCTCGAAGAGATTCCTGAGGTGTCTCTCGTTACTAGACAGGAGTCCTGACGTCACTGAATAAACACGTGTTTTGAAGGGCCATCCCCGCCGTAACTCGAGTACATACCCCAGTTCCCCGCCGCAACTCGAGAAAAACCATGAGACTTCCGCCTAGAGGCGAGATAAGGCCCGATTCTCCTGCAGTGCATGCAGAGCAATTCCGTGATCCCCATCAAACAAGTCAGGGGCTTCGACTTGCTTAATGGATCTCGAGACATTCCCCAAGAACACTGTCACATGTCTAGACGGACCCTGAGGTATCCCCAGCAACGCAAAGCAGCTCCATGTGCCCCAAATCAACTTGAGATGAGGTCCGATTCCCCTGCATTGACTCCAGAGCCATCTGCCGTTCCGCATTAAACACCACCAGTGGCTTGACCTCCTTCAGACAACTCCAGAGGTGCCCCGAGAACACTGTCCCAAGTCTACAGGAACACCTACTTTAGCACAGCAACTCGAGGAATGCTTCCTGTATGCCAAATCCTCTCGAGATGAGAGCTGATTCCCTGGTTTAGGCTCAAGACGTATGCCAACTTTCCAGAAGCACCTCAAGAGGAGGCTTCTCTCAGCAATAGGTATGTGGGAGGGAACCCGAGTTTGCTGCCTCAAAGGGAATATACAGCGAGAAGCACTAACTAGAAAGGAGGCCGGTTTCCTAGCAGTGTCTTGAATACAGGCTCGTCTTTCATCTCACAGCAGGAAGAGATGTGTGAATCCCCTGTGGAGACCTTAGAGAAAGCCCTAGGTCCCTGCTTCATTTTGACGGAATGCCTCACATCCCGTTGACACCTCGAGAGTCACGCGGAGTCCACTGCTCCAAAAGCTGACGTTGCCTGACTCCTCTTGAATACTGATAGGAATCACAAAATCCCTGTGGCTATTTGAAAGTTTCCTTGGGTGCCCTGCCTCACCTCGAGAAGCGTCCCTTGTGCCTGCAAGCCTCGAAGAGATTCCTGAGCTGTCCCTCGTTACTGGACAGGAGTCCTGACGTCACTGAATAAACACGAGTTTTTAAGGGCCATACCCGACGTAACCCGAGTACATAACCCAGGTCCCCGCCGCAAGTCGAGAAAAACCATGAGACTTTCCCCTCTTGGCGAGATGAGGCCCGATTCTCCTGCAGTGCATGCAGAGCAATTCCGTGATCCCCATCAAACAAGTCAGGACCTTCGACTTGCTTAATGGATCTCGAGACAGTCCCCAAGAATACTGTCACATATCTAGACGGATCCTGAGGTCACCGCATCAACGCAAAGCAGCACCATGTGCCCCACATCAACTCGAGATAATGCCCGATTCCCCTGCATTGACTCCAGAGCCATCCCCCGTTCCAGATTAAACACCACCAGTGGCTTGACTTCCTTCAGACAACTCCAGAGATGCCCTGAGAACACTGTCCCAAGTCTAGAGGAACACCATCTTCAGCACAGCAACTCGAGGAATGCTCCGTGTACCCCAAATCGTCTCGAGATGAGAGCTGATCCCTGGCTTAGGCTCAAGACGTATGCCAACTTTCCAGAAGCACCTCAAGGGGAGGCTTCTCTCAGCAATAGGTATGTTGGAGGGACCCCCAGTTTCCTGCCTCAAGTGGAATATGCAGCGAGAAGCCTTAACTTGAAAGGAGGCCGGGTTTCCCTGCAGTGTCTTGAATACAGGCTCGACTTTCATCTCACAACCGGAAGGAAAGTCTGAATCCCCTGTGGAGACCTTAGCGATAGCCCTAGGTCCCTGCCTCATTTTGACGGAATGCCTCACATCCCGTTGACACCTCGAGAGGCACGCGGAGTTCACTGCTTCAAAATGTGACGATGCCTGACTCCTCCTGAACATTGATAGGAATCCCAAAATTACTGTAGCTACAGGACAGGGTCCTTGGGTGCCCTGCCTCACCTCGAGAAGCAACCCTTTTGCCCTGCCAAGCCTCGAAGAGATTCCTGAGGTGTCTCTCGTTACTAGACAGGAGTCCTGACGTCACTGAATAAATACGTGTTTTGAAGGGCCATCCCCGCCATAACTCGAGAACATACCCCAGTTCGCGCCGCAACTCGAGTAAAACCATGAGACTTCCCCTAGAGGCGAGATGAGGCCTGAGTCTCTGCAGTCCATGCAGAGCATTCCCGTGATCCCCATCAAGCAAGTCAGGAGCTTCGACTTGCTTAATTCAACTCGAGAAAGTCCCCAGGAACACTGTCACAAGTCTAGACAGACCCTGAGGTCACCCCAGCAATGCAAAGCAGCTGCAAGTACCCCACATCAACTCGAGATGAGGCCCGATTCCCATGCATTGACTCCAGAGCCATCCCCCGTTCCACATTAAACACGACCAGTGGCTTGACTTCCTTCAGGCAACTCCAGAGATGCCCTGAGAACACTGTCCCAAGTCTAGAGGAACACCATCTTCAGCACAGCAACTCGAGGAATGCTCCGTGTACCCCAAATCGTCTCGAGATGAGAGCTGATTCCCTGGCATAGGCTCAAGACGTATGCCAACTTTCCAGAAGCACCTCAAGGGGAGCCTTTTCTCAGCAATAGGTATGTTGGAGGGACCCCCAGTTTGCTGCCTCAAGTGGAATATACAGCGAGAAGCCCTAACTTGAAAGGAGGCCGGATTTCCTTGCAGTGGCTTGAATAAAGGTTCGTCTTTCATCTCACAGAATGAAGGGATGTCTGAATCCCCTGTGGAGACCTTAGAGAAAGCTATAGGTCCCTGCCTCATTTTGACGGAATGCCTCACATCCCGTTGTCACCTCGAGAGGCACGCGGAGTTCACGGCTTCAAAAAGTGACGATGCCTGACTCCTCTAAAATATTGATAGGAATCCCAAAATCCCTGTGGCTATTGGAAAGGTTCCTTGGGTGCCCTGCCTCACCTCGAGAAGCGTCCCTTGTGCCCTGCCAAGCCTCGAAGAGATTCCTGAGGTGTCTCTCGTTACTAGACAGGAGTCCTGACGTCACTGAATAAACACGTGTTTTGAAGGGCCATCACCGCCATAACTCGAGAACATACGCCAGTTCCCGCCGCAACTCGAGTAAAACCATGAGACTTCCCCTAGATGCGAGATGAGGCCTGATTCCCTGCAGTCCATGCAGAGCATTCCCGTGATCCCCATCAAGCAAGTCAGGAGCTTCGACTTGCTTAATGGATCTCGAGACAGTCCCCAAGAACACTGTCACATGTCTAGATGGATCCTGAGGTCACCCCATCAATGCAAAGCAGCACCATGTGCCCCAAATCAACTCGAGATAATGCCCGATTCCCCTGCATTGACTCCAGAGCCATCCCCCGTTCCACATTAAACACGACCAGTGGCTTGACTTCCTTCAGGCAACTCCAGAGATGCCCTGAGAACACTGTCCCAAGTCTAGAGGAACACCATCTTCAGCACAGCAACTCGAGGAATGCTCCGTGTACCCCAAATCGTCTCGAGATGAGAGCTGATTCCCTGGCTTAGGCTCAAGACGGATGCCAACTTTCCAAAAGCACCTCAAGGGGAGCCTTCTCTCAGCAATAGGTATGTTGGAGGGACCCCCAGTTTGCTGCCTCAAGTGGAATATACAGCGAGAAGCCCTAACTTGAATGGAGGCCGGATTTCCTTGCAGTGTCTTGTATATAGGCTCGTCTTTCATCTCACAACAGGAAGGGATGTCTGAATCCCATGTGAAGACCTTAGAGAAAGCCCTAGGTCCCTGCCTCATTTTGACGGAATGCCTCACATCCCGTTGACACCTCGAGAGGCACGCGGAGTTCACTGCTTCAAATGTGACGATGCCTGACCCCTCCTGATCATTGATAGGAATCCCAAAATCACTGTGGCTACAGGAAAGTGTTCTTGTGTGCCCTGCCTCACCTCGAGAAGCAACCCTTTTGCCCTACCAAGGCTCGAAGAGATTCCTGAGCTGTCCCTCGTTACTGGACAGGAGTCCTGACGTCACTGAATAAACACGAGTTTTGAAGGGCCATCCCCGCCATAAGCCGAGTACATACCCCAGGTCCCCGCCGCAAGTCGAGAAAAACCATGAGACTTTCCCCTAGAGGCGAGATGAGGCCCGATTCTCCTGCAGTGCATGCAGAGCAATTCCGTGATCCCCATCAAACAAGTCAGAAGCTTCGACTTGCTTAATGGATCTCGAGACAGTCCCCAAGAACACTGTCACATGTCTAGACGGATCCTGAGGTCACCCCATCAACGCAAAGCAGCACCATGTGCCCCAAATCAACTCGAGATAATGCCCGATTCCCCTGCATTGACTCCAGAGCCATCCCCCGTTCCACATTAAACACAACCAGTGTCTTGACTTCCTTCAGGCAACTCCAGAGATGACCTGAGAACACTGTCCCAAGTCTAGAGGAACACCATCTTCAGCACAGCAACTCGAGGAATGCTCCGTGTACCCCAAATCGTCTCGAGATGAAAGCTGAATCCCTGGCTTAGGCTCAAGACGTATGCCAACTTTTCAGAAGCACCTCAAGGGGAGCCTTCTCTCAGCAATAGGTATGTTGGAGGGACCCCCAGTTTGCTGCCTCAAGTGGAATATGCAGCGAGAAGCCCTAACTTGAAAGGAGGCCGGATTTCCTTGCTGTGTCTTGAATACAGGCTCGTCTTTCATCTCACAACCGGAAGGAATGTCTGAATCCCCTGTGGAGACCTTAGAGAAAGCCCTAGGTCCCTGCCTCATTTTGACGGAATGCCTCACATCCCGTTGACACCTCGAGAGGCACACGGAGTTCACTGCTTCAAAATGTGACGATGCCTGACTCCTCCTGAACATTGATAGGAATCCCAAAATCACTGTAGCTACAGGACAGGGTTCTTGGGTGCCCTGCCTGACCTCGAGAAGCATCCCTTTTGCCCTGCCAAGCCTCGAAGAGATTCCTGAGGTGTCTCTCGTTACTAGACAGGAGTCCTGACGTCACTGAATAAACACGTGTTTTGAAGGGCCATCCCCGCCGTAACTCGAGTACATACCCCAGTTCCCCGCCGCAACTCGAGAAAAACCATGAGACTTCCGCCTAGAGGCGAGATAAGGCCCGATTCTCCTGCAGTGCATGCAGAGCAATTCCGTGATCCCCATCAAACAAGTCAGGGGCTTCGACTTGCTTAATGGATCTCGAGACATTCCCCAAGAACACTGTCACATGTCTAGACGGACCCTGAGGTATCCCCAGCAACGCAAAGCAGCTCCATGTGCCCCAAATCAACTTGAGATGAGGTCCGATTCCCCTGCATTGACTCCAGAGCCATCTGCCGTTCCGCATTAAACACCACCAGTGGCTTGACCTCCTTCAGACAACTCCAGAGATGCCCCGAGAACACTGTCCCAAGTCTACAGGAATACCTACTTTAGCACAGCAACTCGAGGAATGCTTCCTGTATGCCAAATCCTCTCGAGATGAGAGCTGATTCCCTGGTTTAGGCTCAAGACGTATGCCAACTTTCCAGAAGCACCTCAAGAGGAGGCTTCTCTCAGCAATAGGTATGTGGGAGGGAACCCGAGTTTGCTGCCTCAAAGGGAATATACAGCGAGAAGCACTAACTAGAAAGGAGGCCGGTTTCCTAGCAGTGTCTTGAATACAGGCTCGTCTTTCATCTCACAGCAGGAAGAGATGTGTGAATCCCCTGTGGAGACCTTAGAGAAAGCCCTAGGTCCCTGCTTCATTTTGACGGAATGCCTCACATCCCGTTGACACCTCGAGAGTCACGCGGAGTCCACTGCTCCAAAAGCTGACGTTGCCTGACTCCCCTTGAATACTGATAGGAATCACAAAATCCCTGTGGCTATTTGAAAGTTTCCTTGGGTGCCCTGCCTCACCTCGAGAAGCGTCCCTTGTGCCTGCAAGCCTCGAAGAGATTCCTGAGCTGTCCCTCGTTACTGGACAGGAGTCCTGACGTCACTGAATAAACACGAGTTTTTAAGGGCCATACCCGACGTAACCCGAGTACATAACCCAGGTCCCCGCCGCAAGTCGAGAAAAACCATGAGACTTTCCCCTCTTGGCGAGATGAGGCCCGATTCTCCTGCAGTGCATGCAGAGCAATTCCGTGATCCCCAACAAACAAGTCAGGACCTTCGACTTGCTTAATGGATCTCGAGACAGTCCCCAAGAATACTGTCACATATCTAGACGGATCCTGAGGTCACCGCATCAACGCAAAGCAGCACCATGTGCCCCACATCAACTCGAGATAATGCCCGATTCCCCTGCATTGACTCCAGAGCCATCCCCCGTTCCAGATTAAACACCACCAGTGGCTTGACTTCCTTCAGACAACTCCAGAGATGCCCTGAGAACACTGTCCCAAGTCTAGAGGAACACCATCTTCAGCACAGCAACTCGAGGAATGCTCCGTGTACCCCAAATCGTCTCGAGATGAGAGCTGATCCCTGGCTTAGGCTCAAGACGTATGCCAACTTTCCAGAAGCACCTCAAGGGGAGGCTTCTCTCAGCAATAGGTATGTTGGAGGGACCCCCAGTTTCCTGCCTCAAGTGGAATATGCAGCGAGAAGCCTTAACTTGAAAGGAGGCCGGGTTTCCCTGCAGTGTCTTGAATACAGGCTCGACTTTCATCTCACAACCGGAAGGAAAGTCTGAATCCCCTGTGGAGACCTTAGCGATAGCCCTAGGTCCCTGCCTCATTTTGACGGAATGCCTCACATCCCGTTGACACCTCGAGAGGCACGCGGAGTTCACTGCTTCAAAATGTGACGATGCCTGACTCCTCCTGAACATTGATAGGAATCCCAAAATTACTGTAGCTACAGGACAGGGTCCTTGGGTGCCCTGCCTCACCTCGAGAAGCAACCCTTTTGCCCTGCCAAGCCTCGAAGAGATTCCTGAGGTGTCTCTCGTTACTAGACAGGAGTCCTGACGTCACTGAATAAACACGTGTTTTGAAGGGCCATCCCCGCCATAACTCGAGAACATACCCCAGTTCGCGCCGCAACTCGAGTAAAACCATGAGACTTCCCCTAGATGCGAGATGAGGCCTGAGTCCCTGCAGTCCATGCAGAGCATTCCCGTGATCCCCATCAAGCAAGTCAGGAGCTTCGACTTGCTTAATTCAACTCGAGAAAGTCCCCAGGAACACTGTCACAAGTCTAGACAGACCCTGAGGTCACCCCAGCAATGCAAAGCAGCTGCAAGTACCCCACATCAACTCGAGATGAGGCCCGATTCCCATGCATTGACTCCAGAGCCATCCCCCGTTCCACATTAAACACGACCAGTGGCTTGACTTCCTTCAGGCAACTCCAGAGATGCCCTGAGAACACTGTCCCAAGTCTAGAGGAACACCATCTTCAGCACAGCAACTCGAGGAATGCTCCGTGTACCCCAAATCGTCTCGAGATGAGAGCTGATTCCCTGGCATAGGCTCAAGACGTATGCCAACTTTCCAGAAGCACCTCAAGGGGAGCCTTTTCTCAGCAATAGGTATGTTGGAGGGACCCCCAGTTTGCTGCCTCAAGTGGAATATACAGCGAGAAGCCCTAACTTGAAAGGAGGCCGGATTTCCTTGCAGTGGCTTGAATAAAGGTTCGTCTTTCATCTCACAGAATGAAGGGATGTCTGAATCCCCTGTGGAGACCTTAGAGAAAGCTATAGGTCCCTGCCTCATTTTGACGGAATGCCTCACATCCCGTTGTCACCTCGAGAGGCACGCGGAGTTCACGGCTTCAAAAAGTGACGATGCCTGACTCCTCTAAAATATTGATAGGAATCCCAAAATCCCTGTGGCTATTGGAAAGGTTCCTTGGGTGCCCTGCCTCACCTGGAGAAGCGTCCCTTGTGCCCTGCCAAGCCTCGAAGAGATTCCTGAGGTGTCTCTCGTTACTAGACAGGAGTCCTGACGTCACTGAATAAACACGTGTTTTGAACGGCCATCCCGCCATAACTCGAGAACATACCCCAGTTCCCGACGCAACTCGAGTAAAACCATGAGACTTCCCCTAGATGCGAGATGAGGCCTGATTCCCTGCAGTCCATGCAGAGCATTCCCGTGATCCCCATCAAGCAAGTCAGGAGCTTTGACTTGCTACATGGATCTCGAGAGAGTCCCCAAGAACACTGTCACATGTCTAGATGGATCCTGAGATCACCCCATCAACCCAAAGCAGCACCATGTGCCCCAAATCAACTCGAGATAATGCCCGATTACCCTGCATTGACTCCAGAGCCATCCCCCGTTCCACATTAAACACCACCAGTGGCTTGACTTCCTTCAGGCAACTCCAGAGATGCCCCGAGAACACTGTCCCAAGTCTTGAGGAATACGAACTTCAGCACAGCAACTCGAGGAATGCCCCGTGTACCACAAATCGTCTCGAGATGAGAGCTGATTCCCTCGCTTAGGCTCAAGACGTATGCCAACTTTCCAGAAGCACCTCAAGAGGAGGCTTCTCTCAGCAATAGGTATGTTTGTGGGACCCCGAGTTTGCTGCCTAAAGTGGAATATACAGCGAGAAGCCCTAACTTGAAAGGAGGCCGGATTTCCTTGCAGCGTCTTGTATACAGGCTCGTCTTTCATCTCACAACAGGAAAGGATGTCTGAATCCCCTGTGAAGACCTTAGAGAAAGCCCTAGGTCCCTGCCTCATTGTGACGGAATGCCTCACATCCCGTTGACACCACGAGAGGCACGCGGAGTTCACTGCTTCAAAAGGTGACGATGCCTGACTCCTCTTGAATATTGATAGGAATCCCAAAATCCCTGTGGCTATTGGAATGGTTCCTTGGGTGCCCTGCCTCACCTCGAGAAGCGTCCCTTGTGCCCCGGCAAGCCTCGAAGAGATTCCTGAGCTGTCCCTCGTTACTGGACAGGAGTCCTGACGTCACTGAATAAACACGTGTTTTGAAGGGCCATCGCCGCCGTAACTCGAGTACATACCCCAGGTCCCCGCCGCAACTCGAGAAAAACCATGAGACTTCCCCTAGATGCGAGATGAGGCCTGATTCCCTGCAGTCCATGCAGAGCATTCCCGTGATCCCAATCAAGCAAGTCAGCAGCTTCGAATTGCTTAATGGATCTCGAGATAGTCCCCAGGAACACTGTCACAAGTCTAGACAGACCCTGACATCACCCCAGCAACGCAAAGCAGCTCCAAGTACCCCACATCAACTCGCGTTGAGGCCTGATTCCCATGCATTGACTCCAGAGCCATCCCCCGTACCCCATTAAGCACCACCAGTGGCTTGACTTCCTTCAGGCAACTCGAGAGATGCCCCGAGAACACTGTCCCAAGTCTAGAGGAATACGAACTTCAGCACAGCAACTCGAGGAATGCTCCGTGTACCCCAAATCGTTTCGAGGTGAGAGCTGATTCCATGGCTTAGGCTCAAGACGTATGCCAACTTTCCAGAAGCACCTCAAGAGGAGGCTTCTCTCAGCAATAGGTATTTGGGAGGGACCCCGAGTTTGCTGCCTCAAGTGGAATATACAGCGAGAAGCCCTAACTTGAAAGGAGGACGGATTTCCTTTCAGTGGCTTGGATACAGGCTCGTCTTTCATCTCACAGCATGAAGGGATGTCTGAATCCCCTGTGGAGACCTTAGAGAAAGCTCTAGGTCCCTGCATCATTTTGACGGAATGCCTCACACCCAGTTGACACTTCGAGAGGCACGCGAGTTCACTGCTTCAAAAGGTGATGATGCCTGACTCGTCTTGAATATTGATAGGAATCCCAAAATCACTGTGGCTACTGGAAAGGGTCATTGGTTGCCCTGCCTCACCTCGAGAAGCATACCTTTTGACCTGCCAAGCCTCGAAGAGATTCCTGAGGTGTCCCTCGTTACGAGACAGGAGTCCTGACTTCACTGAATAAACACGGGTTTTGAGGGGCCATCCCCCCGTAACTCGAGAAGATACCCCAGGTCCCCCGCGCAACTTGAGAGAAACCGTGAGCCTTCCCCCTAGATGCGAGATGAGTCCAGATTCCCTGCAGTGCATTCAGAGTATTCCCATGATCCCAATCAAACAAGTCAGGAGCTTCGAGTTGCTTAATGGATCTCGAGACAGTCCCCAAGAACACTGTCACAAGTCTAGACGGACCCTGAGGTCACCCCAGCAACGCAAAGCAGCTCCATGTGCCCCAAATCAACTTGAGATGAGGTCCGATTCCCCTGCATTGACTCCAGAGCCATCTGCCGTTCCGCATTAAACACCACCAGTGGCTTGACCTCCTTCAGACAACTCCAGAGATGCCCCGAGAACACTGTCCCAAGTCTACAGGAACACCTACTTTAGCACAGCAACTCGAGGAATGCTTCCTGTATGCCAAATCCTCTCGAGATGAGAGCTGATTCCCTGGTTTAGGCTCAAGACGTATGCCAACTTTCCAGAAGCACCTCAAGAGGAGGCTTCTCTCAGCAATAGGTATGTGGGAGGGAACCCGAGTTTGCTGCCTCAAAGGGAATATACAGCGAGAAGCACTAACTAGAAAGGAGGCCGGTTTCCTAGCAGTGTCTTGAATACAGGCTCGTCTTTCATCTCACAGCAGGAAGAGATGTGTGAATCCCCTGTGGAGACCTTAGAGAAAGCCCTAGGTCCCTGCTTCATTTTGACGGAATGCCTCACATCCCGTTGACACCTCGAGAGTCACGCGGAGTCCACTGCTCCAAAAGCTGACGTTGCCTGACTCCTCTTGAATACTGATAGGAATCACAAAATCCCTGTGGCTATTTGAAAGTTTCCTTGGGTGCCCTGCCTCACCTCGAGAAGCGTCCCTTGTGCCTGCAAGCCTCGAAGAGATTCCTGAGCTGTCCCTCGTTACTGGACAGGAGTCCTGACGTCACTGAATAAACACGAGTTTTTAAGGGCCATACCCGACGTAACCCGAGTACATAACCCAGGTCCCCGCCGCAAGTCGAGAAAAACCATGAGACTTTCCCCTCTTGGCGAGATGAGGCCCGATTCTCCTGCAGTGCATGCAGAGCAATTCCGTGATCCCCATCAAACAAGTCAGGACCTTCGACTTGCTTAATGGATCTCGAGACAGTCCCCAAGAATACTGTCACATATCTAGACGGATCCTGAGGTCACCGCATCAACGCAAAGCAGCACCATGTGCCCCACATCAACTCGAGATAATGCCCGATTCCCCTGCATTGACTCCAGAGCCATCCCCCGTTCCAGATTAAACACCACCAGTGGCTTGACTTCCTTCAGACAACTCCAGAGATGCCCTGAGAACACTGTCCCAAGTCTAGAGGAACACCATCTTCAGCACAGCAACTCGAGGAATGCTCCGTGTACCCCAAATCGTCTCGAGATGAGAGCTGATCCCTGGCTTAGGCTCAAGACGTATGCCAACTTTCCAGAAGCACCTCAAGGGGAGGCTTCTCTCAGCAATAGGTATGTTGGAGGGACCCCCAGTTTCCTGCCTCAAGTGGAATATGCAGCGAGAAGCCTTAACTTGAAAGGAGGCCGGGTTTCCCTGCAGTGTCTTGAATACAGGCTCGACTTTCATCTCACAACCGGAAGGAAAGTCTGAATCCCCTGTGGAGACCTTAGCGATAGCCCTAGGTCCCTGCCTCATTTTGACGGAATGCCTCACATCCCGTTGACACCTCGAGAGGCACGCGGAGTTCACTGCTTCAAAATGTGACGATGCCTGACTCCTCCTGAACATTGATAGGAATCCCAAAATTACTGTAGCTACAGGACAGGGTCCTTGGGTGCCCTGCCTCACCTCGAGAAGCAACCCTTTTGCCCTGCCAAGCCTCGAAGAGATTCCTGAGGTGTCTCTCGTTACTAGACAGGAGTCCTGACGTCACTGAATAAACACGTGTTTTGAAGGGCCATCCCCGCCATAACTCGAGAACATACCCCAGTTCGCGCCGCAACTCGAGTAAAACCATGAGACTTCCCCTAGATGCGAGATGAGGCCTGAGTCCCTGCAGTCCATGCAGAGCATTCCCGTGATCCCCATCAAGCAAGTCAGGAGCTTCGACTTGCTTAATTCAACTCGAGAAAGTCCCCAGGAACACTGTCACAAGTCTAGACAGACCCTGAGGTCACCCCAGCAATGCAAAGCAGCTGCAAGTACCCCACATCAACTCGAGATGAGGCCCGATTCCCATGCATTGACTCCAGAGCCATCCCCCGTTCCACATTAAACACGACCAGTGGCTTGACTTCCTTCAGGCAACTCCAGAGATGCCCTGAGAACACTGTCCCAAGTCTAGAGGAACACCATCTTCAGCACAGCAACTCGAGGAATGCTCCGTGTACCCCAAATCGTCTCGAGATGAGAGCTGATTCCCTGGCATAGGCTCAAGACGTATGCCAACTTTCCAGAAGCACCTCAAGGGGAGCCTTTTCTCAGCAATAGGTATGTTGGAGGGACCCCCAGTTTGCTGCCTCAAGTGGAATATACAGCGAGAAGCCCTAACTTGAAAGGAGGCCGGATTTCCTTGCAGTGGCTTGAATAAAGGTTCGTCTTTCATCTCACAGAATGAAGGGATGTCTGAATCCCCTGTGGAGACCTTAGAGAAAGCTATAGGTCCCTGCCTCATTTTGACGGAATGCCTCACATCCCGTTGTCACCTCGAGAAGCACGCGAAGTTCACGGCTTCAAAAAGTGACGATGCCTGACTCCTCTAAAATATTGATAGGAATCCCAAAATCCCTGTGGCTATTGGAAAGGTTCCTTGGGTGCCCTGCCTCACCTCGAGAAGCGTCCCTTGTGCCCTGCCAAGCCTCGAAGAGATTCCTGAGGTGTCTCTCGTTACTAGACAGGAGTCCTGACGTCACTGAATAAACACGTGTTTTGAACGGCCATCCCGCCATAACTCGAGAACATACCCCAGTTCCCGACGCAACTCGAGTAAAACCATGAGACTTCCCCTAGATGCGAGATGAGGCCTGATTCCCTGCAGTCCATGCAGAGCATTCCCGTGATCCCCATCAAGCAAGTCAGGAGCTTCGACTTGCTACATGGATCTCGAGAGAGTCCCCAAGAACACTGTCACATGTCTAGATGGATCCTGAGATCACCCCATCAACCCAAAGCAGCACCATGTGCCCCAAATCAACTCGAGATAATGCCCGATTACCCTGCATTGACTCCAGAGCCATCCCCCGTTCCACATTAAACACCACCAGTGGCTTGACTTCCTTAAGGCAACTCCAGAGATGCCCCAAGAACACTGTCCCAAGTCTTGAGGAATACGAACTTCAGCACAGCAACTCGAGGAATGCCCCGTGTACCACAAATCGTCTCGAGATGAGAGCTGATTCCCTCGCTTAGGCTCAAGACGTATGCCAACTTTCCTGAAGCACCTCAAGAGGAGGCTTCTCTCAGCAATAGGTATGTTCGTGGGACCCCGAGTTTGCTGCCTAAAGTGGAATATACAGCGAGAAGCCCTAACTTGAAAGGAGGCCGGATTTCCTTGCAGTGTCTTGTATACAGGCTCGTCTTTCATCTCACAACAGGAAAGGATGTCTGAATCCCCTGTGAAGACCTTAGAGAAAGCCCTAGGTCCCTGCCTCATTGTGACGGAATGCCTCACATCCCGTTGACACCACGAGAGGCACGCGGAGTTCACTGCTTCAAAAGGTGACGATGCCTGACTCCTCTTGAATATTGATAGGAATCCCAAAATCCCTGTGGCTATTGGAATGGTTCCTTGGGTGCCCTGCCTCACCTCGAGAAGCGTCCCTTGTGCCCCGGCAAGCCTCGAAGAGATTCCTGAGCTGTCCCTCGTTACTGGACAGGAGTCCTGACGTCACTGAATAAACACGTGTTTTGAAGGGCCATCGCCGCCGTAACTCGAGTACATACCCCAGGTCCCCGCGGCAACTCGAGAAAAACCATGAGACTTCCCCTAGATGCGAGATGAGGCCTGATTCCCTGCAGTCCATGCAGAGCATTCCCGTGATCCCAATCAAGCAAGTCAGCAGCTTCGAATTGCTTAATGGATCTCGAGATAGTCCCCAGGAACACTGTCACAAGTCTAGACAGACCCTGACATCACCCCAGCAACGCAAAGCAGCTCCAAGTACCCCACATCAACTCGCGTTGAGGCCCGATTCCCATGCATTGACTCCAGAGCCATCCCCCGTACCCCACTAAGCACCACCAGTGGCTTGACTTCCTTCAGGCAACTCGAGAGATGCCCCGAGAACACTGTCCCAAGTCTAGAGGAATACGAACTTCAGCACAGCAACTCGAGGAATGCTCCGTGTACCCCAAATCGTTTCGAGGTGAGAGCTGATTCCATCGCTTAGGCTCAAGACGTATGCCAACTTTCCAGAAGCACCTCAAGAGGAGGCTTCTCTCAGCAATAGGTATTTGGGAGGGACCCCGAGTTTGCTGCCTCAAGTGGAATATACAGCGAGAAGCCCTAACTTGAAAGGAGGACGGATTTCCTTTCAGTGGCTTGGATACAGGCTCGTCTTTCATCTCACAGCATGAAGGGATGTCTGAATCCCCTGTGGAGACCTTAGAGAAAGCTCTAGGTCCCTGCATCATTTTGACGGAATGCCTCACACCCAGTTGACACTTCGAGAGGCACGCGGAGTTCACTGCTTCAAAAGGTGATGATGCCTGACTCGTCTTGAATATTGATAGGAATCCCAAAATCACTGTGGCTACTGGAAAGGGTCATTGGTTGCCCTGCCTCACCTCGAGAAGCATACCTTTTGACCTGCCAAGCCTCGAAGAGATTCCTGAGGTGTCCCTCGTTACGAGACAGGAGTCCTGACTTCACTGAATAAACACGGGTTTTGAGGGGCCATCCCCCCGTAACTCGAGAAGATACCCCAGGTCCCCCGCGCAACTTGAGAGAAACCGTGAGACTTCCCCCTAGATGCGAGATGAGTCCAGATTCCCTGCAGTGCATGCAGAGTATTCCCATGATCCCCATCAAACAAGTCAGGAGCTTCGAGTTGCTTAATGGATCTCGAGACAGTCCCCAAGAACACTGTCACAAGTCTAGACGGACCCTGAGGTCACCCCAGCAACGCAAAGCAGCTCCATGTGCCCCAAATCAACCCGAGATGTGGCCCGATTCCCCTGCATTGACTCCAGAGCCATCCCCAGTTCCCCATTAAACAAGACAACTGGCTAGACTTCCTTCAGGCAACTCCAGAGATGCCCCGCAAACACTCTCCCAAGACTAGAGGAACACCAACTTCAGCACAGCAACTCGAGGAATGCTCCGTGTACCACAAATCGTCTCGAGATGAGAGCTGAATCCCTGGCTTAGGCTCAAGACGTATGCCAACTTTCCAGAAGCACCTCAAGAGGAGGCTTCTCTCAGCAATAGGTATGTTGGAGGGACCCCGAGTTTGCTGCCTCAAGTGGAATATACAGCGAGAAGCCCTAACTTGAAAGGAGGCCGGATTTCCTTGCAGTGGCTTGAATACAGGCTCGTCTTTCATCTCACAGAATGAAGGGATGTCTGAATCCCCTGTGGAGACCTTAGAGAAAGCTCTAGGTCCCTGCCTCATTTTGACGGAATGCCTCACATCCCGTTGTCACCTAGAGAGGCATGCGGAGTTCACTGCTTCAAAATGTGATGATGCCTGACTCCTCTAAAATATTGATAGGAATCCCAAAATCCCTGTGGCTATTGGAAAGGTTCCTTGGGTGCCCTGCCTCACCTCGAGAAGTGTCCCTTGTGCCCTGCCAAGCCTCGAAGAGATTCCTGAGCTGTTCCTCGTTACTGGACAGGAGTCCTGACATCACTGAATAAACACGAGTTTTGAAGGGCCATCCCGCCATAACTCGAGAACATACCCCAGTTCCCGACGCAACTCGAGTAAAACCATGAGACTTTCCCCTAGAGGCGAGATGAGGCCCGATTCTCCTGCAGTGCATGCAGAGCAATTCCGAGATCCCCATCAAACAAGTCAGAAGCTTCGACTTGCTTAATGGATCTCGAGACAGTCACCAGGGAACACTGTCACATGTCTAGACGGATCCTGAGGTCACCCCATCAACGCAAAGCAGCACCATGTGCCCCAAATCAACTCGAGATAATGCCCGATTCCCCTGCATTGACTCCAGAGCCATCCCCCGTTCCACATTAAACACGACCAGTGGCTTGACTTCCTTCAGGCAACTCCAGAGATGCCCTGAGAACACTGTCCCAAGTCTAGAGGAACACCATCTTCAGCCCAGCAACTCGAGGAATGCTCCGTGTACCCCAAATCGTCTCGAGATGAGAGCTGATTCGATGGCTTAGGCTCAAGACGTATGCCAACTTTCCAGAAGCACCTCAAGGGGAGCCTTCTCTCAGCAATAGGAATGTTGGAGGGACCCCCAGTTTGCTGCCTCAAGTGGAATATACAGCGAGAAGCCCTAACTTGAAAGGAGGCCGGATTTTCTTGCTGTGTCTTGAATACAGGCTCGTCTTTCATCTCACAACCGGAAGGAATGTCTGAATCCCCTGTGGAGACCTTAGAGAAAGCCCTAGGTCCCTGCCTCATTTTAACGGAATGCCTCACATACCGTTGACACCTCGAGAGGCACACGGAGTTCACTGCCTCAAAATGTGACGATGCCTGACTCCTCCTGAACATTGATAGGAATCCCAAAATCACTGTAGCTACAGGACAGGGTTCTTGGGTGCCCTGCCTGACCTCGAGAAGCATCCCTTTTGCCCTGCCAAGCCTCGAAGAGATTCCTGAGGTGTCTCTCGTTACTAGACAGGAGTCCTGACGTCACTGAATAAACACGTGTTTTGAAGGGCCATCACCGCCATAACTCGAGAACATACGCCAGTTCCCGCCGCAACTCGAGTAAAACCATGAGACTTCCCCTAGATGCGAGATGAGGCCTGATTCCCTGCAGTCCATGCAGAGCATTCCCGTGATCCCCATCAAGCAAGTCAGGAGCTTCGACTTGCTTAATGGATCTCGAGACAGTCCCCAAGAACACTGTCACATGTCTAGATGGATCCTGAGGTCACCCCATCAATGCAAAGCAGCACCATGTGCCCCAAATCAACTCGAGATAATGCCCGATTCCCCTGCATTGACTCCAGAGCCATCCCCCGTTCCACATTAAACACGACCAGTGGCTTGACTTCCTTCAGGCAACTCCAGAGATGCCCTGAGAACACTGTCCCAAGTCTAGAGGAACACCATCTTCAGCACAGCAACTCGAGGAATGCTCCGTGTACCCCAAATCGTCTCGAGATGAGAGCTGATTCCCTGGCTTAGGCTCAAGACGGATGCCTACTTTCCAAAAGCACCTCAAGGGGAGCCTTCTCTCAGCAATAGGTATGTTGGAGGGACCCCCAGTTTGCTGCCTCAAGTGGAATATACAGCGAGAAGCCCTAACTTGAATGGAGGCCGGATTTCCTTGCAGTGTCTTGTATATAGGCTCGTCTTTCATCTCACAACAGGAAGGGATGTCTGAATCCCCTGTGAAGACCTTAGAGAAAGCCCTAGGTCCCTGGCTCATTTTGACGGAATGCCTCACATCCCGTTGACACCTCGAGAGGCACGCGGAGTTCACTGCTTCAAATGTGACGATGCCTGACCCCTCCTGATCATTGATAGGAATCCCAAAATCACTGTGGCTACAGGAAAGTGTTCTTGTGTGCCCTGCCTCACCTCGAGAAGCAACCCTTTTGCCCTGCCAAGGCTCGAAGAGATTCCTGAGCTGTCCCTCGTTACTGGACAGGAGTCCTGACGTCACTGAATAAACACGAGTTTTGAAGGGCCATCCCCGCCATAAGCCGAGTACATACCCCAGGTCCCCGCCGCAAGTAGAGAAAAACCATGAGACTTTCCCCTAGAGGCGAGATGAGGCCCGATTCTCCTGCAGTGCATGCAGAGCAATTCCGTGATCCCCATCAAACAAGTCAGAAGCTTCGACTTGCTTAATGGATCTCGAGACAGTCCCCAAGAACACTGTCACATGTCTAGACGGATCCTGAGGTCACCCCATCAATGCAAAGCAGCACCATGTGCCCCAAATCAACTCGAGATAATGCCCGATTCCCCTGCATTGACTCCAGAGCCATCCCCCGTTCCACATTAAACACAACCAGTGTCTTGACTTCCTTCAGGCAACTCCAGAGATGACCTGAGAACACTGTCCCAAGTCTAGAGGAACACCATCTTCAGCACAGCAACTCGAGGAATGCTCCGTGTACCCCAAATCGTCTCGAGATGAAAGCTGAATCCCTGGCTTAGGCTCAAGACGTATGCCAACTTTTCAGAAGCACCTCAAGGGGAGCCTTCTCTCAGCAATAGGTATGTTGGAGGGACCCCCAGTTTGCTGCCTCAAGTGGAATATGCAGCGAGAAGCCCTAACTTGAAAGGAGGCCGGATTTCCTTGCTGTGTCTTGAATACAGGCTCGTCTTTCATCTCACAACCAGAAGGAATGTCTGAATCCCCTGTGGAGACCTTAGAGAAAGCCCTAGGTCCCTGCCTCATTTTGACGGAATGCCTCACATCCCGTTGACACCTCGAGAGGCACACGGAGTTCACTGCTTCAAAATGTGACGATGCCTGACTCCTACTGAACATTGATAGGAATCCCAAAATCACTGTAGCTACAGGACAGGGTTCTTGGGTGCCCTGCCTGACCTCGAGAAGCATCCCTTTTGCCCTGCCAAGCCTCGAAGAGATTCCTGAGGTGTCTCTCGTTACTAGACAGGAGTCCTGACGTCACTGAATAAACACGTGTTTTGAAGGGCCATCCCCGCCGTAACTCGAGTACGTACCCCAGTTCCCCGCCGCAACTCGAGAAAAACCATGAGACTTCTGCCTAGAGGCGAGATAAGGCCCGATTCTCCTGCAGTGCATGCAGAGCAATTCCGTGATCCCCATCAAACAAGTCAGGGGCTTCGACTTGCTTAATGGATCTCGAGACATTCCCCAAGAACACTGTCACATGTCTAGACGGACCCTGAGGTATCCCCAGCAACGCAAAGCAGCTCCATGTGCCCCAAATCAACTTGAGATGAGGTCCGATTCCCCTGCATTGACTCCAGAGCCATCTGCCGTTCCGCATTAAACACCACCAGTGGCTTGACCTCCTTCAGACAACTCCAGAGATGCCCCGAGAACACTGTCCCAAGTCTACAGGAACACCTACTTTAGCACAGCAACTCGAGGAATGCTTCCTGTATGCCAAATCCTCTCGAGATGAGAGCTGATTCCCTGGTTTAGGCTCAAGACGTATGCCAACTTTCCAGAAGCACCTCAACAGGAGGCTTCTCTCAGCAATAGGTATGTGGGAGGGAACCCGAGTTTGCTGCCTCAAAGGGAATATACAGCGAGAAGCACTAACTAGAAAGGAGGCCGGTTTCCTAGCAGTGTCTTGAATACAGGCTCGTCTTTCATCTCACAGCAGGAAGAGATGTGTGAATCCCCTGTGGAGACCTTAGAGAAAGCCCTAGGTCCCTGCTTCATTTTGACGGAATGCCTCACATCCCGTTGACACCTCGAGAGTCACGCGGAGTCCACTGCTCCAAAAGCTGACGTTGCCTGACTCCTCTTGAATATTGATAGGAATCACAAAATCCCTGTGGCTATTTGAAAGGTTCCTTGGGTGCCCTGCCTCACCTCGAGAAGCGTCCCTTGTGCCTGCCAAGCCTCGAAGAGATTCCTGAGCTGTCCCTCGTTACTGGACAGGAGTCCTGACGTCACTGAATAAACACGACTTTTTAAGGGCCATACCCGCCGTAACCCGAGTACATAACCCAGGTCCCCGCCGCAAGTCGAGAAAAACCATGAGACTTTCCCCTCTTGGCGAGATGAGGCCCGATTCTCCTGCAGTGCATGCAGAGCAATTCCGTGATCCCCATCAAACAAGTCAGGACCTTCGACTTGCTTAATGGATCTCGAGACAGTCCCCAAGAATACTGTCACATATCTAGACGGATCCTGAGGTCACCCCATCAACGCAAAGCAGCACCATGTGCCCCACATCAACTCGAGATAATGCCCGATTCCCCTGCATTGACTCCAGAGCCATCCCCCGTTCCACATTAAAAACCACCAGTGGCTTGACTTCCTTCAGACAACTCCAGAGATGCCCTGAGAACACTGTCCCAAGTCTAGAGGAACACCATCTTCAGCACAGCAACTCGAGGAATGCTCCGTGTACCCCAAATCGTCTCGAGATGAGAGCTGATCCCTGGCTTAGGCTCAAGACGTATGCCAACTTTCCAGAAGCACCTCAAGGGGAGGCTTCTCTCAGCAATAGGTATGTTGGAGGGACCCCCAGTTTCCTGCCTCAAGTGGAATATGCAGCGAGAAGCCTTAACTTGAAAGGAGGCCGGGTTTCCCTGCAGTGTCTTGAATACAGGCTCGACTTTCATCTCACAACCGGAAGGAAAGTCTGAATCCCCTGTGGAGACCTTAGCGATAGCCCTAGGTCCCTGCCTCATTTTGACGGAATGCCTCACATCCCGTTGACACCTCGAGAGGCACGCGGAGTTCACTGCTTCAAAATGTGACGATGCCTGACTCCTCCTGAACATTGATAGGAATCCCAAAATTACTGTAGCTACAGGACAGGGTCCTTGGGTGCCCTGCCTCACCTCGAGAAGCAACCCTTTTGCCCTGCCAAGCCTCGAAGAGATTCCTGAGGTGTCTCTCGTTACTAGACAGGAGTCCAGACGTCACTGAATAAACACGTGTTTTGAAGGGCCATCCCCGCCATAACTCGAGAACATACCCCAGTTCCCGCCGCAACTCGAGTAAAACCATGAGACTTCCCCTGGATGCGAGATGAGGCCTGATTCCCTGCAGTCCATACAGAGCATTCCCGTGATCCCCATCAAGCAAGTCAGGAGCTTCGACTTGCTTAATTCAACTCGAGAAAGTCCCCAGGAACACTGTCACAAGTCTAGACAGACCCTGAAGTCACCCCAGCAATGCAAAGCAGCTGCAAGTACCCCACATCAACTCGAGATGAGGCCCGATTCCCATGCATTGACTCCAGAGCCATCCCCCGTTCCACATTAAACACGACCAGTGGCTTGACTTCCTTCAGGCAACTCCAGAGATGCCCTGAGAACACTGTCCCAAGTCTAGAGGAACACCATCTTCAGCACAGCAACTCGAGGAATGCTCCGTGTACCCCAAATCGTCTCGAGATGAGAGCTGATTCCCTGGCTTAGGCTCAAGACGTATGCCAACTTTCCTGAAGCACCTCAAGGGGAGCCTTCTCTCAGCAATAGGTATGTTGGAGGGACCCCCAGTTTGCTGCCTCAAGTGGAATATACAGCGAGAAGCCCTAACTTGAAAGGAGGCCGGATTTCCTTGCAGTGGCTTGAATAAAGGTTCGTCTTTCATCTCACAGAATGAAGGGATGTCTGAATCCCCTGTGGAGACCTTAGAGAAAGCTATAGGTCCCTGCCTCATTTTGACGGAATGCCTCACATCCCGTTGACACCTCGAGAGGCACGCGGAGTTCACGGCTTCAAAAAGTGACGATGCCTGACTCCTCTAAAATATTGATAGGAATCCCAAAATCCCTGTGGCTATTGGAAAGGTTCCTTGGGTGCCCTGCCTCACCTCGAGAAGCGTCCCTTGTGCCCTGCCAAGCCTCGAAGAGATTCCTGAGGTGTCTCTCGTTACTAGACAGGAGTCCTGACGTCACTGAATAAACACGTGTTTTGAAGGGCCATCACCGCCATAACTCGAGAACATAAGCCAGTTCCCGCCGCAACTCGAGTAAAACCATGAGACTTCCCCTAGATGCGAGATGAGGCCTGATTCCCTGCAGTCCATGCAGAGCATTCCCGTGATCCCCATCAAGCAAGTCAGGAGCTTCGACTTGCTTAATGGATCTCGAGACAGTCCCCAAGAACACTGTCACATGTCTAGATGGATCCTGAGGTCACCCCATCAATGCAAAGCAGCACCATGTGCCCCAAATCAACTCGAGATAATGCCCGATTCCCCTGCATTGACTCCAGAGCCATCCCCCGTTCCACATTAAACACGACCAGTGGCTTGACTTCCTTCAGGCAACTCCAGAGATGCCCTGAGAACACTGTCCCAAGTCTAGAGGAACACCATCTTCAGCACAGCAACTCGAGGAATGCTCCGTGTACCCCAAATCGTCTCGAGATGAGAGCTGATTCCCTGGCTTAGGCTCAAGACGGATGCCAACTTTCCAAAAGCACCTCAAGGGGAGCCTTCTCTCAGCAATAGGTATGTTGGAGGGACCCCCAGTTTGCTGCCTCAAGTGGAATATACAGCGAGAAGCCCTAACTTGAATGGAGGCCGGATTTCCTTGCAGTGTCTTGTATATAGGCTCGTCTTTCATCTCACAACAGGAAGGGATGTCTGAATCCCCTGTGAAGACCTTAGAGAAAGCCCTAGGTCCCTGCCTCATTTTGACGGAATGCCTCACATCCCGTTGACACCTCGAGAGGCACGCGGAGTTCACTGCTTCAAATGTGACGATGCCTGACCCCTCCTGATCATTGATAGGAATCCCAAAATCACTGTGGCTACAGGAAAGTGTTCTTGTGTGCCCTGCCTCACCTCGAGAAGCAACCCTTTTGCCCTGCCAAGGCTCGAAGAGATTCCTGAGCTGTCCCTCGTTACTGGACAGGAGTCCTGACGTCACTGAATAAACACGAGTTTTGAAGGGCCATCCCCGCCATAAGCCGAGTACATACCCCAGGTCCCCGCCGCAAGTCGAGAAAAACCATGAGACTTCCCCCTAGAGGCGAGATGAGGCCCGATTCTCCTGCAGTGCATGCAGAGCAATTCCGTGATCCCCATCAAACAAGTCAGAAGCTTCGACTTGCTTAATGGATCTCGAGACAGTCCCCAAGAACACTGTCACCTGTCTAGACGGATCCTGAGGTCACCCCATCAACGCAAAGCAGCACCATGTGCCCCAAATCAACTCGAGATAATGCCCGATTCCCCTGCATTGACTCCAGAGCCATCCCCCGTTCCACATTAAACACAACCAGTGTCTTGACTTCCTTCAGGCAACTCCAGAGATGACCTGAGAACACTGTCCCAAGTCTAGAGGAACACCATCTTCAGCACAGCAACTCGAGGAATGCTCCGTGTACCCCAAATCGTCTCGAGATGAAAGCTGAATCCCTGGCTTAGGCTCAAGACGTATGCCAACTTTTCAGAAGCACCTCAAGGGGAGCCTTCTCTCAGCAATAGGTATGTTGGAGGGACCCCCAGTTTGCTGCCTCAAGTGGAATATGCAGCGAGAAGCCCTAACTTGAAAGGAGGCCGGATTTCCTTGCTGTGTCTTGAATACAGGCTCGTCTTTCATCTCACAACCGGAAGGAATGTCTGAATCCCCTGTGGAGACCTTAGAGAAAGCCCTAGGTCCCTGCCTCATTTTGACGGAATGCCTCACATCCCGTTGACACCTCGAGAGGCACACGGAGTTCACTGCTTCAAAATGTGACGATGCCTGACTCCTCCTGAACATTGATAGGAATCCCAAAATCACTGTAGCTACAGGACAGGGTTCTTGGGTGCCCTGCCTGACCTCGAGAAGCATCCCTTTTGCCCTGCCAAGCCTCGAAGAGATTCCTGAGGTGTCTCTCGTTACTAGACAGGAGTCCTGACGTCACTGAATAAACACGTGTTTTGAAGGGCCATCCCCGCCGTAACTCGAGTACATACCCCAGTTCCCCGCCGCAACTCGAGAAAAACCATGAGACTTCCGCCTAGAGGCGAGATAAGGCCCGATTCTCCTGCAGTGCATGCAGAGCAATTCCGTGATCCCCATCAAACAAGTCAGGGGCTTCGACTTGCTTAATGGATCTCGAGACATTCCCCAAGAACACTGTCACATGTCTAGACGGACCCTGAGTTATCCCCAGCAACGCAAGGCAGCTCCATGTGCCCCAAATCAACTTGAGATGAGGTCCGATTCCCCTGCATTGACTCCAGAGCCATCTGCCGTTCCGCATTAAACACCACCAGTGGCTTGACCTCCTTCAGACAACTCCAGAGATGCCCCGAGAACACTGTCCCAAGTCTACAGGAACACCTACTTTAGCACAGCAACTCGAGGAATGCTTCCTGTATGCCAAATCCTCTCGAGATGAGAGCTGATTCCCTGGTTTAGGCTCAAGACGTATGCCAACTTTCCAGAAGCACCTCAACAGGAGGCTTCTCTCAGCAATAGGTATGTGGGAGGGAACCCGAGTTTGCTGCCTCAAAGGGAATATAGAGCGAGAAGCACTAACTAGAAAGGAGGCCGGTTTCCTAGCAGTGTCTTGAATACAGGCTCGTCTTTCATCTCACAGCAGGAAGAGATGTGTGAATCCCCTGTGGAGACCTTAGAGAAAGCCCTAGGTCCCTGCTTCATTTTGACGGAATGCCTCACATCCCGTTGACACCTCGAGAGTCACGCGGAGTCCACTGCTCCAAAAGCTGACGTTGCCTGACTCCTCTTGAATATTGATAGGAATCACAAAATCCCTGTGGCTATTTGAAAGGTTCCTTGGGTGCCCTGCCTCACCTCGAGAAGCGTCCCTTGTGCCTGCCAAGCCTCGAAGAGATTCCTGAGCTGTCCCTCGTTACTGGACAGGAGTCCTGACGTCACTGAATAAACACGAGTTTTTAAGGGCCATACCCGCCGTAACCCGAGTACATAACCCAGGTCCCCGCCGCAAGTCGAGAAAAACCATGAGACTTTCCCCTCTTGGCGAGATGAGGCCCGATTCTCCTGCAGTGCATGCAGAGCAATTCCGTGATCCCCATCAAACAAGTCAGGACCTTCGACTTGCTTAATGGATCTCGAGACAGTCCCCAAGAATACTGTCACATATCTAGATGGATCCTGAGGTCACCCCATCAACGCAAAGCAGCAACATGTGCCCCACATCAACTCGAGATAATGCCCGATTCCCCTGCATTTACTCCAGAGCCATCCCCCGTTCCACATTAAAAACCACCAGTGGCTTGTCTTCCTTCAGACAACTCCAGAGATGCCCTGAGAACACTGTCCCAAGTCTAGAGGAACACCATCTTCAGCACAGCAACTCGAGGAATGCTCCGTGTACCCCAAATCGTCTCGAGATGAGAGCTGATCCCTGGCTTAGGCTCAAGACGTATGCCAACTTTCCAGAAGCACCTCAAGGTGAGGCTTCTCTCAGCAATAGGTATGTTGGAGGGACCCCCAGTTTCCTGCCTCAAGTGGAATATGCAGCGAGAAGCCTTAACTTGAAAGGAGGCCGGGTTTCCCTGCAGTGTCTTGAATACAGGCTCGATTTTCATCTCACAACCGGAAGGAAAGTCTGAATCCCCTGTGGAGACCTTAGCGATAGCCCTAGGTCCCTGCCTCATTTTGACGGAATGCCTCACATCCCGTTGACACCTCGAGAGGCACGCGGAGTTCACTGCTTCAAAATGTGACGATGCCTGACTCCTCCTGAACATTGATAGGAATCCCAAAATTACTGTAGCTACAGGACAGGGTCCTTGGGTGCCCTGCCTCACCTCGAGAAGCAACCCTTTTGCCCTGCCAAGCCTTGAAGAGATTCCTGAGGTGTCTCTCGTTACTAGACAGGAGTCCTGACGTCACTGAATAAACACGTGTTTTGAAGGGCCATCCCCGCCATAACTCGAGAACATACTCCAGTTCCCGCCGCAACTCGAGTAAAACCATGAGACTTCCCCTGGATGCGAGATGAGGCCTGATTCCCTGCAGTCCATGCAGAGCATTCCCGTGATCCCCATCAAGCAAGTCAGGAGCTTCGACTTGCTTAATTCAACTCGAGAAAGTCCCCAGGAACACTGTCACAAGTCTAGACAGACCCTGAGGTCACCCCAGCAATGCAAAGCAGCTGCAAGTACCCCACATCAACTCGAGATGAGGCCCGATTCCCATGCATTGACTCCAGAGCCATCCCCCGTTCCACATTAAACACGACCAGTGGCTTGACTTCCTTCAGGCAACTCCAGAGATGCCCTGAGAACACTGTCCCAAGTCTAGAGGAACACCATCTTCAGCACAGCAACTCGAGGAATGCTCCGTGTACCCCAAATCGTCTCGAGATGAGAGCTGATTCCCTGGCTTGGGCTCAAGACGTATGCCAACTTTCCAGAAGCACCTCAAGGGGAGCCTTCTCTCAGCAATAGGTATGTTGGAGGGACCCCCAGTTTGCTGCCTCAAGTGGAATATACAGCGAGAAGCCCTAACTTGAAAGGAGGCCGGATTTCCTTGCAGTGGCTTGAATAAAGGTTCGTCTTTCATCTCACAGAATGAAGGGATGTCTAATATCCCCTGTGGAGACCTTAGAGAAAGCTATAGGTCCCTGCCTCATTTTGACGGAATGCCTCACATCCCGTTGTCACCTCGAGAGGCACGCGGAGTTCACGGCTTCAAAAAGTGACGATGCCTGACTCCTCTAAAATATTGATAGGAATCCCAAAATCCCTGTGGCTATTGGAAAGGTTCCTTGGGTGCCCTGCCTCACCTTTAGAAGCGTCCCTTGTGCCCTGCCAAGCCTCGAAGAGATTCCTGAGGTGTCTCTCGTTACTAGACAGGAGTCCTGACGTCACTGAATAAACACGTGTTTTGAACGGCCATCCCGCCATAACTCGAGAACATACCCCAGTTCCCGACGCAACTCGAGTAAAACCATGAGACTTCCCCTAGATGCGAGATGAGGCCTGATTCCCTGCAGTCCATGCAGAGCATTCCCGTGATCCCCATCAAGCAAGTCAGGAGCTTCGACTTGCTACATGGATCTCGAGAGAGTCCCCAAGAACACTGTCACATGTCTAGATGGATCCTGAGATCACCCCATCAACCCAAAGCAGCACCATGTGCCCCAAATCAATTCGAGATAATGCCCGATTACCCTGCATTGACTCCAGAGCCATCCCCCGTTCCACATTAAACACCACCAGTGGCTTGACTTCCTTCAGGCAACTCCAGAGATGCCCCGAGAACACTGTCCCAAGTCTTGAGGAATACGAACTTCAGCACAGCAACTCGAGGAATGCCCCGTGTACCACAAATCGTCTCGAGATGAGAGCTGATTCCCTCGCTTAGGCTCAAGACGTATGCCAACTTTCCAGAAGCACCTCAAGAGGAGGCTTCTCTCAGCAATAGGTATGTTCGTGGGACCCCGAGTTTGCTGCCTAAAGTGGAATATACAGCGAGAAGCCCTAACTTGAAAGGAGGCCGGATTTCCTTGCAGCGTCTTGTATACAGGCTCGTCTTTCATCTCACAACAGGAAAGGATGTCTGAATCCCCTGTGAAGACCTTAGAGAAAGCCCTAGGTCCCTGCCTCATTGTGACGGAATGCCTCACATCCCGTTGACACCACGAGAGGCACGCGGAGTTCACTGCTTCAAAAGGTGACGATGCCTGACTCCTCTTGAATATTGATAGGAATCCCAAAATCCTTGTGGCTATTGGAAAGGTTCCTTGGGTGTCCTGCCTCACCTCGAGAAGCGTCCCTTGTGCCTGCCAAGCCTCGAAGAGATTCCTGAGCTGTCCCTCGTTATTGGACAGGAGTCATGACGTCACTGAATAAACACGTGTTTTTAAGGGCCATCCCCGCCGTAACCCGAGTACATACCCCAGGTCCCCACCGCAAGTCGAGAAAAACCATGAGACTTTCCCCTAGTGGCGAGATGAGGCCCGATTCTCCTGCAGTGCATGCAGAGCAATTCCGTGATCCCCATCAAACAAGTCAGGACCTTCGACTTGCTTAATGGATCTCGAGACAGTCCCCAAGAATACTGTCACATGTCTAGACGGATCCTGAGGTCACCCCATCAACGCAAAGCAGCACCATGTGCCCCACATCAATTTGAGATAATGCCCGATTCCCCTGCATTGACTCCAGAGCCATCCCCCGTTCCCCATTAAACAAGAGCAGTGGCTTGACTTCCTTCAGACAACTCCAGAGATGCCCTGAGAACACTGTCCCAAGTCTAGAGGAACACCATCTTCAGCACAGCAACTCGAGGAATGCTCCGTGTACCCCAAATCGTCTCGAGATGAGAGCTGATTCCCTGGCTTAGGCTCAAGACGTATGCCAACTTTCCAGAAGCACCTCAAGGGGAGGCTTCTCTCAGCAATAGATATGTTGGAGGGACCCCGAGTTTGCTGCCTCCAGTGGAATATGCAGCGAGAAGCCCTAACTTGAAAGGAGGCCGGGTTTCCTTGCAGTGTCTTGAATACAGGCTCGTCTTTCATCTCACAACAGGAAGGAATGTCTGAATCCCCTGTGGAGACCTTAGAGAAAGCCCTAGGTCCCTGCCTCATTTTGACGGAATGCCTCACATCCCGTTGACACCTCGAGAGTCACGCGGAGTTCACTGCTTCAAATGTGACGATGCCTGACCCCTCCTGATCATTGATAGGAATCCCAAAATCACTGTGGCTACAGGAAAGGGTTCTTGTGTGCCCTGCCTCACCTCGAGAAGCATCCCTTTTGCCCTGCCAAGGCTCGAAGAGAATCCTGAGGTGTCCCTAATTACTAGACAGGAGTCATGACGTCACTGAATAAACACGTGTTTTCAAGGGCCATGCCCGCCATAACTCGAGAACTTACCCCAGGTCCCGCCGCAACTAGAGAAAAACCATGAGACTTCCCCTAGATGCGAGATGAGGCCTGATTCCCTGCAGTCCATGCAGTGCATTCCTGTGATCCCCATCAAGCAAGTCAGGAGCTTCGACTTGCTTAATTGAACTCGAGAAAGTCCCCAAGAACACTGTCACAAGTCTAGACAGACCCTGAGGTCACCCCAGCAATGCAAAGCAGCTGCAAGTACCCCACATCAACTCGAGATGAGGCCCGATTCCCATGCATTGACTCCAGAGCCATCCCCCGTACCCCATTAAACACCACCAGTGGCTTGACTTCCTTCAGGCAACTCCAGAGATGCCCCGAGAACACTGTCCCAAGTCTTGAGGAATACGAACTACAGCCCAGCAACTCGAGGAATGCCCCGTGTACCACAAATCGTCTTGAGATGAGAGCTGATTCCGTGGCTTAGGCTCAAGACGTATGCCAACTTTCCAGAAGCACCTCAAGAGGAGGCTTCTCTCAGCAATACGTATGTTCGTGGGACCCCGAGTTTGCTGCCTAAACTGGAATATACAGCGAGAAGCCCTAACTTGAAAGGAGGCCGGATTTCTTTGCAGTGTCTTGTATACAGGCTCGTCTTTCATCTCACAACAGGAAAGTTTGTCTGAATCCCCTGTGAAGACCTTAGAGAAAGCCCTAGGTCCCTGCCTCATTGTGACGGAATGCCTCACATCCCGTTGACACCACGAGAGGCACGCGGAGTTCACTGCTTCAAAAGGTGACGATGCCTGACTCCTCTTGAATATTGATAGGAATCCCAAAATCCCTGTGGCTATTGGAAAGGTTCCTTGGGTGCCCTGCCTCATCTTGAGAAGCGTCCCTTGTGCCCCGGCAAGCCTCGCAGAGATTCCTGAGATGTCCCTCGTTACTGGACAGGAGTACTGACGTCACTGAATAAACACGTGTTTTGAAGGGCCATCGCCGCCATAACTCGAGTACATACCCCAGGTCCCTGCCGCAACTCGAGAAAAACCATGAGACTTCCGCCTAGAAGCGAGATGAGGCCCGATTCTCCTGCAGTGCATGCAGAGCAATTCCTTGATCCCCATCAAACAAGTCAGGAGCTTCGACTTGCTTAATGGATCTCGAGACATTCCCCAAGAACACTGTCACATGTCTAGACGGACCCTGAGGTATCCCCAGCAACGCAAAGCAGCTCCATGTGCCCCAAATCAACTTGAGATGAGGTCCGATTCCCCTGCATTGACTCCAGAGCCATCTGCCGTTCCGCATTAAACACCACCAGTGGCTTGACCTCCTTCAGACAACTCCAGAGATGCCCCGAGAACACTGTCCCAAGTCTAGAGGAAAACCTCCTTTAGCACAGCAACTCGAGGAATGCTTCCTGTATGCCAAATCTTCTCGAGTTGAGAGCTGATTCCCTGGCTTAGGCTCAAGACGTATGCCAACTTTCCAGAAGCACCTCAAGAGGAGGCTTCTCTCAGCAATAGGTATGTGGGAGGGAACCCGAGTTTGCTGCCTCAAATGGAATATACAGCGAGAAGCACTAACTAGAATGGAGGCCGGTTTCCTAGCAGTGTCTTGAATACAGGCTCGTCTTTCATCTCACAGCAGGAAGAGATGTCTGAATCCCCTGTGGAGACCTTAGAGAAAGCCCTAGGTCCCTGCCTCATTTTGACGTAATGCCTCACATCCCGTTGACACCTCGAGAGTCACGCAGAGTTCACTGCTTCAAAAGCTGAGGATGCCTGACTCCTCCTGAACATTGATAGGAATCCCAAAATCACTGTACCTACAGGACAGGGTTCTTGGGTGCCCTGCCTCACCTCGAGAAGCATCCCTTTTGCCCTGCCAAGCCTCGAAGAGATTCCTGAGCTGTCCCTCGTTACTGGACAGGAGTCCTGACGTCACTGAATAAACACGAGTTTTGAAGGGCCATCCCCGCCGTAACCCGAGTACATACCCCAGGTCCCCGCCGCAAGTCAAGAAAAACCATGAGACTTTCCCCTAGTGGCGAGATGAGGCCCGATTCTCCTGCAGTGCATGCAGAGCAATTCCATGATCCCCATCAAACAAGTCAGGACCTTCGACTTGCTTAATGGATCTAGAGACAGTCCCCAAGATACTATCACATGTCTAGATGGACCCTGAGGTCACCCCATCAACGCAAAGCAGCACCATGTGCCCCACATCAACTCGAGATAATGCCCGATTCCCCTGCATTGACTCCAGAGCCATCCCCCGTTCCAGATTAAACACCACCAGTGGCTTGACTTCCTTCAGACAACTCCAGAGATGCCCTGAGAACACTGTCCCAAGTCTAGAGGAACACCATCTTCAGCACAGCAACTCGATGAATGCTCCGTGTACACCAAATCATCTCAAGATGAGAGCTGATTCCCTGGCTTATGCTCAAGACGTATGCCAACTTTCCAGAAGCACCTCAAGGGGAGGCTTCTCTCAGCAATGGGTATGTTGGAGGGACCCCCAGTTTGCTGCCTCAAGTGGAATATACAGCGAGAAGCCCTAACTTCAAAGGAGGCCGGATTTCCTTGCTGTGTCTTGAATACAGGCTCGTCTTTCATCTCACAACCGGAAGGAATGTCTGAATCCCCTGTGGAGACCTTAGAGAAAGCCCTAGGTCCCTGCCTCATATTGACGGAATGCCTCACATACCGTTGACACCTCGAGAGGCACACGGAGTTCACTGCTTCAAAATGTGACGATGCCTGACTCCTCCTGAACATTGATAGGAATCCCAAAATCACTGTGGCTACAGGACAGGGATCTTGGGTGCCCTGCCTCACCTCGAGAAGCATCCCTTTTGCCCTGCCAAGCCTCGAAGAGATTCCTGAGATGTCTCTCGTTACTAGACAGGAGTCCTGACGTCACTGAATAAACACGTGTTTTGAAGGGCCATCCCCGCCATAATTCGAGAACATACCCCAGTTCCCGCCGCAACTCGAGTAAAACCATGAGACTTCCCCTAGATGCGAGATGAGGCCTGATTCCCTGCAGTCCATGCAGAGCATTCCCGTGATCCCCATCAAGCAAGTCAGGAGCTTCGATTTGCTTAAATCAACTCGAGAAAGTCCCCAGGAACACTGTCACAAGTCTAGACAGACCCTGAGTTCACCCCAGAAATGCAAAGCAGCTGCAAGTACCCCACATCAACTCGAGATGAGGCCCGATTCCCATGCATTGACTCCAGAGCCATCCCCCGTAACCCAATAACACCACCAGTGGCTTGACTTCCTTCAGGGAACTCCAGAAATGCCCCGAGAACACTGTCCCAAGACTAGAGGAACACCAACTTCAGCACAGCAACTCGAGTAATGCTCCGTGTACCACAAATCGTCTCGAGATGAAAGCTGAATTCCTGGCTTAGGCTCAAGACGTATGCCAACTTTCCAGAAGCACCTCAAGAGGAGGCTTCTCTCAGCAATTGGTATGTTGGAGGGACCCCGAGTTTGCTGCCTCAAGTGGAATATACAGCCAGAAGCCCTAACTTGAAAGGAGGCCGGATTTCCTTGCAGTGGCTTGAATACAGGCTCGTCTTTCATCTCACAGAATGAAGGGATGTCTGAATCCCCTGTGGAGACCTTAGAGAAAGCTATAGGTCCCTGCCTCATTTTGACGGAATGCCTCACATCCCGTTGTCACCTCGAGAGGCACGCGGAGTTCCCTGCTTCAAAAGGTGACGATGCCTGACTCCTCTAAAATATTGATAGGAATCCCAAAATCCCTGTGGCTATTGGAAAGGTTCCTTGGGTGCCCTGCCTCACCTCGAGAAGCGTCCCTTGGGCCCTGCCAAGCCTCGAAGAGATTCCTGAGCTGTCCCTCCTTACTGGACAGGAGTCCTGACGTCACTGAATAAACACGAGTTTTGAAGGGCCATCCCCGCCGTAAGCCGAGTACATACCCCAGGTCCCCGCCGCAAGTCGAGAAAAACCATGAGACTTTCCCCTAGTGGCGAGATGAGGCCCGATTCTCCTGCAGTGCATGCAGAGCAATTCCATGATCCCCATCAAACAAGTCAGGACCTTCGACTTGCTTAATGGATCTAGAGATAGTCCCCAAGATACTATCACATGTCGAGATGGATCCTGAGGTCACCCCATCAACGCAAAGCAGCACCATGTGCCCCACATCAACTCGAGATAATGCCCGATTCCCCTGCATTGACTCCAGAGCCATCCCCCGTTCCAGATTAAACACCACCAGTGGCTTGACTTCCTTCAGACAACTCCAGAGATGCCCTGAGAACACTGTCCCAAGTCTAGAGGAACACCATCTTCAGCACAGCAACTCGAGGAATGCTCCGTGTACCCCAAATCGTTTCGAGGTGAGAGCTGATTCCATGGCTTAGGCTCAAGACGTATGCCAACTTTCCAGAAGCACCTCAAGAGGAGGCTTCTCTCAGCAATAGGTATTTGGGAGGGACCCCGAGTTTGCTGCCTCAAGTGGAATATACAGCCAGAAGCCCTAACTTGAAAGGAGGCCGGATTTCCTTGCAGTGGCTTGGATACAGGCTCGTCTTTCATCTCACAGCATGAAGGGATGTCTGAATCCCCTGTGGAGACCTTAGAGAAAGCTCTAGGTCCCTGCATCATTTTGACGGAATGCCTCACATCCAGTTGACACTTCGAGAGGCACGCGGAGTTCACTGCTTCAAAAGGTGATGATGCCTGACTCGTCTTGAATATTGATAGGAATCCCAAAATCACTGTGGCTACTGGAAAGGGTCATTGGTTGCCCTGCCTCACCTCGAGAAGCATACCTTTTGACCTGCCAAGCCTCGAAGAGATTCCTGAGGTGTCCCTCGTTACTAGACAGGAGTCCTGACGGCACTGAATAAACACGGGTGTTGAGGGGCCATCCCCGCCGTAACTCGAGTAGATACCCCAGGTCCCCCGCGCAACTTGAGAGAAACCTTGAGACTTCCCCCTAGATGCGAGATGAGTCCTGATTCCCTGCAGTGCATGCAGAGTATTCCCGTGATCCCCATCAAACAAGTCAGGAGCTTCGACTTGCTTAATGGATCTCGAGACAGTCCCCAAGAACACTGTCACAAGTCTAGACGGACCCTGAGGTCACCCCAGCAACGCAAAGCAGCTCCATGTGCCCCAAATCAACACGAGATGTGGCCCGATTCCCCTGCATTGACTCCAGAGCCATCCCCAGTTCCCCATTAAACAAGACAACTGGCTAGACTTCCTTCAGGCAACTCCAGAGATGCCCCGCAAACACTCTCCCAAGACTAGAGGAACACCAACTTCAGCACAGCAACTCGAGGAATGCTCCGTGTACCACAAATCGTCTCGAGATGAGAGCTGAATCCCTGGCTTAGGCTCAAGACGTATGCCAACTTTCCAGAAGCACCTCAAGAGGAGGCTTCTCTCAGCAATAGGTATGTTGGAGGGACCCCGAGTTTGCTGCCTCAAGTGG